AAGGGGAAGGGGAAGGGGACAGGGCAGGTAGAATGGAGGTCGTCGAGATACCGCTGATATAGGCGCTAAAATGTCGTTGGGCTACTGAGGCGAGGTCATCGCTTAGAGCGGTGAGGGCTCTCAGTAGGTGAGGGGCCAGGCCGGTGGTTTGGCTGCGGTGTTTATCGAGGAATGCAGCTATAGGGCTGAAGATCTTCTGTCCTTCAGAAGCTCTTGTCGTGGCTGCGGACGTGGATTCCAGTAGGGCTGTCTGTAGAGGGCCATCTGTACCAGGGCCTTTACGCGCCATAGTGTTGCCGGACGCGTTGAGACGCGTCAAAGGCCGCACTTCTGGTGGCTAGGTGGTAGAGAGGGGTGAGGAGTTTGGGCCTCTGACTGTTTGATATAAACAATTGTAGGGAATTCGTCTATCTGTGGGGTGCTTGTGACCGAAGTCGTGTGACGGTCAGTAATGAGGTTATTCGCAGAGTTCGGTTTACGTAGTCACATGCTAGGGTTACCTAGGGGGGTTCGTGATTCTGTCACATGATCACGACAATACATCTTGTTTGCATATAGCCTCACATTCCTAGCTTTTTCTTTCTTTCTCCATGTTTGGTATTCTTGTACTTAGCTTCCAATATGACTATTGAATGAGCCCTTACAGTACGGGGGATCTCTTCTATCTTAGTTTTGTTACCTTACGTTTCAGTTATTGTCCATACTTCGTTACATTACCACTCACTACGCTCCACTATATTATTGGTCGGAACCTGTGCGAGGTTCAATTATCCTAACCTATCACGACGCACCGCTGTTAGAACTAAGGTGGATCCAGGTCCGTGACAACGACGCTGGACGCTGACATTTCTCTCGAGAGGGTTATGGGTCATCATATTTAATCCGGTTTCGTAGTCACTGAGACACTAAGATAGCACTTACAGTTGCATCTGAATTGTCCTTCGATGCTTTGCACAGTATAACTGTTGGTTTAGCTACGTCCTGATAACACGAAGCACAGGATTACCGATTACGCAGTAAGGCTATTCCAAAGAGCCCATGAGCCTGATAATATTGATATTATTCGAATATTATGACTGCTTCTCAAAAAGGGAGGAGAAGGATGAGGCTTTCGCACTTTCCTCAAACGCAATCCTCTACACTATAGATTACCTCAACTGCAAATGGGCAACCTTTCCATATGGCGAATCTGTCACCATTTTCGAATTTCAGCCAAGGCAATTCCTCCACGTTTACCTCTCCCTTTGGGTTTGCTCGTGAAATACATTTAGCTATGGGCCCCTGTCAGTTTCAAGGGAATAATGGATTTCGATGCACGTGCCCCTCTGGAGAGTGTACCCTCTTCTCAGATGACCCCAGGAGGCCCATCTTCTGTGAGAATTGTGGGCATGTGATGGATGTTCACCGTGATTATGATAAGCGTCACCTACCACTGCCGATGAGCTTTTCTGTCTGCATCAAGTCACTGACAGACATCCTGAAGGCCGCAGCCCTGTTCTCGAGTGTACTCCTAGGTCACTAATCACAAACCCTTACAGTACGTATTTCACCATTGAACGCGTGATGCAATGTTCTTGTTGACTGGTATCCGCAGAGATACCGACGATGGTATCTCCTCGAGAACGGCTGGTAAATGGCATCATCGATCAAGCTGAGAAGTATCGGTTGATCCTCGTAAGGGGAACACCTGACTGTGGAAAGATGAATCTTGTCGCAAATGAGTTGTTAACACGCCGCTCTGGGGAGATTCCCGTACATATCATGACTGGCTGGGACGAGCGACAAGTGGACAAGGCAGAAGGTTGGAACGAGTACCTAATGCAAGAGACAGTGATTAAAGGACGTGATTGGCCCACATCCTGTGCCTATCTTTGCTCGATGAAGCTCAGGAGCCTTACTGGGATACCACTCTATGGTCTGTTTTTTTCAAAGCAATAATTCCATTCAACGCCGCCGAAAGCCCCTGCGTTATACTGTTTGCGTCGTACGGATTACCTGGCCGCGGCAACGCAGGGTTTTACGAAGAGAAATATTTCAAAACACCCATGAATTTTGGACCTAGCTAACTAATCTCAATGCGCGCCGAAGAATCCTTCGACGAAGAAACAACAGACTTTAATGATCAGAATGGCTTAGGTCTCCTGCTCGAGGCCGAGGAGGCAAGTGACGTTATGAAGAAGTATACTGACGCAGTCGGGCCCCCTTCCCTATCAAAGGACTTGATGGATGAGCTGTTCCTCATTAGCAATGGACATGTCGGATGCCTCACCGCCCTCATGGGAGTTTTCAGACGAGCAGTAGTAAGTATTCTAAGTAATGTGCAGTCAAATAAACCTAGGCATTGAGCCTGGCTTTAATTTTATATAGGAGCTTGAATATCAGAGACGCCATGATCCCCAATTTGAGCTTGGCACGGTTCGCGAAAGCATATTCAGTCACCCGAGCAGATTATTTCGCTATCTGAATGACACCCCCTTCATAAGAGGTATGCCAAACGCCGACATTCTCCAGCACCAGGACGTAGCAAAGGTATTTAAGCGAACAGTCGCTTGTGATGAGATCAGTGCGGATGACTTTGAGAATGCTGCGGAAATCCAGACACTGGAGATGATTTGGCGAAATGGTTGGCTACATGCCAGGAAGATACGGAGTTCGCTATACATTTCCCAGCAGCATCCATCGTTGGTAAGTATGCATTTTAGTTTGTTTTACGTTTATTACTGAGAATACTTGGTTCTAGGTTCTGTTCATATATGCTACGTGAGACGCCCCTTACAGGCGTAATCCACTATACAACGGCATTAGAGCTCGCTATAGGTGCTATTCGAGGCATCATCATTCCTCGACATCTTTCAGATCCTCCACGCTCAGCGTCAGGCGGGAGTCTCCCATTAGAGGATCAATACCAAAAGGAATTTTACCGCTCCTTTTATACTCTGCTAGATGGCCGAGTGCTAATCTCTCCTGAGTATGTCGCCAAGAGAGGAAAGGGGGGTGGCACGATTGACTTTCTTCTCTCAACCAAGAAATGGGGCTTTGAGTTATTAGAAATCGCAAAAAAATAGCAGAACACATGGAGAGGTTTGCACCTGGTGGTGCATATTATGGTATGATAAAATCAGATGTTATGCAAGATTACATTGTGCTAGACTTTTCAACCTCAAAACCGAGAAAATCACATCCAGGTATTTCCCAGACCCATCTCCCACTCTTGCTGTGAACAGTCTTGTCTAACGACATCTCCAGAATACTATGGCCACCTGTACCATGCTGTATTTTCTAATGATTACCAAGATATTAGTATTCTTGACGCTTCAGATCTCCAGGTAATTACTTCATTGAGCTTGTCAGAGAACTCAAATCCACTGGCATGATTTTCTTATTATTCAGTTCTAGAAAAGCCGTGCAATTTCAAAAGCAGCCAGCTCAGTCAAGGAGCTGCAAGGACAGCAGGGTCTGTGCCAATTTTAGTCCGAACCAGACGTTAAGAACCAAAAGATAAGGCTCAACTTGAAGGCGTTGAGTACCAGATCCCTCTGCATAGATCGTAGTATTGTTTCCGAGGTAGATATCTCTGGGTCCAAGGGAGATGCTTATAGTCCTTAAGGTCCAATTTGCTGTTGCAAAAGTGCTGTGTAGCTCCCGAGTCAAGGATTAGCCGAGTGCCTTGTCAACAACCCGACGCAGGCGGGAAATTCCTGGCAAGACTGGAATGAATAGAAAGAAAGATAAAAAGAATTTAGAAAATTAAAAACAATAAACATACAACAGCTGGGATTCGCTGGTGGTCACCCACCCAACTACTAACCAGCCGGCGTATGGCTTAAATACGGCTGAGCGGACGGGAAGCCCTGTTTTCCACACCCTATGGTCGTATGTACTAAGTTAACAGAAAAAGGTGATCCATATGCTATCTGGATATAGCGTTGATGATATTCACTTGAATCAATTGCGTCTTATTGGTGACCATCGAGATTATCCAAGTTGTCAACACCCTAGGCCGATCCCTAGTTGCTGTAAGCTATAAGCATAGTAGCCAGCCCGCTCACGATTCCCATCACAATTTTATTGAACAAATTGGCTGAGAGGATTCATCAAAGTCTCAGTCAGAGACTCGTAGATGATGTGTCTAGCAACCTCGAGTTCATCCATCACAGGTTGTCACCGTTGAAGTCTTATAGGAAAGACAGCTCACTAGCCGAGCAGATTCTTGGGCAATATAGTCATATTGGCTGTCAACGGCAGATCCGTAGGCGGGCCGCTATGTGCAAACAATATCTCCTTTGATAAGTCAGAAAATTGTGGCGGTAAGTCAAGGGCACACGCAAAGACTAACAATTTGCAAAGATCTCCTGCAGCCAATCCTCTCATCTTTCTTTGTAGCCATAAGATAGCCCGAGGCCGTACAGCTTCTCCGCAGTCATATCTGTCCACTATAGCAACCAATTTGCAGAGCTGCATAGGTGTAGGCTGTGGAGGATAATTTGATCGACGATGGATCACTCCTTCCCTAACAAAAAGTCTAGAAAGAGTTCAAATCCTGGAAAGGACGTTCGGAAGTCTCAAATGTGGTTGATTCAGAGTACCGGGTGAGGAGCTGTGATACTAACTGCTTAGGGGCCTACCGTAGGCCTTCAGTATTCGTAATGTCTTGGATATTGAGCTTTCGAGTTGCCCAATATAATCAGCGTCATGATTGTCTTCCAGTGCTGCAACTATAGCATCTTCCACGTCTTCTTCAGAAAATTCGATCCCATCATCCATTCCATAGTCACTTATTGGTTGGCATCTTTTCGTTCCACACGTCAAATCGAGAAGGGAACACCATTCACGAAAGTACAATGACTTTGTTATTGTCCTGTGCAGAAGTCTTACACTCAGTGTAACTTCCCATCGTATAGAGATCCATTCATCCTCATCCTTCGCAAGAGAACCCTTTTCAATAAAGTGATTGTGGCTTTGCGCGACCTTAAGTTTCCTTGCTCTTCTCTGTCGTTCTTGGATCAACGTGCGCTGTTCCTGCAAGTTCTCCCAATCTCCGTCTAAATTTACCCTCGGAACAAAGTTCAAATCATCATCGTTCCGTCCGTAGGTGTGGTTTACCGGCCGTTCCTCTAACGAAACTTCGGATTCAATTAATGTTGAGCTTGCGGAAATGGAGGGCTGCTCCGAGAAGTTATCTGTCGTACTGTGCGAACTTGGCAAGCTCGTTCGCTCGATCATATACAAAGGCATTTCTGATGGCCAGTCAGGGTTTCTCGCAGGCCGTTCGGTAGCTGTGGCTCCTCTTTCATCCGGTTGGGTGACGCCTGCATAATAAAATCCTACCTGTATCTTGGTACTCCGGCACCGTGAAGCTGCAAGGAGTACACCATATAGAATCATCTCTCCATTCCCCGACAGATAAGGAGGCGTATTCCATTTCAAGGCCAACATGTTCATCACTGCCGTGACTAGACCTTGGCTACATGCTACGTAGAAAAGAAGATTGGTAGAAACAAGGCCATCCATTTCCCAGCCGCGGGAAATACTGGGTGTGTTCTGGTAGTACGTAGATGCAGCTTCAGGTGCATGTCGATTCGTTGTCAAGGCCGTTATTAGATCATGTTGGGGAGACCCTCGCAAGGGTAGCTGTACGTTGGGCACTGCGATATCACAGCGGATGAAGTAATTCTTTGCGCTATCAATGGCATATCGGAGAAGTTTCAGGTTTTCTAAATCTTCTATAAGCTGCCCGGCGTCGAACGGTGCACCTGGACCACCCAGCTTTCTGGTTGCTCTTTGCAGGTAGTCGTGCAAAGACGTCTTCACCAAGTCTCGGGCTTCATCAATAGTGAACGATAGGCATCCCACCGACGATTCATCACAGAGGAAATCCCGCACAGACTGATGCATAAGCTGAACGATTGAAGATGCACCGTATTGGTATCTGCGAGATTCCTCGGCCGAAAGGCCAGGATTGTAGACTTCGATGAAAGGTCCACAAGTGCTGTAAATCTTGCGCCAGAATTCGTCGTACGATCGAATTGGGGTCCGCTTCGCCCATATTTCTTCCATGGTCGAGGGAATGACACAGTCTTTCAGAACTGCTACAGCCTCCCAAAGTTCTTCGAGTGTGACACCGCTGATCTCGCCTGCTGCACATATCCACATCAATATCCTGCGGATATCTTGAATTCTATCTGCACTTTTTCGATCCGTCATCTCATTCACAATTTGTTTGTAATACTCTTTTAACTCTTGTGGGGTGTGAGTGACAGATCGACTCAACTCCTCCAATGAACAATTTGGGTCGGAAACGACATGCCGCGTCAATTTGTCGAGAACTAGTTTTGCCCATAGGATCGAACCCTGCGCCTTAGATGCGAGATGTATTCTCATCTTTTTTATGGTCTGCGTTTCCCGTTCCAAAGCATGTGTGATGGACTTGTATCTTGGCTGTCGCATTCTGGTCGCATGTCTTGGGATGCTTCGAGTGCGAAAAACAAGCTCACTTGACCGAGTCATAAAATCCAGTTTGTGAATCTCCTCGCATAACAACTTCAGGCCTATGTCAATGATACTTGCGATGTCGCCTTGGTTCTCGTCTTCCATAACGATTGTCGGTAAACCGAAGATATGTTGCTCAATTTTGACAGCGTTTCGACTCAGCACGATGAATTTCGCTCTTGAGAAGGCCGCTGCATCAGTGAGCCTCTTGATCAACGCCAGGATCTCCACGCCCTCGGCCTCATCAACAGCGTCAACAACGCAAAGAACCGGCCTGGAGCCTCGACAAACGTCAACTAAGATGCTCTCGAGAACTTCAGTCGACCACACGACGCTTCGTGGGCTCATCTCCCGATAGGCCTCCACATAATGAGGGAAAACCTCCGGGCATTGGTGGAGGAAGTGATAGAGTATAGAGCGTAGAAAGGATTCGTGTTGAATGTAGCGACCGCCTCTGCGACGGTGGTAGAACCAGTCTCCAATTAACGGCAGAGAACCTTGTGACTTTTGTGGCTCTGATTGCTCTAGTAGCCTACTTCGAATAGATTTTGCGAGAACGGACTTTCCACTCCCCGGCTTTCCTCGAATCCAAAGGATGCCAGCAGTTTGCCGACAAAATTCATGATAAACTGGATGCTCCCATATCCAAGAGTTCGTTTCCGCTGCTGCTGGAGATACTTGTGCCCTCCGAGCATCGAGTTCATCGAACCACATAGAGGCAAGACAGTCTAGCAAAATATCAGCTACCACTGGTACAGTTCACCACTGTTAAAGCGAAGGATGCATACCCTTGTATTCAGTATCATCTTCAATGAATAGACAGGGCGGGGATTTTTTAATTTCGCCCATCTGGGATAATTCTCCCCCGAGTATTATGGAAACCTTGTTCCCAACCCGGCTCCGAAGTGAGTCAAGAAGCCTAATCAATAATCTGCAATCGGACTGGTCGATTAGTTCCAAGTTGTCAATGCTTATAAGTAGCTGCCCAGTACAGTATTGAGACAGGATATATTCAATCATCGGGATGATATGTTCAACTGGAGGGAGTCCTGCACATAATGTCTCAGTAAGGAACCTCGGCATATCCTGGGGTCGCAATTCTGTGATATATCGTTGAAAAAACCGAACCTTGTCTTGAGGATAATAGTTCAGTATCTCTATGAATAAAGACTCCATAATGGAATCGACTCGGCTATGCTCAGCATAATTCCCAATTCGTTCCTGCTTCAATACATCGTCGATTGCTCTAGACCTTACGTTCTGCGGTCGGTCCACGAGCCAACAGCAATTCACATAGAATATGTCGCGACCTGTTTCACTCTGAACGTATGATGCCAGGCAAGCAGCGATCGGACAAGTCAGGGACTCCCACGATCGTGTTCCCGCAGATGTCCGCCTCTCCAGGAAGCCTTTCATCCACTTTTTAGATGCCGTTAGACCGTCCCAATGGCGTGTTGTTCGAACCAGCAATATATCTCTCAGTTCGTGAAACCAGACATGAAAGCCTACGGTGTGCACAAATCCCAGAATTTCGGGATCTGACATCGCATCACGACAGACCCTATATACACTCATCATGGAGTATAATTGACCTCGAGAGTCGATACTTTCGATGGCTTCTGGGATCCTCGAATATAGCCGATCATGGCCATGGCCTGTAGCTGATAATGCACCAATGCTCCTGTCCGTGTTTATTGCACCTTTGGGAGCACTTTTGTGGATTCGTTCGGTAATTTCTGTAATAAAGTTGTATTAGCCATGATAAAACTATACAAAATTTGGTAGGCATACTCCCTGGTAAGATCCGATACAAGATGGCTTTTGCGTAAGCTGCTGCCATGGCCGCAGCATATGGCTGCCATTCCTTGTTCTTATGTTCATCTCCATAGTCACATACACCTCGAATGACCCCTACGGCGATCTGTGTCATGACGCCAGCGGCCTCCATCTCCAAACCGATCACGTTATATTTGTCTCGCAGCTCATTCCTTTTCTCAGCGGTCTTTACTACTTTCTCGCCAGATCCAATTGGCCCGTACCACACACGCACGCGTTTCGAGTCTGGTCGCCGTTCCCGCTCGGCAACGCGCTCGACTCCGTCTTCGTCAACTGTGTAGAGTTGGTCTCGGTCTTGTCCCAGATCAAGAAATGTGCCACTTTCATGTCTTTTGTCTTGGATATCCTTGTAGAATTCCAAGACAATGTCTGTGTCATCTGGTGACTGAATCTTAATGTTGCCAATGGCCGACATGACAATACTTTCCGTCTTAGGCAGATCATAGCCGCAATTCAATAACTGAAATCCATCTTTTGTCTCTTTCCCCAGATCATAGGGAATGACTCCTGCACTTTCGCCGTCTGGAAATCCAACAAGAACATCACCGAGACGGATGTCATATGGAGGACTTTGAGCAAGATTCGGAAGCCCGGCTGCAACACCAACTAATAGCCCAAACTGTATATTTGGGAAGAAGGTTTTGACTTGGCTGGCGAGAGCAGCTGCTGAGCCTGTACCGTATTGTTTGCCTGGTAAGGTGGCGATGATCACATTATGGCCGTTGATATCGCCGGCGTGGAAGAGGTAGTCGTAGCCATAACTCCATGGAAACTGGCCCTCGTGGTAATTGTCTAACGAATGCAAGGCCGCTCTTGCTTCTATCTCTATCGGCGCGATCCACGCGACCGTATAGAGACTCGGGTCGAGCGCCATTGAAAAACTGATGGGTTTTCATTCGGGAGTGCGACACAGGTCTAAGTCGTACAAGACGCCTTTGCTGTCGTTGAAACTTCAGCCGCGGGGTCAGAGCAGCACAGCCATGTCTGCACGTATCCGTAGTGCGTGAACTGAGGACTTAGCTAACGAGCTAATTGGTTAGCTAGGTGCCCTTTCTTGCGAGTAAGGCTGAAAGCATTTGTGACTAGATTACACTACTATGTAAACCAAAAAGCGGCTCGCATACTAGATGATTCAGTATGGTAGGAATTAGCTAGTTAAAGGGGATCATCTGAATTCAGGTAATGTTCCAAGAGATATTCAATGAGTACGCTGTGAAGTAGTCACCTCCCCCAAGTTCCAAGGTTAGACACCAAGAAAAATTCGAACCTGGTAAAGGAGAAAAGCCCAACCCCATTCCCTCAGCTCGGGCAGCGTAACCAGACAGATACATGCCTACCATTCCAGTAGTAGATATACAGCAAAGAGAGACAGATATGACCGTGGGTAAAAAAGTACTTACAATCAGCTGTTATGTCTATTCAAGTAATCCCTGGTGAATTTCTTATATCGGATTCTCAAGCCTCCAGGCTAACCATGCATGCATGTTCTACTTCATGCCAGATACAGCCCTATTTCTCCTCATCAACATTTAATAATATACAAACAACTCGAAATCAAAGCTGATCCGCGAACCCAACAAGTTTCTCAATCACACCCTCCCCGTCCGCATCCGTATCAGACAATATCGCCCCAACACTCAAGTAGCTCATTGGCTCGGTGAGTGAACCAGAGTGCTCAGCTTCAGGTCACTGAGCATGTTTCCTAGCATACGCGAAGCTCACTGATCTGGTCAGCGCACTCAGGGCGTGCTCAGTTCTACTCAGTGAGGGAAAGCGGCGAGGAGGTGAGCACAAAAACGGAAAGGGAAAGTCGAGAAGCGTCAAAGGAAATCCGGTACGTAGGTAGATCACAGAAGTGTTATTAGCACGACCAGATATACCCCTACGACAGGCCTTAGAATGCTTCAGATTCCTAACAATAAGCACATAAACAATGACTAAAAACAAGAACTCCACGCAAATGCATCAATCTGTCAAAACACAAATAAAAACAGAAAAGAAACACTATGATAATCAGGTCAATCACTCCCTAGAACCACCGTCAACAAACATAGCCGCGAGCCGTTTATAATCCTGCAACAACTCCGCAACATCCCCAATACGAAGATCCTGCGGATCATCAACTTCAAGGAATCGTTGAATCGGGGGATCTGATTGCGATAATGGCGCTGGTGGAAATGGTACTGTGGATGTTGATGTTGTCAATGGTGAGGATCTTGCATCCGCTAGCCGAGAAGTCGACACCAATCTAGGCCGTTCGGGGAGTATGGTGCCACCGGCTGTGCTTGGGGTAGTGGTTCCTGTAGTAGCAGTTGTAGAGGCGGATGGAGTCTCTGGGGCGTTACGGCCGAATCCTCTGATCATTCCTGGGATGTGGTTGAGAGGGTTGAAAGAATTCCCAAAGTTCTTCATGGATTCTAGTGGTGTTACAGGACTGGAGTTGAAAATGGATGCTCCGGCACTTGGACTCGGTGTAGATGTACTGTTGAGACGTCCTGTCGGGATGGCGCTGGCCCTTTGGTTACTACCAGCTTCACTGCTTCGGGTACTATCAGCGCTCCTATCTCTGGGGGTTCTTCGGCCGTCTCTTCCGCTATACCGTCTATCTTCAGGCATAAGCGTCGATCGCTGCGTATATCCTTCCCTTAATTCTGGAGTTGAAGATTCGTCATTGACCGAATCACCTTCATTCAGCCCCGGTGGATTCGTCACAAGACGTCGTGCTTCATCAAGAGTCTTTGGGACTAGTGGTTGTTCGTTTGCTCCACGATTATTTTGCATCTCCTTAAGTCTTCCAAACAAGAAGTTGAAACTGTTGTCTAGCGTATTGCTGATATTCTTTAATCCTTGATCGGCGGTATTGCGTACAGCATCGTTAGCAGCACCCAAAACCTTTGCAGGTGGTTGGAAAAGATTGCTCAAACGCCGCTGTTGAGCAGCTGGCGCTGAAAGCTGAGTTCGTGGGAATGTACCTGACAGCGTATCTTTGCCTGACCTTGGGGCCCGTACAGAACTAGAAAGCTCCGTTGGAGGAGTCGTTGCTGCGTTCAATAGTCGAGGCTGCCCGTCAGTTGGGGCATCAGTGCTGAGGCTGCTGAGATCTACCGACTCCAGAAAACTGATCGCCGCTTCCAGATTGGTCAAACAATAGGCAGACTCTCCGTTAATTTTGCTAACAGCTCTGAAACGTTGAATGAATAGCAAATTACTGATCACATTTATTCCTTCGGGAGGTGAGGTGATTAACGTATATATCAGAGCAGGTAAGATCTCATCTGCAGAGGACGACGACCCAAGAAGAACGGTCAATGCATCCACAATCGCTTTATGTGCCGAGATCAAATGTTGAAGTTTGCCTAACGGATATCGAGCGTCGTTCATCTTCTCCAAGTCGCTACCAGCTGCTGAAAGTCTTGTATTTGCATCTTTCTCTTTTTCCTCGTTTGCATCAGGTACCTCTATGCCCAAGTCCTTCAATCCCATACCCAAAAGTGATAGGGCAGCCGTCTTGGAGCGTAGCTTCTCATCTCTTACTTCGTCAAGGGAACTTTTGTGGCGCCATATCTTATCGTAGACCTTTTCACAGACTCGTTTCTCGACGGTTTCTTCCAAAGCCAGTTGTTTCAGGGGTAGTTGTTTTCGTGCTTTTCGTCTCTCCGCTATCTCGGAAACGGTCAACATCTGTTGTGTTGAGGCAGAGCTCGATTTGGACGGTGAGCCATCTCGATTGATGCGCGACGCCAGAGTCGAGATGTGCGTAGCAATGTGTGAGTCTGTTCGGATGTAGAAATCCTGAAACAGGGACGATATTCTTTCAATTGAGGGAGGAAGTGTATGTACCCTGGCACTTAAAGACTCGACAAATCTATACCCAAAGCATAACAAAGATTAGCCTGACGAGTACAATTGAAGACGCTTATTATGAGGCTTTACCTATCGCTCAAGCTCGCCAATTCCACTGGAAGCTGAACATCGTCACTTGACGATGTTCCCACCGTGGCCTCACCATTTGCAGCACGCTCCGTCTCGGACTCTAACAAGTCCGGTCTTTCAAAGATATCCGGTCCGCCATCATCACCTGGTCTGGACATCTGCTCGGCATTTTCTGGACGTTCAGTCTCGGGGCCTACCATACCGGAAGTCTCGGTTGTGTGGGAAGCGAGTCAAATATCAGCTCCCTAGCATGATTCAAAGGAGAATCAAGGTGTTCCTGTCAGGCAAGCGTTGAAACTCGTAGCTTACCCTCGTACGTAGCGACTTTATTACGCGGCTGACGCTAACCTTATCTTAGCTCGATCTCGTTGCTCAAAAAGGCAGCTGCCTGGATCTGTATTTACACAATGCAAAGACGTGCGCTAATTTCTTGCAGATAGAGCAGCCAATGAGAAGCAGTACATGACACTGCATAAGCAAAATATGAAACCCGATTTGCATTTGTGAGACCCACTAAATACTGTTTCCGGCAAGTTAGATGGAACAGTGGCATGCGATAAGGCCAGGATTGGCAGAAGAGGCAAACAGGACAAACACCTCCATGGTCTCAGAAGGAACGACGGCGAAGTTGGAAACAGAACAAACGCCCATTAATAATCCGACAACACAACAACAACAACAACAACATCAAAAATACGCCTTGTCTCTCTTTTCAGCTAGTCACAAAGCGAGGATACAACAGTTCATTGTGTAATTTGGATTGTGTTGTCCCCTTTTACGCACCAAGCCGTGCGTGTCCACTGAAATCTGAGCCTCATTAGATGCCTTACCGCCTCCCATGGAGTAGTAGAGCCGGCTTTCCCTCAGTTCAGTTCTAACCACCGCCACTTCTCTGCGGTAGCACCTGCATATCTCTCCTACACGTTGTTACTATGGGACAGACATCGTCCACGCAACGAGATCAACGGCCAGAACACCCCTCGCGAGTTACTACTTCCTCCACTCTCCACAGCAATGGCCACAGCCGTACTGTGAACGCTCAAGAGATGTCGGAACAATCGGTAGGCGGCGGCCACCCCTCTCAGGATGAGGGGCTTGCGGCGAATAATAGAAACAACACTTCCAATATGATGAGAGACGCATCGGCCTCAACGACATCTTACCCAGCTTTCCACGATACGATGATGTCGAACACCTCTTCCAGCTTCTCACATGACCTTCGAACGCTTCCTCAACCCGTCCCACAACAAGATAGCCGTCATCCCTCACGGACCTTATCAAGAAGGCAGTCGACGATGTCTCGATTAGGCACACGGATCCTCCCAAATTCTGTCATACGGGGTTTACTGAATAGCGAAGAAGAAACAGTTGCAGAGGGTCTTGCACACCGAAACGGGCGTTTGATGAGACCTATTCCCAGAACAGAGGTTCTACATAGCCCCAGTCGTTTTTCTCCCTTCACCTCCCTGGGATCTCGTGGTATCAACCGGCGTCGCTCCATACGCGGACCCTATCCCCTTCCACGAGGTGATGCAGCATTAATTCCAGATTCTCCACCCAATCCAACGTATGCGAACCCGGCTATCGACAATGTCACTGCTTCAGATAGAGGGTGGCGTCGCAGCCCACGTCTAAATCGAGTTCGAAATTCACTACCCACGCCCATTTCTCAATTCTTTGGTACCCCGCCGAGTGTGCCAGAACCGGAGGAGATGAGGATTCCACCGCAGCGGCCTTTACGTTCGAGTGTTACAGAGGGTATGGATCAGCTACTGCCCCCTCTGGACCCTATGGACATGCAGATGGATCTAGATGAAACGTCTACATCGGATTTGGCGCAACAGTCTATGACTGATTTGCAACCTCTCTCATCATTACCTCTTCCCAGACCGTCACCAGGTTTAGGACCAGGTCCTATCCGGCGTCTCCCTGGCATTCTACGCACTCGGTCTTCTTCACGGATTCCACGCCGAGACGAGCAGACGCCATTGTCTCGAGTTCTGCAAGTAGCTGCAGCTGCAATCGCAGCCCAACTTGCTGGAAATAATACCCCGACGCTTCCTAACATTCAATCACTTGGCAATGAAGGATTCGACGCATCGCTAGAAAGCCTCTTTCAAAGCCTTCAGCAAGCTACATCCGCTCAAGATAATCAAACTGGTCCTTCAAATGGTCAAAATGCCTCTCAGCCAGGTGCTCCCACTCCATTGAATTTTCTTCGAGTGTTCCGCTTCTCCAATACTGATGGCCCAGGCGGCCGAGCCGGGGGAACCGAACAGATGGACGTAGAGGATGGTGAGGAAGGAACTGAAGGTCGAACCGTCACCTTGGTTGTTGTGGGTGTTAGGTCTGTACCATCCAATGGACCACTCGGCAATCCACAAAATGGCGGTGGAATTGGTCTGGATACTCTTCTCGGTCTGCCACATCTCCCCCCTATCAGAGGCAATGCGTCCCAGGAAGAAGGCAACCTCGACCACCCTATCCGGAATATGGATGGTACTTCAAGAATGCCATCCTCACGCATTGGTAGTGGTGCCAGCTCTTCACAAGATAACATGACTGCTCCTCGATCCCGCCCATCTTCAGGTGTATTCCGAAACCCGTTAGACCCAGCCCTTCCGTCTGGGCTAGCAGACAGCCCTCCAGGACCTTACCCTCCACCTTCCACACCAGCTGAACCAACTATATTCTCTTCAGGGAACTCCACTCCTAGTCGCAGGCCGTCCTCCGCATCGGCTCTGTCTCCAAATATTCTACCTCAAGTCCATGAAGAACCACTCCAGGAATCTAATCAATCTGAGTCATACCCACCAACTGCTGGCAGTGGTGTACGACAGCGACGTCGAAGCGACTCGGAGTTTGCTCGTCACCGGCATCTTGGTTCAGGATCAGCCAGACGCCATGGAGTCGTGGAGCCAGATCAGCCTGCACCATCTGGAGGCCGTACCTGGGTTATATATGTTGTTGGCACCAATCTTTCAGAGAATCATCCAGCTTTCGCGACCCCGAGCTTGTTCACTGATGTAAGTTTACTATTTACCATCCAAGCAATTGGCTAGATTGATTTCAGGCTAATTATTCATTACAGAACCCTACATACGAAGACATGATTCTTCTCTCATCACTTCTGGGACCTGCGAAGCCGCCTGTGGCCACTCAAGCAGACGTTACTTCAGCAGGCGGACTTTTTCACCTTGTTGAATATGCTGGTTCTCTCATTGCAGAGGCCTTGGAGGGTGATCAAACCATCAATCTTGGTGAATCTGAGAGATGTTTGATTTGTCTGAGCGATTACGAGGCTGCAGACGAGGTACGGCAGCTTGCCAAGTGCAAGCACCTTTATCATAAGGAGTGCATTGACCAAGTATGTTAATTTCATGCGACCTTTCTCACAACCAGATTTACTAACATTCCTCTAGTGGTTGACTACTGGACGAAATTCCTGCCCTCTCTGCCGTGGCCAAGGCGTTACCGAGTCTTCGTCTAGCTCGAATCCTATGCCCACTCAGGAAGCATCTGCATAAGATTCCGCCATATCTTTCACAGTATTCTGATTCCGCACTGATGATACAACCTTGTTTTGCGACTTTCATGTACGATTTATCAAATCATCCATTCGGCGGCGTTACGACCATTGCAAGCGAGTTTATTTTCGGCATTACCTGGCATTGTTTCTTTATTTATCTTTGTTTTTCACAGAGACTGGTTTTCGTTCGGATTGATAAGCATACGGGGTCAGGCTGAGATACATTTCTTTTGACGGGGGATATATTTATTTCACCGAGTTTTGTAGTCATAGCTTCTTGACTTTTCTTTCAGTTTTATTTCATTGTCTGTTTTTCTCTTATGATACCACTTGATCTGCTGGCATACACTGGAGATGACACATCAGTGATCGGTGTCCTTGTTTTGTGAGAACATTACCTGAGTTTGACAGCATACATAGTTGACATTGAAGAGTAGATACATGCCGTTATCTTGTAAAAATAGATATTAGGGACTCGGATCATCAGCTAGATCCAGATAGGGACATCTCTTTGGATCAGGATAGAACTTTCCTCCAAGTCTTTCGATGATCTGACACCTTTCATCCATATTAAGCGCATTGTATATGATTCCCCATGGTTCCGTCTCAAATATTGCTTCCATCTCACCTATATGTAAAACCCAAACACCACCATTGGATGGCCATCCTACGTGAAGTACTCCATGTGGTTTCGACGAAGCAGGCCTCCTCGAATAAAGACAATAGAGACGTCGATCCGGGAACCATTTCGCTCCAAGTTGGCGCACTGATTAAACACTCAATAATTTCCCTCGTTCAATTCTGAGTTGATTGACTCACTTTTATTACAAAACACTTCTTCCTCATCACTAGGCTTTATCTCCTCCTCTTTCGACCCAGTCAACCCAAACCGATCAAGACCCAAGAAATCAAACTCAACGCCCAGAGCATGAGGTAAAGTGTACAGGCCACCCTTTCTCGGGTATCCGTATATAGTGGTAGAACCAGGGTCGAAGCCAGTATCGTATCGGACATGTGGGATTTCTGTCTCGTTGATACGGATAGGGCCGTCGTAGTCATGTTCGGAAGATTTGATAGAGTCGGAGAATCGGAATCTTAGGACGTAGTAATAGTGCTCGAAGGAGTAAAATAGACCGCATAGTACAAGGTATGATATGATGAGTTTTGTGAGGATTTTTGTGGCTAGGGACCATTGAGACTGCATTTTCATGGCGATGTCTGTAAAAACATATGATGCCGGAGGTGATTCATTGAGCGAGACCTTTGACTGCTTTCTACCAAGCAGCAGATTTCCACGCGCTATACTACGACCCCTGGACGTGGCGCATCAGTGATTGGTGTTTGCGACTCTTCTTATTTTAGCGAGCGCTTTCGAGTCTGATAGCTTACATATCTCAGTAAGAGTAACCTAGATGGTTAGACAGGCATTACTGTACATCATAAGCGGGTATACCAATCCACACCGGGGACCCGCAGTGAATTATCTCGTTTTCCGGCATCGCTTTGACTCTTAAGTCAGGTTGACAACTGCTTTATCAGATCAATACTCTTCTAAAAGAACCAGAGAATAATCGAGCGAGTAGATATAAGCTGGCGCAAAAAATGCTTCCTAGGGTCCTCGTCATTGCGGGATCTGATAGTTCAGGTGGAGCGTACGTTTTTCATACCACATCATCTCTCATGTTACAACAATCAATATACTAACTAATGAAACAGCGGCCTCGAAGCAGATCAAAGAGTCCTGACAGCCCATGGCGTCTACTCTTTAACAGCCACAACAGGTCTAACAGCACAAAACACGCTGGGTGTGCAGGATATTCATGTTGTCCCTGCAGGATTTGTCAAGAAACAGATCAATGTTGCCTTGGAGGATGTTGGAGCTGATGCTGTTAAGCTTGGTACTATTCTGTCTCCCAATCAAGTGGATAATGATTAATGTGATATCAGGAATGTTATCATCCGCAGAGACGGTTGATGTTATTGCAGAGGAATTGAAGAAACATAATGTCAAGACTATTGTTCTTGATCCGGTATACAAATTTTCACTCTTTTCAAAATACATCCAGATCTAACACAGAAAAGGTAATGATATCAACATCCGGCTCCCAACTCCTCCCCCAAAACGCAATCTCGCACGTCCGCACAAACCTCCTCCCACTAGCCACAGTCCTAACTCCCAACATCCCCGAAGCCAAACTCCTGCTTGAAAACGCAGGTCAGCCAGCAGTCAGCGAACCGGAGAATGTAAATGAAATGATCGAACTTGCCAAAAAAGTTCAGGGTCTCGGATCAAAAACCGTGTTGTTAAAGGGTGGTCATTTACCACTTACAGCAGATCGAGTACGAGCAAATTCGCTCGCAGAGGCGAAGATTGTGGTTGATGTTTTGTATTCCGGAGACGGGGATGAGGTGATGCTAACCGAAACAGAGTATTTGACGTCAAAGAATACACACGGCACCGGATGTTCTCTTGCATCAGCTATAGCGGCCAATCTCGCAAAGGGGAATGACTTGAAAACGTCCGTTCGTTCGGCGATCAAATATGTCGAAGCTGGTATCAAACTCAGTGTTGATATGGGTCAGGGGAGCGGTCCTATTAATCACTTTCACTCCCTATATCATATGCCTTTTGCTCCGTATGCTATATCCCCTGTCCTGCAGGATTTGAGGTGATTGCGTCTAATTCTGACTGTTGGTAGTGGTCAATTTGTGCATTATGTTCTCAATAGGTCGGATATACAACCTATTTGGCACAGATTTACGCATCATCCGTTCGTGGAAGGATTGGGGAATGGGAGTCTCCCCGTAAAGAACTTTAAAGATTATCTCGTGCAGGATTATCTTTACCTAGTACGTTCATATCTGCTCAGTGCGCTCATATTCCATTGATCACGAGGCTCATACATCTCTTTACAGGTCCATTTCGCACGAAGCAATGCTCTCGCTTCCTACAAAGCTCGCACAATGGAATCCATAGCCGCCGTAAGTCACCTCCCCTTCTATCAAGATGAGCATGCATATAGCTAATGCCGTACCAGTCTGCAAGAATAGTCCTACACATCAACACCGAAACAGCCCTCCACATCGACTACTGCTCCAGCTTCGGTCTAACCCGCGAAGAAATGGAAGCAACCCCCGAAAAACAAGGTCCGTCTCTTGCTCCCTTTCCTTCTAGCCATCAATACCTAACTAAGAATCCTGTATAAAGCATGCGTAGCCTATAGCCGCTATATCCTCGACATAGGCCAATCCGAAGACTGGCTAGCACTCCAAATGGCTCTCGCCCCCTGTCTGATCGGCTACGGCGCAATTGCGCGTCGTCTCTATGACGACGATGATCATACCGTGAAGGGGGAAGAGAATAATAGGTATTGGAAGTGGATCGAGAATTATGTGGCGGAGGATTATGTGACTGCTGTTAAGACTGGGTCTGGTAAGTCTTCATTTTCCTCTCCTTTCTTCTCGAGTCAATGGCTACGGGGTGCTGATTTGAGGTTGTTGGATAGTATTATTGGAGGAACATATGCATCAGGTTTCACCGAGTAGAGTGGAAGAGTTGGTGCAGATTTTCAAGAGGGCGACGGAGTTGGAGATTGGGTTTTGGGATATGGGATTGGGGAGTGATTAGAAATTTCCAGGGTTGAAAAGGTTCGTTTATTGATGTTGTCTTCTCCCTATATATGTGCATATCTTTGCACATATCGGATTTCAGGTTTAGATGAATGGAAGAGTCGTCCAGCGTCTACCTAGGTACATACTACACTGCGCCTAGGTAGTACATAGTCATACAAAAGAAAATAATAATATTTATCCAAGAAATCATATTAAACAAAAACTATCCGAAGAAGAATTCTCCAAGAATACTCTCCACCAATGCTTTAGGTATAATTCGCCCATGCAGACAAGACAAGCTCAACGATCCCCCATCAAATCAGATTTAAAAAGAAAAAAAGGGAGGTCTTTTATCTATCATAAAAGTAGACAAAAGAAAACGGAATGAAGAGAAGAGCTGTAGAGGTAGTGAGGATGATAATGATTCTAAGAAGGAGAAAGATTGTAAATCTTCTGTCGATGTGGCTGTCAGGGGCTGTTTGTTCATAAGTCCTTCTGTAGATCGATTATCACATGGTATAATTCTTTCGCCGAGTCTGCATTTCCAACCTATAGATCGAGATGTTAGTGAAAAGACTCCATATGTTGGAGACGGAGGCGGTTGACTTACTCTGAGTAGCAAAGGTACGGTCTTCCCATCTTCCACACTTGCCAGATTCAACTGCTTCCCCTTGGGCTCTGCTCCGTCCACTTCTCCAACCGGCATACCCCTAAAGATAGGCGAATTGAGCATCACACGCAACACTCCATCAGCACGCATGATCATACGTGCAGTCTTCTTCTTCTTCTTTTGGGCATCGTCGACGTCGCCGACCTCAGGAGGTTCTTTGACATTGACCTTGAATGTACCCACGCCTCGCTCTTTCCATTCTTTGTTCGTGAAGTGGAATAGTTTCGCTTTGCAGGAGAAATAGGTCTTTTCCTCTTCTTCGCCGGTCTCGACTGTGTAACTCATTAGTACAATTCTCGGTTTTTTTTAAGGGCATGGATACATACTTTGCTGTTCGAAGAACCGTTCGTCTTCCTTCTCCTTCTCAAAGCCAGCTGGTATCACATTACCCTCTTCTTCCTCTTCCTCCTCGTCTGAATCTCGATCGGCGCCAAATGGTTTCGCCGTCGTTGAACCACCCAAACCTGTTCCAGTAGCTGAAGCAAAGCTGCTTAACTTCGTTGCACTTCCACCGAATCCTCCACTGCCAAACCCACTTCCGAACCCAGAGCTTCCCAGGGATGCAAATCCAGAAGTGCCCGTGGTGGCAAATGGAGAAGCACTAGAGGTGTTGGAGGTTAGGCTAAAACCACTTCCGGCAGGCTTTTCCGTTGATGTTGTAGTTGCTTTACTGAAAACCGACGCTGTTGAACTTCCCAAAGCACCAAAGGGTGACTGTTCTGACCCTGCGAACGAAGCTAGGCCGGATGAAGCGAATGCCGATGAGGATGTAGTTTGTGGTTTGGCGTCCTCACTTTCTGACGACTTGGCGCCTAATGATGCAAAGGGTGAAACGGCAGAAGTGTTTAAAAAGCTCTTTGGTAGAGATGTCTGCATCGAGAATGTCAGTAAATACCGCATGTCCAGATCATTAAAGACCAATTACCTTCGTAGAAGCTGCTCCCTCAGCAGCGGCCAGTCTATCCTTTGAAGCGTCGCGATGTCTCTTCGTCTCACGCTCTTTCTCATTCTCTTGATTAGCCTTCTCTTCACTTTGCGCGCTTGCGCCATTTTCTTGTAATTGATCCAGACTTCTTTTCTTCTTTGGACTGAGTATGTGCGCCGAGGCATCGTCCTTGTTCCCTGTCGGCTCTGGGGTGGTAGTCCGTTCAATATCGATTTTCGTCCAGTTACCGTCATCGTTTGTATCACGCGACCTCTTTCTGCGATGGCCGCTGTCAGTTTGTTGTTCTGTTGTTCCTTCTTCAGCTTGGAGGTCATCATGAGACCTCTTCTTTAGACGACCCCGATCGGCATTTTCAACGTCATCGTCTGGCACTGAAGGGTTTCCATCAGATGTTATCCGCGTCTCCTGGAGTTTTCTTCGCACTGGGCGCTCGGGTTCCGCAGCATCGTTATCAGAAGCTGTTACTGCGTCTTCCTTGATGAGGTCGATTTCATTGTGAGGTGCAGCGGGGACGTCCTTGTCTTCCGAGGCGGCAGACATCGTATCCAGAGTAGACCGTGACTGACAGCTTGAGCGGAGTGAAAAGCGACCAGAAGTGAAGTCCAGACAAAGCGACGAAATTGTACGGTTTGAATGACTGACCGCGACAGCGTGATAGTATGTTAGATTCAATGGCACGGGGTGAGTGATGGATTGACGCGAGGGCTTACCCTACCAGTTACTGTTGACTTCCCCTCTTCGGGTATCTTACACCGAGAACCTGTGTCGAGAAAGGACAGCGAGAATGAAGAGAAAGGAAAAATAAATGCAGTTGTCGAGTGACAGTTGTTGGACATAGGTACGATCCCTAGAAACTGGCACGAGGAAGCCTACGTAGGATTGAATTTCGTAGAGCAAACAATAGCCAGAAAAATATAATCGCCGATTTCGCTCCTTTTTTCTTTTCTTATTCAAACAAAAAACCGCTGTTTGTATTGGCTCTGAATATGTGTATCCGGGTCCAATTGTGATAATCTTGAATAGGTTACCCCTCGGTGAGTCGCTGGGCGAAAATTACGAGCCGACCGGACGAAATTGAAGGATTGTTTCTTGTCTGGTTGAGTGACTCGGACAGACTCCGAGAAACAATTGCTTTTTTTTTATAATGGAGATTGATCGACGGAGTGACGATTCTTATCTGAATGAAAAAGTGGTGGAAATTCGAGGCGTGTAACGAGTGTGTCGACAGCAGAGAGGAGAGTGATCGGTGTAGTGGTTGTATGTATCACAAAGGTTGGAGCTGGTGGTTTGTTGTTCATGAGTTGTGGTGGTTGATGCGTGACCAACGCTAACTAATATGCCCCACGGCAACGCATGACAACAACAATTTATTCTATGTTTCGAGAAATAGTTTTATTCGGACTACTTATACATGATACATATTATGGACGGGATGAGATACAAACATAAATATGGCAGATAAAGGTCTGTTCAAAGGTCGCATAAGGGTATCTCCTGATGGTGATCAAGAGATTGATACATAGACAGCAAAGCAATTGAAAGCGGTTGCTTAACTGATGAAGCAGAGGCAGCCAATCGAAATATAGAAGACGAGCAATGGGTAGACAGCAATACCAACGCGATTGCGAAGGACCCCTGAGCCACCGAGAATACTGACTCCAGCGGCGAGAGACCACGCAATCAGAACGAGGTAGACTGGGATTCGCACAATCATCGGGAGACCCAATGCACTGAGAAGAGCGGCGATGACCAGAGGGAACAAGGTGTATCCGATGATGCATACAGATTGAAAGAATGAGCTGTATGAAGGCGATTAGATAAAGTCCCTGCCTGTTAAGGACCTGCATATGAGACTTACATATTTCCTCCAAGCAACTTGATCTGCAATGTAACAATGGCCTCGCCGATCCACACGATAGAGAAAACTCCGGAGAAAACGAGAGACGATTGATCGCCATGAGCCCGCATGGAGAGGAACATGCTGAGTAGTAAGCAGAAAATAAGAGGGCCCCTGTAAACACAACTGTCAGTCACTCTTCCTGCGTCAATACGGAGACAGAAATACCATAAATCCCAATCCCGTAACCCTTCACTCATCCCACTCTGAAGCACAACATCCGCATCAGGCCATCTCCCCACCAAACCACGCAGATTCCTTCCAAACCCAGCAGCCGTAGGAGTTGTAGCAGCCTCCCCTCTCTCCGCAGCACCGCCAATACCACCACCACCTCTAACCAGAAGACCACCAAGCAAATACTTGGGCCAGAGAACCTGTCTCATCTTCTCCCATACCGCCAACAGATCGCGAGATAGTGTTTCCCATACCGTCTCGTCGATGGTGTTTTGCGGCGCGCGACGGTCTTCGCCGGGGATAGAGGATGTGAGGTAATTCGAGGAGAAGCCGCCCATACCACCGACGCCTCGCGAGGAAGAGGATGAGCCTGCATTTATGTCTGATTGGATGTTTCCGGTTAAAGGTGTTGTGTCGGATGTATTCAATGGATCGTCGGCTTCGATGGCAGCTTGTAGAATATTAGCCATGATAACTCACTTCGATAATTATAACTATGAGCTAAACGAACCGTCATCCGCATCAATAAGGTCGTTATCAAGAAGATCATCATCGTCGTCAATGTTGATATGGGACGCCATTTTGTTCTGTCGCAGTTATAAGTCGTGTTTCGCCCGCAGGCAACCAGCCAATAGCTGGATCTCAATTCTCGATATTGCTTACAGGGTCAACGTCGATAGCTGGGCTGTCCGTCAGAGTGAAAATTCCGTAAAAAGATCTTTACAGGCGTGGGAGTCAGATAAGAGCTTCCTTGACGGGTTGACCAAATCGTGCATTGGATGTTTGACGGAGAAGCTAGAGTGGCATTTCTGGGCTGTCCCCAGCCATGTAAGACCCGCGCGCTTACGTACTTAGCCGCATCAACACCATAAGTTAACTATCCCCCGGAGAGCATGAAAATGATCATTGATGTATTCACAGATATCTATATATGTGATCGAAATATCCCAGATGCAATCGATCTAACAGATCAACGCCGTGTCATGCATACAATAAATACAAGAGAGAAAATATGGTACAAGGAAGAGATTTACAAGATGCTGATAGATAAATAGTCCTCCATCAGAAGTCATCTCAAGCTCAATCATACGAATAATGATGACTCAACGGACGTAACACCGAACTTTGGACCTTCTTGGCAACTTCTGGATTCGAAAACTTTCTCAATTTGATCGCCAATGGTGCAATCCAGTCGCGATCTGCCTTGGTCATTGTATCGGCATACTGGGTCCCGAGCACCTTGTCCAATAGCTCACGGAACTTGACCATGAATTGAAGCGCAAGGTAGCCGTTGATGGTTTCCGGAGAGTTTGGACTTCCCGTCGAGTAGTATTTCACTGGTGAATCGAGCACTTTCTCCATCGATTCGTAGAGTCGGTTCGCATGTGGCTCGAGGCTGGTAATAACCTTCTTCTGTAGTGACCACCTCATATTACGGCCCATGATCGTTAGATTTGTCGTATTCGGGTCAATATCCTCTAACCCTCTGAGGACAAGGAGCCATTGAGGATTTTCAGTCAGGACAGTCGAAAGCTCAATAAAATTCATTAGTGGTTTAGGATCCGGTAGAGGGAGATGCTCCTGCATGAGGGACAAAAAGCTCTGCGCAATGAGGAGCACATTAGGGTTTGTCCTGTCGCGGAGACAGCAACTCATGGCGATATGAAGTGCCTTTCCGTCCAACCGGCCAGTAGGAACCATTTGTTGACGAATTACGTCGAGAGCAGTTTGACTAGATCGCGAGATTCGAAGTAACCGCAAGTATGCATAGAAGTTGCCTGGATCCGGTTTTATATTGTAACCGTCACGGTCCAGAGTGAAAAGGTTCCAATAGCCTCTGCCTGGAGCTGTGCCTTTGGTCAAAAGTCGGCATACCGTCAAGATAATGTGAAGTACCCTGTTATCCGGCACAAGAAACGAAGGTCCGCCTTCGCTGTTGACTTCTTCTACCGGATCAAAGACATCTTCGAGATCTTCCACAAAGTCTTCCGTATTGCTACTTTCTTCCTTTGCAGATAAAATATCTTCGGACTCCTCCGCGTTACCCACTTGTTCCTCCAAAGGCTGCCAGGACGTATAATTATATTCATTTTCGCGCTCTTCCCGCTTCTTGCTGAGACGTACGGCAGCTTCCCATTTTCCTTGTTTGGAAGCTTTCATTGGCGCATTCTGTGGTTTGGGAACCAGGATGGGAATATCCATTGTTTGCTTGTACAATGCAAGAGCATTGTACGTATTTAGCTCATCCATGGGGTCAATGAGTACCCAAGCCATTATACTAACAAGCTCCCCATCAAGAGCCAGCTCACCCTTTCGCCACTGGTTTATGACATCTGCCCACAATCGCTTCGCATCAAGAATAAGCGTTTCACGTTTTTCCTTTCTAAGCTCCATTTGGTCCGCTGGGATCTCTTTTAACTGGTTATCGCAAGAGTCGAGAAGAGCCTGCAATATCAAACCATAGGTTTGTGCTGTAGGTTTATGGGGTCCAGCTTCTGGAAGATCGCCCACGACATTCCATAATGTTTCCATATCGTGATATGTTCCGCACACCTCGAGCATGGCGTGATAATGATGATGAGTAGGTTCGATATCTGAGTCGGGATCCAATAACTGCCGATAAATCTTGTAGGCGAGCTCAACAGGTTTCACGCCAGATTGGCGAGACTTTCGACAGAGTCCTTTCAGCATGATAGTGTACGTATGGGATGTCGGGGCCCGCGCCCTTTTCTTCATCTGTAAGAAGTTAGAATGCGTTATAGCAAACAGAATGAGACTCGGAAAGTTTGAAGCACGTCCTTACATCATTATAAAATCGAAAAGCCGCTAGAGGCGCGCCTCTGTCAAAACAATAACTGAAAAGCCTGTTCCATGCTGCGGACGTCTCCATTTTCATTGCCTCGGCTCGTCGTAACATTGCAACAGCTAACGGAACTTGGTCTGACTGGAGAAGTATGCCGATCCGAATTCCCAACTCTTTAGGATCCTTCAACCAGTTCAGTTCTCTCGAGACAACGGTCGAGTTGACACCAGCAGGAAGGCTTTTTCCCTTGGCCAATTCCATCAGTTTATCGACATCCTCTTTATCTCCCACGACCTCTCTTCGTTGCTTTCTCTTCAGTTTCCGATTGTAGTTGTTGGATTCTGCCAGGCGCATATTACGAAGCACTGCTCTCATCGGTATACGGGCCTGTTCGGATTCAGGTGGGGCGTCGATTGATGCAAAGTGTTCTCCATTTTCAGCGTCCAAAGATCGTGGCTGTGGAACATAAGACGAATAGTTTCTGCTGATGTTATATGTCGTATGTGATGAAGCGCCGAGTCTCGATCGCCTATCAATTTGTAATCGCTTGCCGAAACGAGCACCAGTACCTAGGTTCCGTATGAACCCATTGCTAGAGCGGAGCATTGCAGCGTGCATATGTGACAGCGCTAGAAATGGTTGCTAATCTATCTTCCTCCAGCAAGAAGACCGAGTAACCTCCGCAAGCTGGGTAAAATGTTCGAAGGCGGTCGGAGGATATCAAGAGCGTTATACACAATTGTATGGCTGAAGGAAGATTAACCAGAGTAAACGTTCGGACAGGGAAGATAGAGAGGATTATGGGTTGGATCAAAGTTGTTGTTGCACGTCTGAGGATTATTCGTTGACGGAGAGAGTGGCAACCAGAAAAAGGGACAAATAGAAACCAGGACCGCACGCGCACAGTCCAGACAGATAGCAAACAAGGAATAGAAAATAAAAATTGCTAATATCAACAGCAAGAACAAGTCTGATGCGAAATAGTGAGACCAGGTGTTTTCACTGAGAGGACAGAGCAGAGGCGTAGCTCTGGTACAAAATACAGAAAATTTCCAAAATGGTAAGAAACTCCGGCTCCTATTATCTGTCGCGCTAAACCCCGTTTGTCAGAACCGTACTACCGCCTGCCGCTAGTGCTGATTTTTGCCGCCGTCCCTTCTTACTTAAAAGATTCGAAATCTCTTCGAAATTTTTTCTTGCCTCTTGACGCCAACTCCTTCTCCCTTATTTCCTCCTCTGCCCTTTCATCTCTTGTTTCCTTAATTAGTCTTCAGTATTGGTGTCTTTCTCGAGATTCCACCACCGAGTGTTTGTCTATCTCTATTACACAGTTTCCCACGTTTAACAGACACATCACCCTGAATCATGTCTTATCGTGGCGGCAGCAGCGGTGGCTACGGTGGTTCCCGTGACAACTATGGAGGAGGTGGTTATAGGTATGTATTCAGACATGAAGAACTCGATGTTGAATGACGAAATTACGAATCAGACTAACACGCTCATTTAGAGGACGAGGTGGTGGAGGTTACTCCAATGGCCATGGCGGCTCCAACGGCTATAGCAATGGTGGTGGTTACGGCGGCAGTGGTGGTGGTGATCGTATGTCCGCTCTGGGTGCTGGCTTGAAAACTCAAGACTGGGGTTAGTATTCTGTCCGAAAGAAAATGTTTATGTTGTTGTACTGACTTTTGTTTCATACAGATCTTTCCACTCTCCCTAAGTTCGAGAAATCTTTCTACAAAGAGCACGAGGATGTGACGAATCGTTCTCAAAAAGATGTCGACGCTTTCCGTAAAGAACACCAGATGGCTGTCACTGGCAGGAATGTTCCTCGCCCAGTCGAAACTTTCGACGAGGCTGGTTTCCCTAACTACGTCTTGTCTGAGGTCAAAGCTCAGGGCTTTGCAAAGCCCACTGCTATCCAGTCTCAGGGATGGCCCATGGCTCTCTCTGGTCGCGACGTTGTTGGTATCGCCGAAACCGGATCTGGAAAGACCTTGACATACTGTCTTCCTGCTATTGTTCATATCAACGCCCAACCCCTTCTTTCTCCCGGTGATGGACCCATCGTCCTCATTCTCGCACCCACTCGTGAGTTGGCCGTTCAAATTCAGACTGAAATCAGTAAATTCGGACGTTCATCTCGCATTCGCAACACTTGTGTTTATGGTGGTGTCCCAAAGGGCCCTCAAATCCGTGATCTCAGCCGTGGCGTTGAAGTGTGCATTGCCACTCCTGGTCGCTTGATTGACATGCTTGAAGCTGGCAAGACCAACCTTCGCCGTGTCACATATCTTGTTTTGGACGAGGCCGATCGTATGCTTGACATGGGTTTCGAGCCTCAAATCCGCAAAATCATTTCTCAGATTCGCCCTGACCGACAGACCTGCATGTGGTCCGCCACTTGGCCCAAGGAGGTTCGTCAACTCGCCAGCGACTTCTTGAACGATTTCATTCAAGTCAACATTGGTTCGATGGATCTTTCTGCCAACCACCGTATTACCCAAATTGTCGAAGTTGTTTCCGACTTTGAAAAGCGCGACAAGATGATCAAGCATCTCGAAAAGATCATGGACGACCGCAAGAACAAGTGCCTTATCTTCACTGGTACCAAGCGCGTCGCCGACGACATTACTCGTTTCTTGCGCCAGGATGGATGGCCAGCATTGTGTAAGTTTCCTCCACTTGAATGCAATCGATCAGCCTCTAATATATACAGCTATCCATGGTGACAAACAGCAAAACGAACGTGACTGGGTCTTGCAGGAATTCAAGAATGGCAAGAGCCCGATTATGGTTGCTACTGATGTGGCTTCCCGTGGTATTGGTATGATTACAACTTGACTCCCTTCCCCTTCCTTTCTTTTCCTCTGTTCTGCCTCTGGCGGTTTTTATGCTCGACATTGTCGAGTTCTAACCCGTAGTGACGTCGTGTGACATATGGCACGGTGCCTTTTCTCTCTTCAGACATGTTGGTCGACATGACTAGTCCAGGCTTTTTTCGGGTTCGACCTTACTGGCTCCTAGCCAGGAGGACCTTGGACTCACAGTGCAGTTTTAGCGGATTTGCTTCATTTACTTTTCAGGCTCTTATATCATTTCTGGGATATTTTCCAGAGCCACGGAAAGTTTTATTGGATTTCGGTTCAAGCTGCATACTATCCAAGGTCGCTCAGGACCGTGAACATTGCCAGCCCATGGGCTAACTGAATTAACTTGGTGACGATCCAAGAGAGGAGTGCATCAAGTCTTAGTCTTCGCGCGACTGACCAGGGTCCAGAGGTCATGCCGCTTGAAATGACTGCGTTAGTTTTGCTAACATGTGTAATTCTTAAGACGTTCGCGATATCACTCATGTGATCAACTATGACTATCCCAACAACTCGGAGGATTATGTTCATCGTATTGGTCGTACTGGCCGTGCCGGTGCTAAGGGAACGGCCATTACGTTCTTTACCACTGACAGTAAGTCAACCCTTAATTTTTATTGTCTGGGTGGAACTAACTTTTTTTGCAGACTCTAAGCAGGCTCGTGATCTTGTCACCATCCTTAGTGAGGCCAAGCAGCAAATCGATCCTCGCCTGCACGAAATGGCTCGCTACAGCGGTGGCGGCGGTGGCGGCCGAGGTTGGGGAGGTGGTCGTGGTCGTGGTGGCTATCACCGCGGCGGCGGCGGCGGCGGTGGTGGTTACACTGCTTCCAACTCCGCTCCTCTTGGAAACAACCGACGCTGGTAGACGAGTTGCTTTCACGTATTATCCATTGCCCATTCCACGGCCTAGCCGACGTAAAAGAATCTCGACATCAGCATTCGACTGGACGGGTTCAGTGTTTTTAATTCGGAAAATATGGCGTTTGCAGGGTTATTTCGTTTGATAGACTGACTACTTTGTTACGTTTACAGACATTCGGTGTTTGACCGGACATCTTGATTTTTTTTTTAGATATGCACAATGCAAGAGTAATATTGATTCATCTGTGCCACTGTAGCACGTGTAGCCCTAATATACCTAAGCGCTATGTGTCATACTTAGCAGTTCGTCCAGCCACGCCAAGTCAATAGGAGCAGAATCTAGCCTACATGAATACCAAATAGTCTCGACTCGACGTCAAATTTAAGCTACGAGGCTAATTCATAGTGGTACATGTAGTCTTCCCGAGTAGCTCAGGTACCAGGTGACCCGTGGACAGTCCTGGATTGTATGTACATTGATGAATGGGACAGGGGTACCTGGTAGGAAAGTACACACATAGCTTGATCTATATTCTATTAATGATAAATGTCTACCTGGTAGTCACAAAGACCAGGATCCCTAGTTACTGGAGCAGGTATGTAGCCGTTTAAGTGGCTTATATATATATATATATAATTAGCCTGTACCACCAGTTGACTCGACTAGTATAAATACATATCCTAGAGCACACGAAGAACATGCATGGAACCACGGACAAAGAATTAGAGCAGTCCTCGATGCAAGGTTGGTTACTAGTACGACTAATACTAGTTGAATTGATCGGATTGGTATGCATGGGCTAATCAGCGGAAGAGTTGTACTACATTGAGTACATGGATACCTATCCCCAGTGGACATTAACTACGTTCTACATACATAGTCGGAGGCGTAGGTAGTGTAACGACGGTGGAAGCTTGGCTATTTTATGGACTATATACTTCTATACATTGTATACAAGATATAGTATATATACATAGTATATATAGTGATCAGCTACGGTACACATGCTTAAAGAGAATCAGAGATCAGAAATAAGAAAAGAAACCGTCTCTCCTTCCCGGCGCCGGACTGGATACTAAGAAACTTCGGCCTTTGGACGGTCTACCCGCTGGCCCCTGTCTAAATAAATCCACAGTCAGACTAATGAGCAGGGTCCGTGATCAGATCAACATGCTCTCTCATTCTCGACTCTTGAATCGAAATAGATTAATAATTCACTCTGTAATAATATGAATCGACATGCACAGCAATCTGTACAAGGAAATACGTTGCGAGAATTAGACTTTTTTTTTTCCAATTGATTTGGACCACAAAGTCCAAAATAGAAAGTAACAGACGGAGAAATTTTTGAGAGTGTAACATTATCTATCAGGCGAGGATTAATCATGACTTGATTGGTTTGATATGGGCTCATCTGCATAATCTCACCCCTCATTTCGTGTCTTTTCTTTTCTTTTCTTTTTTTGGTTGTGTTTTTTTTTTTTTTTTCGCTCGGAGACAGCGGACTTGATCGGACAAAGGTGGTCGACTTCCTGATAGAGATAATAGAGATAACGAAACTTTCAGAGCGGAACTTGCCGTCTGTAGAGTTTGGATTGTTGGATTGTGGAAGCAATGAGTCAGCAGTCTTCATTGGCGACGTTGGTTCTGCTCCACTGATTTGGTGATTGAGATTGAGAATATGGTTCACACGTATGTTGTATTGCGATTGTCGTGATGCTTCTAGGGTCTGTACTCGGTGCAAGTGCTGAACGGTGTTTCGGTACTTCGGCAAAGCAAGTTTAAGGGGCTTCATTTGGGTAAGTTTTATGCTTTGTACATGTCTCGTACAGGGTCCACTGCACGGAGTTTCGGAGATAAATGCTGATTACTTCTAAGCTGAGAGAAGAGAAACCTTGGTTCTGGTGGTTTGAATGGAGATAGATAATGAGAGGTGTGTGTGTATACGAAAGTATATTCTATTGACTTTCCTATGATATACTCCGTAAAAATAAATGGAATCGGTGACTTGCCGGTACATGTATCTGTAATACCAGAGAAACCCTGTCGTCGTCAATCATTCTGTCAGTGTATACTATGTATACTATGTAGGTTATACATAGTATACCAAGCATACCATGTATATAGTATATAGCTGAGATAGATATGCACAAAGCCCAAAACGGCATCAAATGTACGTATCGACCATTGTTGCCTTTGTATTGTTCCCTCCGATCCACTGTTCATACTTTATTGTACGTACATACGGACAAATATCCGTCATACGTATCCGACACGGAATGCAAAATACTACCTTACTCTTTGCTCGGTGCTGTTGCGATGGAAAAATCATACAAATTTGTGGAATGGCTGATTGGTGTGTTGTGAGGGATGAAGTGATGATATTTTAGTCTGCTGACACAAGCCAATCAGACGGTGGCACATGATCGGTGCGGATCCACTGGTAATGTCACCCTGTATCAAATCATACAAGTTGTAATATACTACATAGTAAGAAGAACCAGATGATATCAATACCAAAGCGGTGAGCATCTCCTTATCAATCATCACCTAACTAAATGGGGCCGAAACTCATATCATCGAGACATCGAGACATCGCTAGCCCAGGGATACAGTCTAGATCTTATGATCGTCTCAACTACGAGCGCGAACGGGATAACGGAATCCCCGGCATAAGCTCGCCTCCAACTTCCCTTGATATGATTTTAACTTGCTTGTCGCTTTAAAGATCCCCTGTTGATAGTGCCAGCGTTAAGGGTCCGTTTACTTGGTTTGGACTTCGGTAGATGTCTTACTTGCCGCTGATATGGACGGTGTACGTACAGGCCACCGGATGGCTCTGTTGAGCCGCTCCTCCCGCGTACATAGTACATATGTCACTGTATGAGCCAATCGGTCGGAACCACCATGCGGCGCAATTGGCATATGCCATACGACAACCACTCAAAGTGTTTGCAAGTCGATATTCTGTATACAACCAAGGGACCGGAGACTTTGTCGGCTGTTTGACAGTCTGTCACTTGCACGGGAGTACTCCGTACAGACGAGGATCGTTCACGTGAAATCTCGATTTAACCGCAGTGCCAGAGATACGTCACTAGACACATTCAGCTAGCCCGAATGACTCAGGTAAGCGACCTGTATGATGAGAGGCTACGTATCTAGCATGACTGATCTCGACGTAGGGGGCCAGGGTCTATATCCCCGCCCCCTTATCCTTCAAGCTTGCAGTTTCCATGCCGGCATGCTCAATACTCCGTATGTAACCTCTTGATACCAACCACGGGCTGAAACTCGACCGCTTTGCTATTCTCGGCAGTAAGTCCAGGCTATGGGAGATAGAAGTCACGAGTCAGGCAGCGCGCCCCCCACTTTTAATGCTCGGTGTGGCCTGTGATTGGTGGAGGAGCGCTTGCAACAGATACCTTCATAATTACGCGTTCTACTGTACGTAAATCATACATCTCGATTTGTGGAATGCCTGCACACTAGCATACCGAAAAACGTCGATTTAGCCGATCTGCTGGCGCACATACTAGAGCGAGTAGTACGCAGTGCTAGAGCACGGAGTGTGCATTGCCGGTATGAATACGCTAAAAACACACGTTCCTGACTTGTCGTGGCACTATGCCCTTTTCATGACAAGCTGGACGGGACGAGCCATAAGCCAACTCCGTATCTGGGGAAGCTAGGGGAGTTAGCTGTAGCTTGATTCACTAACCGACCTTAGCAGTTAAGGCTGGATCTGTATCACATCACCCTGCAAATGCAAGATGCAGTTATTCAGATTTACGAATAACGACGTAGGATGCAGATACAATTCCATGCTGTGTCGCGTCTGTATGTAGAATTAGATTGAATTGTTTACGGACAGATCAATCAATACGTCGGAGGTGCCGGTACGATACAATGTACAAACACCAAAAAATACACGGGATACTCCTGCCTTAGTAATCAGTCACAGGCTCCTGCCTTCCCAATTTCTACCCATTTCTCTCGCTTTTATTTTTCTATTATTCTCTCTTCCCCCCCACTCCTTTACCAACCTCGCCCTGAACGACTTTGTCGAGAACTCGCTATCTCTCTATTTCATCGATTCCCATCAAGTTTCCATCTTTACAGCATCGCTGCCTGTCGTTCTCGACACGCTCCCATCTGCCAACATAAACAGTTCATCGCGTGTTGACTAGCGTACGCGCCGTCACCGCTTCCCCGACCTGCGCTACGCCCACTTGATCACTAGGCCCGTGCCTAAACCATTCTCAGCAACTCTCTAACTCTGTTGGTGCACGCTACGTTACGACGCTGCCATCTTATCCTTTCCTTAGCGGTCCATCTCGGCACCAGCCCGTACGCAATAATACGTCCTCGATACCATCGCCGGGACTTGAATTCGCGGGTGCCGACCCTGGACTTTTGAAGCTCTTTGTTATCGCGTGCACGGAGTACGCACTGCAGCCTGTACGACACCCGCTTTAACTTTGATTTTCCCTCAGCATTGACGTATCATTACCATTATTCGTCCCGGCTTTGCCACTTGTGATTGAACCGCGCCGTTCTAACTGGTCCATAGATCAATACATCTTCGATCCTTCTGTCGCCATCGGGGAAGAGGCGTCGTGCAATTAATTAATTCTGTTCTTTTGTGTTTTTTTTTCTCCTTTTTTTCTTCTCTTCTTTTCTTTCCGGTCTAGGGTCCAAGGGACAGAACAAGTATTGAGACGCAGCGCAATCTCTTGACCCAAAAAAAAAGAAAAGAAAGAAGGGAGGAAGAAAGGAAGGAAAAAAAAAAAAAAAAAGGGAGAATTCTAGGGAAGAGACTTTGTCCGCCAAGCCAACATTTCCCGCCCTTGACCCGCCCCGGTGCGTGGAAGAAGAAGAGAAGAAGCAGCAACAGGACAAATAGAGAAGCAAGAGAACAGCCACCCAAAGAAGAAGGCCATTGTGGTGGTGTTGCTGTCCTGCTAGACTGGCGTGTCCCCCTGCGAGGTTCTTTCGTCCTTTCTTTCATCTTGTCTTTCAAGACAGTTCATCACTGTGGGGCTCTGCATCTTCGTTGGCCCAACCCGCTAGCTACTAGGACGCCGCGAAGAGATATTACTGCTCCGCTTCAAGCGTCAGCGTACCACCAGCGTCAAAAGAAGGGAACGAACAAAACAAAAGTCCTTTTAAATTATCCCGGATCGCCTCCAGTAAGAAAAAAGCGCCCCCCCTTCAGACCACTGCCAGCCACCCAATCATCCCCCCGTGTATTATCCTCGAAGCTCCACGCGCAGAAATTATCTCCACCGTACCCACGGATCCCACGAGGGCCTGAAGTTGCATTTGGCTTCCTTTCCGAGGCGAACAGCCAATCCGTCTGAACGCTGAACGAACAGCGAGACAAAAAGCGAGCCAAAACCCACTTCGCTTACTCGCTTTCCCCTTTTTCTCCAAGTGTATCCGTCGATTTTGGCCGCTTTTTTAGCCTTCCACGGGCGAAAATTACAGTACCACCAAAGTCAGCCGGTTGCCAACTTTTAATCTCCAACTACCCGTGGGCCCTGGCAAAAATCCCGAATCCAGTTACCCTCGTCCCAGGACTTGGACCAGTTACCTATCCAGGATCAAGTCCCGGTCTCATTTTCAAACTTACGCTGCCTTATCCCACTTGTGGTCAAGCCCGGTTTTTTTCTCTCACTGGGTGTACCTTCTCCCCCCCCCCTCGTGCTGGTACTACGCACAACTAGCACCAAGACTACACCGGACTAGTACAAAGTTGCTCGCCCACCCGCCGCAAACTACGTACAAACTGCAAAGCATTCCCGTCTGGTCAGTTCAGTGGTCACCCTAAAAAAGGCGACTAAAGTCGGATTAAGCCTCGCTGCTTTCTCTTCCCCAAAAAGAGGATCCCCAAGGCTCGTTATCATAACAAATCGCCTGTCGTCCGTGCCTTTCTTAGACTGGCGACCGCGTCGAATCACCCGAGCTTGGTTTAAATCCCCATCAGACAGCGTTTGTCTTGTCTTGTCGTGATCCGTGAACGCTTGTTTTTGGCCGTCGCGTCTGTTCTAGTTTCTTAGTGACTTTCGCGTTTGTACAAAACAACAACACCACCACCACCACCACAACTGCGTTTGTGGCACGGTCAATTGGGGGGAAGCTCGAGTAGTTTATTCTACTTTGAAAGGTACGCGCGTGGTTTCTTGTCTCGCTGTGTGAGAGCAAGGACTTTTGATTTTTTCAAAAAAGGCACTTTGTTGAAAGGTCCGCATCTGATTACGCGCGATCAGGTTTGCCGCTAGTCGTCGCATATTCTGAACTGTGCAACTTCAGCATCTTTGGACCGTTCTCCGCACGTCCCGACTCTCGACTTTCTTGCTCGTCAGCCCGCATACACGTACATACTCGGGTGCGCCAGTCATGGCTCAAGCAACCAGTTCGTCTACCACCCTGAACGATGGAAAGAATGATGACCATCGCAATCAGTCGAACTTGAAGTCTGACGCGGACCTCCCTATAGATCCATCCATTGCGGCCTCTAGCCCAACTTACCCGCCGCCCTATTCGCCCTACCAACCCCAGGGCCACGACATGTCTCAATACCAGGGACACCCTCCTCCACAGATGTATGCGCGCCCAGAGTGGTCGCATGGATACCCTCATCAGCAACATCCCATGCAGGGCCCTTATAGCTCTCCTGCTCCTCCAACGGTTGGTTCTGCCTCCCCTGCTGCGACTGCAGGGCCGCGCCCAGGTCAGGTACGTTCGTTTGGTTTTGGCGCACGATCTTTCTTATTGTCAAGTGAGAAAAAAAAGGAGAAGACGGATGAGAAAAACTGGAACGATAGAAAATCCTGTCAAATCAATAAACGATCGTGCATGTCATTCCTGGGGCGGCCCATTGTCGGAAGAAGTTCAATTTCTTCTGGCATGTCGCGTCTTTTTTTTTTTTTGTTTTGTTTTTGCGGTCGTCTGATTTATGTGGCTAACCTCGACTTGTTTTTTTTTTCTGGTTATAGGTATATTCCTTCGTCCCTATTCCCGGTGCTCAGCAACACAAGCGCCCACGTCGTCGTTACGAAGAAATTGAGCGTATGTACAAATGTGGATGGAATGGCTGTGAGAAGGCATACGGTACATTGAACCATCTTAATGCGCACGTTACCATGCAGTCGCATGGGAATAAGCGAACACCCGAAGGTATGTTGATTTCTTTTTTTTTTCTTTTTCCTTTCTTTATTCGACGTAATCATAAATCGAAACGATGTATATATGCTAGTCGCATAGTGCTCAAAGGAGGCTAGTGTGACGCCCGCATACTTAGTCGGGTTACACAGCTAGGGCACGCGGGTATCACAGTAGCGCTGCCACCGGCGTCAACGCTAATTATTTAAGCTTGCACTACCTCAACCATCTCGTCCTCTTATTTGCTTATGGATACTTTCCGTCTTACCCTGGACTCGACTAACAGTTTTTCAAAACAGAGTTCAAAGAAATCCGCAAGGAATGGAAAGCTCGCAAGAAGGAGGAGGAAAACCAGCGTAAAGCTGCAGAGGAGCGGGAACGCCAAGCTGCTGCCCAAGCCCAGGCCCAGGCTGGTCAGGTTGAAGGTGGTGCTCCTCCTGATCCTTCTCAAGGAGGACAACCACCCAGCTACGCTGGCGGTGTCCGACCTCAATTACCTCCAATTGGTTATCAGCCTGCCGAGAACCAAGTACCTGGTCAATACGCTCCTGGCGGTGCCGGTGGCATGGTCTACCCTCAGGGTAACGGCCAGATGTACGGCAACTACCCTCACTCGCCTTATGCTCAGAACAACCAGGTGTACCAGCAACGTAAGTAGCTGCTCGCCATTTCAGCCTGACAGTCTTCTCTTGCCTTTCGCCTTGGATTATTACCATACAAGGGCATCGCAGATGGATCCCACGGATTATTATTGCAATGAAATCGTCTCGCGTCGTGGTGCTGACGGCTGAATCTTTCCTTAGCCCCAAACAACCAATCTCGCGATTCTTATCAGTGAAACGGAACAAAAGAAATAGAATGACAGCTTTCTTGCTGTTGTATCACATATCATCTCAAGTCATCACATCTGTCAAATGTGTCTGTCTACCATGATTATATTCCCCCCCCCCTCTTGTTTCTTACCCTTTGTTTTATGTGCATCCTTTCCTCTATCTCCATATGTTTTCATTTTCTTCTTTTCTTGATTCTGTTGAAAGATGTTTTCATTTATGATACCACACCTCTGGCTTTGGTTGAGTCTCCTTATTCTACGCAGAAGAGGGAAGGAGGATGAGTCGAATTTACTCCGTTTCGGGCAGCTCATTTCTGTCTTTTCTATTTCTATCTCTCTCTATCCCTTTCGACCTATATACATGAGACGGGAACATCAGAGAATGGATACACGGCGATGAGGGAAAGAAAGAGCAAAGAGGAAAATAGGGGGATCGGTTAGTTGCTCGATTGCATGCCAAATGAGTTTTGTTGCATTTTGCTTCTTTTTTTTTTTAAACTTGTGAATATTGGCGTTGCTTTTTGTTTATGCGTCTAGTTTTCGACTAAACCATTGGCTTTTCTTATCCCCCGCCCTCTTCTCTTGCTGATTATTTATGTATGTGTTATGTTGCAATGGTTCATCAAGCTCCCCAGACCAATTCATATTTTCTTCTCTTCTTCGCTCTCGAGTTTCCTATCTCTCTTATCGCCACTTCATGCATCGCGTCAATTCCATTCATCATTACCGACAATGAATAGATTGAACGGTATTGTGAGTCTGATATGCTCGGAATGAGTAAGTACATCGTACATAGGTATCGAAGTGTAACCCAAGCCCTAGTTGAAAGTACCTAGATACTTCAAACTAAACTAGTAACTTATACATACATACGTACGTACCGGAAAATAATTAAGCTATTTCACTAGTGCCAGTTACACAAAATACTTTAAATTTTCTACTAAAATAGGCTGAATCTTTAAATCGTGGCAAAAGAAGAGTCCTTAGCTTAGCGTTTAGATCAGATCTTATTGGTTGATATGGGCTTAATGACTCACGTGACCACGCGTACTTATTTTCGCGATTTTAGACTTGGACTTTAGTTCTTATCCGTTATGCTTGTGAAGAAGGTCATGGCAAGATTGAACGTGGGGATGAGCTGATTGATTATTCTGTTTTTGTAACGAAAATGATATGTCTGCGATCGAGGAGAAGGAGCAGACTGCATCATCAGCTGTCGTCGGCGGTGACTTGATTGATCCGCTCACTGATCCATCTAGAACGAAAACCCCATCCTCGTCATCCAAAAGAGCACGCAAACCCAAACGCAATGTCGCCGATAATAACAATACCAAACGAAAACCTTCCGCCCTTTGGCCGGAGGTATTTAAACAACTCTCGCAAACGCATCGTGCGCTGAATTTGGTATATACGTTTTGTTGTACTCGGAAACATCTCGCGACTACGTTTGAGACTATCAAGACGACTGTCCAGGCTCAGATGGGTGGGAGGGAGTTGACGGTTGAGGATGTTGCGAGAATCAAGGTGTTGATTCCGAGGGCTGTGAGGTTTGAGTTTGTTGATGAGGGTGTTCTTGAGGTGTTAGGTGTTGGGGATGATACTACTAAAGAAGGTGGGGGGAAGAGGGATGAATATAAATTGATGAATGTGAAAAGTGCGAGTTTGGGCGGGGGATTCATTCCTGAGGAGCATATTGCACCTACTACTTTGGGTGATGCTATGGAGGATGGTCCACCCGAAACGAAGGATGTATTGCTATTTGAGTTTGTGGATGAAGATCTCAGACGACAGGTACAGCATAGCAAAACCGGTGAACCGACGCGACCTACCAAACGACTTCGAAACGATGAGCTGAAACTGCCCGTTTACAGTCAGAAGCAGATGCTCAATTTGATCGAGAAACGAAACAAGAAATTCTCGGACGCTATTGATGCGTTTTTGGTCAAGTGTGAGGATGAAGGCACAGATCCCGTGGAGCACTTGGAGAGTGAAAAAGTCATACCCTTGCCACCGGCGAGGGAAGAACAACATACCCAAAACGGTGCAAGAGGAAGAAAACTGCCAGATGAGATACCAAAAGAACGCAAACCTATCGCCGAGATTATCACCGATATCAAGAAAATGGATTGGTATACAGCTCAGATTGTCCCCGATGGTCACAGAGTGTTTGATCCTCAGCCGGCGGTGTATGGGGATCTGCACTTTCGGCTTTCGCAGAATCTGGTTAATGCGCTCTATAATGTTAAAGGGATTACTCGGTTTTATTCGCATCAAGCGGAAGCCATAAATAATTTATATGACGGTCATCATGTTATTGTTTCGACGTCGACGAGTTCGGGGAAGTCGTTGATCTATCAAGTTCCCATGCTTCATGAACTTGAGAGAGATCCGAATAGTAGGGGGATTTATATTTTTCCTACTAAAGCCCTTGCGCAAGACCAGCGACGGAGTATGAAAGAGTTGCTTAATTTCATGGAAGGGCTGGACCACGTTATTGTCGAGACGTTTGATGGAGATACGCCTATGAACGAGCGAAACACTATCCGTGACGAAGGCCGAATAATCTTCACAAACCCGGATATGTTGCACGTTACTATCCTTCCGCAAGAAGGTTCGTGGCGGACATTCTTGCAAAATCTTAAATTTGTGGTTGTTGATGAACTACATGCGTATAATGGTCTGTTTGGATCTCATGTCGCTTTTGTCATGCGACGATTGAGAAGGATATGTGCTGCTGTGGGTAATCGGCGTGTTAGGTTTATTAGCTGTTCGGCGACAGTCGCCAACCCCGAGGAACATATGAAGACTATTTTCGGAGTGGATGATGTTCGATTAACTGACTTTGACGGTTCGCCTGCTGGGCGTAAGGAGTTTATATGTTGGAATACGCCGTTTAAAGATCCGCATGATCCTACCTCAGGGCGAGGCGATAGTATTGCTGAAGCAGCTCGGTTGTTCTGCCAGCTCGTTCTGCGCGGAGTTAGGGTTATCCTGTTCTGCAGGATAAGAAAGCAATGCGAGATAGTCCTCGCAGCAGTTCGCACTGAATTTCAGACCCTGGAAAGACCGGAAGTAGCGAACCTCGTCATGGGTTATCGTGGTGGCTACAGTCCACAGGACCGCCGTCAAATCGAAAAGGAAATGTTTGACGGAAAACTGATGGGAGTTGTTGCTACGAATGCACTCGAACTGGGTGTTGATATTGGCTCCTTGGACGCGGTGATAACGTTGGGGTTCCCCTTTTCAATATCAAATCTACGACAACAAAGTGGACGAGCTGGTCGGCGAAACAAGGATTCATTATCTGTCCTGATCGGAGATGGATTTCCGACCGATCAGCACTACATGAGTAATCCAGATGAGATATTCACCAAACCGAATTGCGAGTTACAGGTTGATCTGACTAATGAACTTGTGCTGGAAGGCCACGTTCAATGCGCCGCGTTTGAAATGCCTCTCAAACCAGAGGAGGATAAAGCCTACTTTGGCGAGCAACTTGAAGAATTCGCATCTACGCGTCTTATCAAAGATGCTCTGGGATACTATCACTGCAATGAACGGTTTCGGCCAAAGCCGTCAGATTTCGTGTCTCTTCGAGACATGGAAGGCAGTTCCTTTGCAGTTGTCGATACTACGCACAATCGAAACATTGTCCTCGAAGAAGTCGAAACGTCACGAGCATTTTTCACCATCTACGAAGGCGGAATATTCATGCACCAGGGCCAAACGTACATAGTCCGTGAACTTAACCCTGAGAAACGTCTCGCGCGTGTCGTTCAGGTCCAAGTAGACTGGAACACCCAACAACGCGACTACACAGATATTGACCCTATCGAGACCGAAGCCATCCGCCACATTGGCCCTTCTGCACGAGCATACTACGGCATAATCCAGATCCATGCCGTCGTCTACGGATTCTTCAAAATCGATAAACGCGGTCGTGTCCTCGATGCAGTTCAAGTAGATAATCCGCCCATTGACACGTTTACGAAGGGGATGTGGCTCGATGTTCCGAAACGAGCATTTGAGATCTTGGAATCGAGGAGACTCAATATCGCGGCTGCTATACATGCCGCTGAGCATGCAGTCCTCTCATTATTTCCAACGTTCGTAATCTCATTACCGGGTGATGTGCGCACGGAATGTAAAGTCGCTAAAAAGGAGTTGGGCAAGAACCTCAAACGAGCTAATGAAGCCATCTCCTCATCTTCCAGGAAGGAAGTCAACACAACACTCCATCTCCGCATTCAAACCTCATCAACCCGCTCAACCACCGTCTCCAAACCATCCCTCGCAGATAAATCAAAATATATACTAGAACCACCCAGACGTCAACGACCGGCCCGTCTAACCTTCTACGACACCAAAGGCGGCCCCTCAGGCTCCGGCATCGCCCTCAAAGCCTTCGAATTCATCGACTCTTTACTCTCACGCGCAATCCGTCGCATCGAAGCATGTGCCTGCATCACTCCACAGGGATGTATAGAATGTGTCTGTGACGAACGCTGTAAAGAACGGAATGTAGTCATGAGTAAAGCCGGTGCTGTGGTGGTGTTGAAATGTTTGTTGGGTAGAGAAAGTGAGATTGATATTGATGCTTTGCCTTGGGGGGAGGAATACGATGTTTCTGATGCGACGTATCTTCATGCTGGGGAAGGGGAGATTGTGGGTGGGTATGAGACTGTTGTGTTGGCGAGAGAGGTTAGGGTTAAGGATGGTGTTCGGATTTATCCTTGATTATTTTCGCTAGTATGTACTCTCAGATATGAGATGCCTGGTATAAAAACTCAGGATACGAAATCAAAATCCCGAAAGGAGTCTCTCATGCTCAATGTCGCTATGTTCCAGTACCATGCCCAAATGATCGAAACGTAGCCACCCATCTGCACAAAAAACAGCATGCAAATACTTAAGTCCCGAAATGACCAGAACCCCTCCGTTACTTTTCAACATGCTCATAATCATCGTCCACATGATCATATGTAATTGTTTAATAGCACTGCGTCCTGCGTACTACGTACTAGGTCCCGAATCCGGTGAACCACCCTGACTCAATTGCATATTCGCAAACAATGTCTTCAAGTCCCGAATTTCCTCTCTCAGATTATCACGCGGACTTGTCGTTCTCTCTTCCGTCAGTTTGCGTATCTCTTTGATGATATTTGGACATCCTTCCTCGTCTGTGGGATCCCACCATTCTTCGACGGTAGGGTCATTCCAAAATTCAGCTAAAGCGCGGCGCACGCGAGGGGCGAAGACGTATCTATTCTGATGTTAGAAAGGTTTGGAGACGGTATGTGTGAGAGAGAGGACTGACCCGCTCAATTCTATCCGAGCAAACATTCGTCTACTCCACTGCATATGCTTATTATCTCGTGGTAGGAACATTGCCGTTAATATCAGCCAATTGTGTCCTGCGATATCCGTGCCAACCTCCACCTCGGGCCATCGCGCAATAGCTTCGGCATGGTGACAAATACGCAGCGCTATAGTCTGTAATTCCGCACCGTCAGGTTGGCCTGTGATTAGATGAGACTGGTATTTGAACATGAGCTCTGTGCACAGCAAATCCGGCCAGAGGAAGTTCAGGTAATGTTTCGAGTCGCGGTAGAAACGACACACCATATCCGTATCTAAGATATCTTCTGGCCCTTGCAAAGGTACCGCTGGTCTGGGCATGGTGATTTCTTCGCAGTTGTCGTACGCTCTTAAGGATTGATAAATATCTTCAATGACCCTGCTGAGAATATCGTACCCTTCATGAAACTGTTCAAGGCTGATGACTTTATGCGATAGTCTCGCAAAGAGGGATGCATACTCTAGGGCTAAGATTCGCACTCGTGATATGATTGCTGAAAGTTGTAGAATGTGATCGTCCGGGTTCTGTGCCGCAAGAGCAGCATCATGTTTCTCTAATGACATGTACCATTCACGTTCTAGAATGGCCTCATTCGAGGCGAGAATGCAGGCTACGAGGTCGAATCGACAATGCCACACAAAAAGATATCGATGATTCTTCGTTTCTGTGATCGACTGCGGAGTAAGTAATTCGTGGACCAGTTGATCAGCCGCTTGATGATGATCTACAAGGTTCATGAAGTCTCCAATAGATTCCTACACTAGTCAGTAAGAACAAAACCGAGGGCCTATCGATAAGAAATCTCACCTCAAACGTTGACAGCTGGAGAATAGTAGCTAATGTAGCCTCGCTATGCTTTTCCCCGGATGCAAGAGATTTCCGTAGCAATGTGATTGATTGATTGTAAAATTTCAAAAAGTCGTTCAGTTTTCCCTGAGGATTTTCCAGGGTATAGTGATACGCAGCAAAGCCCACCACTGCATACAGCAACGGCTCATACTCAAGAGCCAAATCTATTAGTGTACCTCGGAAAAACAGGTCAGTCGTATAATTCATGGAATAGTGGTGGTGATTTATCCTTTTTTGGTGATAGTTCAGGAAGAATTGAACATCATCCTTGAGCCTTTTGTGCTTGAAGATATCCGGCAGATTGCGCGCTGGTTGTTGCACAAACCGACTCCTGTGCTGTCGAAAGGCCGATGAAGAAGTCGATGATTGAGAGGATGACACCCAATCCGAGGCCGGTGATGAAGATTTCGTTTTGCTGGCAGAAGACGTTTCGGAGGAATTTCTTGGTCGAAAGTTGTTGTTACTCGGAGAGTGCGCCCCCATCTTTTGAGCCGATACCGAGTCAGAAGACATCTTGGGCAAGCTACGAGGTAGCTCTGCAGTCTCATCCTCGTCTGGAATCACACCCAGACTCCCGCCCTGGTCCACATTCTCTTCATCTGACGATATACTCTCATGTGACAGCTGTCTCCGAGATTTGGTACGACTGGCGATTCTTGCGTTGGGCTGAGGGTATTCACAGGGTCGATTACCCTTTTTACATTCTACACAAGGTCAGACATATACCGCTGATCAATCCAGATGGAAACATACTCTCGCATACCGGGCGACCCTCATCGCACTACATAGTGAACCGATTAGCCTTGTAATCAAACTGCTTTCCACCTCACCCCAGTATTCACCTTGACCCGACGACTGCGACACGTGAGACATCCACTCCGCGTCCGCTTATGTTTTCGTGGTTCCGTAGGGATCGGTTGCTGCTGTTGAAGCTGTGGTGGTAACTGTGGTTGTGATTGACCTTGGTGTTGAAGCTGCTGTTGTTGTTGTTGAAGCACGGGAAACGTTGGACGAGGAATGGGAGCTATTCCAGCCTGCGGGTTGCGATCGTTGTTCCAATAGAGTAGACGGTCTGGAATATGACCAGAGCCGAGCAGAAGTGGAAACGCCGGATATGAATCGGGTTGGCTGTATTCAGGCATATGCGCGTCCGGAAAGCTAACGTTGGGCGAGCCATGGGGAAAGAAGTGTTGCGCCATGGAATTTATGATTGCCTTATTGTTCGATTATTGCATGTCAAGTTTCTCTTGCTCGATCGAAATCTAAAGCAATTGAGCCTGGTGAATGCTCTGAATTCAATCAAGTTCCGTGCGTCATGGGTTATGTTGCAGTGATAGAAAGAAGCGAAATCGGCGTTGTTCGTGGATGCTCCGCAGGTTGACGTGCGGTGTTTGTCAGTGTATGCGTTGATTCTAAGATTGAGTTGAGATGACACAAAGAATCATGACAGCTGTTCGGAAGTCAACGGAAGACTTGAGACGAATTATCCAGGGCGTTTCTTGTCTCCGGCAAGGAGAGAGAGGGGGAGCGAAGAGGGCATACGACGAAGCGGAGGGGACGGCAGGACATGAGAATGAATTGACGATACGTATATTTCAGAATACGGTAGAATAGTTGTATCATATATGGGTAGGATGCTATAAGTCAGTGGCCGAGTCTGGTATTGTTGTCGTTGTTGTTGTCGAGAGCAAGAAGGAAATTGGATCTGAGATGATGCATTCCAAAGAGAGAGCGACTCGGCGGGACGGGGATAGACAGGGCGATATCCGGGTGGATTCACAGAGCCTCGTGCGCACGGTTTCGAGTTTTCTTCTTTGCCTGTAAAGAACAGTGGACCTGAAGCAGAAAGAAGAAGATAACAAGAAGAAAGCTGTGGTATTTACGAGTTGGTTACTATAGTAGTTACTGTTGCAAGGCGCCTGGTTCTAGACTCTCCGCCGATTAACTGGGGCGGTTCACGGCGTCGATCCATATAGTGGACAATTGTCATTCGACATGCGTAAAAGGGTCCTCTCTTTAATTAATAGAGGTTCTTATTAATACTGAACAGCAATCAATAGAATACATGAATGTACTCCGGACACTAGGTGCAGGATAATGCATGTACTGAACACTATCTGTCTCATTCAAAACAGGGCCACTCAGTTGACACCTCGGCTGAATTCTACTCCGTGGTATAAACGGAGGAGACGGAGCAGTCAAAGAACCAAGAAGTATATTTACCAGCGATCCTCCCAAAGACAAAGCGAGAAGAAGAAAGAAAAGGATGAAAAGAGGAAGTCAATTGGGGGTAACACAGTTGGAGCAAAAACAGAAGCCGGAAATAGAATACCGCTGGTAAACCAATCAGCAAAGCAAATCTATACGAGCTAGTTATTTTCAAGCATAGAGTGATATTTTACTAACCAGAATAGGCGTAGGGTGAACTGGTTGTGACATACTGTTACATCTAAAATTACGCATGCTGCGATATACGATAAGATCAACAACACGATAGGACTCGGTCTGGTTTCATTATTCACAAGTCCACAGAGGAGAAATCCGACGATCCGACAATCGATCGTCTCGACCCTACGTGGTATCGACGTACCTATGTAGAATATGAGCCTGGCTATTTAGGTACATGAACTAGCTTGACAATCCTGCGGTGCTGATCGACTCACTGATTCGTCTGATTCATGTATCTAGAGAAAGATCTAATTTTGTCTTTCTCTTTCTTTTTCCTGGGAAAAAGACAGACCCAATCGGCATACACACTTACCGGGGTCGATGCAAATCACTAGTCGGTGCTTGCATTAGCCTCAGCGCAGCTAGACGAGTGAAGAGCAATCAGCAGGTGATGAGAGCAGGGATGATCTGGTTTCTTAAGTAACTAGAAGTAACGCTGCATTCAATGACAGCACGTAACTCCAAAGTAATTGGGGACTAATAATAGCCACCGCCGTACTGCAGTCTCCCAAACAGTCGACAGTTAGGGCATCGGTGGCCACACCCTTTACCAGCCCCCCGCGCGTCGTGTGACAGGACACTAGAACGGAAAATCTCGCCCATAATGTCAGCAGTCGTACCAAGGAATGTGTCGTACAGCAGCAAACGTTGTGTGACTCTGTCTGTATACACTGTTGTCAAGACGGAATTCGTCTGCATAAGTGTCAACCTCGGAATCCCGCCTGTAGTGGTGTTCTGGCAGTCAGTTTGACTGGAATCCGCGTATATACCGTATACAATTAGTATTGAAGGACGTCCAAGCGTCGATCATTAGGGCTTTTTTTTTTTTTACTTGTCTTCGAAGAATCTTCGTGTCTCTTTCCTTTTTCCCACAGTTCCGGGCGAAGTTCTCCGAAGTTAGGGCTTGAATAGGTATATAGGTACATATACGAAAACTGGAAGAGCTCAGTTATTACCTCGAGAATTCACCTTCTTTGTACGACCTTACTCATAGATAGATTACTAAGATATGACACGCATCTACAACATGCTGATACTAAACATGACATTTTTGGCACCCCCGATCAAACTACGAATCGTTTCTTTCTTTCTTCTCTTCTCCTCTTTGTATCCATAGATGTCTCCTTGTCTCACAGTTTGACGGGAATCATCAAGCTGATGAATATCTTTGATTTATAATCTCGGAGCATATTCTACCTGATCAGCGACATTTGAAACAGTTCTATACAGAGTGAGTTTATTCTGCAGATAATCATTTTGTTTCTATACCTATAGGCCTGGGGTAGCCCCAATGAAGTTGATGGATTCAACCAGACTAGACTGAACCACAATCAAAAGCACCCTCACCGATTGAATCCAGGCATAAGGTACGAACTGGCACCGAGCGGTATTCGGAGATAATGTTAGTACTACTACTCATCTCTGCGTAAAATGGCAATTGACTCAATCCTCAACTGCCGAAATCCTTAGTTCTCATATTATAGCTCTGTATATCCATGGATGTCTCCATGGACGACTCTGCATGTCGGGGTTGACTGACTAGCAAAGAGTAATTGCCTACCTAGGTAAGTAATGCATGCGTCCAGCCGGCCTCCGATTTCATTCTTTGCTGGTAGAAGCAAAACAGATACGCAGTCTGTTGCCATACATAACGCGATGAAAGATTATCTAGTTCACTAACTGATTGGTGCATAGTGATAGGCTGCTTGCCTTGAGTGAATAGGGTGCTTCATTGTTGTCAGTATGGGTTGTAGGGTTAGGGCTTCTACCAAGCCCTAACTCTTAATACGGCTGTCCAGATAAATACGAATAAGTATCGACGTAACATTGAAACGGGGGTGGGCAGGACTAAAAAACTCAAACCGATTTCGCTATTCATGAGCACGGATGACATTGTATCTTGTACTGACTCTATCAGTCACTGGTGAGTTTCCAAGGTAAATGGCGGGGGAGATTATGTCAGACGTAATTAGCAAGAACATAAAATCCTGTCCCTATAGGGCCGTCTGGATATATATGGCATACTGACAGACAGCATTAGTCCTGGAACATGGTAGACAAGCGGCAGTATCCACAAGACCGGTCTCGGAAGGAATTGGAAGACGAACCGATTCCTGGAAGATCAAGTGGATGCTGAGCCTGTTGATTAGTATACGTCGGGCGTGAATAAAGAGCGCTAGTATATATGATTCCGTAGAAAATAACGTATATGTATGCATGCATGACAAGATGCGTTCAAAAAGTATATGTACATGAATTAAGATTCGAGTCAACTCAAACTCTTCATTTTCCTCTTGTAGGCGAGCGCATGTGTGAGTCTGAATCTTCCGTATAGCGAAACATAGACTGTTCTACCTGTTCATTATCAAAGGTGGATGTAATTTTGTTTTCGAGTTGCTTCACTTCCACAGTTGCACCTTGCTTCGCGTCACCGCCATCTGCACAGTGATAGAATCGCGTGACAGATCGTTTCGATTTTCGGCTATGCGACGAACCAGAGTCCAATTGTGCAACGTGGTTTGCGATGACCAGATATGTCTCAGGTTCATTGATGTGCTCAGCTTTGAGGGCTATATTCGAGACTTTCTCTGCATACCGGACGCAGCACGTAGCAAGACGTATTGATGATTGATAATCAAGAAGAACATTTCGCTCTAACTTCACCAATAGTCATTTGCAACCCTTCGATCACAGCACCCCACTCGATACTATGCACCTTCTCCTTGAACTTCCCCAAATCCTCATCGACGCCTTTCACGAACGGAATTTCCTTGACGAGGATAGGTTGTCCCATATCAACTTCTGAAATCACGTTATGTATCATTACGCCACTTTTGGTGATAGTTCCTTCCAGCCAAGCTGCGTGAGCACGCTCAATTGCATCCTGCGAGAGCCGAAGTAGTTAGCCAACAATCCAGTAAAAAGCCTCGCCAGAAGGGAAGAGGATAAACTTACAACCCCATTAAACGCCCCCGGCAACGCAGGATGCAAGTTCACAATCCTAATCCCCTCTTCCTCCAACGGCACCAAAAACCTCGTCGACAAAACATGCATAAACCCCAAACAAGCCACCAAATCAGGCTTATCAGCAATCACTAATCGCGCCAATTCCTCATCATATTCTTCTCTTGCGAGTTGTACGCCTTCTGGTGTTGCTGGGTGCGCCTTCTTGTATTTCAAGAGGTTGTGATATGTTGTGGGGATACCGGCTTTGGTGGCTCGTTCGAGACCATAGGCGGTTTTGCGGTTGGAAAGGACGCGCACGATCTGGGTGTTGGGGAGCTTGGAGTCTGTGGGTTTGGCGATTTCGTCGATCACAGCTTGGAGATTGCTGCCGTTGCCGGATATGAGGACTGTAAGGCGAATTGGAGTGTCTGTCATTTTGTATGTCTTTTGTCTCTTGGGATGAAGATTTTGTGGTGTATGCAGCTCGAGACACACTGTTCCTCTGTAGTTGTTCTTGCAATTACTGCAAGAGTCTATTCGAGGTAATGTTAGTCGCTTCAAGATGCGATTATAGTGCCCCGCCAATTGATCAGTCGTTTATTTTGGTCTGAAGCTGTCACGGGTGAGGTTCGAGAAAAAAAGTACAATTGCGGGGTTTAAATTTAGTAACGCCGATTCCGCAATAACCCCGCGGATATCGGGGTTAGGGTTGGTATACTCATGTCAAAGCCTAGGATTGATAGATAGAGAAGTATCGTTACGCTACATTACATTGAGATGATTCTGTTTACCTTGAACACTCGAAGCATAGATTTGCTATATACAATGCCATTCAATCAACTCTGCATTAGTTATCATTTAGCAAAAACAAAAGCAGGGGTCATCATAATCAGTATCCTCAACGCCAATAATCAAAACTAGAATGCACAATAACATGTTGCAGGCGCTCGATCCTAAGCCATCATGAATTTAAACAAAGTATCCATATCAACCCATTGCCGGCCACACTTCTTCAAATACCCGTCCACTACCCCTTTGATAGTAGCAAACTTTGCCCGGTTGTACTCAGCTAGAGCATGGATATTGTCTTTAGCTTCGCCAGCCTCTTTAGCAGCAATTGACTTGGCCTTGTCGACGTCCCACAGACCAGCGAAGTAGAGGAGTTGGTTGTACATTTGTTTCTCGGTGTACTCGTAGTTCATGCGGCCTAGACAGCCTTCCGCACGTCCTCGTGGTCCTAGACAGCGATGACCATAGACGCTCATTTGTCTGGTGCGATTGCCGCAGGAAGAATCATCACACACAAGCCAACCTTCGTAGTACTTTGCCGTCTGTGCACGAATCTGGCTTTCCACCTGTGCGATGATTGAGATTGTCGAGAATACTTTCCCGCAGGCTTCATTCGGGCATACCACACCGTGTGGAGAGCACATATTAGAGGATGAGCTCAAGCCTTCAAAGACTGAAGACGCGCCGCAGTGTCGACATCGGAGAGTTAGACGTGCTGCATGTTCAAAGCGTACTGAGTCGGGAATTTGAGACTCCAAGGGGTAAATTTCTGCATCTTGTTGAGCATTTGAACGAGAACTATTAATCTGGTACTTTCGAACGTCTAGTCCAAGGCAGTCGGCAATACGGACAGGATCTGTGCCGGGAATTGGTGCGCAGAGACGCTCAATCGGCGGGAAAATCTGCTTGAGCAGGTAGTACTCTATGTCAGGTTTCAATTCCGAGTCTGGCTTCATGACATCCTGGGGAGCGTAAGATCGTTTCGGGGGCGGGAGACTGGCTGTCTCAGAGTCGCCATTTGTCACAACGTATGCAATAACGTCGTTTGGTCGGATCGTCTTTCCTCGAGCAATCTCTCTTAGAGCAACCTGAGCAGGAGGCATGCTTTCTTTATTCGGATATTCTTCCGGTCGTTTGGAAAGTTTCTTCAGATATTGTTAGTCCACAATCAGACTTCGATAGTTCAAGAAACTTACTGTATATATGACATATTTTTGTACTGGAATTTTGTATTCTCTCATCTGGGAAGCAATGTCTCGCAGGTAATCGTGAACTTTATTGAGGACAACTTCCGAGTCTTCACCCGAGAGAATCTCATCAAGAAGCCTCTTTGACACCTCCTTAGACAGAGCACAGTATTCACGACGCTTCATGTCGAGACCCTTGACTTCAAGCTTGTCAATATATTTCCCATCGACCTCAGTCATGTTAATAGCAGCATATTTCTTCTTAGCATGAAGGAGAAGACGGCGGAAGACGTTATCAATGTCAATCTCAAGAAGCTTGTAGCGCTCATTGACGGACATCTTGAACTCCTCGCCGACTTTCAGAGCATCACTGATTGTGTCCATATTGGTATTGATCATGACAGAATCGGTATCACCATAAATGACTCGTAGCTGTTTTGATTCTGCAAGGTCTTTCGTACTGCGAAGAATTTCACGACCTTTGAATGTCGTAAGCATGGCCAGTGGACGAGCATAGAAGCGAGATTGCGTATAACCCAAACAACCGTACATAGAGTTGGCCGTCAGCTTCAAGGCCATTTGTTTGGTATCCCACAATGCTAGCTGTTCAGTTGTCGCCCTTTTATCCTTCATCAGCTTCTTGACCTCTCGACGCCGTGTGACCAAATTTGCAATGAGACGGGGTAGAATTCCTTGTTCTTGGTCAGACGAAGGGACTTCGGGGACTTTCTCTTCATTTTCGTTCTCGGCCTGGAAGATAATTAGTCATTTGTTCAAATGCTTTCGGTAAATAGTACTTACTGTTGAGCTTCGGTCGACCGTGGTGAAGCAGATGTTGAACTCTTGAATGATACTGGGATACAAGCTGTTGAAGTCCATAACAAGAACATATCGATCGTAAAGTCCTTTCTCTGGTTCAAAAACGAGACCTCCCTTATACTTCTCCTTCTTTTTCTTATCAGTGGAGTCATCATCGTCATCCATCTTCTCTTCGGTGGCCTTGTGCTGCCTGTTCGAGTATTTGTCTGGGCAGATGTATTTGTTGCGGTGGAACTCATGGAGCAAAATGTACTCGTTACGCTCAGCGCGAGTTCCAGTGAGAGTCCTTGCCCATGAGTTACCGGCCAAGTTGGTAAGGACCTTGGTCAGAGAAAGCATCTGTAAGCGGATCACTAGTGCAGCGATGAAGTAAGTGTCGGCCTCGCAGTGCGTCACATATTTCATCAAGCCTTCCTTGGTCGTAGCCCAAGTCTTCAGCGCAGCTTCATTATCAAGCTCACTACGGATGTGATCATCATTTAAGTAGAGTTGGCACATTTCGGTCAATGTCCACGACTGACATTTAACCATGAGAGACTACATAAATCGCTCGTGTTAGTTTTTTTAGACTTATCGATCGATACAACGCTTTACATACCTTGCCCATGTCGTTGGCGAGATCACACATCATTCGACCAGCGATGAGATGTCTGTCAGCAAAGAAGCCGCCTCCTCTGTTGAAGTTCTTGGGCCATTCAGTACGCTTCAGTCGACCAACTCGAGACCAGCCTGGCGTCTTCTTCTCTTTCATTCGATTTAGCAAGATTCCAAGATCAACCTCTTGAAGCTGATGACCCATGATGATATCGGGATCCATCCGCTCGAACAGAGCGAGAAACTTGCTGAGAAGGAATTGCTCGTTCTTTTCCAACATGTACACGCCCCGTTGTTTCTTAACTTCTGCCTCGAGACCAATAGGATAAGAAGTCCCTGAAGGACGCATGACTGTGAAAGTCTTGCAAGGCATCTTCTCTGGAGGGGTGGTCTCAGGCAGGGAGACATTCTCATAGATACGAGCACTTGCGACCAAGATCTCCTGTTTGTTTTCTTTAACATTAAGCAGAGTTCGGAAAGACAAACTCATCAAGGTCAAAGGAGGCATCTCTAATTCGGAGTCTGGTATCGTGGTGATTGTATTTGGCTTAGAGACTTGACATTCAAACTTGCACCATGAAGCGTTGGCGGCTGCTGAAAAGTCTGCTTCTCCAATCTTAAGCCAGCAAGGGCCCATTATACGTTTCCACAAGACAAATTGTTCGAAGAGTGCTGTATTAGTGCCGAAGACATGTGAGAACGTCTCGCCTGTTGTGTCCATGGATAGAACCGGTTTGTCATATGGGTAAAGAAGCTTCAAGTAATCTCCTTCTTTGGGAATGTTTGGAAGCTCAAAGGCATATTTGCGGGTGCATGGCTTGATCTTGTGCATACCCACCTTGAGCTTGGTCATCATTTTATCTACTTCCTCGTAGACATCTTCCATATCGACCTCTTCATCGGTGATATGGCCGTTTTTCATGCGGTGTTCACGCGGTAGGAAGAAGAGTTTGCGAAGAATGTTGTCAACCTTGACAAAGGAACTGACATAGGTGCCAGTCTTCTTGTTCTTGACCTTGCCAAAGAGACACAGAGTGCCATTGACCTCTGTATAATCAAGCCAGAAGAATTGAACACTGCCATCTTCTTCGATAACATCCTGAGCTCGCACTTTGCCAAAGCCGACATTCTCGGTTGCCGGGCTACTGAGAACGTTGAGTTTGCTTGTCACGTTGTCCCAGGTAGCTTCCACTTCAGCAGGAGCACGTGGCGGAGATGAACTTGATGGCGAAGGGTACGATTGTTTCTTGATCTTGGGTGGAGGCTTGCTCCCTGTCATGTTCACACTAGAAGATTTGCTGTCGTGATGACCAGTAGCTTGAGCAACGTCCATCATATCATCCTCATCTTCCTCTTCTTTGATGGCTTCTTGCTCACTCTTGAAGGCTTTTCTTTCAACAGCCTTGGATATCGGAGATGAGGGGAGAGCTGCATCACTCATTGGGATGTTCTCATCACCGTCACCACCCAATGCCAATGTGCCGTCATCGTCATCATAGTCAGGAATGTTGACATCCTGTTTGGGTGGAATAGGAGTATCCTCGCCTTTGCCTCTCATGCGAGGCTTTGTTTTCTGAGATTTGTCCGAGAGGGGAGGTGACAAAATACGGACTTTGCGGCGTGTCTCAGACTTGATGATGTTCTTAGTTGGCACTCGTGAGGGCAGGATATTGGCATCAACGTCGCCTAGAAGATCGGCCATGAAGGCTTCATCTTCGGCCGTTGCAACAGGCTATTCAGTACATTGTTAGCTTGACTTCGCCGATCTGCCTATCGATAGGTACATACCTTTGGCTTCGGCGCAGCTAAAGCACTGCTCGTACTGAAATACTTGGAGATACCATTATTGATCTTCTCCTTCCGCTGATTTTCTTCTTCTCGCTTTCTCTTTGCTGCCTTCCCTCGTGCCGGGAGGTCACCATCATCTTCGCTATCGCTATACCCTATGTGGTCTTCATTCCAGACTTCGCGTCCATCATCTGCGTATCCTTCGCCATTGTCGTCAACAACGAAGTCGTCCTCGTCGAGTCGTTGTCGAACAACCTTTTTGTAACCTTCTTCGTCGACTTCGTCATATATAGATCCCTGGTCTTCGACTTCGTAGGTGGATAGTCTTTTTTTGCCAGAGGCACGAAGGGCCTTCAGTTCGGCAAGCTTTGCTCGAGCTGCCGACGACATTATGAGCTGATTATGTTGAAAGAATTCATATGAAGATGTAAAGATAGGGAAATGCTTGTTTGAAAGTAGATTTCTCGTTAGACAATGTTACAATTGCGTGAAGTACAATGTTTGTGTCTGCTGAGAGTCAAGGGCGAGTGGACTAATTAAACACGCGGGAATGTGGACGCGCCGGACAACGCGACGTGACAAAACGCTAAGCCATTTTTAGCGTAATTGAAGTGGGTCCATCTAACAACGCCAAAATTTACGAAGAGAAACAGGACAACATGAAAACATTTGACATCGCATTGCGCATTTAATTTCATTTATGGTCACAAGTCCGAGCGTAATGCCTATCTCATACGCTACTCTGATACAAAGCTATCCTCAGAATCCGACTCTATCGGTCACAATTAGCAATCCGTAGAGGATGACGCAAAAGACATCAGAACTTACCTATAAGAACTTCATAATCAAAAGCCCCGTTCACGTTCTGCAGAAGAGCTTCATGAATGACAAGCTGTGCGTCAGGCAGTATGGCGGTCTCAGCTACCGCGCTCGTTATAACCAGATGGAATCCTTGGTTGCCTGGACCGAGTTGAGAGACAAAATCCAAAATTCCCTCCGCCGTAAACTCGCTGTAAGCGTGAATTGCAAGGAAGCGCAAGTTTTTCAATGTAAGAAAGGAGGGCCAGAGATCATCATCAAAGCTTAGCCCATTGACGGAGAATCGCTCCAATTTCTTCAAGTACGGCATCATGGTCATGACATGGCCCGCTGTATAGTAATCGGAGACTTCTTTGAGATCCAGCTCCCGAAGTTCGGTCAATTTGCAGATTGCTTGTAGCAGACTTTCCTCGGTTTGCACGAGAGCGTGGCGCTTACGTTGGAGGATAAGGGACTGCAGACATTCGCCTTGAAGCGATAGTGCGTGGTGGAAATCCTCATTGTTTGTCGTGTAATAGCACCTCATTTGAAGTGATTCAAGTCGTATTCTATCATCACCCAGCACCTTTGCGAGAAGGCTCGCGTCCTCAGTTCCCATAAAATCTCGAAGTTGCAAATGACGCAAGCTTTCGCACTGAGAGATCCACCCAGCAACGGCTGCAAGAGTCTCGTTGAATGATTCGTCATGGGCAGTAGGTTGAGAATCCGTCAGTATGAGCTTCTTCAAGGCTCTAGGTGGACCAAGCGCTGGAAGCTGAGCAATAGCTTCGATGGACAGATTTGTCAATATCAGTCTTGTTAGTGAGTCCAGGTGAGCACCCAAAGCGAGAATGGTCCGCTGCCCAATGTACGATAGACTAATTACTTCAAAAGTCTCCAACGAGTTGGGCCGGAGGGTGTTCAAAACGCGCTCAGCATCGGCATCTGCTTGAAGATCTGGACGATCCAACCTGTGAGTATGATGAGTTTGCGTTTCACAAACAGAGAAAGAGGTGCCAATTTCAGAAGAGCATTTACCATCTGAAAACCGAAAGACTTTTAAAGTCTGGGCAATGCTCTCGGATCTTTTCGTCGGCTCTTTCACTAAATGCCGCCCCATTCCAGATATAAAGAGTCTGTAATCTGGGCAAATGAACTGCCCACTGCTTTAGAGAATTTCCAGATACTGATATTCATCAGCATAGGTTTGTGATGCAGTTGTTGATCTATCAGGACTTGGTGTCTTACTGTTGCCTCTCAGTTCCTTGATCCTATGAGCTCTGTCTGTGATCACTATTTCAAATTGTCAGAACCGTTTGACTTATAATTGACAGCAATGCATTGCAGTGACTGACATGTACCAACTCTCTGAATGACCCATGACGTGTTGGTGAGGTCCTCTTTGGAAGACCGAAGTCTTTTATGCCCCTTGCTTTCATAATCCTGATATATGAGATCACCAATTCCGCTAGTAAAGAAATCACTGTATCCAAATGATCAACCACGTCACTTTAAGATTCAAACTTCATAGAAGAATAACGTACTCTCGTATACGGCTCTTGAATCCGAAATGCGTCAAAAGTTCCCTGAAATCATCCAAGTCCAAGTATCTAATGTAATCACAGTACGGCAAGTATGTCTTCCCCTCTGAGGTCGACAGTATGATTGACCGCCACATGAGAACCCATTTGTGAAATGTTGCAGCTGATTCTGAAGCGCTCTTTGGTATCGTAGTCAACGACGGCACCCTTGAGGAATCAAGGGCACGCGGTTTGAAGGACTCATCTTCTGTGCCACCACCAAATGCCGGGGACGAGTCATATAGTTGATAAAGTATGGATAAGGCCGGCTTTGCCAGCCATCTAGATACCAAGGCACATTGGAATAGTGTATTGTGATCCACTTGTGCCCTCAAGAAGTCCAAGATAATAAGAATCACATCGCCGCTCAGGACCACCATTGCATCCGAGAGCCCAGCTATGTTCGACACAGTAATTTGTCAGTAAAGACGTGACAGCTACAGCCAGATACTCAAGATTATGGTGAAAGAAAAGAGTTGACAAGGCTGCCAGGCATGTCCTGCCATGACGTTTCGGGAAAGCGTGTATGATAGACGCGTCTGATTGGTGGATATCACACTGTGGGGCATGTATCTTGTTGACCTTACGTCTTTCTAAATCTTCATTTTCTCATGCCAGCGCTCACGAAGAGAGTAAGTTAAAATGCCAACGCTATCATTCTCTCTCAAACCGCCCGCTTTACTTGAGCTGCATGATGCATTGGTGTGTCTGAGTAAATTCAACGAGAGCGTCTCCATAGAGGCTGAATATGATTCGGTAAGAGCAAAACATCCAAGGCGATAACCTAGACATTCCTAACCCCAGCACTAGCTGCGATTGAGTACTCTGAATGCTGCTAAAACGGCATATGCGTCGTTTACCCTGGACTCGGGGAAATTCTTCTCCGAGTATACATTTAGTACTCGCGGGGTGCAGCAGAGTTCAGGGCAGAGATATGGGGATAAATTTGCATGTCAGATGTATCTGAAGGTATGCCACCCCCCAATATTCTTATGCTAGACTGCTGCTGGAGGTGCTGATATGGTGCAGGCATTGCTTTCAATATTCAAAGGTCGAGCCGGCGAGTCGCGCGACAAGCAAACCGCAGTAGAACGCTGCAACGTTGAGCTACATGACTCACCGGATGAAGCCGAATGTAGATTACATATACAGATGATATGTGGTCAAGGTATATAATCTGTCTACCTCTTTTAAATCTATCTAATCACCATGGGCAGGCGTCATTAAATCTTATAAGTTGACCTATGAGTCTGTTTCTGTGCAACATGCCCTGTTCGACCAGTCACGGGTACAGAATCAGTGGAAGGTTCAGGCGAAGATTTTAAGAGAAATTATTGATCATTTTAGTCCGAGTGCAGAGCAATTGGACATTTATCCCGATACAGGCAAGGCAATTTTTACAAGTTTCACTAATAAGATTAGTGATGGGAAGGGTATTTTATATTCTTTTCGTTCCTGAGTACAGGATACTTGGACTGACAATCTCAAGAAATCCTCAAACAACCGGTCCACACGTCCGTGGCCATCGACACCAAAGACTTTGAGGAATTCATTGTCAAGGACGGGCTACATGTTGCTATCAACGTTAAAGATTTCAAAGCAGCGGTCATTCATGCAGACACGATGAAGACGTCAATTACGGCACGTTACACCCGTCCTTGTCGACCTCTGCAACTTGCCTACACATCAGAAGATGGCATTGAATCAGAATTCACGCTTATGACACGTGGGGATGTCGATGAGGCCGATAACGACGATGATGCGTCGACTGCAGCATCGCAGCTTTCGGCTAGACTGGCCGCTACACGTGTAGCAGTACAGTCTGAGCCTCCCAATAGTCACCCAGCTGCAACGGCTTCCGCATCTTTATCGGCAGCAAGAACTACGATACCACCATCCAGCAGACCAGTCATACCATCCCGGAAGCCAGAGTTGATGTCGAGTGCTGCGTCAAGAGCAGCATTGGCCGATATACATGATAGTCTTTTTGTGCCAGCAGATGACGATAGACAGTGGGATGAACAGGTGGATGACGAGGCAAATGATCAGGATATTCTCGGCTGGGATTCGAATATTGAACCGGTTTGTACCACACTCCTGATAAATTCTGTTGCAAGCTAATCGCGCTTGTAGGGAGCTTATCATGAAGGCCGTCCAAGACCGCTGACGGACGACTATCCAACGCTGTCGTCTGATAGGCAACAAAACAATGGCGACGTTGGGACAGCTATTCCACCGACGCAGCCAATGTCACAGGTATGCTTTATTTCGTATTTAAGTTCCGAAAGACTGACATGGTGCAGATACGAAATTTGGGTCTGTTTGATTGAGCATCTTCGTGCGGGACTTGCGAATCGTACTGTCATGAGGAAACCACGATCCAACTGGTGGCGCAACCGGCGGCTACTCGAACAACCTTCGCCTCATTATTGTGCAAGGCGTCATCAGGAAGTCGAATCTGACTCAACCTCCCTTTCACATTCCCATGATCATCCGTATCAGACCCACAATTGCCATGCTCTCCCCATCCACAAGAGACAACAGTCCTGTTATCAGACAAGACAGCAACAGTATGTTCACTACCAGCCATGAACTGGGCGACGGATTCCCATCGTACTAGAGAATGTTCCTGTTGCTGATGGGGACCCAACTGACCGCGATCATTGCGGCCCCAGGCGATGACCGAGTTGTCAAGAGTATTATGTAAATAAATCCCATGCCAACTCGTCGATACATCGTATCGTTTTTGAGTCTGGCTAGTTTTCTGCAATGTCTGAACCGAAGGTGCGGCTGACATGATATTCCATTTGTCATCCACCCCAAGGATTGTATATATATATCCCGCACTGTCATCTCCTCCTTCCAAGGGTTTATTCTTCTTATAGCCACCCATAAACGTAAACTCCCTCCCACAACTCACACTCCTCGGCATAAATTCTTCCTTCAGCAACTCTGCTGAAGCAATCTTCACAGGCGACCACACGATCTTATTTTTGATTAGCTCTGAATCAGTTCCGAGTTGGCCCTTTCTTGACGCTCCCCATCCATAGACATCGCCGTTCGATAATATAGCAACGACGTGGTTTGTGCCACTACCTATCGCTTCGATGTACGTGTTTGGAGGCGGGAAATCGGGAATTAAATAGTCATCAGTATCGATGATACTATCATCAACCTCTCGAGAAGCAGGAGCTGTACTTCGTCGTCCTGGCCCAAGACCTAATTCACCTTTATCCCCTGATCCGAGTGGTATCACAACATCCTTTTCGCAGGTATTGTTGCTGCTGCTGGTTACAGCAATGAAACACGTCGCAGACCAAGTAGCGCATACATCCTTGAATCGATCAATAACTGCCCCTGTACTTCTTCTCCGAAACTTGACACGTCTGAAGCGCCTGAGTATACCATCCTCCTTCTCACTCCCCTCTTGATCCCTTCTCTCCAACCTCGAAGAGATACAAACCCCACAACGCAAATCATCATTCAATCCAGCCGCATAGACAGCTCCATCCTCCAATAAAATAATCGTATGATTCCCACCGCAGACTATACGTTTCACTTTTCTTTCTCTTCCTTCGCCTATTCCTTGACTTGCCGTGATACTGTTCTCATTACTGGTCTTGGTATCCTCATCAAATAAACATTCCGTGGGCACGGAGACATCATCTCTGTGTCCTATACCCAGTTGACCAGATCCATTTGAACCGAGGGCGAATATTTTCTGCATTTCTCTCTCCTTTTTTTCCCCTAAGGATTTCTTTCTGTTTACTGGGATAAATTTTATTGGAACGAGAAAATCGAGAAGTGATGATTCAAGTGTCAGCATCTAAAAATGGATAACTTTATACGCGCTATACTGAAGTTAGATTAGTGTAATTTTTCAAACATTGTCATCACGTGAAGGCGCTTTATCGATCGATTGCTTATCGGTTAAAACGATGCCCATAAGAAACGCCATCATCGGTTGATCCATGATCTTATTTTCATCTTTTTGGAATTGAACTGTTCTCGAGGTAACAACTCTCTGAGTTTGACTCAGATAGTTTAGCTGCATGTAGTGTTTTTCGTGTTTATCTGCAGTTTGTTAGTACCGGCCAATAACGAGGTATATACAAGATCGATTTTTGTTCAAGGACCGGTTCTTTATCAGTTTGAAACATGGTTACAAAGATCTCTTTATACGCAGTATTGTATATCAAGACTGCGTCATGCGTCTATAGACTGTCCTTATATGTAGCTACGAACCATGAGGGACAGAGCCATATTGTACAGATAAGATTCCTCTACTTTTTCTTGTAGCGTGTATAACCTTGGTGTGCTAAGGTCAGCCAAGACCCGCCGCTGACAAGGATGATTATCGACAAACACTTCCAAGGAATACCGGAAACCTCAGGCCGCAGACTCCGTGTAAGTCATGATTTCATCAGCCCAGAAAATCTGACAATCAATGGCCCTGTTGGCGCAAAAAAGTTTCTTTAAAAACTTTGTTAAGAGAAGTTACTGTGAGGAACCGAGACACAGTTCTTCCAAGAGAAGAGATCAAACAAAAAATGAGTCTGAGATATCCGCTGCTTCCGGATTATGGAGGATTTCGGCTTGATATTGAGTTTGTTTGTTACATGTTCTGTTTTGTCGACGGCGGAAAAGTTTGCCGATTGAACCCCTCACTGCGAAGAATGATAGATCTCCGACAACAGCGAAACTCGCTAGAAAGAATTTTGTAATGTTGAGAATATTATATATGCTCTAGTTTTACGCTTGTCTTGGTGTTGATAAACTACAAAGTCATATCCGTCAACCAATCAGATCCACTCAATAATGCATTGACAAGTAAGCGCGAACAGACAAAGCACGTGGGTGGGTCCGCCAACTTTAAACCAACCACAATTTCGTTCTTCTTACATTTTCAGCTTCTGACGAGTCAAACTCAAGCTTTTGGGCTGATTCTCCAACTTATACATTAATATTTTGATACAAATGTATATACGGCTACGAACTATACGCACTTCGGAAGTGGTCCCGGTCCAGATGACGACCGAACAGTAGTTCGCAGAACTATCGAACGCCTCTTGATAGATCTCCATGATACAACTTCATGCACACGTATGAAGGTGAGTATGAACACCGAGAGAAGAGAGGCGCCACATTCCTTAGCGGACCGACGAAGCATTCCTGAAGCCGAAAACTTCCATCCGGATTCTTTGAAAGAGAAAGCTTCTAGAAAGAAAAATTCAGTCCGGATTGTTTCGAATCGGTCAAGCCACATGGTCAGCCAAGTCTGCGCACATGTTTTATGTACGATCGTATGCAGGGACAAGAACAATGGGCACAATTATGCAATGAAAATTACAATAAGCATGGACCCGCCCGCTATCTCGAGTGTCTAGAAGAATTTTCGAAGCTTTGAAATGCGTAAGTTACTACTTACGCGCGTTTTGCGAGTCATGACAAATTCTTTCCAACCTGAGTCTTGTCTATAGTCGAGCACGTTATTGAGGTATGTCTGATGACTGGAATTCGTTACGTACAGTGATCGGTTGGTGGCTTCTACCGCGGAATTACCACCTGACGCTGACATGTTGTCGAGGCTGATTACTGACGACTTTCGTGATAGTGGGATCTGCATGAGACCGTTTGAAACTGCTTGAAACTGCCTCACTGCTTCAGTTAGCGATTGAGGGCATTGGAAACATGTGCCGCACAAGTTTCATGTCAGACAATCCCATGAACTATATGCCTTCTGGTATTTCCATTAAGTAATTGTTCGCTGTCAGGTAGCTACTAATACAGCAAGACCTCCGAGCGCGAGGCTTGCGTCGCGTCGTGTCGCAGTCCATATACCCAGAAGACAGTGTATTGCCGCACTTTCCGTGGATCTGACATTCTTGTCGGCCACGTCCGAGATCCACAAGCCATGCACTCCACCTTTTCCTTTATGGAACTGCACATACGAAACTTTTCGGGGCTAGAAGTATGCCTTGCAAAGGGCAGTGATTGGATCTGGTGACGGAAGGTGTGGGAGTTATCAAAGTCCAAAACACAGGACCGTGACGGGACGGGACATCTTAATAGGCCAAGTTTGGCCTTGTCAAGGGTAAGGGTCTTGCAAGCATTGTCTTGCAGTGTTCGCTTTGCTAGACCCGAAACAGTATTAGGGCCATGTAAGTGCTAGTTGCATGCAATCCATTCATTGAAGTTAGCCTGAACTAGTATCAGACTAGTACCGACGAGCTCCCCTTTGACAGTTAACTACCCGGTGGCACACTTAAAAGTCATCTAAATTTCAGCTTGGCTGCGCCTTTTCCCACGGTTTGAAGAGCGCCATATCTCATGTCCATTGCTTGTCGTTGCTTAACTCAGCTTTGGGAAGTCTATTTATATGGGGATTACGTAGTGATGTATAATGCTGATTGTAAGCAACAGTGTACGCTTATGGTGAAGAAGAACCTAGAAGGCGTATTCTGTACGCTTCGTACGGAGTATTTTTGCAGTCACAACGGAATTGCTTTTTCTGGCATTACACGCGGCTGCAGCGTGTAATACTGTGTAGTAAGTATCGTACCACTGCCACATGACATTTAGCTCTGTACATGCGGAGCTGTACGGAGTACAATAACGGGGTATATACTCGACTGATCGCGATGATTTGTTGTGGTTGCACATGTCATCCGTCAGACAAGGCCGAGTCGGTGAACCTGTACATAGAGAATATCTTGTATCTTGTATTGGCAATGGGCGGTCCCTACAAAATGATTCAATTATAATGTTCTCTCTTTGTAGATTAGTAGATTGTTTGTTGTGAACTTGTGAAGCATCAATAGATGGTATGCATAAATAGTGTATATGCGGAGGTTGCCTGTTTGGGCGACGCCAAGGCTGGGATCGATAAGCAATGAGAACCGTTGCACAGCACACGTGCAGTATCTTTAGGCTCTTATTGGCCAATTTCCTACCCCGGGCCGATCAATCTGCCAAGCCGCTCTGCTGGCTTATGACTGGCCAATGAGAACCCACTGGATCCATCTGATCGTAATTTATTTTTTGCTGTTTTGGTTTTGGGTTTGGGTTTGGTATTTTTCTTTTTTAACATTCGTTTTGTTTCGTTTCGGCAGTTCGGTCTTTTCCTTCCTCTATACTGTGTGTATAGACTAGACAGGGTGGCATGCAGTACTTGCACATGCTGGCTATTGATCTAAACAATTGTATTGGTGTAGTCGAATTGCAATTGACTGGAAACTTCCACTAGATCGAGGCAGATTCGCCGCGGGTGGGTCAGTCCCACTTGTCCCTAGTGCCGTACCAGTGGACCTAGACTCGAGCATATCAGCGGTCCGGATACAGCAACGTGCCACTCGCTCTCTCCGCCAGAAAATTCGGTGCGCCCAGCCAAGCTCCCAAAATATTATATATATTTCATCTCTGCCGTCTTGGATCTCCTCGTCCTTGTCCCGTGTAGCCCAATACCAAGCCTTGAGGCGTCGTTGCTCAGTCAGTGGCTTTGGATCTTTCCGTAAGTGCAGTCTTGGTAGTCCGACCACCTTTTTTTCTTCTTCTTTTTGATCACACGATCTCTTTCCGGATTTAATTCTGATCGCTTGCGTGTGCAGACAAGACCAGAAAATTCAACAATCGACAAAAGGCAGAGCGACAAAAATGACTTCCTTGGGTCCTATGCCCCCTCACGGGCCCGACGTGACGGGCACTCATCCTCAGTATGAGGAAATGCACCCGACCGAGAAGGATGCCTTCGACAAGCTGCTCCGCCCTGACGACAGCTATACCCCCGAGGGTGTCTACTGGGCGGATTTGCCCATCATGCAGCGTCTCAAGTTCGTCAACAGCGTCGACAGCGCCGAAGCCCGCAAAGAGTTGACCGCCATCGGCCAAATGATCAAGGCCGATCCCCTCTCGCCTGTCAGCTACTACTTCAAGAACATGGTCTTGCCTGGTGCCGGTTTGCTTTTGGAAGGGTGAGTCCCAAGTCATGTTCTTGCGATGAAAGATCTAGCTTGCTAATTGATTTGGCGCAGTTACGTCTTGTTCTCCGTCAGCACTGTCCAGTCGCTTTTGGCCGATGCTTTTCCTGAATGCTGGGGTAAACACCAGACTTGTAACGGCACCTGGATCAATGCAATGACCTATTTGGAAATTGCTGGTATTATGGTCGGTCAGATTCTTGTCGGTTATCTCGGTGATTGGTAGGCTCTATCCACTGTCGAGTCCGGGAGACGGAAATGTCGAGACTAACGAAAACGCAGGATTGGCCGTCGCTGGGGTCTTATTCAGGATGCCGCCATCATGTTTGTCGGTCTTCTCATGCTTACTGCTGCCTACGGTGTTACCGAGAACGGCTGGGTTATCTGCTACGCCTGGTCTCTTTTCTTCTACAGTATCGGTGTTGGTGGTGAATACCCCATGACTGCCACTTCGGGTATGGAGAACGCCGTCGGATCTGGTCGTATCTCTACCCGTGAGGATCGTCTCCACCGTGGCCGCAAGGTCGTGAGCGCCTTCTTGATGCAGGGTTGGGGTCAGTTCCTCAACCAAGGTCTTTTGATCATTCTATTGATTGTCTTCCACCACGGTTCTGGCGGCTACCCCTACTCCAAGGTTGCTGCTCAGTGGACCTACCGTGTCTCCTTTGCTATCCCCGCTGTTGGAACACTCTGGCTCACCTACTACCGTGCCTATCACATGAAGGCTGCCTCCAAGCAGCTCCAAGCTATCAAGAAGAAGTCCTCCGTCACCGGATACGATGTCGAGTCATTCCGTCTTACTTTGAAGTATTTCGGTCCTCGTCTCTTCGCCACCAGTTTCGGCTGGTTCGCCAACGATATCTTCTTCTACGGCAACAAGCTCTTCCAGAGTCAATTCATCACTGTCATTTTGCCCAAGGAAAGGTCCTTGATGCCCGGCTGGCTATACAACTTGCTCAACATCGGTGTCTCCCTCGTTGGATACTACCTCGCATCTTTCCTCATCGACAACAAGTTCTACGGCCGCAAGTGGATGCAGCAGATCGGTTTCTTGATGTGCTTCGTTTTCTTTGTCGTCCCCGGTTTCCACTACCACTACTACACCAGCAAGGCCCACATCCATGAGTTCCAGGCCATGTACTTCTTGTCCTCTTTCTTCAACCAATTTGGTCCCAACTGTGTTACCTTCTTGGTTGCCGCCGAATGTTTCCCTGCTCCCATCCGTGCCTCTGCCCACGGTTTCGCTGCTGCCATGGGTAAGCTCGGTGCTTTGATTGCCGCCATTGTCTCCTCCTACACCAGCGTCCCCCAACGTTTCTACATCTGGCCCTGGTTCGGTCTTGCCGGTATGCTCTGCACCTTCCTGTTCCTCCCCGACACCACCGGTCTCGATCTTAAGGAACAAGAACGTCGCTGGTGGTACCTCCGTAACGGTCGCGAGCACGACTACCACGGTGTCGCCATCCACCCTCAACACTTGTCCGTATGGGAACGTCTTCGCGGCGTCGGCAAATACTACGACGCCGAACTCGATTACAAGCAAAAAGTCGACGACTACCGTCAGGAGTGGGAGACCGGCATTGCTCGCAAGCTCGAGAATGAAGCTGGTGAAATCGACGTTGATACCGAGGACACTCTCTTCGAGGGTCCCGTCCACAATTACTTTGAGCGTACCAGTCCCATGTTCCGTGGCACTGAGAAGCTTGGTGGTCAGACTTTCTCTAGTCTGCCTCCTGCCGCTCACTCTTCTGAGAGTGACTCCATCGAAGCTGCTGCGACTGTGACAGAGAAGTAAACAAATATATCTTCTCGTTTCGCAGCGTCTACCACTTCTTTACATGCTTTTACGGTTTAATATAATTTATCAAAAAGAAAGAAAAGCGTCACGGAATGCACTTTTCTTTCTCTCGCTTGTTTTTCTTCCTCTCTTCTCTTGTACTCTTTCCCTCTTGTCTGTGCATATACCTCTGCAAAGATAGACTTTGTGTTTGATGGGCGATGATCAACCCGATTGTATGAAACTTATATAACTATTTTATTTGGATACCCTCGAAATGCATCAGTTTCATACTACAGCCTTCCATCACTTACGTACTTTCCTACTAGAAGTTCCAGTTGCTCAAGCGTGCTCATAGAAGAAGACTTCCTTTCGCGATGGATTTACTACGGCATACACACTTCCAAGCCTAGGTAAATAAGTCAATGTCGGGATCAAATGGACTGCTTTTATTGCAAACTACGTACCTATATAACATTAAAGTCAAACCAAACATGAGGTCAACCGGTCGTTACGTATCAGGTACACTCGATGTGGCCTGTCCCAGCCTTGGAATTTTGGAGATAAATCATATTTTTCAAGAAAATGTATTTCAAACAAAAGGACCTGCCTATCGATTTATATGTAAAATGGAAAAAAGGTTCAAACTGATATGAGACATGAAATAGAACACTGGCACACACACAATGAATGAGAACAATGCGTCCGCTAGGCGACGAAAACATGATGATTTGCAGAAAATAAAAGAGAAAAAAAAAGGACTGGTGCAATGATTTGTTTCTCCTTCCAATCTTTCATCATAGTGATTTTTCCCTCTCGTATTCATCTAGAATCTCAACAAATGGACCGGAAGCAGACAGGATTTTCGTCACTGTATGATTTGTTATATTTCGTTGATGGACGCTTAGACAGAAAGAATATTTGCGAGAAATCGATATTTTTTTTTATTCTTGAATGGTTGGAAATCCGGGCTCTCTGACACTGCCTCCAGCATCACCGAATCCTGCAACGGGTCTGTTATAAGACCATCCCACGAATTGGTCTTGCATCGTCTGAGAGAGAGCGTTACCCTCGACCACTGAATCGATGGGTTTTTCATTTATGAACTCGACGTCGAAATTTTCCACATCCAGGGCATCGACCTTTATGTCTTGGTCAATACACTAGTCGAGGGTTTTTGAAAAGGGGAGTACGTACCACGTTGGGTTTGAATGTAGGTTCATACTTCCTCTGGAGTAGCTTGCGCCAGTCAATATTCGAGAAGAAGTGGTGTGCCTTGATCTCCGCGGCTCCGTTGGCGCCTAGACGGCGTTGAGGGTCACGGTCCAGAAGACGAGTCAAAAGATCGCGTGCTGCGGCGGGGACGATGTCGTGGCTTGGGAATGTCAATGGTTCTTGGACAATCTTCTTGTACATTTCGTTTGTGTTTTCGTCGTAGAATGGTGGCAGACCAGTCAACCTGTATCAGTTAGTGTCTATTCATTGCATATGAAAGCGAAGAACGTACATTTCATAGAGTAGAACCCCAAGAGTCCAAAAGTCCACACTCTTTGTATATCCATTGCCTAACAGCAATTCTGGAGCGAGGTATTCGGGCGTACCGCAGAAGGCTGCACAACATGTTACTTAAACTATATGTAGAATTGCTCAGAAGAATTGCCCTACTGTTGGTCCGATCTTCATCCTTCATATCAAGCTTGCAAAGTCCGAAATCACACAATGCAATATGACCAGTGTAATCCAACAGAATATTCTCCGGCTTCAAATCACGGTAAATGACCTTGAAACCATGCAAACATTCAAGCGCACACAGCAATTCGGCGGTATAGAAACGAGCTCGGTTTATATCAAAGCGTTGCTCACGTTGTAGATGATGGAACAATTCGCCGCCATTCACGAATGCGAGGACAAGATACAACTTCTCGGGAGACTGGAAGGAAAACTTCAACGGTACGATGAACGGATTGTTGATCTGGGCTAATACTGATCGCTCGGCAAGAGTATGTGCAACTTCGGATCTGGAGATAATGTGTGCCTTGCGGAGAGTCTTGAGCGCATAGATACGGCCGGTATCTTTCTTCCTGTTAATATTATTAGTTTATGCTCGGAGCTGTGGCTGGTGTCTAGTAAACTTACATCACCTGCATGACTTTGCCAAATGATCCCTAACAACTTGTTAGTGAGATACCTCATATAACAGACTTGTGTGAATATTTACCCTGCCAACAACTATTTCATGATCTTGTTAACATCTCTGCCAATATCACGAATAAGGAAAAAACTCACCTTTCAAGAGCTCGAAATCTTCCAACTTCATGCTATGAGCCCTGTTCTCCACAAACGAAACACCAATCTTGATCGAACCAGTTCCAAACTGCAGATCCAGCCACTCATTTTCCAACTCATTCACGCTCTTCTCATGTTCAGCAGCCGCTTTCTGGTTATCCTTTTTGCTAAGCTTAGGGTTCTCCACATATGAATTGGTTTCTTGCAAACGAGGGGACATCTTCGTAGCTCCGAGGAATATGTCTTCGCTACGACCAACTCCAGGCCGAGCAGCTGGGTTGCGAAGATATATCTGTATACTCAGGTCGGTTTGCCGGGAGACATCGAACTTGAAGGCGGTGTTGTCGCCAGCCCACAGGGGGTTTTCGGGTGTACCAGACACAGCATCAACAAAGACCTGGTTCTTATCGAAATCGAGAAGCGCATATGGAAGATATTTGGTCAGGTAGCGACCGTGAATTGTAGGGGCAGCATTGATGCCGCTGCTGGTAGATTGGGGACGAGCGGGTTGTGTGTACGATCCAGCGGTCTGAGTGGAGTGTGAAGAGGAGGAATTCGGGCGGACGGGCGCGTTTGGATTTTGGAAGTGAGAGTTGAATAGTTGTTGATAATGGGGGGATAGCGAAAATCCTTTTCCTTCGTGAAGAGTGACGATCAATATACCGGGTTTGACTGGAGCGACCGGGGGCGAGATCAAAGCCTCCGAGTCGGCTAGAAGACATATATTAGCACCGTGTTTTCTACATAGTTACTCGCTAGAGCCACATTGGAGGGGTCGTACCAATTCCATTGGAGGTCTGTGATACTATACTGGGTCGTTGTGATGGTGTCGGGGTCTCTTCGGCAGGTTCACCCTTGATGGTCGATGTGGACGATGAACGACCAAAAGACTGAGCTAGAGGCGCCAGATGCGTTTCCTTCAGCTCTGTTAAGTGTTAGCAACAAGATTTTGATTGAATATCACGAGATCATCGCCTCATCATCATAGAGGGTTGATAGAGTTGACCACATACTCTTTGTGAGTCTCCACGACATGGTGTCTGGCTTGGTCTTTCCAAATCCCAAACGACTCGCCCTTCAATAAAGAATAAGACACAACAATGCCGAAACGCTTCAACTTCCTTTGCAAGACAAAAGAATCTGTTTTGAACAAGGTGAGAGTATGGGGTGCTGTCAGTTGTTGCTGGGGTACCAATGGAAAACAACGGTTGCCGATCAGCCACACTCCCAACACCGATAAGCGACCACGAGGCTAGACTATCAGTACAAGAGAAAGCCGGAATATATGAGTTCGTTCGATTCTAGATACGACGAGGAATAACTTGAGAGAGGGAAGTGAAGTCTGAGATGGCAGACTCGGTTGTCAAAGAAAAGCCAGGTCCCGTAGGGAGTGTTGTATTATGCACTAGTTATGTATCATTACAAAGCAAGCATCGCTAAGAATTATTCACATTACAGGCGTATGATTAGGTGTTATGCCTGCAAATTCAGGCCCCAACAGGAGGCGGGGCGAGTCGGTGAGAAATTCTAATCAGACCGAATATCAGGATAATGAGGGGTAGGTGTTCTATTTCCTCCGGGCTGTTTACTTAGGCTAATCACCATTCTCTTGTAGAAGAAACAAAGAATAACGTGATTCTGCTACTGGCCATTCATCGATAGAGAGTATTGATTGTAATTGAAATACTGAATACTGAAAACTCTTGTCAGAGACAGTCTCACATTGATGACATGCCACTCTGAGGCTGCGCAGACACAGCCACACCGTCAGCCAATTAAGTTTCGGTCTGATCTCCCTCCAGTGGCCATGCCTAATTCGTATCTAGAGTCTTGGCAAGCAGATCAGTCACGTGCATCTCACATGATCCATGTCAAGACGCAAGGGCCAAGGGCGTTTGCGCTTGCCATGTCGCGCTTACTCAGTCGCATCCCATGACTAGAACTCATCTCAACGTCGTTCCTAGAATTGGCAACATCAAAATACCTACGCCAACCAAAATAACACCCTCACAACGCCCAAGCCACTTTCCTCACCTCAACAGACTCTACCCGCGACCCTTCATTCTCATCTCATTCGCCACCACCTGTGTTCTCGTACCTGTCCATCGCAACTCCACTTAGGCGCGGAGATCGGTCGTTCGATATCATCCAAACCCTACTTCAAAACACCCCTATCAACAATAACTCTCGGGAAGAACTCATAGCGCCTCTCCATTCTCTGGAGGGCACACGAATATCTCCGAAACGGACCCGGACAAGGCGGAGGATGAGACAAACAACCAATCCATGGGTGTAATCCGGAAGAAGACCGCTACACGCGGTACGGAAGGCGGTACTAAATACCATTGCGATGTCTGCTCTGTAGATATTACGTCGACCGTATGTATAGGTATCTGTTTCTGGTTATAGAGTGTTGTGCTGACAGCCATTTAAGGTTCGGATATCCTGTGCCCACCCGTCCTGTCCTGAGTACGACCTATGTGTGCCTTGCTTTGCGGCTGGCGAATTCTCCAAAAACCATGACCCTCGTACACATCCTTTCCATGTGATTGAGCAGAATTCAGTACCAATCTACACAGAAGATTGGGGTGCTGATGAGGAACTTCTCTTGCTTGAAGGTGCTGAGATCTACGGGCTAGGTTCATGGGCCGATATCGCGGACCATATCGGCGGGTACCGTTCAAAAGAAGAAGTCCGCGATCACTATATCGATACATACATCAACAGTCCCAACTTTCCACTTCCAGCTCGTGCCGATCCGGAAGATAGATCTCTTCAAGATCAGATATCTAAAGAAGAATTCCAAGCTCGCAAGAAACGGCGCATCGAAGAGCGCAAGGAAGCCGCCAAGACTGCGCCACCTGCTACACCAAAACAGAAGCCGACTGCTAGTGTGCCATCATGTCACGAAGTACAGGGGTATATGCCTGGACGGTTGGAGTTCGAAACCGAGTTCTGTAACGAAGCGGAAGAAGCTGTACAGCATATGCAGTTTGAACCAGGAAATGGCCTCAATGAAAAGGGGGAAATGGAGCCTGAGATGGAGCTGAAGATGACAGTGATGGAAATTTACAATTCACGATTGACGCAGCGAACTGAACGAAAGAAGATCCTATTTGAGCACAATCTACTTGAGTACCGGAGAAATATTGCTCAGGAGAAAAAACGAACCAAGGAAGAGAAGGAATTGTTAAATAAAGCGAAGCCATTTGCTCGCATGATGAACCATGCAGATTTTGAGGAATTTTGCAAAGGTCTTGAGTATGAGCACAATTTACGGTTGGCGATAGCACAATTACAAGAATGGCGTCAATACGGAATCACCGATCTGAAGAGTGGCGAAAAGTATGAGCAAGAAAAACAGCAAAGAGCGCAAAGAGCTATTCCTCAAGGCTCGTTTGATCGATTTGCTACATCCTCACGTCCATCGAAACAAGTGCAGCAGCCCGAGGGACCATCCCAAGCGAGCCTACTTACTACCCCAGAACTACCATTACGATTCCAGAAGACCACAAAGTCTGCAGCAACTGAAGCAAACGTACCACTCAACGACTTCGATCTTGCCTTCGCCGCCAACGGTGACGGCTTAAGTACCCCTCAACCAGCAACGAAGACGAAATACGTCGTGCAGCCGTTGAACGGGGTCCCTCAATGGAAACTAGAAAACGAGGGTGCATCTGACCTCCATCTCCTAACAAAAGAGGAAATCGAACTATGCAATGCAGTTCATGTGCAACCCAAACCGTACCTAGTCATCAAGGAGGCGTTACTAAAAGAAGCAATGAAACAAAACGGCACATTGAAGAAGAAAGATGCTCGAACTATCTGCAAGGTATGTTATCTCTTCCTGGTCAGTAAAAGTATGCAGTCGACTAACCCGTTGAAATAAGATCGACGCTGCAAAAGCAGGCCGAATATTTGATTTTATGGTACACAGCGGCTGGATCGTTAAGGGTTGAAGAGAGACCACCACAATTTTTATCATTTCAATAAGACATATGATATGACTTCATGCATTCAAGCAACAATGTTTTTACGAAAGCCTTGACGACTTTATCTTCCGTTTCACATATTCTACTTTCGCCAACTACGTACTTGCAACACCAAATTGTGAGGGGAGAGATCACTACAGTAGAACCTGGCTATAATGAACGGAAGGCCGTTCCATATTTCCACTTACATCGGCTTGAATATGACTTTAATATGGAACTAAAGAGCATACGATTTATTAGTACTAGAATGGATCAATATATTGGAGGTGCCCTTTCATTCCTAAATCGAACTTCATTCCGGACCCATGGATATATAGACTTGGATCCTGCAGGTGGGAGGGCTTCTGTTTGTTATAGCCAGGTTCTACTGTATGGGGCATAGTTAACGATTTTGATCAAATGATATGGAATTGGTTATTAATCTAAACAGCACATGGCTGATGATTCTCACTGCTAAGACACAAAAGCACGCAAATATGCGGCATCATCGTAGGACAGATATTGGAAATAGTCAACTACGAGGTAAAACATGATCTCACTAATGGTACGAACCGTATCCCCGTGGGAAATCGTATGGGTGCTTCTGATTTGAAGAATCCCACGTGTTTAATGTCAACTCTCAAATTCGGGCCTGCGGTCTGTCCTCCACGTATCAGGAACGTTGCTCACAATGAAAATATGATGGTGCGATGAGAAACTCGCCGCTGACCCTACAGGGAGGAGCATCCTACTTTGACTCCGCCTGAACCTTCTCAAAAACCTTCAGAACATGTTGGTAGAGGGGGTGACCGGTCTCGAGGCCGGTAATCTGTTGAGTGGCATCGGCGGCAGATTTCTCCTTGAGGATCTTGGCGAGTTCCGCGCTCTCGTCATCGCCCTCGACGTTTTGGAACTGAAGAGCTTTCTCGATAGACAAGAGCAAAGCGTCGAACTTCATGCCACGCTCAGCCAGTTGCGCAGCCGGACCGATGAAACGTTCGTTGCGAGAAAGCTTGCGCAATGGAGCGCGGCCGACACGCTCGACAACGTCCTCGAGGTAAGGGTTAGAGATACGAGAAACGATGGTCTCAACATACTCCTTCTGCTCCTGCTCAGTGATTTCGTGCTTGCTGACAATCAGGGATGCAGTCTCGTCCAAAGCGGCGTGAACTTGCTTGTGAATTGTCTTATCAGCCAAAGCATCGTGAATGGTCTTTTTGCCCAATTGGTAGCCATAGTAAGCGGCAGTCGCGTGACCAGTGTTGACAGTAAAGAGTTTGCGCTCAATGTAAGGCTCGAGATGGTCGACCCAGTGGATGGCAGAAATGTCAGGGTGACCGTATTCACCGAACGGAGTCTGTTCGACCACCCACTCGTAGAACTTCTCGATACGAACGTTGAGACCTGCGTTCTCGGGTTGAGTAGGTACGATACGATCGATCGCAGAGTTAGCGAAGCGAGCACGCTTGGGAAGAGTGTCGAGACGAGATTTGTCAAGGCGTTCCTCGATATGGCCGCGAAGAGTATCGGTTGCATTGATAGCGTTCTCGCAAGCGATAACAGCAAGGGGGCGGTCTGCCTCACGAGAGTCAATGCCCTTAGCAATGACGGGAGCAATGAATTTCAGCACATTTGGTCCGACGGCACAGGTGACGACATCGGCAGTAGCAATCTCCTTGACGACCTCTGGCTCTTGGGTCTTGGAGCTCAAAGCACGGAAGTTGGTGATGGTCTTGGTCTTTTCTCCCTCCTCGCTGATCTCAGTGACCTCGTAAGACTTGGTGTTGTTCAGGGACTCAATGACTTGAGGGACCACATCGATGAAGACAACTTCGTAGCCGGATTGATGCAGGAACTCAGCAACAAAGCCACGGCCAATGTTGCCGCCACCAAACTGGATTGCTTTTTTACCCATGGTTGGAAGTGATGATCCGAGCTGATGCGCGTATTACAGATCAAAAGGATGAAGTGGAGAGACAGAGACAGCTAGCTGTTCTGTGATGGAATGCTCGCTGGAAGGTCTGCAAAGAGGGGTATGGCAGAAGTTGCGAACTGAAGGAGAGGAAGAAAAGAGAAGAGAAAAAAAACAGGAGAGAAAAGTTGAGGTTGTTTATGGAAAAGGAAGGAGGGGCAATCCCAACCATGACAAAGCTTTTGTCAGGTTGGTCGCGCGCCTTCCTCAGGGCAACCATCTCATCCCATCGCGCCTGCCAAACGCAACGATGTCATAGCGGGGCCATCCATCGTGCCTCCCCACCGGCTATTTCCTTCAACAACATACAGAGAACGCTGTCTTCTCACATATTACACCCAGTATAGTTGATTATCACTCTGCTTATTCACTCGCTATGACTACTAAATACCTGATTCAGAAGCGACATCCCGCCAGACGACGCAATCCCTGTACGAGACGCCCGGGTCCTCAACGTTCATTTGCGCCTCCCCGGTGAGAGCTTTGGCTGCATCACATGCGAATCAGATGTCTCGCTGTGATCGCCAAGGACTGCAGTAGTCCGACTCTGCGATACAACAGAGGAAATTAGGCAGTGACACAAGAACGACTGCTCATATTGCGCAGAATTATCGGGAGAATGCGGGGGCGGGGCTTGCTGCTATATACCTGACACTGGTTTGCCCTTGTTCGGTGGTGTGCTAGTGGCCATCTGTTCAGGCAATTCTGTGCTCAGGAATTCATTTCTTCAAGGGCGACCACAGGGTGGTCTGAACCGTGACGTCCAGGTTACATAGGATGCAAGCGGAACGAATCCAATCCATCCATTGTGTTGCGGCAGTACCGGAGATACATCGTACCAGCAAACCTACCTAGCTAGGTATCCAGGTCCTGAAACAACAAGCCTACCACTGGTTACGCAGGCCCGGGAAAATGTCGTTTTAGCTTCAATCCTGACAGGCTCTTCGGTGCGACAAATTACGCAAATAAATACCGCAAAGCGGTATATAAGCTAGGTTGTCTTGCGATCAAAATAACTCAGTTCACCGGGCTACCATTATCGACCATTCAGTCACCGACTGGCCAGTAACAAACGAAACATGCCTGCGACGCAGATAGCCGAAGGCATCGCGATCCCGATAATTTTCGCCGTGGCTGGTTAACATGTGTACCCAAAGAAGCCCGATATTGATTTACGGCACTACTGTTTTCTGAAATTCATCCTGAGCGGACGACTGTGATGTAAAAGTTGGTTCGAGTTTAGCATATCCACAAATAAGTACAACATCATACAATCCTCAGCAACTGTCACTTTCTATACATCCTCGATTTCCTTCTCAGAGATAGGGGTGCCGCCAGAGGACGGCAACGTGATGACGCTGATCACAACTGTGAGGAATGAGAGTACAACAGCAGACCATGTCATACCAAGGAAGCTGCTGCCTCCCTTCGCCACTACTCCAAAGCCTTGACCGTGTCGGTTGATGAGATTCACGAACTGAACAGCAATCCCCGAGGCCACGGAGGACGACACCCCCAAGCAGACAAAGCTGAGCTATAAGAGAACAAATGTCAGACTCGGAAAATTGTTGGAAAGCTTTCATTACGTGACGTACCACAACAAAGAATAGATGCGCGAACATGGAGGGCTTTCCTCCAGCTTGCGTAAGAAGAATCTCCATGAGAAAAACGACACCCGTTGATGCCACTCCAATGACATATAACACTGACATGGCTTTGGTAGTCATTTCCATAACCTCAAAGTCGTCCGTGATACTATCCGGCCAGTTTATATCAGATATATTGAATCCAGCCTTGAACCCTGCAGAGAACACTTTGGCCGGATCGAATGCGAAGGGCGCTCTGCGCTTTGAGCAGCTTGTCACCTCCAGCCCGCCCTCCACACTACTTTTGAAGTTGCCTTCGCAATACGTCAAAACGTGTATTGCGTAGAAGTCTTTTAGACCCAGATCTGCCGCTGTCCTGTTCGCTGCTGCCTGGATGGCTGAGGTAGGTTCGGATGCTGATGTATCGAGCTAGTTAACCACAATCACGAATGTCAGCATTCTATTATCATTGAGGAGTTTTACTTTTGATGAAGACCGACCAACACGACACTCGCATTTTGCAGGATCGATTTCTGTGATCCGGCAAATAAACAGAGAGTACTGAGAGTGAACGATACCAAGGCAAACACCTTGGATATCGTATTCAGTGTGAAGATCATAGTGCCTGGTTTACCAAGCAATTGAGCGTAGAGCGGCCAAGCTGTGGTCGGATTCGACTGTCGATGACACGGGTGAGTATATCCAGAGTTCTAGGATTCAATCTATCGAATACAGCAGGCATGGGCGAGCATCGAATCTGAAAGTAAACCCAATATCCACAGAAGAAAAGGAGACACTAACAACATTTTATTGCTTCAAACTATTCGTCTTGACAGATATTCAACAGTGTTCGTCCGGATTAGGCCTCATTACATTCAATCCGTTTTGAAACAGATATACGCGCCAAAAATACTCAATGAGAGTTGATTAGACCACTGAATTAAAGTTTCTTTCATAATATTCATACGTCAGAATCTGTATCGGATCTCAAGATAGGAGAGAAGAACATCTCCAGCCTGAAGCAAGCATGCTCACGATGATTGTGACAGACATTTATATACTAGAAAGCGAGTAGCTGATTGGCTCCTGTATTCAGATGGGGCACATTTCATATTTCCAACCAATGACCATGTACCATACCCAGCCCCCGATGAGAAGGTGAGACCCACTTAGGGCTTGATGAGGAATGTCTGCCACTTTCTGGCACTTCATTAACCCTTTTTTCAATGTTTTTGCCAGTATACAGTATTCAGCTGACATATACGGATGCGTATGCGGAATGAAACTTGATAATGTCCCAATAAGTACGTGAAATCCAGAATATGTGGGTGGCTTACGACTACCCAGATATGTGTAACCAGAATCTTGGGAGGAAACAAGCAATCAATTGGGCCAAATCACGATAGCAAAACACACATACCTACATCCCATGAACGATATTTTCAAGTAATCAACGTAATAAAAGAGTCAAAAAAAGAAGAAAAAGACAAGAAGGTTTATTAATCTAATTCTCACGCTTCAGCTTCAACCTCAACCTCCGCTCCCCCATTAACAGCCGCCTCAGCCTCTCCATTCTCACCATCAATATCAATCAAAGACTCTGAAGATGGTGGTTCAGGTGGCCCCTCTTTCTCAAGACGTAGATATTCATCCCATTCCGGGAACAGATCATCATCAGCCTCGACCCCCTCAACACCGGGCGGAACGCCGATAAGACGAGCGACTTTGGATTTACCGGATTTTTCGAGCGATTCTTTCCATTGGAGGACCAGTTTCGGGGCTTTGGATGGTTTGTAAGTCTGTGCGAATAGGACTGCTTCGGCGAGACGGTTGGTTTGGACTAGGAGGTCAATGCACGCGCCGACGTCGCCGATAGTCCAGAGGGCGGAGAAAGCGACGTTGTGTAGACCAGCAACGGAGGCTTGTTCGGCGAGTGAGCGGAGGCCGTCTGTGTTGCGGCTGGAGGTGTAGAGAAGGAGGAGGGAGCCGAGGTCCTTGGCGTGAGTGAAGCATTCTTGCGCAAGGCTCAGGTCCCATGCGGTTAATGCTGCGTCACCCACGGTCTTCCATTTGTGCTCGACATCGGCTTCGCGTGCGAGTTCGAGGGCAATGTCGAGACGGTTGAGGGAAAGCGCAAGGTCGAAGCGGTGTTCGGAATCTGGTGAGACCTCAAGAGCTAATTCCTTGAATCCTTGACCTTCCAAGAAGCGAGCGATCTTATTCATTTGATCGCGAGGGATGTCGGAGAGTAGCTCAGCGGCAGAGTCCATATCACCTCGGAGGACCAAGGTTTGATACTCAACCACGGACAGCGAAAGTGCGAAGGATACCACTTCAACATCCTTATCGGCGAGGTAGATACGTCCATCTCGAGGCAAGTAGCCAAGGATGTACATCGGCTGATCGAAGTGTGAGATGGTATATGTCTGGTCACCGACCAAATAGTTCAATCGGTTGGTTGAGTTTGTGTAAATAAAACAATCGCCAACCCATTCACCGGTTCGGACGGTCTCGCTAATGTCAGTGACGACCTCGAAGGCAGACTCGACACCGTCTTCGTCAGCTTCTCCAGCATTCAACCCATTGACGTAGTTTTCCCTGGAAAAGCGGAGAATATAGCAAGTATCCTCGCAGGCAAGAGCAACAAGCTCACCAGATTCGGACCAGTAGACCTAGGCTCGTTAACTCAATACTCACTAAATATGCTTGAGGGACACTTACTTCACGTGGCTCAACTTCAATACGTCGGACCAGGTTGCCAGTCTCCCAGTCGAACAAACCAATACCACCCTGTCCCTTGACACCTAGGAGAACACCACCAGAGAGACCCTCGGCCTGGAATCCAACGTCTAGTCCTTCTTTCTGTTCTTTGAAGTTCTTGAAGATCTTGACACTGGTTGCAGACTCGCGAATGGCATAATCGTTACTGTTGTCCCTGGAGCCCCAAGCAAAGTCTAAGGCCTGACCGAAAGCCTTATTACGCCATGCGAGAGCCGTATAGATAATATATTCACCATCACCGCACACGGAGACGAAACGACCGTTTGGAGAGTGAGCAAGGGTTTGAGGATAGATTTCGCACGAACCCAATTCCTTCGTAGGTAAAGCGAGAGGTGCGCCGTCCTTCAAGTCCTCGCCTCTAATAATCGTCGAAACAACTTCGGTGTGTCGTGAATAAATGACTTTGCCAGATCCATCCATGGAGACAGCGGGCTCTTCTCTTCCCATCTTAACGACGACAGCGCCATCATCAAAACCCATCGCAATACCCTGGCGACCCCTTTGATAGCTGACACACCACGCCCGCTCAAGCCCATAGTTGAGCGATTGCTCCAATCTATATGTATTAGCGTGCCAGACTTTGACTGTGCCATCTTCCGATCCGGAAATAATAACGGGGAGTTCTGGGTGGTAGCAGGCAAAGGAAACGTTGCTCGTATGTCCTTCTAGGGTTGCGATCAATGCCTTGGTAGTGTAATCCCACACTTTAACAGTCTTGTCGTCGGAAGTCGTCAAAAGGTATGGCTTATCTGCTTGTCCATAGTAATCCACGCTATTCACACCTTTGGTTTCTGCGAGTTCGTTAGCACTTATCAGTGAACTTCAAACGCGAATGCATGCGGATAACACATACCGTGAGCTTCAAGTGTGTAGTTTGCATGTCCCGAGCCAAGATTCCAGATTTTGACAGTTCGATCTAAACAGGCAGATGCAAATGTGTTTGTATCCTTGGGGTTGATAGCAAGCCCCATGACATAGTGGCTATGACCCTCAAAGACCTGCACGCATTTCCAGCCCTTATCCCAATCCCATAGCTTAATAGTCATATCATCCGAGGCTGTGAGAACGAAGGGTTGGGTAGGATGAACGACGATCGATCGGATATAGTCAGGATGAGCTTCGAATGATGTGATTTTCTCGGATGTGTTATAGTTGTAAACTCGCAATTGGAAATCATCGCTGCCGCACACAATCCAGTTCTTTCGGGCAATGAAACGACCGGCGCGGACGGGAACATCGGTGAGTTCGAATGTTTTAATAATTGACTAGAAGAATAGCCATTGTGGTCAGTCTTTGTGTATCTTCGCATCAATTGGGATGGATTGGAGCTCGAGTGTCATACCTGAGTTTCGTACGACCAGATGTAGACGTGTCCTGAGATGATCAGCAACAAGACAAATTCCTTCTTCCTCCTAAACACAATGCTTACCACTATACAACGTCGTCAAAATCTGTAAATCTGTTAGACAGCGGTCGGTAGAAAGATGCGGTCAGTACTTACCCATGGCTCTGTCGGGTGGAAGTCGATACCCTTTACTCGCTCGGAGCGAGCAAAGAGTTGCCTCTGTGACAATAATTGAGTCAGTCAAATCCGGATCAGACTATGCATATATCGAGGCTTTTCCGCCTCATATCCAAGCTAGCCATTATGCTTACAAAGAATACGCACCTTGATATCGAGCCGCATGTTGATTGTTTGTTGGTATGTTGAGGGGTGTTTGGTGTGTGCCCGTGAGAACGGGCTTGGTCAAAGCGAGATGGCACCACGATATATATGAGTCGTGGAAACCTTCAAATAAATCAATTGCACTGGCAAAAAGGACAAACACCAGTTGACAATAGTGTTGCGGAGCTTTTGTTGTATGCGGTGCGGTGTTGCTTGATCGCGGAGATCATTAATGTGTCCAGTTCGGAGTGGGCTGTCCCAAAGGGGATTAGTGGATACCAATCTGAATTTCATTTGAGCTCAATATAGGACACCAGGACTGAATATCATGTGCTAGATACAAGGCTTTTGATTATAGAATTGAGTTGATTAGATCGAGCAGAGCTAAAGACTATAGTCAACATAACCCGGTTCCTCTATTATCCAGCCCCCTACTGCTTCGCCGTTCAAGTTGGTTACTTTATCATTCCTAGGCAACTAACCTTTTTAGAATTCGACGAGCCCATTAAGTGTCAGTTTCAAAGCTCTATTGCTGACAAGATTGTTGAAGACCGTTAAGGCATGAAATTGATCTTCTCTAGACAATTAATCACTATAAATACATCTATACTCAAGTTAGCACGATCAGGGCTTTCCAGGAGTATGTGTGTCGCGAGAGAAATATGTCCATTGTCCGGGCTGGGGCTTTTCAGCAAGCTCCTCCCACCTGTTCATTGATTAGCGATGGCTGCGACGAATTTCTACGAATTCAGTAACTCACACTTTGGCCTTGGCCAATTCGTCGACGAGATTCAGTTCCCCTTCGGCCACTTGAATAACTTCCTCAATCAGACCAGCGCCAATCTTATTTTCGATGTCGGCAATTCTATAACATATTAGTGCAATCCTGATCGAATGCGGCGAAACATTAATGGATTTAAGAAAAGACTTACTGTTGTGCCTCCAACGATGGCTCACTCTCCCAATTGATAGTCTCTTGATGAAAATCAGATGCGCTCTCGGGTTGGGTAGCCTCTTCAAGAATTTTTTCCCACTGAGCGACTTCCTCTGGTGTCCGCGTAGGTCCCTCGGTAATAGGTCCAACAGCTCCGTCCCATTCTTGTGCCTTTGTGCCGCCGTGAATGTCATCCTGTTGAATTCCTGCAAAGATTCCATTTGCCAAACGAGCCTTCTTGAACTGTTCGGGGTTCTCGGCGACAACCTTCTTCACGCGCTGCAGCCATTCGTCAAAACCGGGGGGCTTGGTGGATTCGATAATTGAGAGGCGGTGACGGGTAAGAGCTTCTGTAGATTGACGATAGGCTGAAGACTCAGGGAATTGTTTAAGTTTCTCGAGAGTCTGGGTATAAAGGAAGATAAGTGTCGAGCGAGGACTGGGATGTGTAACCAGTCCGGTCAAACCGGTTGGAGCAAAAGGCTCCAAGTACCGGGCTTGCTTGACATTGGCGAGTAATCGTAGAGCTGGCCTCATCTTGAGACAGCGCAATTGAGCGGCAGATATGAATATGAATTGATCTCAGTTCCGCGGCTCCGAGACGCAATTATTGTTCGAAGCGAGCTGGGGTTTGCTGTATCTGTATGCTTGACGTTGACCCGAAGTCGTGCAGCCGGAGCGGATAAACTGGTTTCGCGCCACGCCCGAAAGGGATAGATCGCCCCGTCCTCAAGTTCCAGGAGTGCCACCTTTCGATGTTGCACATCATCCTGCTATCTCATCTCTTTGACGTCCCTGTCCACGGCTTCCGGCCTGTGGTATAATCTTCTACAATCGTACAACTTTCTACACTTTCTTTCAGAAAAATTTTGCATTGCGTCCATTGAAAACCCGTCATCAACCCTTATCGATCCGCCGGTCGTGACAGCTCGACTGGAATACAGATGTATTGAGGACTTTGATGAATCATCATCTTTCAGGAGGTTCTCCTTTCAGCCACTCGCTTGTGACACCGCCGCCATTATGAAGTCGTCTCTGTTGTCCTGGACCCTCTTTTCGCTCGCTATAGTCCCTTCGCTAGCTACAAATGTCTTCAAGAGAGAAGAGGGAACAGTCGCTGAAGATGGGCCCGCCAATACGATTTTCAATGGAGTTGAAGTTCCACCACAATTGGAACTGACCCAGGATAACTTTAAAAGTGCTATTTCAGATGGATACTGGTATGATTCAGCACTAGTCAGCTTGATCTTTGGTGAAACTTCTAATGATAAATCAATAGGTTTGTTAAACATTTCTCGCCATCCTGTCCGCACTGCCAACAGATTGCGCCTACATGGCAAACATTATATGAATTCTACTATGTAAGGAATATCAGGGAATACTTATCGTTACTCAGTACTGACTTGTTGCAGACCTCCAACCCACTCTCCTCCTCTTCCGCCAAATCTCCGGACTCGGGTGCATCACTGAACTCGTTCACAGGATATTACGATTTCCATTTTGCGGAGATGAATTGCTTGGCTTTCCGAGATTTATGTGTGCAATTGGATATTAAATTCTTTCCTACGTTCTCCCTCTATCACAATGGTGAACTGGTTGAGCAATATTCCGGCAAAAAAGATATGCAAGGATTGAGCGATTTTATCGAAGAGAAGCTGGAACAAATACGTCCTGGATCTCGCCCTGCCAGTGGACTCAAATTGCCTGAACCAGGCGCCAAGAGCGTCGATGTCGCCGCTGAGCCAGATGTTCCCAAAGCAAAGGATAAAGATCCTGCCGCTGGCGTCAAAGCTGCCGAAGATCATAATGAGAAAATCTCGCAGTTGACGGAAACGACGGATAAGAAGGAACCAAAACCTGCTTCCAAAACAACTGAAAAGAAACCCGAGAGGCCCGTGAATAACTACAATCCTCAAGGAAGTTCTGTTCCTTTAACAGCTGAGAGCTTTCAAAAGTTTGTTACACGAACGCGCGATCCCTGGTTTGTGAAGTTTTATGCTCCGTGGTGCCATCATTGCCAAGCTCTGGCTCCTGCCTGGCAAACAATGGCTAAGGAGATGCAGGGGAAGCTCAACGTCGGTGAAGTCAATTGCGACGTGGAAAAGCGACTCTGCAAAGATGCCGGCGTCAAGGGCTTTCCCACAATGTTATACTTCAAGGGAGGGGAAAAAGTCGAATATGAAGGTCTTCGTGGGGTGGGCGATCTTATCAGTTACGCTCAGAAAGCAGTAGACACTAGCGCCGGTGTCAAATATGTGGATGCAGCGACATTCAAGGAAATGGAGGAAACCGGTGAAGTCATCTTTCTCTACTTTTTCGACAAAGCAACAACTTCCGAGGACTTTGCAGCCTTGGAGCAGTTGGCTTTACCTCTTGTGGGACATGCTCGGCTGGTCAAAACCGATAGTGAAATACTGGCGGACAGATTCAAGATCTCGACATGGCCTCGCTTGCTTGTTGTCAGAGACGGAAGGCCAACTTACTTCAATGCTTTGGCCCCGTATGATATGAGAGACAATCCTCGCGTCTTGGAATGGATGCGAAATCACTGGCTGCCGATTGTACCGGAGCTAACGGTATCGAACGCAAAGGAAATCATGCAAAACAAATATGTCGTCCTCGGTATTCTCAGCCACAAGCGGTCCGATGAGTTCCGTCTTGGTCAGGCCGAATTGAAGAATGCTGCTTTGGAGTGGATGGATAAGCAAACCCAGCTGTTCCGTCTGGAGAGACAGGAGCTCCGAGATGCCAAACAATTGCGCATTGAAGAGGCTGAAGACCGTGATGATCAGCGAGCTTTACGCGCTGCAAAGAGCATGCATATCAACATTCGAGAGGAGGACAAGAAGCAAGTCGCTTTTGCTTGGGTTGATGGTGATTTCTGGGACCGCTGGTTGCGCACTACGTACGGAATTGACGTGAAGGACGGTGAGCGAGTCATAATCAATGATGAAGATGTAAGTTGGCCTTCAGACCTTGTCACAGGGAGAGTGTTTCTTTCTAACGAATATTCTTTACAGAACCGGCGCTACTGGGACAGCACTAGTAGCGGTGCTCACATCATGCCATCCCGAACTTCAATCCTCGAGACCATCCCCTTGGTAATTAGCGACCCACCAAAGCTTCGATCCAAATCTACAATTGGATTCTTTGAAGCTACGTTTTTCCATACCAAGTCTTTCATCACCACTCACCCTATTTGGTCCGCCATTATCCTTGTTATAAGTTCCATTGCGATCTTTATCACAAATCGCAGGAGACTACTCAGACGAGGACTCCCCACGCATGGAAATAATACTAGTGGTGGCATCCTCGGATACGGAGCTGGGACTGGCGGTGGCGGCTTCTTTAGTCTTGACAGTAAGGAAGGGTTATTGAACGGAGGATCAACTGGCAAGGTGGATTAGTGACGAATTATACATGGTGTTTTGTTTTCGTGTTTATGTAACTTTCTTTTTTTATTATAAGAATTCTTTTGTGTACTATGTTTTTGGTTGCAGTCTTTTGAGCTTTTCCATGAATATACTAAAGAGTGTGAGAATGGGATTTTCCCCATCAACTTCATATATTCTCCCTTTTCTCTCTTGGTGCTGATACGGATTGTTTTCTGGTTGCTTTAGCGAGTTCCCTAGGTATAAATTGGTTGATGGCTTACATTTGACGCTGGAACTATTGGATATTTCATGTCTTCCACATAAGCAATGGATATTCAGGAAGGAGATCAAGAATTGCGATGATAATATGGAACTAATTCTGATATTAAGTGTATATACAAGTAAAGCACTGGACGAAATTCCGTCACCCTCGACCTAATGAGTTCAAGTTAAAGCGACTTTACTATCAGCGCCATCCTTGGAGACAGCGGCAGTAGCATTCTCATCATCCTCCTTCTCCTCCTGGGACGGAGGCACACCCAGAACATCCTCAACCCCATACAAAGCATGCTCAACATTAACCTTGGGACCTTTAAACCACTTTCTCGCATCAACAACCCACCAAATCGTAACCGCCAACATGGGAGCCCCATACACCAAACAAGTCCAATTCATCAAATCAGCCGTCAAATCACTACCCGTCATACTGGGTAAACACAGGATAGGCAACATGAGCAACACAAAAGCCGCTCCCGCAGCACCGATGGGCTTACTGAATTTCCCCAAATTCCATGGTCCAGGTCTAAACCGATTACCGACGATGAATACCCTGATAGCGATGGGGATTGCAAAGGCAATGAATTGAGCGATTGCGCCGATGCTGAATAATGCGCCGATTGCGACGCTGCCGCCGAAGATTAGGAGGCACATTAGGATACCCAGGACGCTATTGAGGATGACTGCGTTGACGGGTGTTTGGGTACGGGTGTTTACTTGTTTCCATAATCCGGAAAGGGGGAAACAGTCGTCACGGGCGTAGGCATAGGTCACTCTGGAAGCGGCAACCATGCATCCCTGTCCCATTGAGAAGCCGCAGACAATTGTTAGAGATAAGATGGCTATTGCTGTCTTTTGCGGTAGGACCTGTAGTAGGTACGAGGCCCATGGTTGACCCAAGTCAGAGCTTATAACGGAATCGATATCGGTCACGGTGTAGGCGACGACAAGCTGCAGGAACCAGCCTAGCAGGCCGCCGATGGCGGATGTCATTGTGATAGCGCGCGGAGAGGCGATGTTTGCGTTGGAGCATTCCTCGGATAAATGGAAAGGGGAGTCGTAGCCTGACATGGTCCAGATGACGCCTACGAAGGACATGAGGATGGCAACACCGTCGGGGTAGTCGGTGCCGTTGTGGATTGTGCCCCAGACATCGCTCGACGATGAGAATTTGGGGTGGTTGCTAGTCGCTGCTGGAATAGTGATGAGGACGATGACTAGCGCGATGATATTGAATGTTGAACCCCATGAGTTGAATGTTGCGATCCACTTGGTAGGCATGCTGCTGACCATGGTGTGGATGAGGAGAATAAGCACAGTAAGAAGATACACTTGCCAGTTTGTCGGGACGTAATCCGGGTTGTTGATACTGGCCGCAGCGAGAATCATAGCGGCTAATGCGTAGTCGACTGATGGGGCAGATGTTACTTGTCCGATCCAGTTTGACCAACCTGTGATCCAGGCCGCAAAGGGGCCGTAACCGGGTGGTGCGAGGACAGCTGCTGCATAGTATAGACCGCCACTGTACAAGCCATATAGTCAATACGGAACTGCCATATCCTGGTATAGATGAAGATTGTCGAAACATACCTGGTCGGCATCGCAGAACACAACTCCGCCATGGCCATAGCAACGCACTGAATGAAAATCATGGCAATCAACCAACCCCAAACCATACCACCCGTACCGGCGTAACCCATGCCATAATACAATGTACTCGCGAACGAGGGGAGAAGCCCCAAGACGGCAAAACTGACACAGAAAGTCGTCCACAATGAAAACTCGCGCTTGAATTCTTGCTTGTAACCCAACGCTACCAGGACGGCCTCGTCAGGGTTCAACGCATGATCGGTTATGGGCACGTCGCCATCTGGGAGGACTGAAGTGACTGGGGCATGGTCGACATCACGATATACTTTCGTTGGTTCTTCCGTATTTGCCATTCTGTGTATGCGCTCATTTGCTGGCGCTTTCTTCTCGAGAATGTACAGACGTGTAGCACAGTTTAATGTCCAGAAGTATGATGCGCTTCCGGGTATTCCTTATGTGTAGGAACAGCACTGTGTATAGCAATATCAGTATAGGGGTTACAAGAACGACAATCCATCTGACTTTATAACCGACCGGAATTAACGGTAGATATCAGCAACCTCATCAAAACTATCTCGATCACCTCCGCAGCGCTAGTATGCGTATGGGATGTCCATGCGAGCACCCATCCTATATGACAGCCACCAGAGATAAGGGTTACACATTAGCCTCGGGGGTTCCAAGAAGGTTCTGAGCTAGGGTGTGTCAAGGCGCAACCCCATAGTCGTTCCATGGCATTGGCAATGATGGCATACGTAGTGACTTACCCACTGACTCGCAAGGTCAATAAGGAGATTATCCCATTTGGTTGGGTAGGATAACGACTCCTTCATGTCATTTGGTTGGGTGGTGGTTGGCCTTCCACGCGACTTGGAGATGGCGTTGAACTAAGTCCGTTATCGTGGCAGGACTCATTGCTAATTCCCCGTAGTCATCGAGGTAGTCAGTGCACGGCAATTGAAACATAGCGCATCTCACGTGGAAGTTGATTCGAAGAATTCAAGGCCAAGCTGTCGTTAACTGAACTTAGACACTGGTGACTGTAATGGGAGGTATGGAGGACCATAGGACGATCCGTTTCTCCACAGATAAAAGAAGATGCTTATCATGGCTGAGAGATAAGCGCCAAGGAGCCACACTCCTGGCACAAATCACAGCCCAGAATTGCCATTGTTCGACGCCTGAAGTTTCCCTCATTGGTAAAGTGTGGCTGCTGGGGATAGAGATGGTCAGATCAGTGACCTGAAAGGGTTACTGGCGTTTCTCTAAGGTTTACATCTGCTAGCAATCCGGACAAGCATTATGATAGCTACCCACTGATGAATCATGAGGGTATGTTTCAGGTCATTAGATATCGTACTGTTTCGTATTGCATAGGAATATTCGGTGTTATGGACCAATAATCGCTCGCACACAAAGGAAATCGACGGATTGATGTCTATATGCTATCAAGGTTGTTTTATATTCTACACAAGCGGAGCCATCTTGTAGTTTCAGATTTGTTCCTTTCGCGATCTGCTCACAAGCTTTGTCACCACCAGGTGGTGGTATGATTCCCGTCTAAAAAGGGCGCACGCGCTTAGAACGGCTATTCATATTGTTAGTAAAGATACGAATACGAAACAACATGAGCTCAAGGGAAAGGTCGGTCGAAAGAAAACTTACGTTGTCCTCAGGAGCAACAGTGCGGTCCAAGTACTTGTCGAAGAAAGGAAGTCTCTGAAGGATATCTTTCCTGACACGAGGAACTTCACCAAAGAAGAAGACGGCGAAGAGACCGGCGGCAACACCGAATCCGCCAGCAATAGTGCCGCTACATCCGAGATATGGTCAGTCAGTATGGTCCCAGGCCTGAGACTCCGATAAATCACAGGAAACTTACGCCTTGGTGAGCTTGGGGAGGGTTATGCCATGCCAGTGGGTAGCAATGGTGTATCTGGTAGGTGATGTCAACGTCAGTCCATCTTGTCCATTCATACCGCCACGTCAATTCTTGACCGAATCAAGCATTTCCCATTGATCAATTTCTTTTCACTCTTTCCACCTAGTACGGGTTTGCTGTATTCGATTGAAAGACATGGCGGAACATCGAACGGGTACTCACTGAGGTCCGTAAGGGGATCGGTACGGAGGAGAGTATGAAGCGCGCTTGAGCAGGTTTTGAGCGTGAGGAGAGTTGTAGACAGGCTGTAGAAATGGAATAGTTAGCAATACATTCACTCAGTAGCAAGGTCCACACGCTCTCCAGAATTGTTTGGAGAGCTGCCGAGGGTTGTGTAAACGTTTGATGCTGTCATCAACCGAGCTTGCCAGTAGACATCGCACTCGCGCCATTGCCCTGAAGAAATTCCGATTCACAGCCCACTGAGTACTTCTTCGGAGGGTAACGTACCATTTTGGCGTTCTTGACCGGACAATTGAGTATATCAAATAGTCTGGGAAGTAAAGTAGTTCTTGAAGTGCCGTCGAACGAAAACCGGAACTCCATCACGGAATCGCGGGTGATTTAGCACGCTATTCCTGTTTAGGAATAGCGAGTGCTTACTGAGTCACGTGACCCTATAGACGGTCACTTCGGATGTCAGACGTCAGTTCATCTTATCAGTAGAGCGTCTTGTCACGTTGCTTATTCCCAGGATGGCTCAGAGTAAATGGGCAGTTTTAATTCTGATTGAGCGGTGAATTCCCTTGGAATAGTACAGGTTTACAACTGAATCTCGCGGCATGTCAAACACAAAACAAACTTCAGCACTGCGACGTCGATTAGCCTGCGACCGTTGCCATTCATTTAAACTTAAATGTCCAAGGCCATCCCTTCGGAATGATGATACATGTGCACGATGTCTCAAAGCAGGAGTCGCCTGTTCATATAGTCCCTCAATGCGAGGCCAGGTTCGGCCAAAACAGATGCCGGCGTTGACTACTTCTAGTATCATTCCTGTTGATAATTTCAATAAGAGCTTTGACAGTGAATTCTTGATGCCCGCGTTTGATGCAAATGGTACTTTTTCATGGCCCTCATCAATGGGGTGAAATGGCTGATAGTTGTTAGATGACATATTTGACAACATGGTTATGGACTGGGCTGTTCCTGAAGACGGCCTCTTGATTGATAATTTCGAGTCAACGTCTCAGCTTCAACCCTCAGCAGCAGATGCCAGTACAACAACCAGTACGGGGAATGAGGTCGTTTCGAGCCACAAAAGCGATGGCAACTCCAGAGACGATCAGATCCACATTCTAGAACACGAACCAGTACAGAGACCAAAGTCATCACCTCATTACCTTGGCATGGATGTACCGGAGGCACTGCAGTCACCGAATATTTTCCTGCAACTGACGAATATGTCACTTATATTGGAGTCTCTCGCACGACAACTTCCGTCGTTTAGAGTTCACGATCAAACAAGAAATACAGAAGAGACACAGCCGGAACTGTCTCAACATACCGAATCCGATGACGAGGTGAATTTTGGTGTAGGAAAAACTTATGCCATGACGCACAAACTCGCTGATATCTACGTATCAATCATCGAGCCGACAGAACAGCGAAAGCAACTGTGCCACGACAACATCCTGGATCCAATACCGATGGACTCGATTGATTGTTCGTTATTATGGCTGCTGTTCTCATGCCACAATCGACTAGTAGACCTATGGCATGCGATGTTGTTACACGCAAAGATGGTCCACGACACAGACACGGACTCTCATGGCCACAAAGCACGATGTGCTCGTTTCAAGATGGGCTCATACGAGCCGTCGTCATCATCGACCGTTGTTGCGATGGAAATAATTGTTCTGCAGGAACTTGCTATGCATCTTGCAGCCAGGTTAAACGATCTTATTGCTATAATAGAATCAACTGACGAGACCAATGGTTCCGGGGACGCAGCACAAGATAACTCGCAAAGTCTCAAGGCAACCGTTCTGATGGCAAAAGCACTCCATGAGCGGGCTTTGGCCATGCGCACGGAAATCTCTCAACTGAAGAGCATGCTGGAGGACTCCATTGCTAAACGATCTTCTGCCAGAAAAGGACAATAGTCAATACTGTATGCCAGTCCATACCACGTAATATCAAGTCTACAATCATACGATGAGTGCGGGGAAAGCCACGCTTTCCACTGGCAGACATGTGATTGGAGGGGAACCATATCATCCCACACTATACAGTAGTAGTTCGCTGTACAGCACAGTCTGGACCGATTCATTCCGATGAGTAGCATCTCGAGAAGACGAGGGGAGTATTCGGCTTACCGGAAGAGTGCAAGTTCGCTGTATAGATCGCACTTCTAGAAGCAAGACTGCAGATGATGGACGACCACGACCTATAGACGGTCGATATGTAAAACTAGCAATGTACAGAGATCTGATCAATAAGTCTTCTTCTAAATCAAAATGAAAGAATAGTTTATGTTCTATACCCAGCCATTAAGCGCCTCTCAAGCGCCTCTATAGCTCAGTGGTAGTAGCGCTGCACTTGTAGTGAAGGTCTTTTTGCCCTATGAAGGTATGCAGAGGTCGAGTGTTCAATCCACTCTGGAGGCAGCCTTTACCTTTTTTTACTAGCTAGTCACATAAAATCACATAAATAGTTAAATTTTCATCTTTTGAAGCTTTTATTGCCTTTATTAATTATAAGTACTATTATTATGATAAAGTCCAATGGCCTTAATAGCTCGGTGGAAGAGTGTACCGTTCTCCGCAGCTAAGACGTCAGCGGGAGACTCCGGGATTCCTTCACCTATCAGACATTTCATTAATCTAATCCATCCATCTAACCGCCTGCACACTCTTGATTTCTTGGTTTGACGGCTCGGTCTACGAAATAGAAATAGACTGCACGTCTACTGCCATATCGCCTGGCGCGATTTCTATCTACGTTTACGACCAAGAATTTGATTGCAGCCGATCAACGAATGTTCCACTCAGACTCCTCCAAAATGTCGACAAATCGCCCATTTCTGGCGAATTTCCTCTCCGCATTTAGAGCACAATCGGCCTTCAAAGCATCCTCAGCGGCAGGTTCGCAGACTTCTTCGCAGATCTCCTCCGGTGCGCGAGCAATAGCCACCAAGGCGACGACCTCATCATCATCTCCATCGTCGAGTACATCACCTACTACACCCTCATCTTCATCACAAGGCGTATCTACAAATTCCTCATCATCATCAACGACCTCGCAACATCATCACCATTCACATCATCGCTCACATCATCATAACCACCACCACCCTCCACACCATCGACCTTCGCCGTCCACCACACGCCCACAATCACATAGTCGCTCACCCCAAACCACACCTACAACAACAGCAACAGAAAGCACATCACCAACATCACCAACATCAACCTCACCAACCTCCGGCCCAATACCAATAGTCTACAACCACGACCGCCGACGTCGTGGAAGCGATAGTTCAAGCGGATCTGGCGGATTTCGAGATGCGCTGGGCCATGAGAAATGGTATATAGGCGGGAGAAGCGCGACGGGTGAAGAGCGGTTTTATAGATTGGGGATGGTGACAAAAGCTGGTGGACGGATAGGGGCGAGTGGGAGGGTGGGGAGTGTTGATCAGCTTAGTTTGTGATGGGAGAAGATTGCGGATGAAAGGGATAAACAAGAAAAAAAAAACCCCCTTGACAATTACGGATCATGCATATTGAATACGATGATGACGACGAAGTCAACCAAGATTCAGCTGAAATATGAAGGATATTGTCTCGACACTTGACCCTGACTCTTCTCATATAACCAAGCCAAAACAAAGGATACTTATTCTTTCCAGCCATCAGACTGTTAACACTGTTCTGTCGTTGGCTACTGGAGAGAGACTTAGAAGGAAAACAAAGGGATAAAAAAAACCACTGGCATATCATGATAGACAGTCTGATATTGCCCCGCTACTTGATTGCAGTATGATGTATGCCTGAGCCGCATCATATATAAATGATCCATGTATCCAAAACATTATCTCTGGTTAATGAAAATGTACTGGTCCTTTATACCGCCAAACCTTCCACACAAAGCAGTCATTCCCACCAAAGGTGGGCTACCTTCTTGAAAAATCTATGTCACCCTGAAAGATAGCTCCAGTCAGTAGGTTACCACCTTCTGCGACATTGTAGTGGATGGTCCCAGTATTATGATTAAAATGGTGGTTCCTGGAAGCGATCCGGGGTATAGAACCAGAGCTTTGACGGAAAGGGGTAGTTGCACTGTCTTCCCTAGATTCCACCTTTTGGTGTTGTTGCTGCTTCTGCTGCTGACCATCGATGTTCTTCTCGATTTCTTCTTCCCATCTGCGCAACTCTCCCTTCACTCTCTCGAATCCGGAGTCCTTCCTAGATGCGAATTTGATCATGTTGATATGGTTACCGTGGATGCTGACGGGATTATAGCCGTCAAAGGTGGCAGAGTCCTTGGACACAACTATTATATTCCTCCGCAACGGCAATAGCTCATGAAAGCATGTCATTTCGATACGCCTGCCACTTCCGTCTTGGTTTATTCCGTTGACCATTGACAAGAATTGGTCCTGGTTGACTTTAAGGAGCTCACTGTCTGTTGCTAGGATCTGCACTAGCTTTGGGTTGGTAGGAAAGAATATGTCAAGGACTTTAACTGGAATGTGCGCCCAGTTTGCCATCCATGATCCTCTATGAGGAGTGCCCATGAAAATGATGCCCTTGGTGCACTCGAAGATGCCCCTAAGATGAGTCTCGGCGCTATTTCGTGAATGCAAGAGAGCCTGTTTACACACAAGACCTCCCAAACTGTGAGCCACAAATATCAATGGACGAGAGGACGCATGTTCACGCGCTCTATCCGTCGTCAAATCAGTAACAAGGTTAGAGGCATGATCGAACAAATTGCTTTTTGCAGCGACCGGTCTGCACGCCACGTACGCATCGTAGCCAAAGGTGAGGATGCGAGCACGTTTGAGCTCGGATGGAAGGAGAGTCTTTGGCCAGGGCTCGGTCTGTCCAGCAGCGGTCCAGGTGCTTTCCCGATCTCCAGTCAGGCCATGCAGAAAGCATATGTCGACGATTGCATCAGGACAATCGTGAAGCACCATGATCCCATCTGGGAATGGAGCAGGCTCGGTGGGCTGCTTATTACGCTCATAGCGAACAAGCTGATTATCGTCCAAAGGGCTCGTTGCTGTATGAGACGACCGTAACCGCAGCAAAGATGGTAAACCCATGGCGGACTGTTTTCTACGTAGTCGGGAAGTTTGTGCTGTAGTATGACTATGACAATAGGGGTTCAGTTTGGCCTTGGAGGAAGTGTCTGTGACTAGGTATTTGGCGGCTTTTATGCTTGAGCAACTCTAGTACCACTCTTATTTGATCAACACGCGAATGCGCGTTCGGTGTATTTGTGTTAGCCAAGGCTCGGACCATCGCTATGCTGTCCTGCTTTTCTAGGTCCATGATGTTTGTTTGTCTCGCGGATAGTTGCTGTACAGATGTACAAGATTTCAATATATCCAAGCGTCCCATGTCTAGTAGGTGCATGGCGGGGCTGGTGTCGGGTCACGTTTGACTGCAAGTATTCTATGGACGAACGGATCGTGTCCAGAGTGTTTCACAAGGCTTAGCATTCAGATGTCGTTGGCCGTCCGAGAGTTACAACAGTGTTGGTTTGTCATCGCTACTCGGGGACGGCGAGTTGTGTATCCCAGCCTTTGAATCCCTGCGGTCGTACAGCATATAATTTCTTCCTCATGGAATCGTGCTGCTCTTCCAGCACCATCGGTTGAAGATAGCTCGACCAGCTCATTAATCTCTTGTCATTTGGGAAGATAGAGAACGGGGAACCAGGAAAAGAAGTGAGTAGGGAGCGTCGACAGGAAGCACTCTGGGATCAGAATTCTTACTGGCAGTTATCTGGTTGAAAGTATTAATCACTTCCTAGAGAACGTGGGGGATGGGTTTACCTACCTCTTGGGGATCTCCCTCGTCCTGACCGGAGACAAAATTACCCAGAAGGGAAGAATGGTATCAATCTCTCGTTCTTCATCCACGGCCGAGGCTCGTTCCTTCAAAAAGCACTACTTGGCTTTTACCGAACAGTCCTTTTCCAGCTTCTTGACCATCTATCAAGCCACGAAAAGAAACCCGAAGCATTGTCGAAGCTTGAGGAGTCCTTTAAACGCCAGTGCGACTCTAGGGGTCCTCTGGGGAAAAGCTGGCATTGGGAGACGGCCCAACTAGCGAAAGAGTTCCAGCTCGCACTTCGCGAAGTCGAGAAGAACGGCCCAGTCTATCTGTATGTTGACGCACTAGATGAATGCGGGGAAGAAGAAGCCAAACGCTTCGCAGCGACTATTGAGAAAATAATAGAAGCCTTTGCAGACGGCAAGCTTCACATCTGCTTCAGCTGCCGACATTATCCACCTTTGATGTTGGAAGATTTGTCAGATATGCGTCGAGGATCATAACCTGTCAGACATCGGCGGATACGTACACTCCCAACTTAATCCCTTTGCCATGCCAGAGATTGCCGACAAGATCATCAGTCTTTCTGTTGGTAACTTCATGTGGACACACCTGGTGGTGGAGTAAGCGAAGACTTCATACTCAAAAGGGATTTCCAAGGAGGAGATTAAGAATAGTCTAGTCTATCCAGGACACTCCCAGGTCTGGGAGAGCTGTACGGAGACCTCCTTCAAGCTATGCTCGGCGATGAGAATTCGCTACGGTTGGTTCAATGGATCTGCTTCGCTGATAGACCACTGAGCCTCGAAGAACTACGATGGGCGATGTTCGTTGAGGCTCATCCAGAAGCCAAGTCGCTAGGAGAATGCCGAGTTGCTCCTGATTTTCCGTGCGATTGCGCCAATCAGTGTGATTGCGATGTGATAGAAAGGAGAGTCAAAGGTCTGAGTCGTGGCCTCATCGAGGTTACACACGCTGCCATTACAGATTCTGGCAGCAACCGCACTGCGCAATTCATCCACGGGTCCGTCCAGGAATTCTTTCTCGATAAAGGTGCCTTCCTGAGGTTACACCACAGCATATCAAGCTCCCGCAGCCTTGACCACGTGAAATCAAAAGCGCGCAACTCGATTACCCAGACTTGTATCAGGTACTGCAGAATGAAGGAGATCAGGCAAGCTATTGCTAAGTTTGAAACCAACAGTGCGGCAGGTTTGGCTCTCGCTGCTGGGCCTTTACAAAGGGGCTTCCCTTTTCTGCATTATGCGGTGATGACATGGGCCCAGCACGAGAATGAATCATCCCCGGCCGCGTATTTCCATTGGCGAAAGGATTCTGAACTCCTGGATTCGCTTTTACGTGTGTTTCCCGATGTTAGCGAGCAGCATGCTGTGAAGCGAAAGCGCTCGCAATGGTCGTTCGACAAAGTCCATCTCGCGACCAAACCATAGACAATTCGGGTAGGTACTAATTTTTGGTTCAATTTCAATCAATCGTTGTACATGCAATTAAGTCGTGTGTTCTGTGCAAAGCGTAGAACAAACCCCCACCCCGCATCAACTAGATACGCAGATAGGGCTCGGCACAGCACGTGGAACATGGAGACCGCTTAAAGTTCGATGGAGACCTATACGTACATAGCTATGGAGTCGTGCAACATACTCCACCATCCATCCATCCATCCATCCCGGCAGGTACCTACATGGAGACAAGAATCCGACTGTATACCCGCGAACTTAATCGGATGAGCAATTACGCTTTCTTTGTCTCCATCCCAGCTCTCCACCGCATCCCTGACTCCAGCCATGGCATGGAGCAATACATATGTACCCGGTTAAATTTGCGGGGATCTTGACCACCATCTTCTTCCCGCGAGCTCCATCGACTCATCGAGTTTAGGTACGTTTAACGGTTACACTGATCCATCTAGCTAGAGTCCGCATGGTGGATATGTAGTTTAATTCAACTCCTACATCCCAACCATTCCTGAGGTCATCCAAACTACCAAGACAATATCAATAACAATAACAATCACATGATCGAGCGTAACCTCGTACGTAATCAAATAAATTAAAACCTCCCAACGAAGGATTCCAGGCTGCGACATTCTGTAACCCTCGCTAGGTAAAGGTTTTGTGTAGTTTCTGAAAACGGAAATGCTCTCTACGTAGACTGAGATTGGGTGACGTGACGTGGTTAGCTTCGAGAGTGCTATTTGCCAGCACCGTCATACGTACTATCGAAATGTTTATTATTAACCTTGGGGAGGACGCTCGAATGGGCGTACAATAAATACAGCATCTCGGAATCCATCCCGCGTATTTTTGAAATTTACTTGCCGCTTTAAGCCGTCAGCCACCTTGAGAAATGCAACGAAATCGGATGGAAATTAAGGGTTTTTTTTTTGTGTTTGGTCTGTAGAAATTTTCTAGGTTTTTACGGAACCATGGTTTGAGTTGAAAGAGGCGAATTCGTAGATTGGACCATGGATCTGTTTTGTACGTATTTTTTCTTCTGTATGAAGTAGTTACAGAGTGCACAATACTCCGTAGTGGTAAGTAATTAGTTAAACCAAAATCCATTAAAAAAATTACAGGGATGAACCATTACGTCGAAACATGCAACTCGGCAAGTTTGCCGGTTGACGCTCACATTACTAGTACGGAGTACGTAATAATCGAACTACCGGACGGCGGGCACTGCCTAGAGGAGTAGGGGATCAATCTTTCGGGATACTTTGTTCGTGCCGAATCTCACCGTATTATGTATTATGTATTATGTATTATGTATTTAATATTTAATATTTAATATCTGATGTCTAATGTCTAATGTCTAATGTCTAATATTTAATATCGTAAAGAACAGGCGGAGCTTAACCTCTTTTTAGATTCTTGATCGGCTTGTGAATTTGTTCCGAAGACGGAGCCGAGGGGTATGCATTCGGGATTGGTACTTACAGTAACAGCAGTATACTTACTGGCCTACTGAGTTATACATGGGGTTTCAGGTTGCTATGTTAGTAGAATTCCCGTCTCCAGATTCTTGACTCGTGTCTATGAGAATTCAGATTCGATTCGAGATAAGATTCTCTTGTGGTTTACTCCGTACGTAGGAATAGAATAGGTATGGCATACAGATTGGCGGGTCCTGATCGCCAAGCATTATCGCCCGCTTAACCCCCAAAAGGGAAATTCTATGCGTCTACATCATTCTCTCTCTGCAAGTGTCTGAACTGGGACATTGGATAGCTGTATAGATCAGAGAGGTCATATTCTCTTCATTTCGTAGTTGACTACCTTCTTCATCGTACGAGTCTACAGTAGTAGAGCGCAAAGCCTTTGGTGGGCACGGTGGATATGCGGAAGGTCCACAATAGAAGCGGGAGAAGCCTCGACAGAAGCTTGAAGCTTTGAGTCGCAACTCCAGTGCGGGTCTGACATCTTCACGAAACGGTTATCTTCATATTGTTCGGAGTATTCGTTGCGTGTTGAGCCCTAAGGGTTAAGCAAATAGTATGATTGTACGGAGTAGGAGATAACATGATCGGAACAGCCGACGGCATTGTCCTGTATGTAACTAACTGTAAAGTCTGTAAGAACCTTACGGCGTGGGCATATGTCATAGTGCGTGGAAAAGAAAGCCTAAAAGAAAAAAATGGCTCAATCACATGACGCTTTCCTCCGGCTGCCCGGATCTGTGCTTCCATTCTACTAAATCGTTGCTCTTTTTGTCCTTGAGCATTAGTCGAGTATCATGTCACGACTACACTGTCAGCTGTCCAAGCGAGGTCTTTCTCTCTGGATATATCCGGACCTCAATTCAATTCAATTGAGTTGTCTTTGCACGCAGTGGAACGATCTTGAAATTCTGCACAAAGTGGGACGGCGGTCCAGGAACCCGGTCGGAATCCACTTTGTCGACTTGTAGGAGGAATTAAGCATACATGCTGGTGTAGTTCAAACCACATTGATCTTATCTTGCAGATGCTAGATGGCCCACATGCCGTTGGTTGGAACTTACTCGGTCTCTACATAGTACGTAGTCCTCTCTACTCCGTACACAGTAGACAGTCGAACTTAAAGACCGGCTTTTACCGGCAATCAAGATGAGCTAGCAAACGCAGCAAGTAGTAGACGACTCGAAAACCAGTCCATTTGTAAGTAACAACTTGGAATCGCCTGATTTGCCAGATACTGAACATCTCGAATAGCCTCACTATACCAAGTAGCAGTCAGGTAGTCGTGCGTGCATTGTGCGGCCTGAGATACGTAGTCGGTACTTCTTTTGCATGGCTATGTATCATGGCGGCATCTTCCGATTGGGAGAAGTAACTTCCTTTTTGGTTTCTTTTCGTTTTCGGTTTCGGTTTCGGTTTTGTTTTTGTTTTCGTGTAAGTTATTCTGTTGAATTGTCATACTGTAGTAACTAACTCATCATGTGTATATAGTTACGTAGCGTACTCAATCAAGTCTGACCGTTGAATTCCTTGTTTTGAGTCCCGAACGGCTGGTGAGTAAGCCGCACGCACTGTGGACTAAATACACGGCCTGCTTACTTTTTCCGGAAGGTTGCCCCCCTTTTTGTGTCGCCTGGACCAATGAGGTGACTCTTCTTATGTCAGCACTTGCGTTAACTTGCTGTCAACTTGCATGTAAAGACAACAAAAGACTTGTGTCAAGTACAACACCCAAGTACAACATCAAGTACAACATCAAGTACAACACCCCAGTCAACTCTTTAGTTATTCAGTACTTATCACCTTGTTCATCTATGCACATTCAGCAATACCTGATCCCTCTGTTTGTTCGAGTTCATAGTACAGACGTAGTGAATAACACTAGATACTGTACGTGTAATACCGGCAATACCCCCGGCAGGTTCCTGATTCGGCAGAGTCGCCTCCCTCTGAATTTTCGTCCCAAATCTCGGCCTCTCCTTCTTTCTTTTCTTCTCTTACTCATTCCCATTCTCACTCTCACGCCACTGCATTTGTCACCTTTTCCTTCTCCTCTTCCCCTGTCTTCTTCTTCTTCTTCTTCTTCTCCTCCCTCCATCTCCCTCCATCTCCCTCTTTCACCTTACGATATCCAATATCAAACCAGAAAAAGAAATTATCAAGTCAGACCCTGGTCACATTGCGCGTGTGGCTTGACGCGAAAATCGAATAAGTTCGCTTCGTCCAGCATCTTGTAAGACTTAAAGACCCACTGCGTGGAGCCTGAACTTGACCGGTCGCGGATAAAGAGAAGTTCCCACTCACCACGCACCTTTTTTTTTCCACCGTGGGGACCTTCTTCTCGTACTACTCACAACCACCTCCAATTTCTTCTCCAACACCAACCACTTCTCTAATCCCATCTCTTGTCTGATCTGACTGCCATTCTCCTCACCCGAGTGGAGTCTCTCATTCATTCTTTCTTTTGATTATTGTGCATTCCGCCAATTCGATCCTTACTCTGCTTGTTGACTGACTTGACGCGTCGTGTAGACTCCGTCAGAGGAAACAAACCCACTTGAAAACAAAAGAGCCATTCGACACTATCGTCGGCTTCACGGTGGAGATACTTAGAATTGGATAGTCGAAGGATTCTCGAGAAGAAGAAAAGGAAAAGAGAGAAAGAAAGGGAAAAAAAAAAGAAAAGGGAGCAAGGAAAACAAGAACCAAAGTTTTTTTTTTTTCCGGTCGCGTTTTCCCCCTCTTTATTCTTTCATCATCACCACAACTCTCCAACTGTGCGCTGAATATGGACCCTCGCTCACACCCGTCGCGACCTCCTTCAACGTCGTTGCCTCAGGGTTCTGCTCCTATCTCGAGTATGCAGATGCCGCAATACCCAATGCAGCCGCAGTACCCGGTCTCGCAACCTCACACCCTTCCGCCATTGCAGCCTCATCATAACCAGTCGCCGAATCCCTACATGGGTCAGTCTTATCGTCCCGACATGGCGCGTTATCCCGCCACCTCGGCTCACGATGTCTACGCGACGGCTGCGCCCATTGGGCCTCACACTCCTGTGAGCAGCTTGCCGCCTACCTCGTTCCTCGCTCACCCCGGGGGCCAACCCCAGGGCCAGCCTCCGCAGGGATATCAGTCTCCACAGACTCTCCTGCCTCCCACGACTGGGTCTCAGAGCTATCCTCAACCCATTGCGCCTGCCCCACCTCGTGACCGTCGTCCTGACTATGCGGCCATGCCCTCGGGCGCCTTCAGTCACCCTGAAGGCAGAGCTCCAATCTGGGCCGGCGCTGATCCAATGGCTGCTGCTAATGGTGCCGCTCCTCTTCCTGACAACCGGGAACCTCCTCGCACCCAGGTTGTGGGATCTCAGGGACGTAGAGGCATTCTTCCTAGTGTCCCAGGACGTGCTGCAGTCCCCAACGGTGCCAATGGAACTGCCAGAAGCACCACGATTCCGGCCAAGGATGCCGACGGCAAGTTTCCTTGCCCTCATTGTACCAAGACGTATCTCCACGCGAAGCATCTTAAACGCCACCTTTTGAGACGTAAGTTCCATTCACACCTTTCATCATGTTTTTTTTTTCTAAAAAAAGGACTATAATTGACACATACACACACATATAAAGACACCGGTGATCGTCCCTACATGTGTGTTCTCTGCAAAGACACCTTCTCTCGAAGTGATATTCTGAAGCGACACTTCCAAAAGTGCTCATTACGCCGTGGTAACCCCACAGGAGCGAGCCATCTCTCGCATCCTCAGGCACACCTGAAACGGTCTCAGGCCGCAGCTGCAAAATCCGTTCAGGAAGAAGTCAGTAACTCCATTCCGCCTTCCAATGGTATTGCGGGTACGACTTATGGCGACGCGCACGTGAATGGCCGTGGTCCTCGACCTGGTCTCACGGAGCAGCAGCCTCTGGGATATCCGATGTCCTCTGTCCACGGGTTGAACAGTGGAGACGCGTTCAATCAGGCAGATCACAGAGCTTCCTGGATGGCTGCTCAGAAGCAGAGCCCGTACCTTGTCCACTCTTCTGCTTCTGCTGAAGGTCCTGGTGGCCATCTGAATAATATTGACCGTCATTCATTTGAACAGGCTAAGCCTCCCATCATCAACGATCCCAAACGTCCTATGATGCCCGGTCAGCCCCAACAGCCCAATCACCCAGGTGAACTCGACTGGGCTTCCATGTTCCAGCCCGGAGCTCCTGAAGGTTACATGCACTCCGTATTCCCCCAAACGATGGCTCCTCAACACGAGCCGATTCACTCGCATGTCGATCCTGACCGCAAATACTACCCTACCACGACCGCTGGACCTCATCAAGATGGCGGACTGAACGGACTTTACTTGGCTTCCACGAGCTTGAGCGGTGACGGTATGCCTAATCCCAGCGGAGTCCCGAATAATGAAAAGACCAATCCACAAGAGCCTATTGCCACTTGAGAAGTTTTTTTTTTTCCCTATTTGATTTGCTGCACGAGAAACATGAAATTGACTTGATATTTTTTTTCCCTCTGGAAACAGGATCCGTCCAACCCGCTAGACAATAGTTTCGTTTTGTAAAGGAGGAAAGGTTATGTTTTTGCTTTACGACAGAGGGGTTGATCTGGTGGGACTGCGCATCTCGAGTTTCACGGATTGACAGTACGCGAAGTTCGTTCGTTGCTTCGAGATTTACGTTCTCGAGAGCATTGACAGATGCATTTCTTTCCTTCTCCGATCGCCCTTCGAAACAATGATACGGCCGACAAATGGTAAAACAGCAATACTTTTTTTCAGTTTTACAGTTCGATTTTTTCTCCGTCATTCCGTCATGAATGGTATGGGTTGGTTCAAACCGGCGTCGAAATCATCAAATAGAAATGGGGCATGTTTTGTTTGCAGTTTGTTTATATGTGATTGTTCGAATGGATTTTTCTCTTGATTTCTGCATGTGAATCCTGCATTCTCTGAATTCGGGAATCTTAGAAATCAAAGAGCAAAGGAAAAAATGGAGGCAAAAATGAGTTTTTTTTTTTTTTTGTTGTTCCAGAAAAAAAAGATTGATTCGTTTCGAAATATCTTATAGAATTTGGCGGTTGGGAGGAAGTCGTTTTTTTCTGTTGTGTCCTAAATTGTTGCATTTGATTACTTCCTGTTTATTGTTTATTCATGTTTTATATGCTAGCTTTGTGTGTCTGGGTGAAATCATTTCTGGTTGTTTAAACAGTTATAATTTCAATCAACTCGAAGACTCCTATTGTATATCTTCGAAGTTATGGCATTGAGTTTGTGTGCACGAGTCCAGGATTACTTGTTCACTCCCACTAAGGTCGTCTCAAATGTTCTGTATGCTGTTGTCCCTTCATTCTATCTACGTTGATGCTTATCATTCTAATCCATCTTGCGGTCCTGTCTCTCTACCTAGATATTCGTCAAGATGTTGACCCTTTTCAGAAATTGGCAGTCAACCCAACAAAAAAGAGGTCCATATCATCCGCCCTAACACCGCAGGTCTCCTTTTAACCTTATTTACCTACCACATCCTTTCTAGTCCAAAACGCACCCACTCGGCTTCAGTTTTTCACAGTCAACATACAATATATAAACTTCTGAAAATCGGAGATGAGTACATACAACCATAGGATAGTGAAAACAGGGCTTCCTGTCCGCTTAGCCGTACTTAAACCACACGCCGGCCACGAGTAAATCCCAGCTGTCGTATGTGTTTATTACTTTGTTTTGTTTTTCGAAGTCTGTTGCTGTTACCTAGGTAAGGCTTCTTGCTAACGTGGGATTCTAGGTTGCATATAAACCTTTATCTATCATTTCGACGATACACGAACTGAATGATATTATTATACCCAGAACCTAATTATTCTTTTTCTCATCCCTCTCAAACCCGGAGTTGGGAAACAGCCCAATAAAACCACATCTCCCCCCTGATCTGAGAAACAAGCTTGTCATACTGGCCCCTAACATTATCCTCCGAATACACAACATCAGTCGCATTAACATATTCAAGCCATCGACCAATAATCCCCTTACCGATAGTGAGCACCTCTTCCTGAGCATCGGGTTTATCGACCCATTCCCACCAACAATCCTTTATATCAGCGAGTGTATTGAAAGTTCTGGCAATATATTCAAGCGCATCCATGATTTGATCCCTTTTTTGCGCCGATATTTCAGACCAGTTCTCGAGCTCTTCGTGTACAGTATTATACCGGGACCTCGGTCTGGATGAATTGTAGGGTTTTAAGGTCTTGGAGGATATTTCCTGGTCCCGTTGCCAGTTTTACTTCGTTCTGATATTGGGGCGCATGCCGCGAGATTTTGGATGCGCGGATGAGGAACCATGACTCCTGTTGGGATTTGAGGTGTTGTTGTACGCGGATTGATTCTTGTTGGAGAGCGGTTATGGCTGAGTCGGTTTGGGCGAGGAGTTTGGCTCGCTCGGTTTTTAGATGTTCTGCCCAGGGGATGTTTTTGCTGTTGCTGGATTCCATGGTCTTGGAGTTTTGTTTCTGGTGGACGGGATGTGCCTGATCACTTAAAATAATATGAACAAATGACAGATCGATGTCAATTTACTAGAGGAGAATGCGTCTATACGTGCCCTTAGCTATGGAAACATGGAATAACAAGATAAACAACCAACATGAACAAACATCACATACATGAATCTACTCAGCAAGCGCCTCAACTATCTCATTACAGTACTGCAACAGCATCTGCAAAATCTCATCCGCACCCTCATCCCCAATCTCATCAGGATTAGCAAGCAGCCACAAGCGAAGCACATCATCACTCTCAGGGTAAACCAGAACCGTCGTCCAATGAGGCCTGGCTACAAGCTCGTACCAGGTGACCACAACCCGGTCATTGCCCAACATCAACTCCGGCTCAAACGCCATATTACGGAAATGCACGGCAGATGAATAGCGTGACCCGGAAGGCCAGGTAGTGCATCGGTTCACCATCTCGTCCCAGTTCAGGCCCTCGTGTGACGTGCGGTCGTCGGCCTGTTGGGCTGACGCCTCGACGAGGTTTCGTAAATATCGCTGTCTGCTGCCGCTGTCCGAGGACGGTAGTCTGAGTCTGAATGGTAGCATGTTGACGCACGGTCCGACAACAGAGTCAAGACCTGGCATGTCGCCGTCGCGACCTGTCGTGATGTTACCAAACACCACATCATCATGGCTGGCCAGTCTCTGCAAAACAAGTGCCCACGCCACGTTCACCACTACCGCAGGACGAGTACGCCTGTTGTCCTCCGCGGTATGGAAATAGGGAAGCGCGAATGACCTGAGTGTTCGCACTTTGTTGTTGTCTCCTTCGGGCTTGTAAACCAATGGCGAGGTAATTTTCGCGCTTCCTTCCAAGATATTCCGCCAATAATGCATGGAAGCAGCGGCCGTTTGATGACGATACTGTAACAAACTCGTCCATTCTGGTGTTTTCTCCATCTCGCCGCCGTTGAAGACATTGGCAATCTCCTTCAGAATCCGCTCCAAACACCAACCATCCATTTGGTTGTGCGACACACGCAGAAGCACGCGCCGCTTGTCTCTAGTCTTGACAAGGATCAGTTTCGTGTAGGTGTCGCTGAGTTGCGCGTTCCGGGCATCTGCTGGACAGAACTGATTACAGAAAGTGGTAATCTGATCCGACGATTCCACTGCCTCTGTTGTCAAAGGGGCATCACGTAGAATGACTTGATAGTATTTGCCTTGATGATGGAGGAATCGAGCTCTCATGCACTGGAAGTTTTGGACAACAGTCTGGCACGCTTCAACCAGTCTAAACCACGACACATTCTCACCGATATCGATGTATGCATATTGCAGGCCTAAAGGTTCCTCCTGGTTATGAATATAGTCGACCTGAAAACCGTTTGCCGGGACGATATCATCAATCTGGTCAACATTAACTCCCAAACTGGGCGTTACGTAAGATGCGATAAATTCTTCAATGTCTGATATGCCTGTGATTAGACTGTAGGGTTTGTAGGGACTGAGCATTATGCTGGCATTATCCTCTTCAATCTCCGTCATCTTCTCAGCAAGCTGCATCAGCTTTGGATTTTGAAAGATGTCGCTTGACTTCAGGCTAAAGCCACGTGCATGAGCTTTTGTACTCAAGCGCATTACACTGAGAGAGTCACCACCGAGTCTGAAAAAGTCATCCTTGCGTCTTATGGATCCATACTCGATCCTTAGGACCTGCACCCAGAGTTCCGCCAAAACTCGTTCGCGATGAGTCACTGGAGCAGTCAACGATGACCCTGTTGCTGAATTGGCCGTATTTCCGCTGATCCATATTAACTCCTGTGGGCGAATCTGTTTTTCAAGTGCTTTCAGGCGCCGACGATCTGTCTTACCGGAGCTTGTCTTCGGGATCGAAGGTAGCGGTAAAAAGGCTTCCGGCTGAAGGTATGCTGGGAGAATGGTTCCTAACTGTAATTTCAAGAAAGGAACAAGACTCTCAAGCTGGGTTCGGAGGCCAATTTGAGAAGATGCAGTCTCCGAAGCAGCAACAAAAACGGCCAACAATTGCCTGTCCCTTTCCACATTTCCAAAGTTGACATGAATAATTTCAGCTGCAAGCTCAATTACCAAAGGAATACTGCGACGCAACACGTCCTCAATCGCTCCAATGTCAACTCGTTGGCCACGTAATTTGATTTCCGATCCGATGCGGCCTATGAACACGAGACTGCCATCTTCTCTATATCTGGCCAGATCCCCTGTCCTGTAGAGTTTCCCTGTCCTTCCTGGACAACCTTTCCATCCCTTGAGGAGCCACGGTGGATTTTCGACAAGTGGATATTGATATGGTCCTAAGTACCCTAAACCGATAATGGGCCCTTCAATAAGAATCTCTCCAGTAGCACCTACAGGAGCCAACTTATTGGGATTGTCAGCGTCGGCCAACCACAGAGTCGCTCCGCGACCGCAGCCAATGAATCCCAGGTGTTCCTCTGGATTCGTAATTCGAGAGGATATGGCACATAGTATTGTACATTCCGTCGGCCCGTACGCATTGATTAGACGAACTGACGGTGCCCAGGTCTCGATATCACCTTTGCTCATTGGTTCCCCTGTGAGAACGAGACTATTCAAATCAGGCAAAAGACTCTTGTTAATCGTCCGGGCAACCGAGGGTACCAACTGAGCCCAATTGACCCTCTTATCACGCATGAACGTGCCCAAATCACCTTTCAAAGACTCGTCGCTGGGGACACACAGACAGCCACCTTGCGTCACAGTGTAAAAGAAGTTACAAACGCACGCATCGAATGAATAGGAAGAGCTATCAAGTGACCTCGTTCGAGAATTGATTTGATACCCTTCAGCTCCTGCTTGGTAGTAGATTGCCGTTGCCAAGTTCTGGTGGCTTATTTTGACTCCTTTAGCGGCGCCTGTGCTTCCTGATGTGAATACTGCGTAAGCAATGTCTTGTGCCATATTTGGTTCTAAGTCTTGATCAGGGTTGTCAGAAGACGCTGCGGCTTCAGCAGCAATCACAGCATTTTGGGCGAGACGCGCAGCACGATCTCTTGTGTCACCAGCACAGAGGACTATATCAGTATCCAGGGCTTGCATGATCGCCCTTAAGTGCCCCTCGGGATGATTTGCATCGAGTGGCACGAAGGCACCGTTCGCTTTTGATACCGCAAGCATGGCAACGTTCGCCCACATCGATTTTCGGAAAAGCAGGGGAACAAACTGACCACGTCGAATGCCGCTTTTCACCAGGTACTTGGCAAGTCGAGAGGATAGCACGTCGAGATTCCTATATGTTAATTGGCCGTCCCACGCATCTATTGCCAATGCATCTGGTCGTGTATTGGTCATTTCACGGACTTTTTGGCAGATTAATGGGCTAGAGATAGCACGTGGAACGTCTTTATTCCACCTCCAAATATCATCAAGATCTTTGTCGCAGGTTGAGATGAGGTCTCTAACATATACAGGTATCTTTTTGTTGAGTGAATCCAATATCTGGCCAATCAACCGCCCCCATCGACTTATCTGACGTTCAATTTCAGTTTTAGAGATGAGCAAGGAATCAAAACTAGCGCGAACAGTGATGATCTCGTCCATGGGAATAATTTCCAGCATTAGCCCGTACTGATTCAACACCGAGTATTGATCTGGAAAACCCTTTATCTGGGTTTCATCCATCTCTTCCATGAGCCTAAGTTCTTTGTTGTCGTCGCTATCAAGATGAAGCTGCGTTTCCTGCGGGGGTTGTATAACCAGCACGGTTTGGAAGCTGCAGGCTATCTCGCATGCCTCATTTATTGAGCGAATTTCCTGGATACCGAGATGCTCGTGAGGTATTCTTTGAGCCGTCATATCATGTAGCTGGGCCATGAATTCTTGAACTGTCAACGCGGGGTCAGAATCCACAACTACAGGAACAGTCGTGACAGCCGGGCCAATGACTTTGTCGATACCGTCAATAGGTGCATTGCGTCCTGTTAATATGGCACCGAATGAAACTTTTTGGCTTCCAGTAAGATGAGATACCAAGATAGACCAGCTCCCGTACAGCAATGCAGAGAGTCCGATGCCAGTGATACGATTGACTCTGGCAGAGATCTTCTTTTCTAGGTACGTGGCCGGGTGTACTGAATGATTGTTGCTGGGTAATGCTGGGTATATTCGACATTGGTCAGCATTTGCAAGCTGCTGACTCCAGAATGAGACAGATTCAGCCTTTGGTTCGTTTAGTATGTATTTCACAAGGGGCCGCATGTCGAGATATGATCCACCTAGTTCCTCGCTGGGATGGTAACAGGCCCTTTTAACCTCGCTTTCAATCACCGGTAATATCCATCCATCGTAAGTAGCATGATGAATGGTCCAAATTAAATAACGCTCGTTCGGACCATCGATAAACGCCCATCGTGTAAGCCTTGTTGTTGGTCCCATACTTTCTGCACCCGTCAGAGAACTGACCCAGCTGCTGATATCGTCGTATCTATTCCATAGTAAAGAGCTCTCCCGAACAACGACTTGATGAAGACCGTAGTCATCAAGATCCACAAGCCGAGTTCGAAGGATCTTGTGTCGGGCTACCACAGCTGCCCAAGCATCACGGAGTCTTGATTCTTCGACTTCGAGAGGAATACGATATAACCTCCTACTTATGAATGCGTTAGGATCTCTGATTGTGGCTGCCAACATACTTCTTTGAAGAGGTGTGCAGGGATAAATATCTTCCACATCATCAGGCCTCGTCAGGACGCACTTCTTAGCAGCCTCCGGACGTAGTTGCCGAGCGTCTGCTGTCTCAGCAAGCAACTCGAAAGGACGGATCTCAGTAACTCCGGAGTCCTGCGTATGATGGTCGATTGATACTAGACGCTGTGCTAGTTCAGAGAGTTTCGGAGTCGCAAATACATCCGATACTCTCAAGTCTAGCCCCTTTTTGCGAGCAATAGCGACTAATCTCATTGCTGAGATGGAGTCTCCGTTTAGATTAAAGAAGTTGTCGTCGGCTCCGATAGTCTCCGTTGGCAAATTGAGAGCTACTGCCCATAGCCCCTGCATTGTTGCCTCGTTGGCAGTGGATGGGGCTCGATGCTTAGTATCCTGTTCAGTGGCTCTACCTCTGTAAATTTGATCCGTCCGCGCAGATGCCGCTATTTCAGCAAGAGCTTTACGATCAGCTTTGCCGTTGTTAGTGCGTGGAATTGTGGTGATGAAATAATATGCAGAAGGGATCATATATCGTGGTAGGAGAGTTCCGAGTCTTCCTTCAAGCATTTGCAGAGCTCTTAAAGCATCTTGGTTCGGCGCTGTCAATTTACATGGAACTTTTGTGTCTGCGTCTCTGTTGCTTAGAAAAGACACAAGCTGCTGTGGATCCGTGTTCTTCTGGGGGTGGCTCAAGATGCAGCATATGACAGGCCCAACATGTTCGTCTAACAATGCTCGAACATGGTACTGAACTTCTTCAAGCTCAATTCTCTGTCCATGAAGTTTGACTTGCAGATCCTTTCGTGAAACGAAATGAAGGTTGCCGTTGGTGTCGTATCGTGCAAGGTCGCCAGATAAGAATGCCGGTTGAGACGAATTATTGGCATGATGTGGCATCCATGGGAGCGCATTGACAGGAATGTACGATGCCCTAGTCAATTCCTCACTATTGTAGTAGCCTTTTCCCACCAGAGACCCATGGATAAGAATTTCGCCTACTGCTCCGATGGGCACAAGCCGACGGTAATCTTCGGGGTCGACCAACCAGATCGATGAGCCACAGCCTTTCCCAATGCCGTGACGGCTGGAATCACTTTGTAAACCTGGATTCATCGTAGAGACAGATGTACACTCAGAAGGTCCATAGCAGACAATCACCCGAACTCGGGGTTTGCAGTATTCAAAATCTCGCATGTCAACGGGCTCCCCTGACAGAATCAGAGTGGAAAGATGAGGAAGCTGGGTGAAATCAAGGAGACGGGCGACTGAAGCCGTGAGCTCAGTAAGTGTAGCACGACTTCGATTCATGGCTCCCAATAGATCGTTTCGTCTGTCTTCCTCGCTTGGCACACAAAGAGTACCTCCCATAGCAAGGACCTTGAATATCATGTTCCAGCTAACGTCAAATCCATAAGAGGCAAACTCAAATGCACGTGTGCTATCTGTAAAATCTGAATATGCTGCTTGTTGTTCTATGGCCGTTGAGAGTGCTTGATGTGTCTGCATCACACCTTTGGGAGTTCCTGTACTACCGGAGGTAAACAGAATGCACGCGACGTCGTCTAACCGAGGTGCTTCAACTGATGGAGGGTCTATTTCTGCTTTGGCAATGGTATCATCATAGGAATTAAGAAGAACCACGTTTACCACGAGGTCGGCTGCGACTGCGAGTGACGATTGTGTAGCGAGGATGATACTAGGTCTCACTTCATCCACAATCATCTTTAGACGACCAACAGGGGTTGTTCCGTCAAGAGGTATGAAAATAGCACCCGCCTTGAGTATGGCTAACGCCGCAATTGGCACGTAACCTGACTTGGTAGACAGAATAGGAATTATGGAGCCTCGTCCAATGCCATACTGACAAACTAGTTGACCACATAACGCATCTGACATTCTATCAATCTGCGAGTACGTGAATTTGCAGTCCCATGCGTCGATGGCAACGTCCGAAGGACGTAGGTGTGATTGCTGCAAGATAACTTCATGCAAAAGACGATCACTGGGAACAGGGATATGGGAATTCCATGTTGATATATCGTCAAGGTCTTCCGCTCCTAGGCAGTCAAAGTCTTCAGAATCGAGTGGCACGTTATTTCTATCCAGCAAGGATAGAACTCTATCCATCCGTCCAAGTAGACGTTGAATTTCGCGTTTATTAAGGACGAACGGGTCATAAACCACTTCGATGTCAATGTGATCTGCTGATGGGAAGAAAAATAATACCAGGGCAAATGTGTGGAAAGCTTCCCCTTCTTTACTAGTGGCTTCATATGATGAAATTCTGACTGTTTCTGAAACATGACTACCAGATTCTGCATTCTTTAGCGTGATAACAACAAGTGTTTGGAAGTTGCATGCAGCTCGTGTATCTTCGTTGATCATACTGATGCTCTTGATTCCGATATGCTGATGGGGAGACATATCAGCCGTGTCTCTTTCTATGCGTTGGATAAATTGTCCTGTGTTTTCTTGCCCCTCGCGATGCACTTGTATACGAATTGGCACTGGCGTGATTGTTGGACCAACAATCTGCTCAATGCCTTCCACGGCCGCATTTCGTCCTGTTAATGTGGCAGCAAACACGACATCACTGCATCCTGTGAGTTTAGACATCACTAGAGCCAACGCCCCGTAAATCTTTGCTTGTATATTCACGCCGGGTCGCAACTTGGGAGATATAGTACGCAGGAGTGTCTTTGATGGCTGAACTTGATAACTCTTCAATGGTAAGGCCGGATATAGCGATACACCACTGCAGTTAGTGAGGCGCTTTTTCCAAAACAGATTTGCTTCCGATTTATCTCGAGATAGAATCTCTGAAACATATACACTGAATTTCGGTGGCGGATGCATTATCTTATTTTTGTATGCCCGACGAAGCTGTTCCTCGATAATTAGGATTGACCACTCATCATAAAGAGCATGATGTACTGTCCAAGCAATTTTCGGGGACTTCTTCCCATCGTCAATGAGAGCTAAGTAAGAAAAGGGTTGCCCAAGATCATGGCATCCCTGATTGATAGAGTCGTTCAGGTAGGATTGAACATTATCGTATTGACGGAAATGATATTCCTTCACGACAACTTGTAACAAGCCGAAGCCTTCGAGTTCCACAAATCTGGTCCGCAGAATGTCGTTTATACTGTAAACTTTATTCCAGGCGTCGATCAGCTTACGGATGTTGATGTGAAATGGAATGTCGTAAATGGACCGCTTGATATATGCTTGAGGCTGCTTCAAGGTCAAGGCAACCAGCTCTGTTTGCACTGGTGTTGCAGGGTAAATGTCTATAATCGAATCTCTGGAAACGTTGCAAACCTCCGCAGACTGGCTTACAACGCGGTCACGGTCCATTGAGTTGATGAGTGTAAAAGGTGATAGAGACTTTGCGAGGGTGGGTAAGGCGTGAACTCGAAGTGCCATCGAGGACAGTTTTGGGTACTGGATAATATCTTTCACCGTTAAATCAAGATCATGCCTGCGAGAGATGTTCGACAGTTTCATCGCTGCAATTGAATCACCCCCGATATCGACAAAATCTGTATCGATCAGTACCGGCACTGTTCTACCGCCAAGGGATTTAATCCATAGAGTACTCAGTAGAGTCTCCATCTTAGTAAGTGGTCCATGAATTCGCTCAATATCAGAATACTCTTCTCGTGAAGTGATGATGTGAAGCAATTCAGGTCCTAAAGCTCTCAATTTCAGACGGTCGATCTTTCCAGATGGATTTCGTGGAATCTGAGGAAGAGGAATAAAGAACTCCGGTATCATATAGGGGGGAAGACTTTTGCTAAGATGCGCTTTGGTCCTAGTCGTGTCCAAGCTGGTACTCGAGGATGATGACGAAAAAGTTGATGAGCAGAAAGCAACGAGCGTCGGTTGTCCAGAAGTAGGATGTTTAATGACTTCACAAATTGAGATACTTTCAGGCAAGAGACTTTTCAAATGATATTCAATCTCACCAAACTCGACTCTTTGGCCACGTAATTTGACTTGAGTATCAGCACGCCCAAGATATTGGATCGTTCCGTCGAAGTTATATCGCACCAGGTCTCCTGTTCTGTAGAGTCTTCCTTTACGCCCGTAATTTCCGCTAAATCCATGGCGAAGGAAGTCGGGATTTTCTATAAAGACCTCTGCTGTTTTTTGAGGCTGGTTAAGATAACCCTTGGTGACCAAAGGGCCCTCGTTTACCAGTTCACCTATTGCTCCGACGGCGACCAATGTTTCATGATTATCAGGATCACAGACCCATGATCGTACGCCGACACCTCTTCCAATGTTCGAGGCTAAATTAGGGGCTGAGAGTCGAGTAAAGATACATAAAGGTGTCGTTTCAGTGGGCCCATAGGCCCCCCAAAGGTCGACATTGTCCTTCCACATTGACACATCCAAAGGAGTGACTGCTTCTCCACCAAGGTACAGCCTCTTCACTGTTGGGATCTCCGTGGGGTCAATTGTGCGAGCGACAGACGGTGTGAGAAACAGTGCTGTGCTTTGGAAAGAAGAGATGCTTCTGGCGAGATTGCCAACACGATCTTCGTGTGACGGTATACACACACATGCACCCACCACAAGCCCCAAGAAGAAATGCCAGATATTAGCATCAAATGCATGAGACGAGAAATCATACACCCTATCCTCGGGGTCAAATGCCAACTCTCTCGTTTGGCCGACAGCAGCAGATGACAGGTTTTTGTGCGTGACCATTACACCTTTAGGAACTCCAGTGCTACCAGAAGTAAAACAAACATACATCAGACGATCTGTATTTCTCAGCGAAATATCGATAATAGGCTGTCTTTGAAACAGTCCCGAGCTTGTATATGCTTTTTCTCCCACAACAAACACCCGCTCGGCGAGACGCCGTGCAAGGGTGAGTTGCGAAGGACTCGTGATCACCAAGTGCGCTTCCAAAGCATCCGCAATTATCTTCAGTCTGCTTTCAGGGTAGGAGACATCCATAACACTGAAAGCGGCTCCAGTTTTGATGACCGCTAACATTGCAACTGGCACCAAAAAGGACTTTTCGAAACATAGCGGCACAAAGCTATTCAACCCGATGCCTTGAGCCCTAAGTTGCGCTGCGAGGTTGTTGGAATACTCATCGAGTTCTTTGTAGGTCATTTGGCCGTCGTGAGCAAGCACGGCCAGCTTCTCTGGATGTTTAATTGCATTTTGAGCGATCAGATCGTGGATGTACTCGTCTACTTCCTCTGCTCCGGTTTCGTTCCAGGCCCAAATTCGAGCCAAATCCTCATCTCCAGCTATATCGAGTTGTTTTATTAGAGTAGATGGTGATAGACTACATAAGCTGGAGAAAATGGATTGCACCTGTTCCAAAAGAAGTTCGACTTGTCCTGCAGCAATAGCATGCTCTCTGAAGACTGCTGTTGTGACGAGGGCCTTTTTCTGTAGGGTAAAATAAAGGAGAAGGTAATTTGTGTTGAAATTGCGTATATCATCAACAGTATGGTCAATTTCAAATATCGAGTCATGAGGTTCAGATTGTGACCCATCCTCGAGAAAGACTAGAAGAGTTTGAAAATTACAAGCTGCACGAGCGTCATCACTGAGACGCGAGATATATTGTAGCCCTAGGTGTTCAAAGTCCTGCATCCGTAGACTGTCTTCCCGGACACTGGTCAAAAGGGACTCTATTGTCTGATTCCGGTCAATCCGGACGAGCAGGGGTGCTGAGGCAATCGTTGGACCAGGCATTCTATCGATAGTCTTCAAGGGCACGTTGCGGCCAAGTCGGGTTTCACCAAAAACTACGGACTCGCCACCAGTGTGACGAGCCATCAGAATGGCCCATGCAGTTCGCAAGATTACCGCTGATGAGTATCCTGGACGGCTAAGGTGGGGCAAGTCAAACTGTCTGCATATCAATTGGTCTCCAGAGGTTTCCCTTGAAGACATCGGTGATTTCGGGTATATTGAAGCATTAGATGCACCTGACAAGTAAGATCGCCACCAATTCGAGCTTTCGGACTCTTGCCGTTGGAGAAAGTCCACGAAGATATTATAGTTTGGAACAAGTGTGCTGAAAGTCTGCGAGCGATAGTGCTCAGATACCTGTCGAAGTACGAGATCCATGGACCAGGCATCATAAACAGCGTGGTGCATTGTCCAGATGAGCAGGTATCTCGGTGACGGCGTCGAGTTGTCACGAACGAGTCCAAAATGAAAGAGGGAATTTCCCAGTCCCATTGGTATTTCTGATACTGCAAGAAGGTAATCACTGCTTGTCTCGTACCAACGCCAGGATTGCCTAGATTTCTCATCAATTACCACCTGATAGAGCTGCGTCTCTTCGGACTGAATGATGCGTGTTCGTAAAATCGGATTGGCTGCAATAACTGCATCCCATGCAGCCAACGCACGGTCAAGAACTGAGTTGCTTTTCAGCCTTAGCAAAGTATGCTGTACATATGCGGACGAATTGCCTGCGGTCAAAGCAAAAACCGCTTCTTGAAACGCTGTACATGGATAGATGTCAACAATCTCATCATGAGGCACCTTACAAGTGGCAGCGGCTGTTGAGAGAAGACTCTCTTTGTACTTGATCGGAATGAGGTTAAACGGAGCGATTCTCTTCACAGGCTCGTCTGATAAAGACTCATCATCTTTAGTCACCGGTACCGCAATATCAGAAAGTTGTTTCAATTGGGAGTGGCGGAAGACATCTGCAACCGTAAATAATATTCTCTTCATTCGAGACCTTTTCACCAAACGCATGGCCGAGATGGAATCGCCCCCGAGCTGGAAGAAATCGCTGCTCAGTCCAATAACTGAAGGTTCAACTTTGAGCACCCATGCCCATATTTGCCTAAGGTCCAGCTGGAGCTGGCTAAGCTGATTGTTTTCAGATACGGTCTTCTTTTCTTCCTTTATTTGAGGAACAAGTTGGTATCGCGAAAGGGAACTAGCACGGCTTCTCAGAAAACGTCGGTCCGCTTTACGTGTAGATGTGAGAGGTATATGAGACGTATTAAGAAACACCGTCGGGACCATATAAGCCGGAAGAGACTCTTTGAGTTCGTCTAACACTCTAGACGAAGGCGTTGTTGGCTCGATGGTGACGTCGACACTCCTTTTGAACCCAAGCTTGGAGTCGTTCGAAACAACGAACGCAGTAAGCAGGTTTACGCCGGCATAATCCACAACATCAACGACCGCACTCTCAATGTTGGGAGCCAGTCGCTGTATATGGTACTCGATCTCCCCAAACTCGACTCGCTGACCGTTGATTTTTGTTTGAGTGGTGACTCGGCCAATGTAGACGATTGTGCCGTCCGGTCGGTAACGCACCAAATCTCCTGTTCGGTACATATAACCTCGCCTCTTGGAAGTGGACATTACTCCTTCTCTGAGCCATATCGGATAGTCGACGAAAGCATTATTGGAGGATTGCAGATAGCTTGGACTGACGATAGGTCCTTCAATGATTAGTTCTCCTATAGCGCCAATTGGTGACAAGTTGTTGCTTGCTGGCTCAAGAATCCATGCTTTGCAACCAACAGCAAACCCAATATCTGCATGTCTTTCAACGTCAGTTACTTTGGATTGTACAGTACATATTTGACATTCTGCTGGGCCGTAAGCGTTGATGAGGTTTACTTCATTCGCCCATCGTTGTACAAGGTCTTTGCCGACAGCCTCACCACTAAGAACAAGCGTCTGAAGACCTGGTACTTCTGTTGGATTGATGAGACGTGCCACCGATGGCGTGATATCAGCCCAGTTTGCTCTCAGCCGTTCAAAAGATGCTTCGATATCATTCTCCCGATCGTCTTCGCTCGGTACACATAAGCATGCCCCTAAGCACAAAGCCATCAAAGAGTTGTGGACAGCGATATCAAAGCTATACGATGCAAAATCAAAAATCCGTGATTCTCTCGATAGCTTCAGTTCCCGAGCATGATGTTCAATTGTCGAGCAGAAATTTTCATGGGTAATGATTATTCCTTTCGGGGCACCAGTGCTCCCAGAGGTGAAGACAACAAAAGCAGTGTCAGATGGCAGATTCTTGACAGGGGTTAGTTCGGATTTGATATTATCGGTATCCAAAAGATGTTCTTCCCACACAATAGCTTCTTTGCACAAAGATCGTGCCAAAGTTGCTGCTGGGCCATGAGTAACGATGCACTTTGCACTGATCTGTTCTATAATCCCCATGAGACGCTTTTTAGGCTGGTGTCTGACGTCCATTGCAACAAATCCCGCACCGGTCTTCAATATTCCAAGCATGGAAATTGTTGCCCACTTTGATTTTTCCATGCAAATGGGGACCAAGTTGCCACGGCCAACCCCAATGCTCTGTAATTTAAGGCATAGCCGTGAGGAAAGCTCGTCAACTTCGCTGAAAGTTGCGTTGCCATCCCAGGCGAAAATCGCTTCGGCATAAGGATGACCAGAATATGATCTCGCAATGATATCTTGTATACAGTCTTCCACAGCAGCAAATTCTTTCCTATTCCATTGCCAGATCATTTTGATTTCCCGGTCACTTACAAGCTGAAGGTCTTGTAAACTCTTTTGAAAATTACTGGCGAGGCCGAGTTGCCGTGAAAAGTGTACAAACTGCTCAAGCAAAAGATCTGCCTCGAGATCAGAAATCACCCGAGAGTCATAGTTGGCCTCGACGACTATGTCGCCTTGTGTCTGGGTCACAAGAATCATTAGACTGAATTCGTTGAAATCAGATAGTGTAGAACTTATATTCAAGTTCTCCAGCATTGTTTTCAGTTCTTGTTCAACTGAGCTGCTAGTGGGGGACAATTCGACAATAGAGCTATCATGTCGAGGATGCACCACGAACAATGTCTGAAATCTGCTTCCTTTTCTCGTGTCTGCGTTGATTTTCCTAATTGCCTGTAAGCCTAGGTTCTCGAATGGGACGGCCTGTAGAGTCTGATCCTGAACAGCAGCGACGAAGCTTGAGACACTCTGTGCTCTATCAATCTTATGCCTAACCGGTACAGTTGATATTGTAGGACTGAGTAAGCCCTCAATACCGCTGATAGGAATATTTCGTCCAGCGACTGTTGCTCCGAACGTAACATCATCGTTTCCCGAAAGCGTAGATACCAAAAGGGCCCATGCAGCTCTTAGAAGTGATGGCATCGATACACCTTGGTGATCATTTAATGGTGCTGAGAAGCTCCTTGATTTTGTCGAATCAGCCTTGGGCTGATATATTCCATATGGTAAGGCGGGAAATACTGAAGTCTTCTCTGGTTCAGCCAACCGCTCTACCCAGAATTCTTGAGCGGACCTTAAGGGCAAGTCTCGGACGTACTTGATATAAGTGTTGAATCCTATATCTGGCTCAATGCGGATTCCTTGATATGCTCTGAATACTTCGGCACCGATACGTGGGAGAGTCCATCCGTCGTAGATGGAGTGATGCATGGTGAGAATGAAATACGTTGTGCCGAGTTCTCTTACGATCCCCCAGCGACAGAGCTCGGTACCCAAGGTCATCTCTCGGCGATTATCCTCTTCCAAGTACATGGCTAGACTCTCCCTACTGTCCCAAAACAGATTCGTTTCATATAATACGACCTGGACCAATCCATGAGTTAGGGTGTCCACGATGCGCGTTCGCAGAATCCTATGAGTCCGTGCGACGACTTGCCACGCATGTATGAACCGTTCAATGTTGACATGCTTAGGTAGTGCATATCTCCCGCGTCCGGTGTACGTTGTTGAACTGTTGGTAATCAAGCCTTCTTGCAGCGGAGTACACGGATATGCATCTTCGATATTGCCAACCTCTGTTCCACAAGCTTTGGCGATTTCAACGAGGTTCGCCTCACCTTCTAGAAGGGAGAAAGGTTGTGGCGGGCTCTGGAGCATCCAACGTGTTAATTTACTTTCACGGGCTAGGTCTGCCAGGAGTGGATATCTGAATATTGTTGCGACATCAAGCTGGAGACCCATTTGCGCTGCAGTACTGACTAGACGGATAGCCATCAAAGATTCTCCTCCGAGGGCAAAAAAACTGGTGGAAGAGCCCAATCTGTCGATGTCGATACGTAGAACAGCACTCCACGCCTGTTTCAGCAATCGCAGTTTGGAATCTTCTTGCTCGTCGCCGTCGTTCCTTCCCCTAGCGAGGTTATCGGCATGGTTCTCAGTTTCGCCATTTGTTTTTCCGTTAGGATGTTCATGCCCATTAGTATGGTCGTTGTCATTACCATTCCCAGTCGAAAACGGGAATTTGGCGCTACCAGCTGCAGCAACAAAGGTAATCCGATCCGGCGGCAATGACGTTCCGATTTCTCTCAATTTACGATGGTCGACCTTGCCCGTCATCGTGAGCGGAATCCTGTCTATATTGACATAAGCTCCAGGTATCATTGCTGATGGTAGCTTTTTCTTCAGTTCTGGGGTGACTTGGTCAAGCATCTTCCTCAGTATAGAGCTTTTCTTCGTTTCTGAGTCTATAGCAAAAAACACAACTAAGATCGCGGCTCCGTTTCTTAATGTGATGACTTCCAGACTCCACTGTATTGCTGAAGGGATATATGGCTGCAACTGAGTGGAAGCTTCTCCAAGCTCAACTCTCTGCCCTCGAATCTTCACTTGCGAATCTCTTCGACCAATATACTCAATCTCTCCGTTGTCCGTATACCGTACGAGATCACCGGTACGATATAAACGTCCTCTGCGTCCCTGCACTACCGAAGGATGACCATCCTGCAGCCATTTAGGGTCCTCGTAAAACTTGGCCCTGGACGCTGTTTCGTCGTGAAGATAACCCAGGCCAACCAGCGGCCCTTCGACCACCAACTCTCCTATACCCCCAATGGGTGTCAACCGGCCATGGTCCACTGGATCCATGATCCAACAACCCGCCAATCCTTTGCCAATTATACTTGGGCTTTCAAAAAGAAGTGCATCGTAATTGCCAACAGAAGTTACAGTACATTCTGCGGGCCCATATGTGTTCATCACACGTGTTTGCGTACCTCTCCACTTTGAAAGCGCATCTTCAGTGCAAGGTTCTCCGCATAGATTAAGAACTTTCAACGATGATGATTGCAATGGCTGCATCATCTTTGACACTGACGGTGTGACCATCGCATGTGTGATCTGGTAAGTATCGACTATTCGTCCTACATCGTTTTCACATTCCCACGACGATGGTATGCAAAGACATGCGCCGCTGAGCAGACTGAGGAATGTATCTCCCAAGGAGACATCAAAGGCATACGACGCCCAAGCAAGCACTCTAGAATCTCGTGAAATGTCACTTAATTCTCTCGAAGTTTTAGCGAATGTACAAATGTTCTGGTGGGAAAGTATCGCAGCTTTCGGAACGCCCGTGGTGCCTGACGTAAACACAACATATATAGGATCTGATGGCGTTAGGTCAGATTCATTATCGCTACTACATGCTGTATCCGATAACGACTGTGACTTCGTTTCGAGATATTCTGAATCAATAATGATGAGATGGGAGCCAAGGAGCTCCGCTCGAGGTCGTTGTGAAGCCGAAGAGAGAATTAACGGCGTGTCTTTTTCAATTAATCCGGCAATCTGCCTAATCCTGTCGTCCGGTAATCGTTGATCCAAGAGCACAAAAGCAGCACCGGTCTTGATCACAGACCATATGGCAACAGGAGTCCACTTAGACTTCTCGAAACATAAGGGCACGATATTGCCACGTCCCACGCCAGTATCAATTAACTGATGCGCAAAGATATTTGACAACTCATCTAGCTCTTCGTAGGTCAATTCACCATCCCAGGCGCTCACTGCAGGAGATTTGGGATGAGTTCTGACGTGACCAAGGAACACTTCTAGTGCTGTTCTGGAGTCTCCAATTGGGTGAGAGCGATTCCATTCCCACACGGTAGATTTGTCTGCCTCGCTGGCTGTATGTATACTATAAACCAACGCATTCAAATCCTTCTGACAAATCTGGTGAAGAACACATTCGAATTGTTGCAGAATACGCAATGACTCTGTGTTGGAGCTTGGTACTGTTGTGACATGCAGCTTTCGGCCATTATCAATCAGGACGCATTTCAATGCAAAATGAGTGTTTGTATCCAGACTAATGACTGGTTCATTCGATCTGTTGCTGCCTTCATCGGATTCTGAGCTGGTGATATGTAGGTGCGTTCGAAACGGTGTTAACTGGTCGATTTCTGCGTCATTTATGCGCTCTTGTTGCAATTGCTGTTGAATTATATGGGACAAACTTCCCACAGTTTCCTGATCGTCTATTTCGAGATTGATGCACGTGGACTCGACTTTTCCACAGGATAATTCTTCCGTTATGAGATATGAAACATGCGATGAACCAAGGTAATCCTTGAGCAGAATCGTCCATGCTACAGCTACCTCCTGAGTGCTAAGGGTACAGGGAACGTGAAATTGAGCAGGGCCATGCATGTTTCCGTGCTCAATTCTAGGACTTGTCCTGGTATGATGGTGGTAGGATTTGGAAATATGATTTGGGAGTTGCTGGCAGAAATCAGTTTCACTTCTCTGCAATCTGTAGGTAACTAGAGTAACAGCTCTATGAATCTCAGAATGCAAGCATTGTACGAGTGAATTTCCTTTTGTACCAGAGCGTCACTAACCAACTCGATCACCGTTGTGATAAGTTACATGAAGGCAAAGTCTCTCAGCAGTCTCCATGTCTGGCTTAGTGTAAGGATGCTTGAATTCGTTCCGCAGTGGAGAATTGCAATCTCGCCTCCATCATATCGTGAGTCAGGAATTCTTCACACTTCGCGAGATTTTAGGTATCACTAGAGACCTTGCACTGGGAATCCCCCAAATTCGTGACCGTTGGGTGGAGTGCTCGTAACAATACATCCGTACCGTATACGAACTAAGCATGTATTAGTACATGTATGTAACAACAGTGTAACGTCATTGGTATTGTAACATGTATTGTACTATCAGTTGGAAGGGATAGCTCTCCTTCCGTGTTTCGCAAGATGCAGATTGTCTCTCTAGTAAATGTCAGCTGGACGCTCGGCAGTGCCACTACTACGGCCGTAAACAGCAGTGATAGGATTTGTTATGAATGCAATTCAATCAGGGTTAGTTAATATCAAATAAAGTTGGAATAGATGCCTCCGCGTTCCGTAGTCACAAGGCCGGCCCGGTCTTGATGAATTGTAAATTCTTCAAAAATGCTCGAAAATGTCGGTATACGAAGACGGCTCAGTCATGTCGGAGCGTGTTCCGGATGCTAAAGCACGCACACTTACCTGCGAGTACTGCAGCTTGAGGCTACAAGATAAGAGGTGTGAACGTGTGCTAGTATACGGACTTGTCACCTTGATCATTCTGCTGCTTGCAAACATTCTGTTTCTCTTTGTGCAATACTCGGGCTTTCGATCTCTATCAAGTCCTGTTACGAACACTAGCAGTTTGTCGAATTTTCTATCTTGGAGTTGCATGCTTGTTGTGCTGATCGATACTAGCATCAATAGCGTACGAAAATGTGATTCATAGAACAGACAAGGACTGTATTGAACAACTGTCATCGTATAGTATGCCTATTCTTTTGACCTTTTGCTGTACGGATTTTCGATGGGCTAATTGTCTACACTTGCATCTTCAGCGCCTGCCTTCGATGCAGTCGAATATGTTGAAGCCGATCTCTATGATATGTACAGCATCGGAGACGAGTACCTTGGACCTCCAACAGCAGAAAGAGAGCAGAACTGGCGCGATCTATGGCAGCGTACGTTTTTGAAAGTTCCTCAGATATATTATCATATAATATCGTCTAATTATAGTATCGCAGACGAGGTTACCATGGTCCCCAAATGGGCCATGCCGATTTTGAATCGGTCGCATGTAGAACTATACGAGCAAGTAGAGTCGCAGAGTAACGAAGGATTCTCGGCCATGTTAAAGGTGTATCACCAGCTAGGATGCCTGGTAAAGTCATGCCCCAATTTTTTCCATCACAGCATTACTACGAATCTTGACTAATTACTCAAATGGCAGGATATAATACGGCAATATACCTGGATCCAAGCGGGTAGATATCCACCAGATTTGATTCCTCCGGAAATGCAGAAATCACCGGGAGAACTACGATCCAATATTGACAGATGCATTGACGATCTCCGTGTTAGCCTTATGTGCGCTGCTGATGTGACCCCGATCTTGATCACCAAGGATCGTGACTCATCCTCGGAGTATAAAGCTGAACTGAACAGCCATCACAAGTGTCGTAACTTTACGAAATTGCAGGATTGGACAAGAACACATGGTATTGAGCATTGGGAGAATGGTGGAGGGTTTCATGAACATGGGGAATAGACTTGTCTTCGATACAAAAAAGAGAAAATTGTATATATATTTGAAAGTGTACTTTTGATAATGAACGACCAAGATATAAGTATGTGCAAACAATATACTCAGAAAAAAGATATATTCTCTTTATCCCCCGACAGACATTTCTTGAATCTTCTAAAATAACATTCACTTCATCTGACAAACCGAGACTACCAATTTGCCCCTATTCATTGGTCTTATTGTTTTCTGCATTCAATATGGCGTTGTTGTGTTCCGCTACAGCCTCGGCATCTGCTTTCAGTTCCTCAGGACTCAACTTTTCTATAGAATTTTCATCAAGGTTCCCGGGATTTACACGGCCAAGGTCCTTGAAAGCTCGAATGAGAGGCTCATAGGGACTTCCAGGAGGGCAGTATGTATATCGGTCTAGTTGATGAGCCACTCCATGGTCTTCACCAGCCCGTGTGATGTTGATGGTTTTGTAACAGGCTGTCCGCTCTTGCACCCATTTCGACAATTTGTTCCAGTCCCGGCATTTGCGTACTTGTCCTTCACCAGTTAAGAATTCATCACCGTGGTCTTTGGTGAAATCCATCAAGTCGTCGGCTCGGCACATAATATCCTGGCGCAGAAGGTCAAGGCAATGTTCTATATGGTGATACGAGACTTTTGGTTTCTTTCCTATATGAGCGTCGTAGGTGAATGCATGGAGAAGAACCTAATCATTTACTATGTCAGTATCTCCCGACGTAGTTATGATTAGAAGGGAGCTTCTCCTTTGACTTACTGTGCAGTGAAGGGCGTGGTGTCCATGACTGACATACATGCCCTTATTAGCGTCCCATGGAAAGACCTTGGAACGCGGTAGACCAAGCTTGTCTGCTTCCTCGTGAGTGATGGCGACAAATCCCTCACTGATATCAATGGCATTCCACAAGGCGTCTTTTTCTTCATGCGTATGTTGATCATCACTGTATTCCGTTGCGTAGTGAAATGGGATTTCGAGTTCGTTCTCGGGGAGATGTGCTAGTTACATTTCAAGGTGACTATAAGCATTGAATCTTGTCTGCTTCACATGATAATACTTACCATACTGTGAATAGAACTTTGGTTTACAGACCACAAAGAGGAAGAGCTGGGCCACGTTTAACAGAACCGAGATAATCAAAAAACCTGAAACAAGCTTCGAGGCCTTGGAGAACTTGCGATCCACGATGGGACGACGAGGAGTCCCTGAGACCAGACCATCGTACTCTCCCTCATGGACAGACTCTGAGTCACGATCGTTCTCACGGTAGATATCTTCCTTGGAACTCATTATTCGAGTGAACAAGAGCGGATATACACTTTGGATCTCTCTTTGCGAAACAAAGATGTAATTTCACAATTCTAGGAGCGTGTTTAGGAAAAGCAGCCTGACGGAAAATGGGACTGCAGCATAAGAGGCAATGGCTTGACCTCTCACCCGTACTCGGAATCTTACTTGAATAGAGATCATCATCGTACGTTGTGTTGTCGCATGCATCGTATAATTAACAGCGTAAATATTACAATGTTTACATGTAATGATGATCAAGAAGCGTTACAATACATTAGTGTATTGGCTCACCGTAACCTTACCGTGTAAAACCAACTAGACCGTAAATGGTCCGAGCATTGATGGTAAGATACAGCTGACAATCCTCATAATGTAGTGTGAGCCATGGGCCAACAAATGCTGATATCTCTGTTGGTGCCAATTCTACTTTGTATGAACATGCAATGGTGGCTCATATGGCTCTCTCCCCGTTTAGTTGATTGGCACAGACGAACTGGGCATAATCCTAGAAGCTAGTACCAAATTATTACAAGCTTCCACTTCTTGCTTTGATGTCAAAACCACATGTCAATATGGAAGAAAAGCAGGAACGGCTTACGGAATGGAAGGCCAGCTGAAATCTATTACTGCCCTGGTGCTCAATGTCTCACTCACTGGTCGAGCACAGCCCGTTATGATGGCTTGGTTTATTCAGACCTAGTTGTGGTTGATGACTACGAATCCTCTTTTTATTCCTTAAGCAGGTCCGAACTAATGGAATTATCATAGTCCATAACCCCAATGATCCCATGACATTGAGTTTCAGGGATATGAGGATACCTTGAGAGATGAATGTGGATATGACATCCAAGTCCATCTAGAGCGAGGCTCATATCGGTTTATTCGTCTGGGAATTGAAGAGAAATAACGGCATGCCCTACGACTTCGGGTGAGTCTATGATCGTGTAGAAATCTAAATATATTCCAGATCCCCATGTTCAGCTATATCACTCACAAATCTATTTGTTTTCGTGGACCCAAGGGACGCAATTAACAGTTTTGAGGATGCAAAAATACGAATGGGGATAGAGAATCATGATGAGAGTGCTCAGCGCATGTATTGAAGTCCAGTTGTCTTGGTAATGATGTGATTGCCAGAAATATATTATCGACAGAAGCCGGCATTCTGTGGATAACTTCTCTATTCATAGATCGAACCCTAACATTAACAGCATGATATTGTACTTATTTTCCGTAGTTTCTATTGTGATAGTAGAGTTTAAAACTGCAAATTTGTATGCAAGATTTCGTTATATCTGGTAGAAAATAACGGGATCTGATGCTAATTCAAGAAGTTGAATCTAGCTTTGCTTTTCTTCGTTTAGGTGGAGAAAATGCTATGGAAAGCCATTATATAAGTAAGCAATCAGGTGTTTTCCAGTAATTAAGAACCCACTTAAATATGCTCAAAAATCTAACAAACTGGACTGCAGACCAAAAGGAGGCTCTGTTAAAAGTCGGAGTTGACTTGTATGATTTGTGAAGGATTCTTTTGCCCAATCTTTTGGATGGAATTCAGAGAGCTTCATATGATTTCGACTGCCTATCAGTGTCCTATCTTCAATCAACATCCGGTTTCACCTTCCGAGTCACCACAGCAAGTTCACCCTATGGATTGGAGACATCCCGCCGTGAGAACTATCGGATCTGGAGGGTAAATATACACATACTGCTTTTCTCATTCTTACCCGAAGGGTAACTAGAACAGAAAGCATTAGACTCCAGGCTCTCTTTTCACTACTATCTGGACAGATTGTCGTATGTGTCCCGGTGCCGTTCTTTGATACCTTGTTCCGACTAATCAATTATTTACAGTCCCATTTCACTGCTCTTGGTCTTCGACCAACGGAGATCATACTCACACTGTTGTCGGGACCGATATGTGGTATATTGTTTCAGCCATACTTTGGTGATTGGAGCGATCAGTGCAGTTCGCCATGGGGGAAAAGGAGACCATTTATCATGCTTGGAACTCTATTGCTCATAGCGTCTCTCATTTCCTTAGCTTTTCTTGATCGAATCATTTCCGTCCCACAGTTATCATCATCCCATACCATTGATCTGACGTTGTCCACGGTGTTTCTGACCTTTGCAATTTTCATTTCAGTTCAGGCGGTTCAAGTTGGATTACGTGCTCTTATCACTGACCGCGGGACCCCTACCGAACAAGCCGAATGCAATGCCTGGGCAGGCCGTCATACCAATTTTGCCTCTGTCCTCGGTACTGCTCCTGCAGCGATGATCTACACAAATGATGGTACAAATGGAATTGGCAGAAGAGCAGCATTCGCAAGCTCCAGTATATTCGTGGCTGTCTACTTGGCAGTGACAATTTCCATTGTATGTTGGTGCAATACGGAAGAGAATATCCGTTATGAGCAGCGTTCCTCTCATCGGTCATGTAAGAGCCATAGAGGAATTAGTGGCATATTGCAAACGTTGTTGTCAGAAAAGTCGGAACAGATCAGAAACATCTTTGCCGTGCAATTCTTCTCATGGCTCGGGTGGTTTCCCTTTTCATACTACGTTGTCAGGTATGTCGTCCTCAATATGGTAACAAGCATTGACAGATAATTGAATGATATATTCTGGGTTCTAGCTACGTGAATAGTCTAGGTAAAAAGTTTGCTCCTACGCAAGCTCTCAAAGATAGTCGTCTAACAGATCATAGATGAAAATGGAACACTTGGGAATGTAGTACCGTTCGTCTACGCTACAGTTTCACTCGTTGTAGCACTTCTATTACTGCACCAATATACAAAAATGGGAGTTGGTAAAGAAAGCATTTTCGGTCTACGCAGAATGTGGATGTTTTCTCACGGATTATTTACGATTACGATGATAGCAACCTTCGTGGTACATTCTGCCACTGGCACGATGATTCTCTTTGCTACAGTCGGAATTATTTGGGCATTGAATTGCCGAATTCCATATTCCCTTCTTGGCGACGAGCTATACGAGTCATCACCATTAGCAGAAAGACAAGGATTAGTCCATGGGGTGCACAATATCATGATCTGCCTGCCTCAAATCCTTGTCACGACGTTGATGGCTACAACATGGCTAATTGCCGAGGCCGAACGAGACTTTGGAGGCGTGGGTTGGTTTTTTCGTCTCGCCGGTCTGTCTGCGTTCGTAGCGTTGTATTTTACGACCAAGGTGCGCGAGCAAGACCACTATGACGCCGTGGGACTACCAGAAGCATATATTTTGGACGAAATCTCGTTATCAGCTGATCTACATTAACACTTATCTATGCTAGTCAATGCTTGCAAACGCATTTAGCCCAATAGTAGCCGTACTAGAACCGTTGATAAGCGTACTTTCTACTGTAATCAAGCTGAACCGAGAGCATGCTCGTTTTGGCCCCTGCATAAAGTAGCTTGTTCCTAATCAGCCGCTAAAGTGTGGAGGACCCGACAACTTAGCACGCTCCTAATCATAGCTTAAATCGCGACATCGGGGTCCAATTCTAATCAGATATCCAGAGGATTTCATGACAGCTTGTACCGTATCACACGAGCCCGATCTTGACGCTATTATTTTACCGTTTTGTTACCACAGATACATCCATACATAATACATATATCATACAAATAACTAGTGGATAAATGGAGATAATCTTTCGTTTTACAAGGCTTGCTGCATTGGCAGCCACGGCCAGGATATACATAAATGAGACTAGGCGATGGATTCAATTTCTTACCTTCTCTTAATCTGCAGGTTGGTTTCCGCTTTCGAAAACCAGCATGACGTTACTGGACGATGACCAACCAACTCCTGTACACACGTCTGGATCCGGTCAAACAGAGAATAATGCGTGTCTCTGACGTTTGTACAACCTGTTACCTAGGCATGCCGTAAGATTATAGCTCGAACCTTACATCTTGTAGCTGACTTGAACACCCTCCAACTACCGCTTCAAATCCAACTGCTTCAGTCCCGGCAGTAATAGGGAAGTAGAAGCAGAAATGATACTACAGCCAAGAGATTCTGCGATTCTAACACTCTGGAAGAGTACAAACCTGTTTAGGCAGGTAGTATACTAGGTGCAGAAGTAACAATATCATGCAGTTGTGGGCTGCTGTTCAAAATAGAGTTTGACAGAGGCCCGTGGATTGTGAATGAGACCAGCCATCAAGATGCGGCTGAAGTACCATACCTGGGCCTTACTTAGATTCCAAGATTGGGTAAAGAGTATTCCTCGGTTTGGGGACAGCTAGAATGTAGACATATTCTACATTGCCTGGAATGCGACAGCAGCGAGAAGGGTGGCGGATAAGAATGGAGCATAAGAATATAACCTTTATTTGGGGAATCTATTTGCCAGTGACATGGTCAGTAAGACGGCATCGTTGGGCGTCATGAATACAGATCCAGCTGAGTGAAGTGCATTCTATTCTCTAACCTTGGAACCCCTGAAGCCGTTGTGGGTTCAAATAGGTCTGCCTGACGAAGATGGACGGCTAGAGACTTTGACAGTTGAACCGATGCCAGAAAGTTAATAGAAAAATAACTCATCCCACTGGAAGATAGGTATCTCGCATTCAATATCCGATCTGCGATGATACCCAATAGAATGTAACCATACTAGGAGTTCTGGTCTCGTATATGATAACATGCTTCATGGTATGCTGGCATAGAAATCCGAGAAATACACGCAGCTGTAATCATTAAAGCTATATCAAAAAGAGTTTGTCCCTTTTTAATGCGGCTTACTTTACCTCAATTTCGTAAGATACGATAGATTAAGATACCACGTAAGTTGATTTCGGTTTGCTATTTCGTACAGTACCTTACATTGTTACTGTATTGAGTATAAAAGACGTATGAACTAGTCAGAGCCCACATATAACTGACAGAATTTTCTGATTGGTTATCCTATCTATGAATACAATCTACAAAGCCCTAATCTCGACTAAGCGCTTCCTTATGGTAAAGAGGTAAAGTCAACCACCAATGCGGCCTAAGGCTGCTTCAGAATGGATTTGTGTGCTGCCATCTTCAAATACCGATTGGCCGTATTATAGCCCAAATACTACCTAAGCTAACTTAATTATGCTGGTTGCATCGTTGCCTCTTGTGCTGCATGACTCTGGCCTTACCAGATATAGTTTGCAAACCGTTAACTAGCTGCCTATCTTGGTGTTGTGGAGGAACGTTGCTCGAAATACTAAAATTTGTTAGTTAATTCCCCAGATATACAATTTTTCCTCAGGCATGGGGGGCCAATTTCTCGTAAGAGTGAACGAAAACTTTGTTACAGGTCCCCAGAATTGAGAACATACCGTAAAACAGTTATTTGTAACGATCCCAACTGTTCCGCTATTATCGATGGAGCGAAACAACATGTACGCAACTGATTAGCCGAGACTGGAGAAAACACTTTACAAAAGCATAGTCGTATTTACAATAAGCAGCAAAGAAAAAACGCACTGTAAATGTCTATCGAGTCTGCAGTGGGTTTCCAACATTCCGTCTTGCATGTCGACTGGTGTTGGACTGACTTTCCCTTCTAGACGAATTAGTGTTTACTGTTTACCTGTTTGTTCTGAAGATATGCGCTACATTATACTCTACTTTTCATCATGAATATTCAATGACGACAAGAAGAAGAAAAGAGAACATTTGAAAAAACCAATCAAGATGCCAAACACTAGGAGTCATTTGGACGTAGTCCATGAATTCTGGAAAGTATTGAGAGAGCGAACCAAAGAGGGAACTTATGAGTTGGACGGAGATCATTTACACATTGCAGAAGTTGTTGCGACAGCACAGTAGGGAAATGAGTTCTAACTGATCCAGAAGATGTTACTGACATGCAAATTCTCAGACGAGACAGTATCCCTAAATTGAGTCAAGAACCGAAACTCAGCAAGGCATTGCAAGACAGCGTAAATGTGCTCTTTAGTCACTTGGAGCAGGGCTGGTACGTCTATGGTAGGTCTTCAGTTTCGTGTCTTCTGCGCAGAGTCGGTATGGTAGCTAATTAAACGTGCAATATCACAGGCGTCAATACTGGTTTTGGAGGTAGCGCGGATTCTCGCACAACTGAAGTGATTGACCTTCAAAAGTCATTGATGCAGCACACCCAAAGTGGGATACTCTCGTTCTCAGATCCCGAAAAGCTCCCAGGACATTCTATGCCCCCCGCATGGGTACGCGCAGCAATGGTGGTTAGGTGCAATGCCACTCTACGAGGACATTCCGCTGTTTCGTTCCCAACTATCAAGGCAATGGCCAACTTACTCGAATATAATCTCACTCCCGTCGTACCGTTGCGTGGATCAGTGTCGGCCTCCGGTGACCTCATGCCTCTATCATATGTCGCAGGTAGCCTTGAGGGTAATCCGGACGTCCTCCTCGAGAATAACGACAGAGTACTACCGTCACACCTTGCGCTACAGGAGGCAGGTTTGCACCCAATAGCTTTAGGCCCAAAGGAAGGACTGAGTTTGATCAATGGGACATCCTCGTCTGCCGGTCTGGGAGCTTTAGTAATTGGTGATGCCCACCTACTTGCTCTGCTGACACAGGTCTTAACTGCAGGAGCCGTGGAGGTGAGTCACAGTGGCTATCAATGGCGAGAAAAAGAATAACTAACGATAACAATCCAGGCCCTCCGTGGTTCATCCGAAAGCTTCCACCCATTTATAGCAAGATGCCGCCCGCATCCGGGCCAAATTGAGTGCTCGCGAAACATATTTTACTTTCTGCGCGGATCATATTTATCTCGAGATGTGTTAGAGCCAAAGAACCGTCGACGGGAAGACCTGGTTCAAGATCGTTATTCTCTAAGGAGTGCGCCGCAATGGATTGGTCCTCAGCTAGAAGACTTATTGCTTGCAGATCAGCAAATTCACATTGAACTCAATTCTTCCTGTGATAACCCGTTAGTGGATACGGAAGCCAACGATATCTACTATGGTTGTAATTTCCAAGCTGCAAGCGTTACGTCGGCTATGGAAAAGGTGCGCCTTGCATTACAAATGTTTGGTCGCATCTTGTTCTCACAAAGTACCGAGATGATAGATCCTCATCTTAGCGGTGGTCTACCAGCTAACCTTGCTGCTGATAACCCAAGTCTCTCGTTTACTATGAAGGGAGTAGATGTCAACATGGCAGCCTATATGGCAGAACTCTCATACCTCGCCAATCCAATGAGCTCTCATGTTCAGGCGGCGGAGATGCACAACCAGTCAGTCAACTCCATGGCGCTAGCCTCAGCGCGCATGAGTTTCGAGGCCGTGGAAATTCTTAAGAAAATGTGCGCATGTAGTGTGTTTGTTGTTTGCCAGGCCCTGGATCTCCGGTCACTACACATAAAATTTGTCGATGAAGCCGTGAAGGTGATTGCGTCAGTCACGGCCAGTTTATTTCCATCTGGGGAAGAGATTCAAGATCTCGATTCCCTTCAAAGAGCGTTGAAAGAGCACGTTGGACCCGCTTGGCTGTCAACCGGGAAACTCGATCTACATGTGCGCTGCAGTTTGCTCGTGAGCTCAGCAATATCACTTGTCGTCTCTCATGCAAAAGGTCCAGTGGCAAATCTTGTTCATTGGCAGACACAGGCCACAAAGGCAATATCTGATCTATGGGACGAGACATTCGAAGCATTCCGTGCGGCACCTCATACACCGAGTCTACTGGGCAAAGGTTCACGAATCCTGTACGATTTTGTTCGAAATACATTAAAAGTACCATTTCACGAGGGCTTTGTCGAGCATCCTACCATTCACAATAACATTCACGGTAATCGACCCAAGAAAACCATTGGTGGATGGATTTCCATTATCCATGCACGCATTGAAGACCGCTCTATCTATGATGGAATAATCCCTCTCGTCGAAGAAGGACTACTTTGTACAGGTACCAATGGAGCATAGAAACGACTAGACTACGTATTTAGACATTATTCAGCTCGGTGAATAATGGGGAAAAAAAAAACGTATAATGCTCCTGCATGAATGCTGTAGTGCTTTTAGTTTTCTCGTGTTCACTGTTCTTGACCTCTGGGTAGCTTAAATTTGCTAATCAGGATTACCAGCTAGGCTAGGAAGTTGCTTGCATGTCTCGGTGGCCCAATATAGTAATATGGTAACATATAGCTCAACGGGCAATGGTGATCATGTAGTGCGGGTTGTAGTTCCAACAGTTACTAGTCAGACTTATATGCTAGGTCCTAAAGAAACCCTAGGCACTTTTGCCGGCAGCTGACTCGTTCAGCATGAGGACATTATCCCCATAACTGAGATAATGGTTCCTATTTGGGTACAAAGGATTGCAAACCTTGATCCAGTTACAAGTACCTAGGTACCTAGTCATGAGAAAAATACGAGCCAAAACACGCATGGTTTCAATGCATCATGGTCCGAGAACAATTGTTCAATGGAGGTTCTGTAATTTAGCGTTCCAGCACCCTATGTGATATGTAGGTATTGTATAATACATGCATACTATGTATGATATACTACGTGCTGTATTGGTATTACAGTTACACTCGCTCCGCGCTAGTTCTATGGGGATTGTAGTTTAACGTGGTTTCCCAGTAAGTTTGTATTTAAGTTAGTTACTTATCTTTCAATTATATAATAAAATTCTCCTGATGTTTTAAACTACAATCTTGTATTTCAGAAGGCAATAATAGCATAAACTATCCTAGTTACCTTCGTTAGGGTGCTGTTTGTGTGGTTGCCATGCCAAATCAGCCGGTACTTCCAATTCTATGCCGCGGCTGGCAGCAAATTCTTCCAACCCGCTATGGTCTCCAAACGGAGTCAATATTCCTTCAGGGTCGAGCTCGATAATAGATCGATCCGGGTATTCAGACCACGGTGCCTTCTGTTGGATGGCATTCGTCTCCATCCAGTCAAAGATGTCTTCGAAGTTGCGGCATTTCTTAGTGGAAGCAAAGTTCAGGTTGACTCCAGGCCATCCTTTAAATTTCTGGCCTACCAGGACCTCCATATCTGCATGACACAAAATACTGCGCAAAACAGCGTATGTGCAATGCTGCAAATGATCCTCCCATTTGAGTGGCGTGTGTTTCATCTTCTCCCTCATATCTCCATAGTAACTGGGCCATGCTGTTTTTCGTAGCATATTCAAACAATGCAGTTGATGATAGAAATCCAAGACACCGTAATATACTCCTTCTCCAAATTCATTCGCAGGTGCTGGCCATACTGTAGCCGGATCATATCCCGCAGCACGAACCTCTTCAGCACTCAAAGCGATAGACTTTGTACTGGAGATTCTCTCCCAGGCTTCGTCTACCTCTGGTGACGGTGGTTGCTGAAATATGGATGGATTATCATCCCACCAGTAAAGGGTAAAGTTGTGATGATATTTAGATCGGTAAATATTAAGTCGGTCAAAGATGGGAGCTGTGTTGCTTGAGTCAGGAATGCCGTCTCGTATCTATAAGCATACATCCACATGAAGGTACTTACAGTAAGTGCTGACCTCCTTCTCTGTGCATCGGGATCCCCTATGTATGAGAATCATTGCAACCGTAGAGAAAAATAGGAAGATGTTTGCTATTGAAAGGCTCAGGATAAAGATGTAGCTGTTGAAAGATTTCCATGATTTGGTCTCATGTCTAATATACTTCAAAGCAGTATAGCGCTTGGGCTCGTGGACAAGGGAATGGTCTTCTCCCTCATCACTAAGGTATTGATACTGCGAGTTCTCTTTCTTGCGCCTCGCCCATCCAAGGTATGGAAATTGCATCTTCATGAAGATTTTGCGTCTTCAACGATTCACTGAGGACTTGTTCACGAGATTGAGCGAGAATTTTATCTCGGTTTCAGTATCAGATGTGGACCTAGAGTGTGAGGAGTAGATGGCATCAGTCATGTGTGTTAGGTCTTGGTCCTTGTTTTCCACCTCGGAGTTCTCGTCTCCGGCTCACCGACGAGAGACCAAGGTGCATCAGTTGTATAACAAGCAGTGCAAGGTAAGATACAGTTACAGCAACCTTTGTTACAAGTCTTCCTGGCCCCCATTGTTCCAAATACCGTAACGAAGCTATGGAAATCTGTACGAGTAATTTTCCCCCCAGAAGATCAGCAAATAGACTAAGCCATTATAGGATCCTACAGGGGGTTTTCGTGTCTTTCCCCTCGGTAGAATAGAATAACATGAGATATGTGATCTTGGAGCTTTGGCTCATCTTCCAGCATAATACTGAGTCAAGCTTGTGCTATATAAGGAAGCCAACCTGCCCTTCTCAATCTTCCCTTCCGACAAGAAAACAATCACAACATACAACTTTCGATCTTCATCATAAAATTTATCTATCTCCTTCCACAAAGGAACTTCCAATCAGTCAAAATGCGTTTCTTCCAGACTATTATCGCTCTTGTGGCTGCTTTGCCCCTGATTGCTGTTGCCGCCCCAGCTCCGGCCCCCGCTGCCAACCCTGAGGTTGATGCTCCTGCCCAAGTTGAGGGTGGCCCCAACTGCTAGATTGGTGAAATCACCTTATTCTATCACTGTGAGTTACTTTGAGTCTTATCAAGTGCTATTTTAAACAGTATGAATCTGAGATGTCAGGATCCAGAATGTGCGCCGTTGTTTACAATGAGAAGATGTCTTGATTGAGTTGGTATGGTTGGGGGGATGTGAGAAGTCAAGAGTTCTTGGAATACGATGGAATATGTCAATAGTCTCTTGTCTTTTTCCAAAGAGCAATAGTTATACTCCTGTGATGAATCACTTCATGAAGAACAAGAGAGATAATAACTGTGTCTGCGATCCTTTTGTGTGCTTTTCGCGATCATTATGTAGCTTACAACTCGTAATGGACAATTCCGCTCGTTTGACCAATACTTTCATTTCTATCTTTCTCCAGATCTCGTATGGCATAATAGAGCAGAACCTGTTCAAGATCAGTTGCAATAAACACATTTAGAAGTGATGCTTGTACCGGTTAAGAAATCTCCAGTGTTCGACTTTCATACTACAGTAGAATCTGGCTGTAAGAAAAGGATGCCTTTTCCATATCTATACTAATCTCAACTTTGATTACTTTATTATGAAACTAAAGAGCATCCTAATTATGAAGATCAAAGCTCCATTCGTTATAGCCAGGTTCTACTGTATGACAAACACATAGGTATCTTAATCTACATGACATGACTTTCTCCCTCAAACCTTTGGGTACTTCACGAAAGAAGACCCGAGTAGAACCTTTATGAAACCCATCATCTATTCACCTCCTGCTGCCGGCCGGTCGCTGACAACTAAACCTGAATATCGATGTGATGTTAACTCTCAGAAAGGTGTTGACACAGATGAAAGAGGAATTACCTCTCATCAATGCTGATGTTTGACTTCCCACGATAGCAACGGGCCATCAATGAGTGGCTGGTGTGTTGGAGAGTGCGTGCGTAGGTAAAACAGTGTTGAGACAAGAATATTCAGAGCCAGTAAAACTACCGCAAAAGAAAGAAGACAAACAAGCGTCGATGGCTGGCGGTGCTGATTATGATGTTTGAGAAATCCAGCATGCTTATGCTCATCTAAATCGGCCTCTTGGCTGACTGAGCCAGAGCCTGAGTGCATCAGATCTGTGTATTCCGACATTTTCTTCCACAGATTGATAACTATGAGTGCCTAAGAAAAAGAAATACTACATATAAAGAAGAGTCCTTTTTACACAGATCGACTAGGAAGAGTTCTTGGTTGTTGGGTTCGTCTGCTGAAGAATTCATGACGCTATGGGAGGATCCTGACCACTACTAACTAGGTACAGTACTACTAGTCGTCAGTACATTCACACCCCTTGTAAGATGGCTTACCAACTAATAGAAGACTAATAGAGGAGATATGCTACCACGAACCAACATTCCGTATAGGAGATGCACTGTAATTAGTGATATTAACATGTAGTTCAATTAAACATGTGAAATAATACTGATGTAACTTACACAGTGGATCTGCTGATCCTTCTGTAAATACACGCATCATTTCGTAACCTTGGAATCCGTGGATGTATTTCAACTTCAGTATTGATACGAACATACCCGGTAATACTGTTACTGTAACAAGTACGGAGATAATTCTCAGCCTTGTCTAGACTCATTTTGAGAATACTATGGTAGATACCGTCATACCGGTGATTTTCCTGGTACGTTTTTTATTCTCAAGTCATACTGCCAAGTAATACCTAATCTAATGAGAGATTACCTACTCTAAGAGGTAAAGTCTCTACACTATCAAGAAAATTAGTAGCAAAATATTGGCTGACAAATAAAAGCATTGATTACATGAACCCCTGTATGACTCAAGAATAAAGAACGTACATGTACGGATTGGGGAATGACTAGTTGTCTGCCCAGGTGGAGCCAGCGTCTAGGGGTGCATCTTCTTTGAGAAAAATTTCCATGCTAATCGTTATCCCCACGCCTCATTCTGTGGACTACTAACCACCAACTCAGGCAAAATTGTCTCAAGAAATGTTTCTAATAATCTGAATGGGAAAATAAAATCACCTGGCGGACTGTGTGTGTCGTAAGGTTTGGGTTAAGAAGGACAGGAAGAGGAGCTAGGCAGGAAAAGGCGAAAGCTCACTCCTGCTTGCCTTCGCAAGATGACTATACTCTGCGCACCTCCACTTTGGGATAATGGTCACATGTCAGCCTGCGTAGTTGATAACTACCTGGGCACGATCTTGCCTTTGATAGCATGTATAACCTCACTTACGATATGTTGCCTGAGGCAGGTTTGGTCAAGGCAAGACAATGGAATGACCATTCCTGAATCTTGGACATACACCACCACAATATCTGCGAAACTGCAGATTGCCGAAACTACTGGAGTTCTATTTGACGTTATCATTACTGTCTATTCTATGCTTTTCAGCAATGAAAGCTCGGCAGCAGACTATTCACGATTTTCCGTATCTGCCATATTATCAATCTATCTTCTCTTCCTTATATGGGCACGACGAAGCTATGAAAGTGACATCGGGAGTTATTCACGGAGTCATTCTGTGGTACTCTACTCGGTTCAGGGGTTATGTCTAGTGGTAACTCAGCATTCGTATGTTATTCAAGGATCAGATTTGTTGATCGTGGCTCCGAACTTGTTGCGACTCTGTATATTTACGGCCCTTGTTCTGCTGCACTGGAGTGCCCCAAGATTACCAAAACAGACTGCTACTACGACTAATTTTATGCCTTTCGAGTTGAGCAGAGAAGAGACTGCAAGCTTTCTTTCCTGTCTGACCTTTTCTTGGCTCAATACGTTAGTATGGAAGTCGTTCTGGACCACACTCGAGGTCACGGACCTGTACCCACTGCACCACCGCCAGAAGGCAGCGGCGGTCATCCCACGGTTTCGAAAAATGACTCAATTTACACGTCCATTAACTGGTAGGCTTTTTGCTTTTCTCAAGAACGATGTTCTGAAGCAAGGTGGATGGGCCGCTTTGAATAGTGCCACTGTCTTCTTTCCACCATTACTTATCAGACTCATTCTGGAGCACTTTGAATCTCCAGATTTGATAACTCGAAGCACGGCTTGGCTTTGTGTTGCTGGACTGTTGACTGTTGGCATGGTTTCTGGGATTGCCGACTGTCAATGCACTTGGATGGGCAACCGGATGACTGCTAAGATACGGACCATACTGGTCAATGAAATCTATGAAAAGGTGCTACGGAAGGGCCTCGCAACTCCACATCTATCAGACCAACGGAGCCCAAAAGCCAATGCTACAGATGGGAACATTCTAAACCTCATGTCAGTTGACGTCGAGCATGTCAGTTCCGTGAGTGGAAACCTCTTTCTGCTTTGGGTAACTTTCCCAATCCAGATCGGTCTCGGGACATGGTTACTGTACATCCTTCTCGGCATCAGTGGTATAGTAGGGGTTCTATGCATGGTCTTGTTACTGCCGTTGAATTTCCTCATATCCCAGCGTGTGATGGCTGCACAAGCGCGTCTCTTGAAAGTTAGTGACAGCCGTATCCAGGCAGGCAACGAATTGTTGCATAATATCCATACTATAAAATATTCAGCTTGGGAGGCCCAATTCCAGAATAGGGTCATGGAAAAACGTCGAGCGGAAATGAAGGAATTGCGTTCGCGTTTCGTGTGGTGGTCAGTCAATGCTACGACTTTCCATTCCCTCCCACTCATTGTTACAACTATAACCTGCTTTTTCTTCACTGCAATCTGGGGTAATCGTCTGAAAACCTCAATTGCATTCCCAGTCTTAGCTATCTTCAGTATAATCCGGATCCCCTTGGATCGTCTGGCCACCTCTATTACATTTCTATTGCAAGCTCGCGTTTCTCTGGCCCGTATCGACAATTTCTTACAAGAAAGAGAAACCGACAAGTACAAGCAGCTATCTATGGTTACTGATAGATCCATAGAGGAGGATATCGGCTTTGATCATGCTACACTGTCATGGCCATTGGAAGCGTCTACAAACACGCAGGGCAATAAGACAGATGATGGAGACGGCATGGCCTTGGAGGAACTTCTTAGTGTTCGACCGTTTATGCTTCGGGATCTAAACATTCGATTTCAGATCGGTCGCCTCAACCTCGTCTGCGGACCAAGCGGATCGGGAAAATCTTCCATTTTACTTGCTCTTCTCTGCGAAATGGATCTAATCGAAGGCCAAGTTGTGCTTCCCCTAGTTTGGAGGGAAGAAAATTCGTCCGCACAGACAACAGCGTACTGTCCACAGGAGCCGTGGATCATGAATCGGAGTGTACGAGAGAACATTACACTCAACACACCATTCGATAGCCTGCGTTACGAAAGTGTTCTGCATGCTGTGGCACTTCTTCCAGACATTGCTAATCTAGATAATGGAGATCAGACCTTCTGCGGAGAGAATGGAAGTCGACTGTCAGGTGGTCAAAAGCAACGTGTTGCTCTCGCGCGGGCACTTTACAGTGATTGCAAAATTATGCTTCTTGATGATTGTCTAAATGCATTAGACCCTCACACCGCGAAGCACGTCTTCTTTCATGCAATCAAGGGACCGTTGATGAAAGATCGCACCTGTATTCTCGTTACGCACCATACACATCTTATCATTCCTCACTGTGATTATGTCTTTCTGCTCGAAAACGGCACAGTACAGGCTGAAGGTACACCAGATACACTTGTCTCGACAGGTTTCGTTGACCTGGATATGACAGAAAGCGATGTGCCGTCAGTATCGGAGCTTTCACTTACGAATGGCAAGGTTCCCGACGTTGACGAGTCATATCCGGGAGATTCTGCGAATATGGTCCCCCAATCCGAGTTTCTTCAGGAGTCTAGAGATGCAGAAACACAACTAGGTCACGTGGAACGCAAGGCTGAGGGAGCTGTCCCCTGGTCCATCGTGAAGAGGCACCTGAGCGCTATGGGGAGTCGATGGTACTGGGTAGCAGTATTATCCTTGTTCGTAATACAACAGATTGCTTCACTCGGAACCAATTTATGGATCAAGAATTGGGCATTGCAGTACGATAATTCGGAAGCGCAAGTCAATGCATGGTATTATATTACAATCTACGTAGCGTTGTGCGCTCTCTATGCACTTGTCACCGCGCTTCGCGATCTCACCACCTTTTACGGATCCCTCAAAGCTTCATCCACAATATTCGCTCGACTCCTTAATAGAGTGGTCCATGCCAAGATAAATTTCTTCGACAGTGTCCCTTTAGGACAAATAATAAACAGATTCTCGAAGGACATGGAAGTAGTTGACCAACTTATAGCGGGATTCTCCACCAGTGGGTTACAGCTCCTTGTCTCTATCGCTATGGTTGTCGTCTTTATATCCACTGTTCTGCCTGCATTCCTTATAGTGGCTTTCTTCATCTGTGTGGCCTACTACTTCGTCATGGCGATGTATATCAATGGGGCCCGGGACTTGAAGCGGATCGAGGCTGTCGAGAGGTCGCCTCTATACCAGCAATTCAGTGAGACTCTTGCTGGTTTTATTAGTATTCGGGCATATGCGCGAACGTCGGACTTTATCTCACATAATCTCAAGCTCGTGGACCGGTTGAATCAGCCGTACTTACTCCAATGGGCCAGTAAGGAATGGCTTACTTTCCGAGTGAATGCCCTCAGCTCATTTATCTCGTTTTTCACTGGTGCTTTTGTGCTGTTGAACTCTCAATGGATTGAATTCGGCAGTGCCGGTCTCGTGCTCTCTTATGCGGTAACTTTCACGGAAAATGTTATGTGGCTGGTTCAAGTGTATGCAATCATTCAACAAAATCTCAACTCGGTGGATCGCATCTTCGAATACGATCAGATTGAGCAGGAGGCTTACACACCTGTGCGGCAAACAGTTTATGATATGCCAGAGGATTGGCCATCTCAGGGTGACATTCGATTGATTGAATACACCACGCGCTATTCCTATAACCTAAAGCCTGTCTTGAAAGATATTAGTTTCCACATTCGGCCTGGTGAGCGTGTTGCGGTCGTCGGGCGGACGGGAGCAGGCAAAAGCTCCCTTTTATTGGCGTTAATTCGAGTTTTGGAAGCAGACAGTGGGCGTATTGAGATTGATGGGATCGATATCGCGGCTGTCAGCCTTGAGCAGCTTCGGCGAGCCATCACCATCGTACCCCAGAACCCGAAGCTATTCGATGGCACATTGCGTGATAATTTAGATCCACTTAATCGTGCCACCGATGAAGATATTATAAGCGCCCTGAATATGGTTCATCTCATTGATAACGTAGGGATATCTGAGCCTGTAAGAGGGATGGATCTACTGCAACATCCAGCCAATGCGTTGTCGCAAGGTCAACGTCAACTGTTGTGTATTGCTCGCGCTCTTTTGCGTCGGTCACATATTCTCATACTCGATGAAGCAAGCGCTTCTATTGATTATGCAACGGACACGGCGATCCAAGCAGGATTACGGGCGAGCATCTCTAAGGAAACATCAGTGCTGACAGTTGCCCACCGATTACGAACCATTGCAGACTACGACCAAGTCATAGTGCTGGATACTGGGCGTATTGTAGAACAAGGGTCTGTTCAAGCGCTTCTTGCGCGGCAGGGACGGTCTGCCATTTTCCGCCGTATGTGTGAGGAGTCAGGAGATCTTACCCATATCATGCGAGTGGCCTCTGAGAGGGACTTAAACATCGGGGGTGCGCAACGAGTGATGATTTGAAGCAACGTGTATATGTACTTGGTCTATCGTCTTCGTATGAAGAACACCTGGCACCCAAGAGATTTGTTAGTGTAATGGAAACGATGGTGATATACGACTCGAATACCGAAATAGAACACATGTTTCATAATATGCAATTCCAGTCTGCAAATTTCCCATGCGTTCATATTTCGTGGGGATAGGAGGTCCTCACCCCTGTAAATTGTGGTGCCAAGCTTAAAGAGAACAGAAATGGGACTTTGAGATCGCCTAGAAGGATCGCTAGTGACGTCCTAATACCATTTGTTACATCCACTTGATCTGCAGAGTGCATACACGTATATGCAGTTAAGCAGTCTACCGTGACAATGTGACACATACAAACAGTTCCTGTGATGAGTAGGATGTCCAGAGAGATTGATTTTGAAAGAAGTAAAGTCTGCCAAAACTAATGCTAATCACCTGATAGTATGTGATTATGAGTGAAAATTTCATTATCGATACACTATGTTTATATGTATATCCATTGTACTGACAATCTAGATATACCGAGAGACATGATTATTTTGCACATAGCAGCAGATGCATCATATTCATCCATCCAATAAATTTTGTGGATATCTGCACTGAAGAATTGTACATTTCAAAAAACGATTGCATATTTGATGTGATCCTCAAGCTATCGCAAGTAGTACATGGCACATGCGTATCATGTTTGCCTTTTCCCTAGAAGTACATCGAACTCAAATTCGAGGCTTTTTGGGACTCGTACTCTTTTCTGAACTTGTTATTTGTCATTGGATTCAACAATCAATGTTAAGAATTAGGGATCGAAAGATTCCCGATCCTTAGAGTCGTCTTGGAAATCTTAACGTCTTCGGACACTGTCCATCATTGTCCAGTCCTACTAATTTTGTAATCAAATTTGCTTTCCAGGTCATGTAATGCCTCACAAATAGTTATTAGCCAAATGAAAATGAAATCAATAGATATCTTATGTAGTGGTGATGATATCTGTACAAATTATAACCCTAATTTCATCAATCGTTCCTCCGCCGAATTTTGCTACTGCTTTCCTAAATAGGTAATTCATCAGGGCTATGTGTGTTCTCGTGTGTTCTTCCCTATTTGAAGCAACAAGGAGTATCCTTGTAGTTGACAGTCCTCCTAGCCTTCTCGAGTGTATATGGTACGCTATTTCTCCCTTCTCCGTTTCGATTGATGTTGTCCAAATGATTGATTCGTGGAATCAGAATCAACATAGTTTTGCCCCTTGGTAGAGAAAAAGAAACCATTAAAAAGTCGAGAACAAACAAGTACAATACTCTATCATAAATACGTATGCAGTATACGTGGTTCTGGATGATTTGGTAGGCAATACTAGTGAACCACATATTGAAGTTATCCCCGTCGACTGCCCTTGTTATGGGACACGTTATGCTGCCTTTCATTGTGGGATAATCCAAAGTGAGCGATCGTAGTATTGTTTGCCATTCTAGCAATAACCTACAAAATTATCAACTTATTTGCATTCGTATCTAAAAGAAACTCAAGTAATATCCTGATTGTCGTCACAAAGAACAGCGAAAAGATTGGTAGATGCAGGGGACTACCCTATTATCATTATTATCGATTGTGTTGATCCATAGATTGATAGATCCATAGATGAATGCTATCCTAAGTGTTTCGGGCTTATATTTAGACTGTACATATCATGCTCAACGGAACAGCACACAAAAATATCGAGAGCAAGAGTGGCTTTTCCAAACATATGTCTGTTGGCCTGGGTTCAAACTGATACCCCTCGACAATCACACAGACAATATCGAAATGCGAAATAAGAAAGAAAAGTGATGCGTATCAAACGCCAGCTGTCCGCGCTCATGAGAGCAGTCATATCCAAAATCCCATCCCGAGGTCCACGCCCATAGCCAATAATATTCCATTATTTTGACCCAATCTCATATCCATATCCATTTTCATGACCCATGCCCATCAATATACCGGTGGATTCTGATACCCACATTACCTTCCATTCCCAATGCCATACCATAGTCCAAAACTCCACAGTTTCAGATCGTTTTAACGGTGTTCTCCTTTCTTTTGCCATTTCCCCGATATCACGCATAATTCAGAAGACATATAAACCAGACAAGTCAAGGAAAACAAAGAACGAAACTCAAAAGCAAAGGGCAAAACATTATTGAATACACACATTTCCTTCAAGGCGAAACGCCAAAGGGAAAGAAGATTAGCTAGCTTGGTGAAACCTCTTCAATGATTGATGTTTGCTGTTTCTCTTCGTCAAGGCTTCACTGTGCCAATCACCTGAGTCGCTGCGTGGCCTGCTTCGAAGAACTGGTTGATAGTTGCTATAATATCCTTCATCGAGTTTTTCCCTGTGGCCAACCCGTTGACGCACAATCCAAATTTTTGGTTTACAAGAGTGTTGACAAGAATTGCAGCCACAGGCCCAGAGAGGACCCCATCATGGCGATGAGGTTGCCCAACCCCTGGGAAAGACAACGCCCATGAAGCAACACAATGTTGTTCAGGCAGCCCAAGGCTCAGCTCAAGTTGTGCTAGCATACCCATACAATTATGAAAGATTAACCGAAGCTGCGAGTCCCTGTCAGGCTGCTGAACATGAGCGGTGACGGCGAATGGAGTCGCGAAGTCCGGGAACGTTGATGAAGACTGACTTTGTTGTTCCGGCGTCACCACAGCCATCAATTCATGAAGGAGGTATGAGAGAATAATATGGTAACTGCCAATCAAGCAGGTATAGCAGTTGATGGTGGCTAATATCAACGAGACTTGGACATCTTCAAATTGTGTTCCTTGCCAGGATGGCTGGCCAGACGAAGGTAATGTAAACGATGCCAGGGGGGTGATCTGAGGGGGTATAGCAGCCTCCGCTCCTGGAACTAATATCGGCTCAATCGTCGAGGTCGGTGTTTGTTGTACATACGAAGGGCGGCGGGAGTTGACTGGTGTGTGGATATGAGGAGCGAATGCGTTTACAGCCATGGATCTGGGGAACACTGTCGCCATTGGTACCAGACCCCCATCAACGAACACATTCACCACTTCGAGAAACTGTTGTGAGTAGCGCAGCACGTTCCGCGATGCCGACTCGAGATTAGTCAAGGCGACATTTGCATGCATATTGCCTAGCATGGCAAGTTCCTGAGCTACCAAGCTTTGACAATCTAGTAGATGCATATTCATATCGAGCAATCTTCGCAGATTTTCCTGGTCCCACCATTGCTCTCTGTCGTCGAGGCAAGGAAATGCTACAGTGAGTCACATCTTAGTTTAATTTTTCATCTTCAAGCAGATCAGTGAGTGGTCGGAATAGGAAAAAGAAGCTTACGGTCATCAAACTCATAGCCCTCTGCGCCTTTGCTGCAGTCACTCTCCGGTGTCCAATCCTGCTGTCTGGCGGCCGGGAAAGAAGTTGTCTGTAGCGGAATCTGGCGCTCTTGTTCATTGTCCATTGAAGGGGGTGTTATCAGGCCCGAAAACACAGGAACTTGGTATTCTTCGAATCCACTATTTACTAAATAGCAATCTTCTGACTGCAACCCTGTCCCAATCATACTAATCTCTCTGGGAATTGCCTCTGGGTAGAAGCCGGCGGTATTGTCCACCGGCAGCTGATCGGAGACGTCTAGCGGTGATGAGATTTCTTGCGTACCCTGTGGGTGTCTGCCAGTGGTTGTCTTCTCCGGTTTTGTGATTGCAAGAACTCTATCTTTCGTCTTTTTCTTGCTCACAGGACGATCCATCGAGCTAATGGTACATGCTATACGGGCTTTCCGACAGCGCTTGCATGGCATAAGCGAGGGTCTCCAGATGTCCCTTTCGCATCGCAACTTCTGCATACGGCAGCGGTCACAGGCAAAGCGACGCGGCTGCTGAACAACTTCAGGATGGTGCAGAGGATGTTGATGGTGGCGTCCTTCCAAAGGGGTCAGGTGAGTGGGGTTCATCATCATTATAAATTGTTTCCAGATCCGTCTTATATCGTGGTTTGGTGTTTTTAAAACAGAGAGATAGCAGCGAGAAAGGAGCGAGGTAGGATATATGTGTGATTGAAATGAGTTGACTAGTTTGCGAAGATACACGAATGTGAAGCTGCTTGTTATTCTGTTTCTTGGCTCACTTGGTTTGACCAACTTAGTCTTTTTCCCCTTTCGAGTCGATTCGCGTCTAGGCCAGAATTATCAGGGTATTTATGGAAGGAAAAAGCGCAGATAGGGTTCAATATAAAGACCTTGATGGACGAATGAATAATGGGCGCCAGGAGGGGGAACTAAAGGATTTCCTTGGGGGTGGAGTTCGACGAAAGACAACATCCGTGACGTTCTCGCGTCCTGATTAGTGCTACATCCTATCAGCTTTGTCTCAATATTGAGTTTCTAAGTTCCCAAGATCTTATCCCGATCGAGATCAAGCGGGCGTTCCATTGGCCGAGAAGTTGTCTCCATGACCATTTACTGGTCCATTGGACGAAAGACATTATTGGTAGGCTAACAGGGGACTGCAATGCCTCCTCATTAGCATTCTAGTGTGGACTACCACGGCCTTGTTACATGGAGAAACTATTGTTCAGATTGCACTTGCGATGCAGGAGAAGTCTTAGGTCTGAAGGCCAGATACGCACTGAAGAGGATCCGCTCCTGGGTAGTACACTCATGCATAAGTTCTTAGGTGGTATTGGCATTGTTTTTCTTTTCTTCAAAACTGGCCTGCACTTTCCTAATTACTCACTTGCTCGGTTTGGACAATCTACTTTATCCCGGATAGGCCACCACTCTAACCCAATCGGATGTTTGCGACATCCATCATCGAGCCAGTCAGTGGCTGGCGCCAAAAAAATCCATTCGAGTCGTGCCAAATGAGAATCGCATAAGACGTTGTACGCCAGCCACACTCAGATCCACTGTCCGATGCAAACTTCATTGGAGGACCGTTTTGAATTGGTGTTTTTCTATTAAGTATTCATACGTTATTCTCCCTGGTCGTTCAATTGGTTCTTGGCCCACCTCTCCATTCCCAATCTCATTGTTGACTTATCAGACTAGAGGTGAGCATGGGCCAACAGAAGTTCCAAACAACCCAGGTAAATGGTTATGTGTCGGCGCACGCGTTAGCTTACTGTAATCCGTGCTCGCTGGTTGATCGATGCTCAGTGTGTAGCTTGATCAGTGTGGATCTGCAGCGAGTCTATTTACGGGGTCATCAATAGTTCCCACCTAAGATGACCAGGGTCAAAAAGACACTATGGAAGATTCCAAATGCACTAAGAGAGAGGGGAAAGCATTTTTGGAATAGCATGCAAATATATTTGAACACCCCAGGTTGAAGGTCTTTCTTAGTAGCTCTAATACAGCATGGAGACTTCTAGTGTTAGAATGTATTTCTATGAGGAAAGTTTGAGAGAAATCTCGCTAATCTGAGATGGGAACCGGTGGGACAAGGTCATGAAGCAATTGCTTGCTGGTCGTGCAACATTAGTCAGACGAACTGGAAACTCTAGAGAGACGACGTGTTCTCAGACACCCGTGATCATGGTAAAGCACAGATTTATTTATCATTAGCATGAACACGAAGTGGCGGTGTCTACGCTGTCAAATAAGCATCAGGTACCCATCATTGACAAGAGGGTCCTTGTGGTCTTTTTGACTACCTGATCTGCAGCTAACTGTCAATGGTGCCAGCCACAGCTGATGTTTATTTGATTGGTTGTGGAGCACTTACAGGAATATCAGGGAGAAATAAATACTTACATACATGGGTTATCGCGACTGCCAGGGCCGCGGATTAAAAAGGAGCATAAGTCGTGTCATTTTGCTTGCAACGCCACTTGGGAAAACCACGTTCTGCGCGGTGTGATTGTGTGGTTAAATGCACATAAAGTTTGAGCTAACTGCTAAAGACATAGGATCTATCAAATTTTGGCAGATGGAGTCTCCAAAAGACGGTCAACGAGTTACTACAATGAGCTGAGTCAAACAGATATTAGAATAGGTCCAGCGAGGTAGTGTGGAGAATGGACTCAAGTAACTGTGTCTCCAGTCCTATGTGTATTTGAGAAAATGTGATGTAGAGATAGAGACACAAATGGGGCTACTGACATACGTTGGAACGAATTCTAAGTGGAAACCTCGTATTTTCCTTGCAAAATATTGTTCCGGTGTCTGCAATACGAAATTTTCCATAATTAGAGTAAAATAGTAAAGGGTAAAATGAATAAAAGAAGAAGGAAATGAGGAATGGCAAAGACAAGAAAAAATAGACACGGAGTTTAAGAAAAACAAAGGACGCAGGCATAGTTAGAGGAACAAGGTTCCGGCTAAGCCCTGACGAATCTCGGGAAAGCCGCGCGCTAGCGGAGACCCTAAGTGGGTCAGTGGGTCGATCTAGTGTGGGGATAAAGTGATCGACCAATAGATTCTCTAGGAAGCATTTTTAATTTTTATTCGATATTGTTATACATATCCTGGAATCTCAATACATGACTTGCGAATAGATAGTTGAGGCTACATAGCAGAAAGTTAGTTAGGTACCCATTGCTACACAGGTGATTACCATGATGTAGTATCAGCTAGCTACGAGCGAGCCATCTGAGAGAGGCACACGCCATGCACCGCCATAGTATGAAGTAGAGCCCGACAGAGGACTATGACTGTATAGGCTGATAGAAAGTAAACGTTGTCGAGTCCCATATGTACTCCGTACCGAGCTTCAGACCCCAGTGCTGGTAGACCGAGATCAAGCGAACTATCTGTGACTCTGTGACGTTTGTCTGGATTTAAGCAAGACGTACCCAGAAATAATTAGAATATCTAATTACGTATTTCCAAGGGAAAAAAAGCAAATAAAGAACACGAAAGCTACTAATGCAACTGTCTCGAGGAGCTTAGGCAAATCCGAGAATTACTTTTACAGTCTGGTGTCATGAGGAAAAAGAAAAAAGAAACCAAATCGCAGTGCTCCCCCTACTGCCGCTGGTAAAGTGCCAGTTTTGCATAGACAGGGTTCTGCGCAATTAATGCAATGCATCTGGCTTAAAATGATCTCACATAACCAAAGTCCAAGGTGACTGCCTGAGCCTCCGATTGGTCTTTCCCCGATACGGAAGCTAGTTAGGGCACGCTCCACTTCTTCCCAGCCCTAACTAGATAACTAGATATATAACCGAGTGGACGAATGGAACAGGAAAATATATAAAACGGCTGTTTAACATGCCTGCTGATCGATGATTATTTAGCAGTATCAACTAAGAGCTGAAAAGGAACGTTTCAATTTGTGGATCTAGCTCCTTCAAAGCGTTTTTGGTTCGATACATACATAGAGTTAGCCTTGAAAATATCAATGTCTTTTGGTTTCCATGTGGTGACTCTGCTACGCATTAGGCTTCCATATGAGGTCTCAGAACTCTTACCAAAGTAGAAATTAGATTACTAAGATACTTTTTTTTGTCATCAGTTGGACGTCAAACCCAAGAATGGTAATGGAATTCGTATAGATCTTGAGATCTGGGCTAAAAGATCGGTGAATATCTCTGTCATTCAAATTTTGCCACCAGTCTATTAATCTACCACTAGGATAGCGTTATTGAGCATGTCTCAGATACTCGGAGTAATATCAATGAATTTAATCTTATAAGCCTTGGAATCTGTCAAGATCCCACGAAATTTTGTGAATTAAGATTTGACAGACTCACTAGTCCTATGTATATGCTCTTGTGGGTTTTCGGATATTACCTTAACGATCTGCTATCTCCTTCTATTGATCTCACGTAAAGTTTAATGGAATCTTGAACTTGGCGGTATGCTATTAGTATATGACATGTCTAACCATTGCCCGAAGTTATTAAGCACTCATTATTCATGTACCTCGAGTCAGGAGAGGCAAATGACATGTCTGTTGAAGTCAGGATTGTAAGTATTCTATGTTAATCATTCAGTTATATTCAGGTTAGGTTAAATATAGGACAGGACTATGTCTGGTTGTGGGATGCACCGTGTCAAAAGCTGCAATGCTTGCCTGTACCAGTCCTAATACGACTAAATAATTTGCTAGCTAGATACGATCGTACTCACACTTGCATAGATCTAGAGAACTGTCATATTGTGCGGTATTTTCCTCCTTCCTTCTTTCTGATCTATGACGACACACTTCATAAAGTCTCGGCCACAAATTGTAATCAACGGTGAGTTATGAAGCCACTATATAGAAGACCAACTTAGCGTACATTACCCTTCAATGTATACTGGCTCAAACCTTGATATAGATAAGATGGGTTATTTACATGTCCGAAATTCCGATTTATGGCTGGCCAACCGTGACTATCTATCAAACTACTCAGGAGCCGCCATTTGAATGGGAAATGGCCGGTGCTGATTCTGGAGAGTATAAAGTAAGCATCCCGGCCTGTCAACCTCTCATGATCAACAAAGCATGAAATACAAGTGCGGTGTGGGCATTTGATGCAGAAAATTGGAGCTTATTCATCCTGCAAGTTGAAAGATTTTGTCACCTAGCTGTCATGCAGGTCAATAAGAGCTGTCTACTAAAAGATTTTACTCAATTATTCGGTGGGAATTCAACATGCTTCTCACTCAACGCATGCGATTGGACGGCAAAATTACTCCAGAGGAGGACAAGGGCAACAGATGACGGAAATAGGGGTGCTATCTTGACATACATATACATGTATAAGCAGGTCACTATAAATGTAACTGCATGAGTTGCATATTCAGTCATTTTGTAGGCACAGTAATACCTACGTGCGGTACAACATACTCTTTTACCGTCCACAAAAAACTTTGAAGATTTCCCGCATTTGCGCCTATTTGACATGCGGTGACACGAATCTGGGTGTTTACAATATACAACCCCTTTTTCTCATGAGTAATGATTTCCTTCCTGTATGTACGGCGAGTCATCGAAGGCCTATACAGGATGGTATTTTCCTACCGGAAATTTTTTCTTGGCATACGTGCTGTATTTGAGTTTACGAATCCGAGTCTTGACAAGGTCTTAGTTGCAGAATACGAGGACGAGTTGTATAAGACACGGAGGCGGCTCTATATGTACCCGAAAATCTTCCCGGTATCCTCACTACTATAGAATAATGCTTTCTTTTGCAAGCACCTGACTAAGCAGTGGCGTCAGATCACATGTAGTAGTATGACTTTCTCATCAGCTGGGGCACTCTGTACCCCTTTATCAGGATATAATTAGTCTAACCTCTTCTGTCTCTCCAGCACAGCGAGAGGAGACAATTCGAAATTATGCAACATTATCAGACTTTCGAATTGATTCTCTCGACTTCTCTCCTTCGTGAAAACCATTTACCGGGTCTGAAGAAATGTTTGCAATCACGACTAAACTGCGTATGAGATGGGAGCACAAGGTTGGAGAAAGAATGATAGATTTAGGTAATATCTTCGCCACTTGAAGCTATACCGGGCTCTATTCGTGTTCCGCTTGTTCTTGAGGTTGGACAAAAGCATGTGCTCGGTCAAGATCACAAGGCAATTACCCCCTCCTTCACCTCGTTCGTCTTGTGTTGCCTGGACAATGGTAGTAACCTTTCCATAAATGGTATTAATGTAAGAGGCAGATTCCGCCTGGGCAGTCATGATTCAAATGCTTGATGTGACTGGGCTGTATTTGGTGATTCGGCCACATTCTTGACGCGGGTCGTCTGTTCATCTGCCACGGATGATTCTTTTTTTGCTACTAAGAACACTTAAAAATGACGGAAGAAATTCGATCTAATTTTGGTTGAGATGGAATACGGCGTCTCACTGTCCATACGCTCAAGCGGTCAAATGGTACGTAAAATTATGTGCTTTCCCAAAGGGGATAACAGAAAGTAGAATGTAATTGAAGATCTCCCAGCCAATGGCCTGAATATCATGCCTCCTTAAAATCCGCTGTCAATTTTAAGTGGTAGGACTTTGTTGACCAATGAAATGATAATTCATAGACCTGTTGTTCGCAACCACCTACCTTAGGACATGCCTGCAACTAATCGATGCTCCACTAATTCATTTCTTGAACTCGGCATATCGAAATCCAGTACGCCATTATGGAGATCGTATTCCAACCATTTTGGGGTTACTCAAAGTTCCAAATACTCGCAGAATGAAGGTTCCATATCCACGGATGGAAGAGGGTACTCGTGATATTGACACAGTGTGAGGTTGCATATGACAAAAGGGAAGGGGTGCTCGGACGTGCTCTCTAAACATTCCATGCAAGATCTGGGTGGGGAGACGAATTTCGATGTACCGGGATATGTGTATAGATTAGATAGATATGGGCGTACCGTACTGTCTCAGATGGTCATTGAATGATGAACTATGTTGTAGTTCCCTTTTTTTGACCGTCGTGTGACCTTACGGCTTTCATCGGTCCATTTTGCTGGGTCTGATGGAAAATAGCATGACAGACCATTTACATTTCCTTTTTGGGTCGCGACGACATAGATGAATAGATCTTGACACAACATGTGCTGTCTCAATTCAGGTCGTGCGAACTCATTCCACCCTAATTCGATGATTCGGTGATCTCATATATCACAAAACTTACAGCCGACATGATCATCTCGTTCTTCCTGTCTCTAACCGATGCAGTATTCTCCGTCTTAGCAAGTAATTTATTGAACTGTGAGCTTTGTGTGTGTGCAATCTGCAACTAACCATGATACTATAGAGCTCATGTGACCTGAGAAGACCTAATTCGTGAACCTTATTCCAGTTCAGACGATGACTGTACATTTTTTCGTGTTAGTAATTTTTCAAACTATCGTGGGCATGAAATGGATAAGTGAGTATCATTGATTCTTTTTAGGTAGTGTCCGACATTGGAGTTTAGCTACCATGGCCAGCAAAAACCGATACAAGATCCATAAGCAGCGAAGAGATCTGATTGGTCAAACTACCATGAAAAACATCCTTGCGGCAGAATATTCACCGCCCTAGATGTATCATCCCATTCGACGTAACTTTTTCCTATGAATGAAGAGCTTGAGATACAAGGAATTCCTGACTCAATTGGCTTTGTGACTGGTCTCAGGCTCCGCATTGAGCTCCTGTCAGTCTCTTTTGTAGTGGAAAATTGTATGTGAGTCAATTGGTAGCTTCCTCGCATATTTATCCACAGGAACGACGAATTGTGGATGACATTGCTAACAACGTCTTCACGCGCAGGTGGCCAATTACACCCGTATTCCGAAAATATGGCATCCAGCTATATGCCTCGCCTCTACCAACTTAGGGGCGTTTCTTCCGCGTTGAAACGAGTCCACTTACCCTGTACCCATCGAGCTACACCATGTCTCAACAAGCGATTCGCGTCCACCGAGCCGGAACCAATCGCAACAATAACAAAGAAGAATAAAAAATCACCGCTCAGAAAATTCATATTTCGAAGTTCAATAGCTTTTGTGCTATTCGGAGGATACCTCTACTTCACTGATACTCGAGCCAGCGCTCACAGATATATTGCCGTCCCGATCATACGGTGGTTGTTTCCGGATGCGGAAGACGCTCATCATGCCGGTGTCGCTGCGCTGAGGGAGCTATATAAGTTTGGTTTACATTTTCGAGAACGCAGCTCTCCAGATTTAGGTGGGAAATTAGCCACACAGGTAAATAAGATAAAAATACATTAGTAGCTCGTAACTGGCTAACATGAAAATCAGGTCTTCGGTTATACTCTTTCCAATCCTATCGGAATCTCTGGAGGATTAGACAAACACGCAGAAATCCCCGATCCACTATTTGCGCTAGGTGCAGCTGTCGTAGAAGTCGGAGGTACAACTCCATTACCCCAAGATGGAAACCCGAAGCCACGAGTGTTCAGAATAGTTTCGCAATCGGGAATGATTAACCGCTATGGTTTGAACTCAAAGGGTGCCGATCACATGGCCAAGGTTTTGAAGCAGCGTGTCCGTGAATTTGCCTACGCCAATGGCTATGGCTATAGTGATGCCGGCGAAGAACGCGTGTTGAATGGCGAGGCCGGCGTACCACCCGGCAGTCTCAACGAGGGCAAATTGCTTGCGGTCCAGGTCGCGAAAAACAAAGTCACACCGGAATCAGACATTGCCGCTGTCACTCGCGACTACGTGTATTGTGTCGATCGAGTTGCCCCGTACGCTGATATTGTGGTCGTGAATGTGTCCAGTCCCAACACACCTGGTCTGCGTGGCCTCCAAGCAGCTGGCCCGTTGACTGAAATCCTCAAGGGCGTAGTGGGAGCTGCCAAGCGTATCGATCGCAAGACCAAACCCTTTGTCATGGTCAAAGTCAGCCCCGACGAGGATTCCGAAGAGCAAGTCGATGGTATATGCCACGCTGTCCGCGAGTCCGGAGTCGACGGTGTCATTGTAGGCAACACGACGAACCGACGACCTGAACCACTACCCTATAGATACCCACTTTCGTCCAAGGAGGAGCAAACGATGACTGAGACAGGTGGTTATTCCGGACCACAACTGTTCGAACGTACAGTAGCTCTGGTCTCGCGCTATAAGCAGAAATTGAGTGATGCAGGGTCACAAAAGACTATTTTTGCGTCTGGTGGTATCACCAATGGAAAACAAGCGCAAGCTGTTCTTGATGCCGGTGCGTCTGTTGCTATGATGTATACGGCTATCACGTTCGGTGGAATAGGTACCGTTACACGAGTGAAGAATGAGCTTCGTCAGGAAAGGAGTCTGTAGATAGAAGTGTGCATTAGATGATTAGAAATTCTCTATGTGTACCATTTATGTATTTGATCTTATATGAGTTTTCTCTAGGCTACGACAAAAGTCTCCTCGACTTCTCTAACAACCTTCCTAACACCCTCAACTTGATGCGCAAACCGACCCAAAAACATACCATCAACGGCCTTTCCCAAACCACCTTGACTCCAAAGCCCTGGCCCAGCACTACCACCATATAATACCCTAACATCCCCTTCTCTCTTCCCAATCACAGCCCTAATCCCCGCCACAACAGCCGCAACATGTTCAACACCAGCCGGCTGAGGTTGTCCGATAGCCCAAACAGGCTCATAGGCGAATATGACGGGCGCATGATCCGGTAGCGCTCTCAGGACAGCGTGGATTTGTGTTTCGCATTCCCGAACAGCTAATCCCACCGCTTCAGATGCGACTTGGCCCGGTGCACTCAATTCGCCGATACACACGAGCGGAATCAAACCTTGCCTAGAGACTGCCGCTGCCTTTTTACCGGTAATTTCATTCGTTTCACCGAACATATCCCGCCGTTCGGCATGGCCTAGTTCAACGAGTGAAGCACCTATTTCCTTCAGGGCCAGAGGTGAGACTTCACCAGTAAATGCGCCCAGATCTTCCCAGAACGAGTCTTGGCCGCCCAGTAGAAATGGGGGCGGCAACTTCTCCGTCTTGGTGGTGTCTAGTAATTCCGATTCCCATTTCCGAATAATTTCTGCACACGGGTAGATGGTCAAAAAATCTGGGATTAGGGCAAGCAGCAATTTTGAGCGGTTTTTCGCAAGCACGATTTCACTCTTGGGATCGAGAAGATCACGGAGATATTGTAACGTGCGCGAGGGCGTAAAATACATCTTCAGGGATATGATCAGGAGCTTTTGCGGTAGGACAGGATATGATACTGTCGTCGCCATTCTTTCTTTCTTTCTTTTTTTTTTCCGTCTCGGGTTTTCTGCCTGGTTGGTGTAGGTTCTGTCTTCTGGTCGGCCGAGGTTGATATCTGATCCCTTCACTTGTAACGCAGGACCCAATTGACGCGTGTACAGGCCTTGAGCCGTGTCAGAAATGATCAAAACACTCGGAAAAGAACGGGTGAGGGTATTTAGGATGGTTGGCTGTTACAAATGATATGAATGATAATCTTGATGTAGATATCCACAATGAGGTCACTTGCGCACGCAGTACTGTGCTCCGTAGACAGTGTGGTCGAGCAGTAATCTGAGCGAAAACAATGAGTTTCTGAAACATGAGATCGAGATTTTGCATATGATTACAGGGGATATCTGTAATCAATATACCTGGTGTGTAGATTGGAATAGCGGGGTGTGGAATCTGGAGTGGCCCGCTTTTATCAGTCCGTGGAGAAAAGATGATCTGGGGGAGGCAAAATGTCTTCCAGGGATTTACTATACCGCAATAGTGTTTGAGTGACTATAGCTTTTGGAACGAGTTACTGCATGAAGCTATAGATAATACCTTCCAACAGATTTGACCACCGAAACAAAGTAAGCATCCGATCATTAAAAGATGATCATGCTCGGAGCCTGCGCCGAGGGAACGTACCGGCCGGAGATGCGCCGAGTCTCGACATAGGACATATCATGACCTTTTGCCGCCTCGGAGTCACGCTTTGGGATAGAAATTGCTCGTAAAAGCACTAGCCATCCATTCTGAGCGGTCTAGGTTCGTGAACACTGCGCAGATAGGTCTGTTCTTCGTCACGAGTCGCAGCCAGACACGTCGGCCTGTAAAATACGGTACATGTGCAACCTGGGATCTCCACTTTAGGAAATGCCGTCACCTTGCATGTATATTTGTGGTACATACATACACAATACGGGGTTGACTATGCTTAAAGAAGGATGCCGCATTGATTTTCGGCCATCCACGGAGTTGGTCCGGTACCTCTGATGATTACTCTCGACCGAATCAACAATCCCATCACTATCCAATGGATCTCTGCAGAGTCATTCTTCCAGTGGATCATTCTAGCAGTCCGGTGATGCTCTGTGACGCCAAACTTGGCGCTGTCCGTAGCAAGTTCCATCCGAATTATATACATGCCAGACTACAGATGCATATAAACAAGGGACAGGGACAGGCTTGGAATCAGGGGTCCTGCCATCGAATAATGCCACATGGAATAGTGATAATCAGTGGCGGAAAGGAAGTGCCTTTCCTGCTGAAACCCAGGTCCCTAGACAAGGTAACTAATTAATAATGTTGTTTTGATCCCCACGTTCAGACAGCTTAGCGTATGTGGAGTAGCCTGGCATAAAACACATGGGGGAGAATGGGGGAGAGGATCCACTATTACTTTTGCCTGAATGAAAGCGAGGGGATGCATATCCTGGCTGCTTTCAGAGAGGACTGGCGGCTGCTAGATACCCTACATATAAATGTGGTGCAGAAGCCCACTCTGCTCGACTTCTGTAGTTCTTATTTAGTGCCCTTTCCCAGTCTTTAACCCAACTCCAGACCCTGAATATTCCAATATAGACTACTTCATCAGTCATCCAAGCTTACAAATAATGTCTTCCGACCTCAAACCTCTCCGCATTGTCATGGCCGGCGATGACGCCGGCTACGACTACAAAAACACCCTCAAACAGCACCTCGAAAAGAGTCCCATGGTCGAATCCATCGTCGACGTCGGCGTCACCTCCACCACTGACAAAACCCCCTACCCGCACCCAGCCGTCGAAGCCGCCAAACTGATTGCAGAGGGTAAAGCTGATCGGGGCCTCTTCATCTGCGGTACGGGACTCGGTGTTGCCATCGCCGCCAACAAAGTGCCAGGCATTCGCGCCGTAACTGCCCACGACCCCTTTTCCGTTGAGCGTTCCATTCTCAGCAACGACGCCCAGGTTCTTTGCTTCGGGCAACGGGTTATTGGTATTGAATTGGCTAAGAAGCTTGCTTCGGACTGGCTTACGTATCGATTTGATCCTAAAAGCTCCTCTGCTGCGAAGGTGCAGGCTATTTCCGAATATGAGCGGCAGCTCAAGGTCTAATAGTCTTTATTGGTCTTTTGGAATTTTTTTTTTAAAAAAAAATCTCTTTCCCCTGCAAAATACCCACAACAGCATTGAGCATATACATTGGTTTCGGTGGACTAAGGAAGGCCGGTTCCATCAATCTCACGACACGCCTTGATTTTGGTGATGGAAACGCTACCTTGAAATGATTATATTACTACGAGAATACCTGAAAAAGACGTCGACACGCCGAGACTGTTGGATCGTCCATCCATGCGTGCTGTGTACAAAATTTGTCTTGTCATATACTCACCCAATATAGACTGTTTGAATATGGAGAACGAACTAACTCAGAGCTCAGTTCTCGTGTCAAGATGCGTCCATCTGATGCTTACTGAGCGTGCATTCTGATTGGTCAACTCGTGGACCAAATAGACACACTTTCAGGTCGTTCATAAACTCGTCCATTTCCCTGAATGTTTTTACGTCAAAGATGAACTTTTGCAGTGTTCATGAAGCAAGGAGTAGTTATCATCGATCAGGGTTGGATTAGTCATGTTGGGGTTAAGATGATTCTGCGGGGATCCACGTCTTTCGATGTCCTCAATTTATTTCCGCGACAATAATAACAATGGTCTGTTGATCAGATCAATCTTTCTTTCTCACTTTTCTCTTTTTTGACATACTTGTTCTTCTTTATTGCCCATGTAGGAATTGGTTTGGTCTTTATCTCAGCTGTTTACCTGTACCTGCTGATTCGACCGATCGCATTGATTCCTTCCTGCTCGTCATCCTACATATTTACGGACGATAACATTTAAGAACACAATTTCCCTACGACTGTTATAATTCTTCGTCTGTCGTTTCAATACTATTCCTGTTGCTTTTATCACTTCGCATTCTATTTATTCAATTCGACCAGCATTAATTTCATCTCATCATGTCATTCGCATTCAAAGAAAAGGGTAACCACCTCTTCAAAGATGGCGATTATGCCGGGGCGGAGGAGATGTACTCTCAAGCGTGAGCGATCACTTTCCAACTACTTTTCCGAAATATTTACTGACGGATTATATAACAGCATTCAAATGAACCCCAAAGAACCTAGTTTCTTCACCAACCGCGCAGTCACACGACTCAGGCTCGAGAAATGGGCAGGCGCCGAACAAGACGCTCGCATCGCAATCGAACTCAACGGCGGTCCCAAGGCGACCGCAAGCCTCAAGAGCTCCCTTTACCTAGCGCAGGCATTACTGGAATTGCAACGCCCACAGGAAGCCTACGATGTCGCTATTGACGCTTACCGAGCCAGTCTCAGCGCCATGAACGCTCAAACCGAGAACTTATCCAAAATCGTCCTACGAGCAAAACAGCAGATTTGGGCAGCAAAGGAGACAGCGCGACTTCGGGAGATGGATGACACGCTGGCGAGTGTTGAACAGTCAATCGAAGCCGATCTGGAGCGGCAATTGAAGGAACTCAAGATGCAATTGGATAATGGCGATATCGGGGAGATTGGCTTCAATGAAGACCAGAAAGCATTGCGAGAAGAGGCTGAAAAGAAAATACGTCATATTCGGGACGCTTTCAAGATTGCGTCCGATGGTAAAGTTGCGGAACGGGTTGTTCCTGACTATCTCATTGACAACATCACATTCGAAGTGATGCATGACCCCGTCATTACAATTTCCGGCCACAGTTACGACCGTCTCGGTATCACGAAATATCTCGAACAATCCCGCATTGACCCCGTCACTCGCCAGCCCATGACAGTCAAGGATTTGCGCCCTAACTATTCACTCAAAGCGGCATGTGAAGACTTTTTGAACAAGAATGGCTGGGCTGTTGACTATTAGTTTTCTCCCCTACGTTCCTGCGTTTGTTTGATCAATCATTTCCTGTTTATACTTTTATTATTATCTTTTATTATTCCCCTTGGTATTTTTGGAAGCATATTGTTTTGGCGTTGGAATATTTTTTACCCCTTTTCTCATGTTGGGCGTCGCGAAGGTTCAGGCATAGTATGACGTGAAGAACACGAGCATATCTTGATTTGGCACGTGACAATTTTGATATTGTAGCAGGTAAATACAATATTCTTATCTATCCTCTAGTCTTGAAATATGTAGAAACTTCAGTGGTCTACATGCCTTCCCAAGATAGTACAACTTTCACAACCTACAGTTTCAAAGTTGCATTTATTAGTTGCTGACTGAGGTCGAGAAACAGAAGGGAAATAGACCTGCCTTTCCTCTTTTCACATCTTCAATAGCCTCATCCAACCGATTCGCAGGATATATTTTGGTGAGTTGCTGAACCGGAAATTTCCCCTGATTGAACAACTCAATGAGGTGAGGGATTACCTGTTTGCGCAAGTCAGGTTCAGCAAGATGGTGGGGGGGAAGGATTCAAGTTCTTAGGGTTTACCTTCTTAGGGTTTGCAGACCCTTCAATAACCCCTATTATCCGTTTACAAGAAGTCAACAGATTCAGCGCATTTACTTCGATCGTAGCCGTTGGCGGCGGTACACCGACGAGGGCTAATGTGCCTCCATGCGCCAATGCTTTTACGGAATCTTGTAGTAAGGGTGCTCGACCTGAGGTATCTAAGATGTAGTCGATGCCTTTTGGGTATGTGGCCAGAATTTTTTCCGATAGACTTTCCCCACTAGCATTTGTGGAACTGCCGCTGCTGTTGTTGATTGTGCGTGCCCCCGTAAGCTGTGCTGCTATCTCAAGCTTTGAATCGACGATATCAAGTGCGACCAGATTTTTGACTCCTATGGCTTTTGCAGTTAACAATGCCGCGAATCCCACAGGTCCCATGCCAACAATCGCAATTGTTGAGTCCGCGTCGGGTCGAAATTCATTTAACACTGTTCCCGCACCGGTCAAGTATCCACATGAAAAGGGTGCCAGATACTGTAGATCTGCAGGAGAAGTCTCAGCGGGAACCTTGACAACGGATTTCTCCGTCACGACTGCCATTTTACTGAGTGATGACTGTCCAAAGAACTGTCCATGGACGGGGGTCCCGTCAGGAAGAGAAATAGGAGACGACCCATCCGCTCGCGCAGTAGATAAGAAACTGAGTTCTGTTACGCGAGGACAGCTGCCGTGACGATCATTGAGACATGCCTTGCACTCGCCACAGGATCGAAATGATAGGATCACGGTATCTCCGGGTTTGAGATTCTTGTCTTTCACATCGGTGCCCACTTGCTTGACGATTCCGATGCCTTCGTGACCCAAGACGGCGGGAAAGTGACCGATTGGCATGCCGCCTTCTTGAACGACGACATCCTGCATTTGATCAGATCAAAGGATATTCCTGCTGTAAGAACCGAGTCAAATGGGAAGAGAAACAAACCGTATGGCATAACCCCGTATACTTTATTTCAACCAATACTTCAGACGGTTGCAGATCATCGAGAACAACAGTCCGAAGAACAAAAGGGGCATCTTTGCTTTCTACAACGTATGCAAGTGTATCAATCGCCATTTTGTATAGCTGCGCTGCACAACTCGACATCAGTTGTGAAGAACATGACAGCCCGCTTTAAGTAGTAGGCTCTCCGGTTTTAGAAGATAGTCGTTTAGAAGTACACACTTCCCGATACTAGATGCCGGAATCTCGACTCTCCGCTGATTTACCTACAAAACCCCGCATTCTTCTTAGCTTAGGGCTGCCACTAGAGAGGATCAGAGTACCGGTAACTGCAGAAATGATCCCGCAAGATAAGCTGGGTTTATAATCTGGGTTAGCAAGCCATTTTTTTTTGGAGGATTTCCGTATCTCGGGGGAGGAAGGTGGAGTAGTATAGTATCTACTCCGCACAGTAGATATGCCATTTATTCAAGATTTCCCAATGTCGAGATTAAGTATCAGATGATTACCCCTAGATGAGGCTTAGATGGCTAGTTTTCTGCACGAGGTAGGTACTAGTCTGTACATTGGCAAGGATTCCCGTAACTGATGAGAATTGTGACATGACTTGCGACAAGGCTGGGCAGAGATATCTGAGCAGTCAAACAAGCTCATGAAAGATATCATGATATGATGCATATACTAAGTGTTGCACCATATGATATCCATATGTCAGAATGCTTGATATAGAGGTAATCCAGTGTAAGATTCAATGTGAAATTGCGTTGGAGGACATGTGATAAACCCAGGCCCAATGTAATTTAAAGTGAAAACTTACCGTATTGGACAAACCACGTGTAGCTTGCTGGCTCGTATTTCTCAACAAAATACGGATTGAGAGTGTATTCATTGGCTGATTGGATATAGACTTACTCCCTTCAGTATAGTCTTGTATTCTAGTACTGTAACGAATATAATATAATAAGATTGTTGGTAATTTATTACGTAGTTCTGCATCCGAGTGGTTGAATCCTTTCCCCCACCATCCCCGCGCAATAAATACTCTCCTTAGTTGTTTGGTCTGTTGTCAGTTGAACATTTCCAGCTAATAAACAGAACATCAAGAAAGTGAGTGTGCTCCATTTCCTCTATCACACGGATTCATTGGTTTGCTTTGGTCTGCAAGAGAAGGAAAGGGCAGATGAAATGAGATGAGATGAGATGGAAAGGGATGTACGACATAGGGCAGCAGACAAGTCCAGATCTCTCACGAGAAGATGAAGATCGTGCAGAAATAAGCGTATCTTTTATCTTGACGTGTTTATTTCGCGTTTGCTCTTTGGAATAGAATGGGGACATGAGCTAACATTTGGAAAAACATGGATGACAGATTGACGATCTCCTTGTCCACATTTACCATTTCGTTTCGTTCGTCCGCATAATCAACAATGTCCACCGAAGCAGATTTCAAAAAGGCTGCTGAGGAGGTAAATAAACTCGAAAGGAGTCCCAACAAAGACGAGATGCTCAAGGTGCGTTTTCAGTCATCCGGCCAATAAATGAGGAGATAGTAGGCGTCGTGGGTATATGGAATCATATCTGACTTTCACGACTGTTGTGGATGGAATAGCTTTACGGTCTATATAAGCAGGGCACTGGAGCGGACTTTTCAGCTGCCCCTAAACCCAAGCCAGGTTGGGTTAAGAGTCTGGACAAGGTTAGTTTGACATGATTTTTCTTCCTCTTGGTCTTGGGGAATTGCAGTACTTATTCTTTTTGCATCCGTAGGATACTTTGAAATACGAGGCTTGGGAACAAGTCAAGGATCTCTCCGTAGAAGATGCGCAAAAGCAATACATCGAGTTCGTCGCGGAATTGAAAGAGAAATATGGTTTCAACGCTTGACGATGATAAAGAGTGAAAGAATGTTTTGACCGTGCAGAGGAATAAAAGGTGTTGGTCATATCCCCGATGTGTGCCAGTTTCCAATGTTATAAATTGTTTTTAATTCCATATGAGTCTGCATGATATCGATCCTTTTTCAGTCATACCATTTAATAGCATGGCACATCAATTAATCCATGATTTTTGGCTTACTGCTATTCAGAAGAGAAAAGAATGCTCATGGTTCCCAGCTCTGCCCTAACCAGTCAGGCTCTGGATGGTTAATCGTGGCGCACCAAGGAACATCTTGCACTCCGTATCGTGCAAGTGGGAGATCATACGGCATGCGAAAGCCCACAATAGGCGTAATGTCATTGTTATTGGGTAACTCCGGCCTGTCCTTCTGGAAACAAGGCACCATTTTCGGCCTTTCAGCACCAGGTTCTGGTGAATCCCCTACTATTAGTTGAGGCCAAACAAGCACCCCAATCTCCCAACTGCATATTCGAACTTCTCCATTGGAGTTGGGTGCAGCTCCCCATGCTTGCGTGGATAAATTAGCAGAAGTGATCATAACCCAGTCGATACTATCCATCTTGGTCTTGTCTGAAAATCGTATGTAAGTTTTGATATGCGGGGCAGCACGGCGTCGACCTGCATCTGTACTCTGAATATTGCTGGGTACTTCAGCATTTGTACGTGATATTCTCACAGGAGTTTGCTCTTGGTCACCAGCCCAGTGACATAAGTAGGGTCGCATATATTGAAGTTGTTTTTGCTGCGCAACGCTTTGTAACTTCATATGTATAGAGCCGCCCGACCCGTATCCGTTCAGTGACCGTCGAATTTCGTCAGGTGTAGGAAATACTATAGAGAATTTAGGGTTACATCTCTTACTGGCATTGGGCAAGATGGAACTTGGACAAAGACTGTCAAACAGGACATCTTTAAGCCACTTATCTGTCTGGCCAAGCGACGCGATTGAAGAAACCTGACTAGGTCAGTATCAGAAAAATTCAGCGACTACAGATGACATAGATCATACCTGTATCACCACATGGGGATCTTCAATGTGCTCATTATCACTCAGGGAGATTTGACGTAGAGCATCCTTCAGTGCTGGCCAGCCCCATAGCGTTGACTGACTTGAATTCATCCTGCTCAGTCTTTCTTTCGAAGGGACACTGGCTACCAATACAGCACGAATAGCATAGAAGTCGAATTTTCGGAGCTGATCGACTAGCGAACCGGTCTTCCTCCTTCCATAAAACTCGAGATAGGCTAGAAGGTCTCGCTTGAATCTCGCTCCAGTCCCGAATACAGCCGCTTCTTCCGTCGCCGGATTATATGGCGTCGAAGACAGAGGAAGAAGCGGCGATCGCCAAAGAGCTTGCGACATGTTTGTCCAATCTCCAGCAAGCATATTAGCTGTATGGATAATAACTCTGGGCTAATGTTAGAAGTCAGTTCAATGAGAAGATTTGGACACATACTGGGCGAGGTCGTCATGTCGAAGAAGGATCATCATTTTCGAATGATGGGTTCCAAAGGGTTCCGGCATGTAAGCTACGATTGGTTCAACATTTGGATAGCGAGCACACGCTTCCTGGAGGAAATTAGTATCACTATTAGTGTGATGAGCAGTGTTGTTGAACGCACATCTATTCGAAGTCGATTCGGAGAGTCTTGTTTCCAGGATCCATGCACAATTTTTACTTGCACAAGATCTTTCACATCCTGATCAAACTGGCTCATGACAAAGTCAACATCAAAACAGTAGTTGAATTGCCAACATTCTCGAATCATCGGGTCACCCAGAATGTCGTGTAATTGAACGGTGTCGACATTTTTGTCAGAAGGAAGATCCCGAATATGTGTGAGTTGAAAAGGTGAAGGTATAACACGTGGTCGTCCCTCAATTATATCGGCATTAGTTTCATTATTTCTCTTGATATGATCAGTGTGCTGGTCGTGCTGGTTCTCGGGAGGTCGTCTCTCGCGGCTAGTCAATGGCGGCGTGACAGACCTGCTTAGAGATGCAAGAGTTGTTCTATTCTTCTTCGAGTCATCTTTTCCCTGGTCATCGCCGGGCTCTGAAATCTTTCGCTTCTTTGCCAGTGGTAACATGCTAGCTGATCAGATTGGTGGAGTAAAAAGATGTTTGCGAAGGATAGAAGTCGTTCAGGCGGGAAGCCGCAGCTTCTAGCCTGTTCTTGCCCAAACCATTGGCTATCCCTGGCCGCATCTTTAACTGTGCCGCCAACACTTGCATTTCTCAACCCAATCGTATACTTTGTCTATGCGCTGACCGGCCTTGTCCTGCAACACTACGCTGCTCTGTAACGATGGCTTGTCTGAAATCGCTGTTCCTGTTAGAATCAGCCTTGCATGGCACAATGTCCTCGTTGTGCAGATGGCGGTACGCAAAAGCGTACTCTTCTCGAATGGTTGATCCGACATAAGAGAAGTTCGCATCTTATATATACCATTCTTCGACGTGATCTTGGAATCCCGGCTTGGGGGGGTGTACTAGGCTTTGACTTTTATACTACCAACATAATGCCTATTATTAAACTATTCAAAAGAAGGAAACCCAAGCCTCAGAATGTACCGACCGAGAGGAATGAAGAGTCCCCAGGACAATCCCTGTCTTCCTCAGGCATTGGTCCGGAACAAATGGGAATTGTTATTGCGAAATCCACAAATTCTGCATTTCAAGAAGCCTGGGGCAAGCACTGGGCCGAGCTCGACGCAAGCGAAAAACGTGTATGGAGTTTCCAAGGAGACTACTCTCCGTTAAAAGTGCAAAAGACCATTGAAAATATGGACAAGGAGCACCGCCAACAGACAACCAGCAGAAGGATAGCAGGCCCAGTTTTGAGATTCCTCAGAGCTGTTGAAACAGTGATGGCCGGTGTTACAATCGGCATCCAAGCATATCCCGATGTCAGCTCAATTGTCGTTGGTGTGATTCGTGTTATAATCAATGTTTGTACCTCTCTTTGTCATCATATGCTTGCTTCATGGCTGACTGAGCAACAGGTAGCTGTGAAATATTTCGAGTACTATGAAAAGTTGAGCAAAATGTTAGAGGGCCTCGTGGATGATATAGAAGTTTTGGATATGTTCACGCGAAATAACGTGAATTCGCCTGAATTGCATAATGTTAGAAGTCAGCTCCAGGTATTTAACGTACTTTACACCATGAGCTGACTTTTTCTTAGACCTTAGTTGCTCTTTATACAAATATACTGACCTTCTGTCGACATGCGCGCCGTGTCTTCCTCATCAAAGGGCAAGAGAGAGGTACAAGCCTTTTGACATCGGTTAAGGTAGCTCGCTAATGGAAATAGGTGCACGTGGTTTTACTGTCTTAGCAAAAGTTCAGTGGGCACCATTTGAGGAGCAATTTGGTGAGATACAGTCAAATCTAAGTCGCTACACTGCCAAATTGGACATGGTAGCTACAGCAATTACAATGAATACGACTTTGGCAATCAGTGAAGATCTGAAAAAGACATCTCCGAGCAATGCTCGTAAGCCTGTTCCCAATATCGGGATCGAAACAGTACAAATGCCTGCTGACTTGCAGTAGAAAACGAAAGAAGAGAATTTCTGGAATGGATATGCGGAGAAAAGATTGAGGAAGTACATAATATGGTTCGTGAACGACGAATAGCAGACATTGGGTCACATATTTTCAGCAACAGACAATATCAGAAATGGGCATCAGAAGAGGCCACCGGGCCCTTATGGATACATGGAGAAGGTAGAAAGAACCCCCTTCTTTACTGCCTGTGGAAGGTTCTATCTGTTGACTACGTTTTGCAGCTGGAACCGGAAAAAGTGTCCTTGTGTGAGTATGATTATATCAATGCCACTGCTCACTTTTTACTAAGTTATTTAGGTCGATGGTAATAGACGAGCTCAGTCAAGAGAACGCTCAAAAAGACAACACAGTGGCGTATGTCTACATCAAAGGAGAGGATACTGCGCTTTGCAATTCACCTAGTCGGATAGTCTCCATGCTCATCAAACAAGTCTGTTGGAAGCTGGACAAGCTCCCGGTCCAAACATTAAATTATTATCGCCAATGCAAAAAAGACGCACGCATTCCCGTTCTGAACAAATTGGTAGCAATGTTCATGGAATGTGTAGGCTCCCTGAGTCGCATTTTCGTGATCATTGATGCTTTGGATGAATGCGAAGAGAAATCCCGAAAACCGCTATTGGATTTCATTCGTGAAACAAGTCAACAGAGCAATTGCAAAGTCCTCGTTGCGAGTAGACGGGAGCGGGATATATTCCGGGCCTTTTCTCCTATGAATCCTCTATACATTTCGAGACATAACTCGGATCAAAAAGATATTGCTAAAGTTGTCAAATATCGCGTGGAGAAAGAACTGGGGCATTTCAGACCGGACACTCAAGAGTACATTATCCAACAGTTAGTGAAGAGATCAGGTAACATGTGAGTAAGTCAGAGTCTATCCCAGTATGCCGATACTAATCTCCTCTGCAGTTTCCTATGGGTCGACTTTCAGCTGAAAGACCTGGCACAAGTTTTTGAGAGTGAAGTAAAAATTCAGTTAAACCAGCTCCCATCCGACTTGCATGATACCTATGTCCAGTATCTTCGGAGGATAAACAAGCAACCGATCACAAGCAAGAATCTCGCCCAACGTTGCTTTTTGTGGGCTTTTCATACGGATTACCTGTTAAGTGGCTTCGAATTCATAGATGCAGTCAGTCTGGTGAATGACCGTGAAAAGATAAAGTACAACTCCTCTGATCTAACACAGGTCACAAAGGATCTCATCTGGGTTACTGGCCTTGGGTATCTACGTGTGAGGCCAGTTCATTTTTCTTTCCGTGAATTTCTGGTAGATTCACAATCAGAACTGCCCTTGGATTTGCAAAGTATGATTCCTGATCGCGAAACAGCGAATGTGCGGCTGGCCATTGAGTGCCTTCAGCACTTACTAGCGGACATACCTCCTACCAACCTTTTGGATACCATATTACCTTACTGTGGGAAACACTTTGACTCTCATATTCGACGACTTACCACAATACCGGAGAAGATTCTAGAAATTCTTGACCGCATCTTGTTAGATGAAAATGACAAACTTCTGAAAATTCTAACCTGGCGCTGGGTGATTGTGATTGATTGGCCATCATCGTTTAAATCACCAGATTCGCTACCTGACATTGGGTGTATCGGCAATCCGCAATTCATTGATCCTAGATTCTTCTTGCGGTGCACAAAGCTGGATCAGGTGCCTGCCATCCAGGAGCGCTATGCGAGAATCGAGCGTATTGAGACCTATCCAGATGACTATCTACATATTGCAGCATTGACGGGCTTGGAGGATGTTGTCGGTGAACTGATAGAGCGAGGCGTTGACCCGAATAGAGAGGATGCCGCTCACATGACGGTGCTGCAAGCTTTGCCTGGTTGTGATGTGGAGATCTCTGAGAAAATTGTTATGATGTTACTCGAGGCAGGAGCAGACCCCTACAAAACCACACCAGTATCGTCAGAAAAAGAAATCTCAGCCTATGAATATGCTCAAGGCCGCCAGCAAGCAGATTTCATCCAGATGCTGGATAAGTTCAAGAGCTCGAAGAAGACTGAACGATCAGGATACGGTATTGATAACAAGATGTCGCGCGAGGAAACTCCGACTTTGTAGAACACGAAAATGGACAAGAAGACGAAGATGAAATATTGATATACTTGCTTCTTAAAGCATGATGTATCTTTGGAAGGATTCCCAAACTATTTATGCTTGAGATCCTGCTTCCAGTACGTGCAAATGTTACAAACTAACACAAAGATCTTTCATGGAGGTCTCACAAAGATATTTCACACAAATGAAACAGGAGGTTCAACATTGCAAGGTTTACAAGCCAACCTTGAAACAGACTTGTCAGACATCAGACATTAGACGATTTTGTACAGCAAAGAGGTTTCTATGAGTCATTTGTATGACTCGATCATCCAAAAATTATAGCTGATGAATCACTCCCTCGGTAATCATATGAAACGACATGAAGAGGTATTTATACCTGCGGTAAATCTGAATGGCAATATGCTTCAACTTTTCAGTCTAGAGCAGATACCGACATTTGATGAGAAATGGGGGTAAACCAGTTTTCTGACGCCCGTAAGTCTCATTTATTACTTACAAGATGTTGAAAATAGATTCCGATGCTCATTTCTACTGAACAGAAGAAGAAAGACAAGCGTTTCTCGAGTGGATTTCTGATGTTGACTTTACAGCAGTCCATGAAGAGGTCTGTAGCAAACGATGTGAAGACACCGGATCATGGTTACTTGGAAATGGCATTTTCAAGGAATGGCTCGCCGGCCACTCCTCTCAAGTTTTATGGTTAAACGGCGGTTGTGTGTCATCCCACTCTCTCTTATTCTTGACGGAGCAGCGTCATAGACTAACATTTGATGTTAAAGTCTCAACTGGGAAGAGTGTACTTGCGTAAGTTCTGAGGTTCCTGGCAAATTCTATATGAAGGCTTAAATGATACTAACCGCAACAGGTCGGTGGCTATCAATCATCTAACCCAAGACGACAACTTCTCGAAAGATGTGGTCGTATATGCGTACTTCGGCCAAGGAACTACAAACGCGCAGTATGATACGGTACAAGTGATGTCCAGCCTGGTTAAGCAGCTATGTTGGAAGCTACCATCACTCCCCGATCCAGCAGTGGGATTGTACAGTGACTACAGGTTGATTGCAAGAATTCCCACATACCACGACCTTAAGACCCTATTTCTCAAATGCTCGCAATTCTTTGAGCATGTTTTCATTGTCTTCGACGGCTTGGATGCATACGAGGGTAAAGGCCGTAAGGAAATACTGAAGTTGGTGTGCGAATTCGCAGACGACAAAAGCGACAATCTGAAGATCTTGGTTGCCAGCCGCAGGGATCCCGATATTTTGCACACATTTCGTCATCATGGAGTACTACAGGTTCATACTAGGAACCCTTTTGTACAGCAGGATATTAGAAAATTGGTGAAGCATCGAGTCACAACGGAGTTCGGTCATATTGATCCAGAACTCCAAGAACATGTTATCACAACTGTAATCAATAATTCCAAAAACCTGTAAGTTTTTTTTTTTATCACACTTGCGAGTTTCTTCTGATGGGCTCTGATTTATTCAGGTATCTGCCTGCTGAACTTCAATTGAATGACTTGGCACGAACGCCGGGACCTGATATCAAAAGGCAATTGGAATCAGTATCGTGTCCGGTTGAACTGGAGGATATATATCTCTTTATATTTGGAAAAATAAATTCCTTGCCAAGAGTGACCAGGACTCTGGCTCAAAATTGCTTCCTCTGGGCCTTCCACTCTATGAGACCGCTGGCTTCCGGAGCATTCATCGATGCAGTGTCACTAGATCTCAAAGCAAATGCAAATAAGACAAACTACTATGACGCCGCAACTCTGAATGACATTACATTTGGTCTTCTAGACGTGCCAGATCTGAATATGATTGACGTGAAACCCATTCACCAGTCACTCCATTACTTCATGACACATCCAAGAAGACCTATTCCGAGCGAACTGAAGGACTTCTTCCCTGACAAAGAGACTGGAGATGCCAGAATGTCCATAATGTGTCTCCGGCACCTTACGCTCGACATTGAACCGCCAAAGGACATTTGGGACACATGCCTCTTCTACTGTGCTAGATATTTCGATAGTCATATCATTAAACTTTCCGGCAGCTCGGAAGAATTCTGCACCATACTCGACCAGCTACGCCTCGAAAAGCTGGAACCTTATTTGAAGCGAATCCTGGCCTGGAGATTTACTTCCAATGACCGCCATTACCCTATCGTTACATGCATAGGCTACCCAAAGATCATTACTCCCGAAGTCTTTCTCAAATGTACTGGTATTTATAAAACATCAGTCATAGCATTTTGCTATGAGATTGGTAGCCCAGAGTGGGAAGCGTGGCCGGCAGATTGCTTATTGCTAGCAGCTGCTGTTGGCTGTCGTGACATTCTCGAGACCTTCATCTCTGATGGTGTCGATATCAACGAAATAATTGACAGAAACACTGCCCTTCATTGCGCAATCAAAGGTCTGGCAGCAGGTTACTTTACAGACAGTGGGATTATTAAGCTTCTTCTTGATGCAGGAGCAGACTGGAATCATGATGGTCGCATTACTCCAAGTGACATGCCCCCTGAACACTATGAAACACCACTAAACACTGCTCTTTCATACTATGTTGACTCGGCGATTGAAATTATTGTGAATCATGAATCATTCAATCTTGCAAAGTACATGAAAACCTTGCCTGAGAAGCATCCTGATTGGGTTCGTGTGTTGGTTAAGCATGGTGCAGACATCGAGTAAAAGGACGAAACCGGCCATATGGCGCTTGAGATAATACGATGTCTGAGAATATCGAGCTTCGGGAACGACAACATTGAATGAGTGTTCTGCAGGAGTCAGATGCTTCGGAGGTGATTGGGTAGCGGAAGCGGAGATGGTTGTCGAAAGTCCACCTGCGTTATAGCAGACAGGTATGGACACCTATTTGATATTTTCTATGGCTATTCACAGGTACTAGTATGGAGTTATATGGCGAAGGATGGTATGCATGATTTGACTTTCACTTTTCTTTGGTGTTACAATTTGACGATCTAGTAATACATTTTGCTTAAAAAAACATAATATGGAAAAACAAAAAAGATGCTCTACCACAAAAATCTTTGAACCTTCCCTGGCTCCTGAGGCCATTCAAAACCCTTATACAGAAACACATATCCAGTCACGGCATTAATAAACAGAAACCAAACCGTCTCCATAATCTCAGGTAACGCAGTAAAAAACTGCGCTTTAAAGCTCGGTTGTTGTTGCTTCTGGAACACCTCCGGAGTCGGCTGGCGTGGGAGATGCAACCTCCACATCACCCACGGGATAATAAAATATCTGGGCTCAACGAGTGGTGCAGTAATAAGAGAGAGCGTGGTCGCAATGAGCCAGATGAGCACAAAACTGATGCGAATCTGTTGATTATCGCGCTGTTGTTGTCGTAGTGCAACGTGTGCTTGGATCTTGGCTAGGATTTCGGGTGTGAGCACTTGAGCTTGCTGAGCTTGTTGTTTTGATGGAGATTTAGCAGCGGTGGAAGCGGACTTGGATTTTGATGCTTGCTTCTTTTGCTGTTTCTTTGCTTCTTTCTCCTCTCTTTTGCTTGACTTTTGTTGGGTCTCCGGATACGAAGGAAATGCATCCTGCGGAGTAGCTATTTGCAACTGCAAGGATTTCGAAGGAGGTGACAGAACTCCAAAAGCGGTAATGACAGACCATGCACAGAGAAAGTACACCGGGACAGCGGCGTATTTGACAGCAGGGTGATACCTAGTCAGAAGTCGAAAAACATAGAAAACGTAGTGGCGATTGTCGGCCAGAGTGAAAGGATGGACAATGGTGTTGAAATGCACGGCTGCCAGCATCAAGGGGATGACAGTCAAGGCCGTAAGTATTGATGGAAGTCTATTGCCATTACTCAAGTTATAGTCGAGGTATTTTGGGATAAAACGGCGAGGCAAAATGGCATTTAAAACGCCAATCGAAAGGAAAGGAAACGAGAAGAAGACGAAATATGGCCAGATGTACAGCATCTGGGGTAAATGGATACTGGCTGTATGGAACTCCTTATGCCCCAGGACGACGCTACCATTCCATAGTACAAAAGCGCCAAAGGCGCCTAGTATGGTGAGGTGCGGAACAATGGATGCTACCAGGAGAGGCAACTCGCTCAGAGCACCGCATGCTAAGGACAATGCGGTCTTGAAATAGTCTACTTCATGTTAAGAACCTTTACTGATATATTGCCTCAAGAAGTACATACCGATAAAGCTTGCTTCACTTACAAGCGGGTCATACAGTTGAGCTTGGAAGCTCTTTCTCACAATATTGACTGCACCAGTAACTGCACAAGGCTTCGTGTTCTGGCGAATAGTGCGAACGGCCTGTAAACCACCCATGAACACAGATACCCAGAATATATTCGTCTGTCTGAATACCAGAGCTATGCATCCAATTCCGACGAAAGCCAAAGTTTTGAGTGACACATGACCCCGTATAGCATCAACCGCGGTCTTTTTCTGACCGTTGGAATCCGATCTTTCCGTATCCCAGATATATGCTTGAATCACGACAATCAGAGCAAGTATATCGGTATAATACAACCCAGAAAAGAAGAACAAAGGAGGGAATAAGCAAATATTCAGAACAGTATGGCTAAGCCAAGCTCCAGCTGCCCGAGTATTCTGCTCTTTTCTCAACGAGTCCAATAACGTTTGAAGGCGCCATGGTAGGAGAAAAGCTGCCGCAATGGAATTCGTAGAACGAAGATCAAAAACATCAACCTCCTCGGAAGATCCCCGAAGCAACGTACGACCTGCGCAATCAAAGTAAGACCACAGGTATAGTCCTGGCGGAGTAGTTATTTTAGGGTCCCATTTAAACCAGTCATGTCTCCAGTAGGTTTGAGCCTGGCCAACATGAAAAACTTCATCAAGATAGGACTCTTGCACATTATCGTTTACCAGCTTCCTCCATAACATAAAGGAAAGCAAGAAAAAAGGCACTAAGTACCGGCCAGCTAGGGTAAGGCCGGTCTCAGCTTGAGGAGAGCTCATGGTGTGTTATGCGTTCTTCCTTAATTCAGATTGGCAATGGAATAAAATACCGAAACATTGAGACCTGCACATTGGTCTCCGACCCTTCCGAACATTCAATAAGCTCTATAGCATGGTTGTGATGGTGGGAAAAAGTGTGAGATGATGTTTGTTGAACAACAAATCCCGCAGCTCCCGTTGGCTCAGAGCGATGCAAACGGCGCAAACAGAGCAACATTACCGCCCCGCAAAAAGAATCAAGCATAACTTGAACAGAGATAAACTTGGAAATTTTGGCTTGAACAACATGGATCGATAACAATGATAGGGATATAAACACGATATATCGCCTTTCCCCGCACGTACAAAAGTCACAATCACAATTCAAAAGCACATCCCATACGACATTGCCAATTGAAACAATCAACTCAATCCATCTCGGCGCGTTGAAATCTCCACCAAAGTTACACGCCATCGATGGCTTTCCCATTACAACGAGGCCTGACACCTCAAGAAATAGAGTTTCTCTCGGAGATGGAAATGGTCACAGTCATCCCTCGACAACGATTAGAAGGACTAGAATTGCTATCTGTACGTGCGAGATTCTGACCCCGCACTTTCATCCCCGCGGACTGAGGTTGAAGCTCTACATTCCGTGCTGGCGCATTGATGCCTGGGCTGCATACGAGGAAGACTATTTGCTGGTACAATGCTAATATGATTTTGGCAATGCGAGTAGGGTCCAACGGAAAAATTACTACCACCACAACGCGCAACACTTCCTCTTTGGCTCGCAATCCTCTTAAAAAGACAGCGGCGTGTAAACATCGTCCCGCCGCATTGGTTACATCCTGAATGTCTACAAGTCATTCTCCAATTTGAGACGGAAACCAAAGAATATACAGATACATTCTCACCGCCCCCTCAGCTTCCCGGCCAGCGCAGAGCAGGCGACGATAGCAGAAGACAATCGGCCGCTCCTCTGCGACCGAAGTACACCCTTGATGGTCAACGCTACTACCCAACACCACCGTTCCTCCCGCAAAACACTGCGTTGACGCCCTCGGAAGCATCAGATCTAGAAAGAGAAATCGCGCTACCATATCACTGGCTCGAAGTCGGAAATATGCTCCTAGATGCTGCGAGCGATGACCTCACTGAACCCGACCAGGTGCGACGCCTATTGAAAGATTTACGAGAAGTACGAATGTCAAAAATGAGAAAGCGCGTGGATGCGCTAGACGCCGCGGCAGTTGCTGGCGGTGGTGTGTCCTTGACAGGCGTTGGAGCTATGGAAATTGGTGAAATGAGAGGATTTGTCGCGGGAGTAGTTGAGGGACTACGGAAAATCGGCGCGTCACGCGAGCAGGCTCGTAGGGAACAACTTGCTGAAGAAGGGTCCATTCAGGGCTATACTCAAGATGATGACGATATGCAGTTCTAGAATGACCGGTTTCACTGCACTTCGCATTTATCACTGGCGTTTGTTGGTTGGATTGAGGTTTAACATGGTTGACGTTACTCGTTTAGCAGGAGTCCTTCAGTCTCTTCCTTGGCGCTAATACCCGGATATCATTGCATCTACAAAAAAAGGTTAATTATGCTAAATCATCCAAGACGCCGTACAGAATGCGCTAAAACAATGCTGTCCAACTCAGGGGACATATACAGACCCCAGAAAGGGGGGCATAGCAACTAGACAAATACACGGAACACAGTTGCAACCGTCAACCCGAAAGTCAATTGAGCACGCCTAGAAGGCAGGACCGGTAGCATGAGACGCCTCTCGATCTTTCTGTTGAAGCTTCCTCCGTGCCGCCAGAATCATATCATCCCTCCGCTTCTGTAACAATCGTTGACGTTCGCTCTTGTTCTGGGACCAGGCACTCTCCGGTTTTGATGAAATTTCTTGTTCTTCGGAGATTCGCTGACTTAGATTGTACCGTGAGATGAGGTCTTGAGATCCGGACTTTGCGGCTGGGGTAGGCGTAGCAGTTGTAGCGGGGGTCGCAGGTTGTGGAATCTGCGGTTGATACGACAGTGGAGGCTGTGCAAGTGAGACAAGTCAGTTAAGCAATTTGTAGAAAGCACCCAGTATGCGCTGCGAGAGTCCTGTCCAAGGACACAAAAAACAAACTCACATTATCCAGCCCTCGACCCGTCAATATCCGTTCCGTAGTCGCCGCAACACTGCCCCCATTCCTCTGTAAATCCCACATGATATCCCGCCGATTCAACTGAGGAAACATTTGGGATATCTGCTCAACCTGCGCGGGATCGATCATGCGACCACCGCGTGCGCGAGCAGAACCATTTGCTCCGTTGCTGCTGCCGTCCCGACTTAGGAACCATCGTATAACAAAAAACGAGACAACTGCCAGTGTAAGCAGGGAAGGGATGTTGATGGACGGCTCCTCGTCGACCATCTTGTTGAGGTGTTTGAGGGTATGGTGTGATGTCAGATGTGGTTTCCGCGGCCCGATGCCCGAAGGTGAAGTTCGAATAGGAGAATGGTGATATAGCGATAGCGATAGTGATTGTGATATGGTGTTGAGACTCGTCGGGCTTCCTAAGCTGCACTACCACTTCCTGCTACAGGATCTAGAGAATCAGGCGCGAGTTTGTTGGATTCAGCCGCAGACTTGTCTGTTGTTTCTGGAGTGTCGGAATGCGGCAATACCGACGGGGTGGCGACGTTGCCTCAGGCGGCTAGATGCTCACGTGCTCGGAGTTCGTACACCGAGGCCTCATCTTATCACTACTGAATATTTCTTGATCTATTGAATAAGACTTGGGCATATGATAACCAGAAATCCATTCCTCTTCATTGCGCGTCCCAATATGATATATGATAATCAATATGAATATGCAAAGTCCATGTACAATTAACGACATCCGTCTAACGCCAAAGCAATTTGCTCATCCAAACAAAAAGACCCATTCATCAAGAAAAACGAGACATAATCAAAGATGAACCATTAACGGAAACACAGTGATCATTTTAGGTCCGCCGGTGTTAATGCTTGGACAACACTTGTACCCTCACTAAACCTCGTCCGGAAGATGCGGTTGGCGTTTTGGAACATACCGTCCTTGAGGGAAACGACAATGAATTGCGAACCCTTGAAACGCGTCTTGATCAAGCGTCCAATATTTTGTGTATGTGACAAATCCAGGGCTGCGTCAACCTCATCCAGGATATACATCGGAGCCGGTTTGAATTGTAGAAGTGCCATGATAAGCGATAAGGCGATAAGAGACCTGAGAAGAATGAAGTTAGACTTGGAAAATACCACCACGAATGTGACATAAAGAACATACCGTTGACCACCACTGAGCTCAGTAAGACTTTGCTTCCAGACCTTTCCTAGAGAGACCTTAACCTCCAAACCATCTGTAATTTCTTTACCCTCTGGAGGATCAAGCTTGGCAAAACTGCCAGGAAGGAGTTCGGCGAAGATCTGACCAAAGTCTCCATTGACCTTGGTCCAGGTCTTGTGTAGAGCCTCTTTCTTATACTCATTTAGATTGATAATGGTCTCTTCAATCTTTTTCTTGTCGCGGATGACCGTCTTCATCATGTTTTTGAGGGCGATCTCTTTCTTCTCGACACTGTCAATCATGTTCATGACCTTGGGGTTAATCTTCTTCTTCATCCCTTGGAAACGTTCCGTCAAGTTTCGTAGTGTTGATCTGCATTCTGCAATATTTTGACCTCGGAAATCATAAGGAGTGTTTGGACGGCCGAAACTATCTTTTTCTTCCTCGATCCACTCGTGCTCACTCTCCATGTTTGCAACCATCTGTGCTGCCGCTTGTTGGTCTTTGTGAAGTTTCTCGAGGTGATGTCCTAGCTTTTGCATCTCGAGACCCTCCTCAGTGATACGCGCGTTCTTGGAACGGATTGCCTGTTCGAGATCATCTAACTCGTCGTCGAAGCTGGTCAACTTTGCTTGTTCCTCTTCCAATTGTGCCTGGGCAATGTCATGCGCATCCTAAACAAGTCAGTAAGATATCTACAAAAGGAAAGCATGAATTATCTACCTTGATCCTGGCTTGTTCCTTCTTGAGTGTCTCAATCTCCTCGATTTGAGCTTCCATAGTAGCATCGGCTTCAGCCAACTGTTCCTCCGCGGCAGTAAGATCACTTCCAGCCTGTTCAGACTCGAGACGCGAGGCTTGGAGCTCCTTCTGCAGTGTCTTGACAGCAATAGAATTCTTGCTGAGACTCTTCTTCAACGCATCGAGTGATCTTTGGAGTTCCGCAAGTTTATCATCCTTATTATTATCAAACTCCTTCATATCCTTCTCAATTCGCTTGATATCGTTTTGAGCCTCGACATGCCGGGCTTTGGCATTAGCAATGTCTTTCTTCAGCTGCTCGATTTGTTCCTTCATCTCTTCAACGGCATGGATAATCTAATTGAATATTAGCAAAGCCCTATATATCAGACGAAAACATTGGCAACTTACCGATGATGAGCTGTTACTGTTGATCTGGTCCTCTGTAAGTTTGATTTCATGATTCTTCAGATCAAGCTCTTGTTTCAAAGACCGCACAGCATCTAGCTTCTTTTTCTCTTTCGCCATAGTCTCTTGCAAAGCAGCCAACTGTCGCTCTTTGCTTCGCAGTTCTCTCGTGATCTCATGGAGTTTTTGAAGGACTACAAGCACACCACTGGAGTTTGGCGAACTGCCACCAGATAGTGTTCCGGACGGATCATATACATCTCCCTCCAAGGTGACGCTCTTCAGCCTAACACTCGGATCGAATGTAACTGTCTTTGCGGTTTGTGCATCTTCACAAATGAGCGTCGAACCAAAGACATAGTTCATCGCTGCAGATACTTCGTCATCATATCCAATAAGTGACAAAGCAAGGTCAACTTTTCCAGGAGCCAATTTTTGAGCAGCACCTATTTTCTCGGCTGAGGCTCTGAAGGAGGAGATCTTATTCAATGGAATAATGGTGACGCGCTTGCGAAGCTTGCCATTTTGAAGCAACTGAGAGCCAGTTTCGGCAGTGTCAACAACTACGTTGTACAATCGACCACCAGCGCAAATTTCAAGAGCGGTTCCCGCATGAGTCTTGTCCTTGTCCAGCGTGAATAATTGGGCAACAAGACCTTTGACTTTCGACCGGTCAAAGCCCTGATGTGGGTCTGAGTAAGAGAAGTCAAGGTTCGCTACCCTCCTATTCATTCCGTCCGCTCTTTCTCGGAGTTCTCTGATGGCGCGCTGTAAATTTGATTGCTCTTGATAAATTTTTTCTTCTTTGCCAGGCTCGAAACCTAGCTTGGACATCTCAGCTTCTAATTTACTGGCCCGTCCACGGAGTGACTCCAAGTCTTTCAAAAGACCGGAGTTCTGTTCCTTTGCCTTCTTAGCACGAGGCTCCTCCTCTTTAATTCTCTTTTCAAGATGTGTCATCTTGAGTTTGGCTTGCTCTTGTTCTGTTACAGCAGCGCTTGCTCGATTGCGCGCATCTTGCAATTGTCCCTGATAGCCATTCTCCTGGCCTTCCTTGGATGCAATACCAGTTTGCAATGTCTGAAGCAACTCCTCCTTTGTCTCTACCTCCGCAGTTTGAGCATCAAATTCAGCCTTTGCAGCGTCGTACTTGGCTTGAAGTTTCTCGTAAATCTTCCTCTTATCCTTGAGTAACTTCTCTAGCTCGGCAACGCTCTTTTGGCTAGCTTTCCTCTTCTCCTTTTCCTCTGCCATGCTGGAGTTTTTCAGCTCAAAAACAGTGGCTAATCGAACCAGCTCGTGGGAGTGTTCCTTGACCTCATTTTCCAGAGCTTGAAACTTGCCACCTTTACGAAGTTCCTTTTCTCGAACAGCCTTCACGCGCTTGACATCTTCCTCAAGATGTGTAATCTCGTTCTTAAGCCTTGTCGCATTATCTTCGAGCGTCTGTATTTTCTGCTTCTTCGCTTCATATTCTTCGCCAGCAACTTGTAGCCGATCCTTGCTCTTCAAGTAGTCGTGAGCAACCACTAACCGAGTGAGACGTTCAACATCATTTTGTGTCTGTTGAAAGTCCAGGAAAGCACGCTTTTCACCGCGAAGTTTCTCAAGTTTCGGCTCAATCTCTTCGTTTAGGAGACCTTCAATTTCGCGAACTTTCATCTCCTTCTTTGCCATGGTTTTGGCTGCCTTCTCCTTCCTATCCTCAAACATTCGAGTACCAGCAGCTTCTTCAATCATGGACAGAATCTCAACAGCCTTCATATTCAATACCTTCGTAATTCGACCCTGCATAATCAAAAAGTTCGGATTGTTGATATTCAATTGCACACTCTGAAACAAATTCTGAACTGTCTGTTGTTGCGCGCGATGACCATTAATGAGATATTTGCTGGTACCACCAAGAACGATTTGTCGCGTAACCGATATACTGCCATATTCTTCAAACCCAATTGGCGACTTGGCTTTATCGCGATTATCGAAAACGATTGTTACACTGGCTTTTGTCACGCCAGCCTGGCCACGCTTATAAATTAGATCTTGGAGGTTTTGCGCTCGCACGGTGCTCATATTCGTAATACCGAGGACGAAACAAATGGCATCGAGAATGTTGGATTTCCCACTACCGTTTAAACCGGTGATTGAGTTGAATGATTCGTCCCTGCGCGAAAGAAAAGCATCAGTGACCGCTCGATTCCCATCTCGCGCGTGTCGCGAAAACCGTCTGTCTCTAGTTGTTCGCGAAGACGAATAGAATTCAAATCATACCATCCTGAAATGACCGTTCGGACGGCGTACGACTTGAAGCCCTGTATTTGATGGTTAGCATGATCATACATCACGGTTACCATGGCAGGAGAACAGAAAGACCTACGTCAATAATTATTTCCACAATCCGCATCGTTGCGATTACTCCTAAAAAAAGAATGTGATCAAAGATATACTAAAAAGGAAAATCAGTATAAAGATTGCCTGTAAGGAGACAGCTTCGCAGCTGTTGAACGTGGTTGTTTTTCGCAGCGACCGGTCGCAGTTTGTGTTGATTTGATGGAGTTTGTGTTAGTGTTCCGCCCACCAAAACTGTTTATGGTTTGCCTATTCGAGGCTAGCGATCACGTGCTAATTAGGTAAGCGATATTTCGCCCCGCATCTCCAGCATGATGTATCTGTTCTTTTGAGCTGTCAACATGCCGATAAGGAGAATAAGAAGAACCCTTACTAGGACCTCTACTATTCATTAAACAGCGTGGCAGAACGGTATTTTGTCTATATATCTACTAAAATCATGGTCGCAATGGATTCATCATTGAAGCAAGCGCAAAAACTGCGAATGCGATGCATCTTCTTTTCAAACACCAGGCATATTCATCATTAACCATAGAATAATGTAGTTCCCACATTGCCCAATGGGAGACCTTTGCCCAGTACTAACGCCAATAACCAAACGTTTAAACGCTCGTTCCCATGCTACCCAATAGACGCACATGATAAATACACGAAGCATCAAATAGACCACCACTATGAAGCGTGAGGGGGGAAACCAGTCCGCTGAATACCCCGGCCAGGATCAAGTCTGTTATCCAGATCTTCATAACGGAGTATGAATTCGCGCTAGAGAACAATAATCAGCTTCCAAGAACGTACAAAGGACAATCGGGGGAGAGCATACACGAATCTTCTTCCAAGAAGCTGGATCCCACCATAGATAGACACCACGTTCACTCACACCTCGTTCAACATCAACGGGACCTGGGTAGTTCTCATCTCTCGTGAGCCAGCAGCGCTCAACCTTGTGATACCGCCATTTACGGCCCATCAATTCCTCGGCAACAACTTCTTGCATAGCATCACGCGGCATGCTGTAGAAAATGTAGAAGAGGGTCTCATCACTGAAGCTGGGTATCCGGGATCGTAAAGGTTGCACATTGTGGACATTGTAACAGCTAGGAATTGCAAAGTCTTGCTCGAGAGGAACTGCAGACATAGAAGCCACGAACGGTGACGCAAAGGAATGATGTAGCGGCCTATTATAAGGATTAGTCAATGATGGCGAAGTAGTTCAAAGAAGATAAACTTACTCGGGCTGATTGAGGTCCAGTCCCAGAGTCATGAGATCCTGTCCGACGGCGAGACTGGCTACATCCGGGCTCTCGCTATGTATCATTCTCAGCAGTCCTGCAAGCCCGAACTTGTCTAGCTCACTCATTTGAGAGAACGGCGGTTGGTCCGTGCTTTGACTTGGATCTTGGCTATCCGATGACAGTCCACCAGTTTGTGATTGACGTTGTTGTAATTGACTGTTTTCATGCTCTGGAAAGCTCTCAGAACGAAGACCACGGTTATCGCCGTCCTAAACCTGATTAATTCACTTCCAATCAAAGCGCAGAAGGAGCGAATCCTACTTCTTTGTCCTGAGCTGATACGCCATTTGGCCCTTGCGGAGATCTCGACATGCGTGGAGCTACTTCCATCAGTATAACACTAATAACAGGATGCAAGATAAACTCACCTCCAGAACCCGTCGTTCCCGGTGACATAACACGATTATTCTCCTGTCCGTTCAAAGCTGAATTCATGATGTTTCGGGCTTGTGCAGACTGTGATTGATTTGAGAATGCCAAGCCAGGGCCGTAGCTTCCAAATCCTGTACTTTGTAATACCGAGCCCCTCCGCTCCTGCCCAATGTCGTTCATGCGAGAAATTCCTCCCGGCGGAATATCAGCGGCGTTCCTCCCTAATGGCGGGAACTCTTCGATGTTTCCTGTTTGCGGCTGTCCACCACCTGCAAGCTGGCCACTGATACCCTGACCACCATTCCTGAAGTCATCTAGCCGGTTCGCAAATTGAGCGCCAGATGGAAATACATCGTCATGAGGCTGTTGTTGTTGAGTGAAGTGTGTTTGGGTTTGAGAGGCTCGCGACGGAGGTTGACTGGAAGGGGGCTGTTGTCTCTGAGCCGGGGTTTGTTGGGTCGCTCGTTGTCCAGCATTTGCCCAAACTGCTTGAGCAGAGGATTGAGCCTGGTTTTGTTGTGGTGCAGCCGATAACGAAGGGAATTCACTTGCATCATAAATATCAGCCATCTATTCCGTCCAAAATCGCGTATTCGAGAAAGTGCCCAAGAATGACATACGAAAGATCTAGAGGTGTGGCAGGTTGTGAGCCACCAAGGCTCTGTGCGAACGATCCCATTGACCCGATATTTCGCTGCTGATGATTTTGCAAGCCTGGAGCTGCACCCATAGGAAGACCAAAGTTCCAGTTCGCATTCGACCCTATTCGTGCAAAGTTTCGACAAAGTCAGCCAAACTCGATTTGACTATTGCTGTCATTATTCAATCAAGCGCACCTATTTTTCCATTGGGTAGTCGACTCGTGGCCATGGATGCATTGCGAGCTTGTGCCTGTTGTTGTGAGGGGAATCCGGGCATGCCTCTTAGTGGCTGTGGGCCTGGTCCTAGATATTGTTCACACAAATCAGTATTTTTAGTTCAGCAGACGACGATAGCTGATTGATTTTTGAGCTACAACAAAGCAAATCTGTGAATGTGATGTGGGCCATCCAAGAGAATACCACCAGTAGGAGTTTTTGGGTAAAGCAGTGTTTTTGACTGATGAATCAATCATCCCATAAGGGCTGTGAACATTATGTCGAAGGTAGACAACATCGTGATGGCGCAAATATGAATGATTATGCAAACGCATTGTACAGTGGTACCGTCGCAAGGACATATGGTGGGGGAGGACAGCAACTGACCTGGCCTATTCATATTGAGAAAAAGTCGCAATAATACCTGACAGAATCGAGTTTGAATAACAAGTGGATAAATCAGTAGAGCTCCAGTAAAACTGCTCAAAAACCAGAGTTTCTGAGATTTGTTCAGACAAGCTTGCGGTGCTCGCTCCTCAAGCGATTGCAGCGCGAGGAGTAATAGCCGCCCGCCTTCGTCTTAGCCGCGCGCTTCTTCTGTAAGCATGGGCCAATCAGAAGATGGCTTGTACAATTTCTTTAGAATTCGAGCTCAGAGAACGCCCTTAACATCGACAGTTGCCTTTGAACATCATATTTCTTCCTACATTGTTCGACACGTACCAGGTTTGAATAGAGCTTTAATATTTATGCGATAGTTCAGCTAGCAAGCTATTTTGGCCCTGTGTTGACTTGTATACGGCTTAAAAGGCCACTGTACAAGTCAACAATTTAGTACCCGGTCACATATCTTTTAGATCACTTGGTCCATCATATACGACTAGTAAATATCTCATCACAAGAAGGCTGTTGGGTTCTAGACTTCCAGTCTGATTCCCGAAACAGATGATCACGTGACTTTAAGCGCTAATGTATATTTGTATGTTGCCCGTCAAGCCGCGCATTTTAACAACCACGGGAGGTTGTCGGGGACACAACGATACTGGATAAATACAGATATCAACATCCAGAATCACAATGAATCGCCAATCGGTAGTCCGACTAACTCGTCAATTGGGAACCCCTCTGTCCGCAGAGCTCCCTCCGCCATTCCTCGCTCCTGCAGTACATGGCAAATTTCAATCAGCGAACTTTTCATCTACAGCATCCAATGCCGCTCGCCATTTCCCCGATAAGAGCAAGCAACGTGGTGTTTCCGCCATACACAGAACAGGCCCACGATATCCATTGACTGTTGCAAAATTTCCGTTACCCGTACCTGTAACCAAAGAAAATCTCCCACCTCGCGAGAACAATCCGAACCATGGCCTTTGGGCCTTTTTCCCTCCCGATAGGATGCCCATGAGCACACCAGAATACGATGTTGCGCACGGTATGTATTCTCATCGCCTTTGACCAGTTCGGTTGATTAACTTGTTCTACGATTAGGTCGTTCGTGGTCAATTCAAGAATTACGAGGAAAATCCTGGGAGGATCTACACTGTCTATGGTGGGTTTGTGTGAAGGAGCGCAACCGCATTGCTACATCAAACATGGAGAGAGAGCGTGCCAAGGCGGGTTTTGGAGAAGCAGAGTTGATTGATCGTGATCGCGTGGTAAGGCACCTTAGTCCGTTACAGCTTTTTTGGTCAGTTCCCTAACATAATACCAACAATAGGTCCGGGCAACTCAGAGAGGAATCAAGCACGTACTCCGAGAACGATGGTACGCTTGGGAAGATGCGCGACAGATATGGCTGAAGGAAGCGGAGGAGCAGTGGCAGACAGAACTCCAGAAAGAGCGTACAGCAAAGGCAGCAAAATTAGAGGCAAAGAGGCAGTCACGAGCGGAGAAGAAAAAGAAGCCAGAAACACAGCCAGAGGCTTAGTTTGGAGCCTCGACTGATAATTAACATACTTGATAATGGTATACTCCAATATTCGAAGAATCCACCCTGACGAAGCTACATTCTGTACGCCCTGGAGCTTATTTTGTATCAACACTGCCTGTTTTATGCTATTCCAAGACCTGTGTATTATTAGACCCATACAAATTCAATTGGATGCTCGATATTTTGGCGATCTCCTTATTCACTGCTGCTTATGGCATGGTAAGGAAACAATTTGCCAGCATGCCACCGCTTTTTTGGGTTGGAGCGGGGACTTCCCCAACGAGGTCTAAGCTACCGTATGGGACAAGCCTAGTCTATTGCTAGTGCGACAGCAATAAACAACTTCTTCCTCTTCTATCCTGCACATTACTCAAACCCCGACTATTATACACAGTAATATCTGTGTTCTTGTTCTCGTTGTCAGTTCCCGCAGTTTGATCATCACCATGGATGAGATTGCCCCCGAATATGATGTCGTCGTGCTAGGCACCGGTATGATGATGAAGCTCTACCCCGCAGCGACTTTCTTGGACTGACATGCATGTTCCCAGGCTTGACTGAATGTGTTCTTTCCGGGTAAGTCAGACTTCGAATATGTTCGAAAGGTACGGAACGATTGACAATTTAAAAGTGTCCTGAGTGTCAAGGGCAAGAAGGTGCTTCACATTGATCGTAACGATCACTATGGCGGGTAAGCTAACGACCCCCTTATTCACGATCACATCATCACGATCACCAGAAATTGCTAATATCTCCATAGCGAAGCTGCCTCTGTCAATATCGAGACGGTAATTACGACAAATTCCCTAAATCACAACAAAGTCTAACTCGTCGCAGCTATTCAAAACATACGGAAACGTTCGCCCTGGCGAGGAGCCATGGAAGAAATATGGCCGAGTGAACGACTGGAACGTGGACCTGATCCCCAAGCTGCTCATGTCAAACGGTGAATTGACAAACATTTTGGTTTCTACCGACGTTACACGATACCTAGAGTTCAGACAAATTGCGGGAAGCTACGTGCAACAAGGAGAAGGCCCCAAAGCTACCGTTGCCAAGGTTCCTTCAGATGCTGGGGAAGCGTTGCGTTCGTCTCTTATGGGTCTCTTTGAGAAGAGACGAGCAAAGAAGTTCTTGGAGTGGGTTGGAGAATTCAAGGAAGATGACCCAAGTACTCACCAAGGTATATTCCTCAATTTGTGGTTTTGGGAGGTGCGACTTGCTAATCGTTGAACTATCAGGTCTCAATCTGTCCGCTGCCACCATGAAGGATGTGTACGATAAATTCGGCTTGGAAGCGACTACCCGCGACTTTGTCGGCCATTCAATGGCTTTGTTCCCATCGGATGATTATATTACCGCAAAAGGAAGAGTGATTGAGACTATCAACCGTATCCGCTTGTACGTCAATTCAATGGCTCGCTACGGAAAGTCACCATACATTTACCCACTATATGGTCTTGGAGAGCTGCCTCAGGGCTTTGCACGTCTATCGGCTATTTACGGCGGTACTTATATGCTCAACACAAGCGTTGATGAGGTGTTGTACGACGAGAATGGAAAAGTGTCTGGTATTCGAGCAACCATGAAGGAACGCGACGAGGCTGGCGAGGGCATGAAATTCACAACAAAGACCACCAAGATTATTGCCGATCCGTCTTACTTCCCTAATAAGGTCAAGATTACTGGATATGTCCTTAGGGCTATTTGCATTCTAAAGCATCCTATCGACAAGACCGACGGCAGTGATTCGCTTCAGCTCATTATTCCTCAATCACAGGTCGGACGCAAGCACGGTAAGTATCCATCCCAGATCCTGTAACATCAATCTAACATGCTCAGATATCTACATCGCCATGGTTTCCTCAGCACACAACGTCTGCCCCAAGGGTTATTATGTGGCTATTGTCTCTACCATTGCTGAGGGTGAGGCAAACCATCATATGGAACTTGAACCCGGTTTCCAGAGACTCGGCCAGATCGAGGAGAAGTTCATGGGCCCGCCAATTCCCTTGTACGAGCCTCTCGATGATGGCAAGAAGGACAATGTTTTCATTTCCAAGAGCTATGATGCTACTTCACACTTTGAAACAACCACTGGTAAACAGTTTTCCCAACACTACTGTGGTTCATTTTCTAACTAGTACATAGATGACGTCCGCGATATCTACGAGCGTGCGGAGGGCCATGAGCTTATCGTTGAGGGTCTTCGCGAGGGCCAAAATCTGGTTGCTGAGGAATAGACTATTTTTATCCCCCGCTCCCGGCGCTATGGAAGCATGTGAAGTCCAAGATTGGGTAGTTATATGGCTCTTCTAAGATAGTGGAAGAGTGAAACAGATGGTGATTTGATCCTTCGTGAAGCATATAATGATCGTTTATTTCGTCCATCTCCATCGCCTTCTCTTAATCACACTTAGTCTAGAACTTAGCTACTATCGTCGCAATCCATGGATGTCGGTCTTGATTAAGAACCACACAATCTAATCTATATAGTATATACACATGTATGTATAACCGTTATAACTTCGACCTCGATGGCGGATCAATATTAACCTTCTGATGCTCCGAAAGCACACAAACCACATTATCCTCAGCCCGCCTAATCTCCGTCCTCATCAATGCAAACCTCTTCCCCATCTGCGTAACCTCAACAACAACCCGTATATCAGTATCTGCAGGCACTGGTCTTAAAAAAGTAACATTCAAATTCCGACTAACCCCTCCTCCCAATTCAAAGACACCCGGTTTTGAGATACTCAGTGCAAGCAGTGAAGTCAGGATGTCGATGATGGTTGCTGAGCATCCGCCATGCAAGTTACCCATTGGGTTGCACATGTTTGGTGTAACGAATAATCTGAATGTAGCTCGTGCTGGAGGTCCTTCAGTTGCGGATTCGACGCGGATTTTGGTTTTGATTCGATCTATGCTCCATATCTGATAGGAAAGTTAGCAATTATTCCGCGGATTCGTGTATTTCTTTCTTCTTTTTGCGATCTCTGTTTGTATCTCACCCCGTGTTCTGCATCTATTTGCAGGAGTTGCAAACCCCTCGCGTCCAAACTCTTCGCGAATCCTTCCGGCTTCGGAGCGGAGGTGTCGCTGTCAACACCCATTGTCCAAGTAATAATCACGGATGATATCCCGCCTAAAATATATATAGTTTCATTCAACCTCAATTGTCCTTGGTTGATTTGCAGAATACTTGTGCAGCTGAGAGCATCTTTCGGAGGAAGTCATGGACGGGAGACTGCCGGCTAGGAAATGTACTTTACATATAGTAGATTGTGCCGAGGTACTAAGTGTATTGAGCATCATTGCCCAAATAGAGTTGGTGATCAGTAATCAGCGAATAAGTCATCACGATACCTGTGCCTATGGACTCTATAGTATAGAGTCTATACCGTATTTATCGCGCGATAAGATAGATGAGTGGCTTGAATCTCTAAAGGAAATGGATGGAGACCTCTTTCCTTTTCAGCCAATCACGTGTCTGCATTTGCGGCGCGTTTTGATATTTCCGTTCCTGACCTCGAACTTCATGTTTTGCTACGATTGACCTCAGATATTATATTTTGAGGGGTGATCCGACACCGAAATGAGCAATTAATTGTCGATAATTGAGCAGAGATCTGAACCGATTTGTCTTATCCTCTGGACGCGAACGAGTTCGACAGCTTCTTGATCAAAGAACGACTACTCTCCTTGCATCTACCAATCTCGCTCCTCTGAATCGTCGTAAAGCTATCAAAGGCTGGGAGGATATTATTTTCCACTGGTCCGCGAAGAATTACCTGCAGTTTGGCATTGTCAAGCAGGATATGACGAGAGCTTGAAACGATACATTCCGGCCAGATTTAAGCATTGAGATGGAGTCTCGCTCAGCAAAGCGGAGGAGGGTTTCCGGCGTACCAGATGAAGATGGCGACATTGAAATCCCCGAAATACCTCCAAGCGCTCATTACGAAGACGAATCCACGGAAATGGACATTGATGACCCAGAAGTCGACGCAGCTCTTGCCGCCACTCCATCTAAATCATCCCGAAGAAAATCTACGAAACCAGTCGCCGTCGAAGATAATGACACTTCTTCACGGAGTGTTAGGGCAAGTGGACGACAACGAAAAGCGCCTGTGAGATACGAGGATGAGATACAGAATGTTGAGACTCCTCGTCGATCTAGATTGTCTGCGGTGACACCCTCAAAGACGACCGTGTCAGTTAATGGCTCGCATAAGGGAAGAAAGAAGGCTGAGATCGAGACCGCCGAGTCGAAAAGTCGATCGCCGGACGTTGATATCCCATTGTCACGGAGGAAAGGAACAAGACTGTCAACGAAAAGAGAAAGTCAGAATGAGTCTGATAACTCGTCAGATTCGGATAAAGAAGACACCGATACAGAACTGGGTATGATGAACGGAGGATTGGACGATAGCTACGATCCAGTGGCTTCCCATTTACAGGAAGATTTACTACAGGGCGTTGATGCTACTGAAGAAACGAGCCAACTTAACCCATTGCCCGAATATGCAGAGACTTTCAAAAGCGTATGTGAATCAGAGTTTCGACACGAAATTGGTCTTTTGAGCAAATTTGTTTTGGAGAAACTCACCGGGAAACGATTGTCATCATTGAAGGGTCTGGACGCAGAATATCAAAAAGTCTATCAGCTCGTAGAGCAGACAGTCACGGCTGGCGAAGGAAACTCAATGCTACTAATGGGCTCGCGGGGAAGTGGAAAGACGACGATGGTAGAATCGATTATCTCTTCGCTGACGAAACAACATAAAGATGATTTTCACGTGGTTCGCCTAAATGGTTTCTTCCACACAGATGACCGTCTTGCTCTCCGAGAAATTTGGAGACAACTCGGTCGTGAAATGGACACGGAAGATGAAGCTTCCAAAATCAACAGCTATGCTGATACAATGGCAACCCTATTGGCGTTGCTGTCACATCCGGAAGAACTTTTGAGCAGCTCAGAGAATACTAATGGTATCACGACTGCGAAATCAGTGGTAATAATTCTCGATGAATTCGATCTTTTTGCGACTCATCCGCGACAGACGCTACTATACAATCTTTTTGATATTGCGCAGGCGCGAAAAGCACCATTGGCAGTCCTGGGATTGACGACGAAAGTGGATGTCACCGAAACGCTTGAGAAACGTGTCAAAAGCCGCTTCAGTCACCGTTACGTGTACCTACCTTTAGCGAGATCGTTCGAGGCATTCTCAGACGCTTGTCTTTCTACTCTATCGGTGGAGGCTGGTGAGGTCGAAGCAAGTCATATCTCTGTTAGCAAGACAGGCAAATTCCCGCAACTCTTGGATGCGTGGAACGCATACTTAAAGGTGAGAACACCTACTGCACAGGCGTCTCGGTTCGAGGAAACTAACAAAATGCAGAGCCTTTGGGAGGATAAGGATTTTGAAACCCATTTGCAACGAATTTACCACCAAACGAAGTCCGTCAAGGAATTCTATTCCAGCGCGTTGCTCCCAATATCAAATCTCTATCACAGTACATCCAGCGTAGAGAGCGGCCATACAATTAATCTGGAGATTCCAACGCCGGAAAGCTTCACGGCCCAAACTCTGACATGCCCGGACCCCGGCCCCCTCCCTTTCCCATCCTCCATGACAGGTTCAACAAGCGCAACCTCTCTACCTCTATCTCTCCTACTAGCAGCAACACGTCTAACTGCTCTTTACGACCCCGGCTCGGATATCGCCAATTCACAATCCCTTGCCCTTTCGTTCCCAGCCGCCTACGCAGAATACGTCCGTCTATTGACTTCCGCAAAAGCTACTGCTTCCGCTCAGGGAGCTGCTGCTACGGGAGGACGAGTCTGGGGCCGTGATGTTTCGCGAGAAGCTTGGGAGAAGCTTGTGAATTGGGGACTTGTTGTGCCGCTTGGATCGGGCAATGGGACGACTGATGGGACGATGTTTAGAGTTGAGATTAGTTTCGAGGAAGTTGCTGATATGGTTGGTGGTGGAGGGTCGTTGGGGAAATGGTGGCGTGACTGATCCATATTCCAACATTCGTAGTACATTAGCTACGCTATCTAGGTATATTGATAGTACGTATATATTGGAAATGCATATACTAGTCAGATTCTATCCATGGATCGTGTTCCTGAAATAACAGATCCTGATTTTTCCTAGCCATTAATTAAGCAAGGCACCAGTTGATATGGACGCCACTACAGAGTTTTTCTAACGGTGATATTCACCTAGTCGACCTCACATGCATCATATCGCGTATCCCTCGTATACCTACCTAGATAGGTACAGCTGCATTCTTCATCAAAAGAGGAAAGAAAAAAGAAAAAAATAAGTTGACTCGAGAACCGCAGTCCGCTTCCCAATTCCACGCGTCTGTGACGTTGCCAAATCTGCTTGGTTTGAGCACGCTATCCTAGCTAGCTATCTCGTACAAGAGGTGCCTATCGACAGGTAATATTAAGCATAAAGGGGAAAAAGGAAGAAACGAAGTAAAAGCTCTGGTTCTCGCTTCTCATGTAAATCTCTGTGCAAGGCGCCTTTCCCTATCCAGCTCCGACGTCTGATGTTGATATCACTTCCCAATACGGCGCGAATAGGGTTACACGGCTCCTAGCCCTATCCGTGAACTGAGACGGGAACGCAAAGCCATGCCCAGCCGTCATACTACTCCCCCCTTCGAAAACGCTTGCCCTCAAGCGTTCGTGACAGGAATATCGTCATCAGGATGGTCGTCAACGAACTTATCCTCTTCGGCAGCCTCCAGCCAAGTCTTCAGACGAACCGGCGGTCCTGGCTTGCCAGATATCGATCGTGGAAAGCCTTCAAGACGAGCGGTGCGTTCTTCAAATATCCCGCCAGATACCACTTGGGATCCGGATCGTGCCCAAGCCAACTCACTCGATAACGTAACTTTTTCCACATAACACGACCCATTCCGAATTTCCGTTAACCTGTGATTCCGGGGACGGGTCCTCGAGCTGTCCCGCCAACAGTTCCGAGGAGCTTGCTAGGCGCAGCTTGTCCAGTGAGAATATGCGGTGCACATTGATGTCCTCCGGTAGGTCAAGTTCAAAGGAGTTGCCCACTTTCTGGACAACCCTGAATGGCCCTTCGTGTTAGTGATTAAGCTTCCGACTTGGACATCCTGTATCCCATCCCTCGTTGCTGACATACACCAAATCATTGACTGTAAAATTGGGCGGCCGACGTTTCTTGTTCGCTTGAAGTGCTTGGCGGTCTTGTGCGATCTTCATATTTTCTCTAGCGAATTCCCACACGCTCTGGATCCTCTTAATCCATGCTTGCGCCTCCTTCTCGTTCAGCGTCAGTTTCCGCGGTGGTACCAGCTTTTTCCAATCGAACGACATTCGTGGCTGTACAGAGACCTTAAGAAACAAAAATAATGATACTTCAACAAGGCCAGCGGAGCGGAGATAATAATTCACGGTGAACGATCCAACTCGGCCTGTTGCCGAGTTTTGTTTACTATGAGGAGGTTTAAATTTAGTGACGTATATGTAATATTACTGTCGGCATATATTACCAATATTACCACTAATACAGCCATTACACGGCCATCTCATTTACAACTAAACTGTCAATATTGGTAATCTGGCAGTACGGCATTTTTTATGTTATTATTTACCAGTACGTGTACAGGGCAAATACGTGCCCTAATTGGCCGCAGGAAAGCGATCCCTTTTAGCACAGGGCCGTCGCAGTAATGGGTATACCGGATTCAGTATAGCGGTTCATCTTGCCGCTTTAACGGGTACGGCCCCACCAATAAGGTCTATATAAACTGCGAGTGCGTCCTCGAACGACGACCGTCACTTCCACGTCCGTTTATTTTTCCTCGAACTGTGCAGTGATCTATCATCCCCTTGTGTCTGCCTGGTGAGACACTAGAGGAATTGCCAATCTCAGACCATCCTTCTCCTCTCTTTTTCGCGGATCCACTTTGTGCCTGTGGCGCCAGCCCTTCCCGACTCGACGATTGAATGATTTGATTACCTGTTGCTCGGACGAAGACGAAATACGATCTTGGAAAGCTATCATGACGCATCATTTACGTTGTCTGCTAGTATGAGAGATGGCCTAATATTAAGATATCGCGACTGTCGACTCCAAATTGGCTACTTGGCCCTTTCTTCTTTCCCTCCTTTGCCCGACTTGACCAGGCAAAACATCTTTCCGCAGCCGCTGCACTCGCTGAATTCAATCGAATGCCTGGGTCTGTTGATCCGGTGACTCGACTATGTGGTAGCGGAAATCTCCGAAACAAGCCACTTCAGGCCTGGTCCCTTTTCCATATGTCGTAGCGCCGTCCTGCCCGTGTGATAGCGCATGATCCACCGTTCCAACTAACGCCATCTCAGAGTAGAGACCAATGGCAAAAATACCGCATTATCCCTTTGGAAGGTCGGTAACATCTTCATCGAGACAAAAATATCAGGGGTTTCATCCATTATTGGCCTTTTTGGCTTTCGATCTCCAATGAGACGGCTTGATTCATGCATCACAGCAGCTGAAGGGTGACTCGGAAGCCAATGAATTCAGAGGTGGGGCCAGGATTGCCTCGATTGTGGAACGAAAAGAGGCCCTGCTGGAAAAGTGAATGGTACTTTCCTTCATCAAAGAGAAATACGAGGATATTCATCCACTCTGACTCTCACAGGCTTTGGATCCCCAATAGGATGACTGGATTCAATGCCCGACAGCAGCTGAAAGCTGATTCAGAGACAATCCATGCACATATGTGGACAGCATTGCCTCGATTGTGGGACAAAAGAAAAGCCGAGCGCGAGGATGAACTGTGTTGGGCGTGCTACCGAGACGTGTCTCATTTTTGAGCTGCAGTTTCTGTTCGTTGATTGGAGGGCAATCGACCTATCGATGACGACGATTGCATTGGCATGGCTACGGTCTCATCTCGATGGAGGTGCTAGCGGATGAGGCGGCAAGAGCGGTCCCTCGATTTTGAGGAGAAAAAGCAATGATCGTTGGTAGCTGTTGCACCGCAAGATGGGTATATAAACCCTCACAGCACGCAGCCTGAAGCACGATATTGATTAAGGAGCCGGTTTGTTCTGCTACAAACCCCTTCATTGAATGTCATCATGGCAGTTACCTTGAATAATATCAAATTTTACCATCCGCCTTCCCTCCCTGCACGGCCAATAAAGAGCACATCTCCTAATGATCATCACACATCAAAAAGAACTGATTCTACTCCTTCGACTCACTCCAAACTCTCCTTCTCTCCGTTCTCACAGCCAGCATTACCTCATCCCCTACCTCCCCGGCCTCCAGCTATCATTCCCTGCAGTCATCATACAGCATCTGCGACTCTACATTTCCCCTCCAGCACATCACATACAGCCGATTCCCATCCCGTGTGCAAAAATGATTTCCACCGAGCGTTGGATGACTTCTTTTCTGCTAAGAATGGCAAAAATGATGAGGATGGAGAGTCTTCGATTCGTGTTCCTACGCAAGGTAATTCCTAGAGTGGTGTGGACAGCCCGTTCTTGGCTAACGTGAAGTAGACCATGGAAATGACAATCGTGCCCATGCAACTTCGCCTAATCTGGAAGTTTTAAGCCAAATGACAGCCAGCTTGCCATCGCCCAGCTTCAGCGTGCAAAAACCCCTAGACAATTTACTTAAATAACTCATGTCAACGTCATCGACACGTCTACTTTGATTCGGAGAGGCTCATTAGTTCCATATTGAAACAACCAAGCTAAGATTAGTATAGACCTGGAGAGGCATCCTTGTTGTTATAGTCACATTCTTCTCACCTTCTATCTGATTAATCGCCGGCGGATGTGAAGCCCACGGAACGAACTCAATGACCTCGCGTCTACAGCATCCACGGATCCATCGTCAGCATTCTGCACATCTTAACCGCCTACATCAGCGTCCAATAAGCTCAACCCTGATTCGACAGGTACAGCCATACAGATTTCTGCACAGGGTTCATCTATCGTCAATCGAGAACGTTCGGAGACTACGCATGCAAGCGGAGTTCTGAGTCATAGTCCAAAGTCCGGCGGAAGCACCCTGAGAAATGAAAGCACCGACTTGCAGGGAGCTTCAGGAGATTCGAAGCGTGCTAGCTCATGTCAATTAGAAGAATCATCAAATCGAAAGAGAAGTCCATCAGCACGTTTGTCTCCCTTGTCAACACCGCAGGTCGTGGTCCCAGTTTTGTCTCGTCGTTCCGTTTCGTTGCGGAGAAAGTCTAGTCGGCTGAGCTCTGATCATTCGCACTGCTCAGATCGGATCGCCGGATAATCTTATGAATCGGACTCGGCTTTCTCTGACGACGAGAACGACGCAGACTACTTGGATAACCCCGAGAGAGAGGACGCAGGCGAAAGCTTGCGCCCATCCAAGCGTCGTCGGAGAATTCTGGATGAAGCTTCATCCACTTCTCGAGTTCCTCGACAATTATCCTCCGAGTCTCCACGTGCTAAGCGGCCGGAATCACCGCCGGAAGATTTGAGCGCAGAGAGTGAGCCGATTCCCGTCCAGGGTTTCCTTCGATTACGATCTAGTGGATCCGAGGTCATCTATTGCTTGGAGTTGTCACAGACGCATTTTTCGTCATCGGTCGCAGGCGGACAAATAGAATCTCCTCGGCCACATCAGCGGACGGCCCGTCCCGCGACAAGAATTCGATTCACGCCTGAGGAAGATGCATTTATTGTTCAATTGAAAGCTCAAGAGCTCAGTTAGGACAAGATCAAGGATCAATTCTCGCGAAAATTTCCATACAGGAGCAGCTCGTGTCTGCAGGTGCGCTATTCTAAAAAAATGAAGCCGATGATGAAACAAAGTAGAAAGAGACGGGTCAAGAGCCGTGAATAGCCGCCGTTTCGTCCTGATCTAGGCACGCATCGTAAATTAGACTGGAATGATCGAAGCAATACTCTGATTAGCATCACCTTGCTGTCTGTAGGGAAGCCACATATTCCACCAGATCGTTGGCGGAAAAGTGTAAGCAAACGGAGGAATGTATATCCGCTATCTTCATATGTCAAGTCGTTGCCTCAAGATTGGTTAATTAAGGAACGTATTTTTTGATCAAGACAGCCACATTATGAAGTAATCGCGCATTGTATCTCACACCATCATGATACAAACGAGGATTGACTGGACCATAGAGAACAACCCAACCATGCATGCAACCATTGTCAGCCTTTACCAAGTCTAGAAGGATCGCAGGTCTGATTACCTTCCTAGAATAGTCCCTGCGATTCATTGAGTCAGCTGCCTAGCATTTGTGATTGGACCATTAGAGTCATGGGACAAAAAAGACAGTGACATATTAAATTCGGTCCATATTTAGTAAGAGTAAGGCTATTAGTGAAACAATCTCAGCTCAGGGCTACGCTTCCACTACGTTTGGGTAAAAGTCGAAACAAGCTCGAATCGGTTTCTTGCACTGAACACAAGAGTACTTGAACAAGGAACCCTTAGAATCAATGTCATCCACACAGTCTTTGCATAGAGTATGGCTACAGCTGAAAACATTCCAGCTCTCGTTGAATGTTCTGTGGCATACTACACACTTTAGAATATTGCGCCGCTTTTGTTCGTCGACTTGTCGCTGTAGATATCGAATCTGAAGTTGGAGCTCTCTCTCTTTCTTCTTCCATTCATCCCTTTCTTCCTTCCATTGATGCCTATCCTTCTTCCATCGATGTCTTTCTTGGGCTGATTGTTCGCTTTGCTTTTCTAAGGCTTCATACTGTCCTTGTATTTCATTCATCAATTGCTTCTATTGATTGTCAACCATGATCGAGAAATCTGGACAAGAGTTCCTTACGATTTTAAACGGAAAGCTTGGCGCATCAGAGTCTTCTCTTCCTCGATTACCCAGAGACGATGCCGAGATCGCATGATCCATTGTGGCTTGGTAGTCTCGGTAAGCATAATCGGGATGACGAGTATTTCGACGTCGTGGTCGTGATGTCGTGATGGTTGTGAAAGAAGTGTGCTGCTATCCTCCTCGTCATCACTGATTTCAATGACTGGAATAAGGAGATCTTCCGCTCCACTGGACTCTTCATCAGGCGAAAATCGCTCACTAGATTGTTGCAACGGAGGTAGATCCTCATCGAAGGGAATGGTGGAGGGAGGAGAACCAAGTGATCTTTGTGCAGCAGCTTCAGTAGCCGAGTATTCACCTTCTGCTCCGTGTGTGAAACTTAGGATATGCGAGTCGTTGATCGGGAAATGAGCTGGTTGTTGCTGTCCCTCCATTTTGTCGGATGCGTCAGCGTCGACGAAAAAATTGAGAAGAAGGAATTGTCCTGCTGCGGTGGGAAGTTACCCCAATTTATACTTTTTCTGAGCCAGCAGATATCCAGTGATTCATTATCCCAATGGGGCTGAGCAATTCACCTCATATTAACTCAGGGGTATCATGTGCAACGCTGAAAGTGAAGATGAGATAGTTCACTACAATGCGAAGCGAAGAAACTGGCCTATCAGTTTCTAACAGCCAGGGAATGTGGCTCGATATCACGCAGCATACAGTGAGGTCTGTCCCAAAAATAGAGTATTCACAATGAATCGCCGTCTGACTCGTCCTAACCAGGTAGGAGGATACGTCAAGAGTGGCACAGGGACAGCTCTTATCATGGGTCTTGGTCGATCAGTCGGTGTATTGGTGTATGATATGTTCGGAAGAAAATCGGCGAGTGTCGCACTCAGCCATTCTCATGCCGACTGCCCAATGTGGAAAATGCTCAGGGAGAGCAGCTGCATTATGGTCATTGCAAGGCGTTTTTGACTTTGAAGTGCGTACTGATTGATCACGCATTGAAGAGTATAATATGGCCACGAGACCTCGCAAAGAGATGAAGTAGCTCAAACAAAAACCGAACTCGCAATTCTGCTATCCCGGAGTGGACTTTCTGCGATCGCCCGCATCGTCAATTGACGACGAAGTAACCATATTCTGGAAGCTAGAATCGATCCTTCGCAAGGGGCGCAAATGCGATATCAGAGTTTCATCGGGCGAGATGCAATCATCGGAGGTTCCATCCAATCCTCTACCATCCACGGTCGTGTCTCCGAAGGGTTAGAATCACCAGTAGGAAGCTCTGTCGTTGCTTGATTCGTGGTCGTGCACAGGTGCAGTCTGGCACTGTCTTAGACACCACCGTTGCGTATCAGGCGTGTGAAGGCCAAGCCATCGACTGCGAGATATCTAGAAACATCCGTGTGACTGGCGGCTTTCTTTTCGGTCACCGGAGGTCAAACCACAAACTCATGCCGGATGTAGAATGACTGGCCGTATACTCATGAATTCGATCGTTCAAGGACATGCGTTAATCAATGGAGGACGATCATATCAAGCTAAGGTTGGACATCATCTTGCCAGCTCACATTGCTTTAGCCTGGGCAAAGAACTTCCTCTTCGGACAGTAAGCATATTAAAGATCAAGGCTGCCCGGTCCTCGCTTTATCTCTCCTTTCAAGTCAATTCGGCGTCAGTCATCCACCGGAGGTGATTATTGATCGCATCACCAATCAACTTAAGGGATAGATGGATATCACCATACACCCAATTGTCACGTGGCGCATATTGTGGAATCTGGAAACCGCGGTCCGCTTGAAGAGCTCTGATGTTGACGGCATTTCGCATTCCAGACCAAGACCCTTACAATTCCGCCCAGTCAACCATCACGGTTAGACGGAATAAATCATATTTGCTTTTAGCAAGGCACAGGTGACCCACTTGATACATTTTATTGACAACCCTTAATGAAATAAACGATTGGACACGATTCCTCAATGAATAGACCTTTTCCTCGAATGCAGAATAGTAATCTTGACGTGCAAGGCGATCTTGTTGGCTATTATTTTTGCACTGAGCTAGTCAACTTCATCCTTATCTTCGTTAGTGGTTTGCACTGGTTGGTGAGAAATTTGCAATGCAGGAAATAGGGACGGAAAGGTGCTCGGTAGGCCATTCTGTAATAAAAGGTGAGGACGAATATGAGTTTGGAGCAGGTTGTCACAGATCATAGTTTTGTCGGGACTGTCTATGGTTACCGTTGGATGTAACTGTGGCGCTGATTGATCACTTGCAATATGGGACTGATTCAGAAGGGCCTTTCGCCAGAGTTCTAGGTCTGACAGGGCTCTAATAGTATCGGGATGGGTTTGTCCGAGGGACTTTCCTCGTAGCAGAACACAAGCTTCAAGCAAGGCTAGACCTTCGGCATGGCGACCTTGATCTTTTATAGTGTAAGCCAAACTCCACATACTAGTCAGTGTGTCGGGATGCTCGGGGCCCATCACTGTCTTGCGAATGTCCAGCACTTGCACCTCCAGCTCTTCAGCTTCTTTCCATCTACCTTGACTCCTGTATGTGATTGCGAGGTTGGCCATACTGGTCAGCGTGCCAGGATGTTCAGGCCCAAGCACTATCTTGCGAATATCCATTACTTTCACGTCTAACTCTTCGGCTTCTTTCCATTGGCTCTGATTCCTGTATATGGAAGCAAGGTTGGCCAAACTGGTCAGCGTGTCAGGATGTTGAGGCCCAAGCACTATCTTGCGAATATCCAGCACTTGCACAAATAACTCTTTAGCTTCTTTCCATCGACCCTGATTCCTGTATATAATTGCAAGGTTAGCCATACTGGCCAGTGTGTCGGGATGTTTAGGGCCAAGCACTGTCTTGCGAATGTTCAACACTTGCACAAACAACTCTTCGGCTTCTTTCCATCGACCCTGATTCCTGTATGTGATTGCGAGGTTGGCCATACTGTTAAGTGTGTCGGGATTTTTAGGGCCCAGCACTGTCTTGCGAGTGTCCATTACTTTCCTGTCCAGCTCTTCGGCTTCTTTCCATCGGCCCTGATTACTATATGTAATTGCGAGGTTGGCCATAGTGGTCAGTGTGTCGGGATGCTCAGGTCCCAGCAATGTCTTCCAAGTGTCCACTACTTGCACCTCCAGCTCTTCGGCTTCTTTCCATCGGCCCTGATCTCTGTATGTGGATGCGAGGTTGGCCATACTGGTCAGTGTAGAGGGATGTTCAGGCCCGAGCACTGTCTTGCGAGTGTCCATTACTTTCCTGTCTAGCTCTTCGGCTTCTTTCCATCGGCCCTGACTACTGTATGTACATGCGAGGTTGGCCATAGTGGTCAGTGTGTCGGGATGCTCAGGTCCCAGCAATTTCTTCCAAGTGTCCACTACTTTGACGTCCAGCTCTTCGGCTTCTTTAGACCGACCCTGATTCCTGTATGTGGAAGCGAGGTTGGCCATACTGGCCAGTGTGTCGGGATGTTCAGGCCCAAGCACTATCTTACGCATATCCAGCACTTGCACGAACAACTCTTCAGCTTCGTTCCATCGACTCTGATTCCAAAATGAGGATGCGAGGTCGGCCATACTGGTCAGTGTAGAGGGATGTTCAGGCCCAAGCACTGTCTTGCGAATATTCAATACTTGCACAAACAACTCTTCGGCTTCTTTCCATCGACCCTGATTCCTGTATGTGATTGCGAGGTTGGCCATACTGTTAAGTGTGTCGGGATTTTTAGGGCCCAGCACTGTCTTGCGAGTGTCCATTACTTTCCTGTCCAGCTCTTCGGCTTCTTTCCATCGGCCCTGATTCCTGTATATGGATGCGAGGTCGGCCATGCTGGTCAGTGTAGAGGGATGCTCAGGGCCCAGCACTGTCTTGCGAAAATTCAGCACTTGCACGAACAGCTCTTCGGCTTTGTTCCATCGACCCTGATCTCTGTATGTGGATGCGAGGTTCGCCATACTTTCAAAGATCTCCGGATCTTCTTTTTTTAACCGTTGAGTTCGTCTTTCAAATACCTCTTTGAACGGTGCCTCCGCCTCATTATATCTCCCGTCAGCATAAAGACATTGAGCAACCCTCTGTGACAGGCTCTCTCTTTCTAGGTTATCTTTTGGATATTCCTGGCTTTGGAGAATAAATAGTGCGTGCGGTAAGTACCCCCGCCACAGTATCCGGTTATCGTATTCATCGGAGGGGAAAACCTCACTTAGAAGTTCGCCAGTCTTTATAGTCCAATGCTCTAAAAGCTTTTCACTTCTAAGCCAGCTTCTAGTGGCTAAATGAACAAGTCGGTGCATATTGATAAATCGGCTGTTGGCCATTTCTGTAATGAAAGAATAAGCCTTCAAAAGTCCCATTGCTTTCTGCTGGTCAATCAGCGAGCCCTTCTGCGGAAGAAAAGATAGTGGAATATCCCGGGGGTCAACACATGCTATATGTGATAAATATTCTGCTGCTAACAAGTTTGACCGGCGGATTTGTTCGAAAGATATTAGCCATGTAGCTGCCACCGGGTTCTGGATATCTTCATATCGATAGTCGTCCTCAAAATCCTGGCTCAGCAACTCCACTTTAATACTTTCTTGCTCATTCAGTAGCATCACGTATTCATTCAGGGTAATTGAGTTTTGATTAATATAACTCGTCGCTTGTATAAGCGCTAGAGGGAGACCACCGAGCTGGTGTATAAGTGTTATGGTAGATGTGTCGTCCTTCATCAGATTCTCTTCAACAAGTGAAGCTCGAAGTAGATCTATTGCTAACTTGTCATTGAGTTCAGGAATTTTGATAATGTCTCGTCCCACCAGACTATTTGCAAGTTGTTGATTTCGTGTTGTGAAGACAGTAAATCCATTTTGACTCCGGGGAAGAAATGTTTTTAGTGCAGGAACTGGGCCTTTTGCGGACATCCATATTTCCGCATCATCTGCATTATCGATGATCAGCAGCCACGGGCCAGCCCTCTCAGAACTTAAATAGGCCTTCACCTGTGATTTGTCATCGCCTGATATTACATTCTGCAATTTCAAAGTGTCACTTATATCCACGAATGACTTTTCCACGGCCTCCATATTGGTTGATCGAATCCAGAAGATAGACCGGTTCGGATCTCGATCGCGAATACGATACGCCAACTCGAGTGCGATCTGTGTCTTTCCAATCCCTCCCAACCCCGCAATTGCTGCTTTTCGAGTACGATTTTCAGGTAAGATTAAATTTTCTAGCCGACCAATTTCGCTCTCTCTTCCTAGAAACTGTGGGTTCTGATCAAATGGTACCATCCAGAAAGCCTGCGGCAGCGCCTCACTTTTTGGGGTCTGGGTCACCGGTAGCACAGAGAGCAGTAGCTTGGCATAAGCAGCAGCAGCAAGAGCAGCATAGCCTTGCCACTGTTTGTTTTTGTGCGAATCACAATAGTCACAGATCCCACGGATCACAAGGCAGGGGAGATTATTCATAATTCCTGCTGCTTCCATCTCAAAGCACAAAGCATTTAGCCTCCTTGCAATCCGGTCTCGGGTATGGCCATCTTTCATCACTTGATTGCCGGAAGCGATGATTCCGTAATGAATTTGAGGCTCTCTGGATACTCTTAATGTCCGGGAGATCTGTTTATCAGCATCACATGCGATACAAGATGGATTGCCTTCCAGATGCTCATATGTCGCTTCAAAAAGGCGGTCTTCTCCCTGAGGTCGTGAAAATGAAGCCTCCATGTCTGGGTTCTGACTCAACACATGCGAGATTGACTTTGAAATAGCATCACTTCTTCTCATCATTTCACTCGCTTCGAGTTGCGCGATTGCAGTTAATAGGATGGTCGGTGGCTGGTTCAATGTTCCCGTTTGCTGGAAGTATCCTCCGCTGATGGTTTTGCCAAGATCATATTGGGCAACACCACTAGATATACCAGTGGGCTTGCTAACCACCACGTCACCTAGACGAATGTCTGCTGTTTTGCTCGGCACGCCACCTCCAATCCCGACCATAAGCCCACATCGAATATTTGGGAAGGTTGATTGTATATAAGAGACAATTGCGGCTGCTGATGTTGTGCCAGGAACTCCAGAGGGTAGGCAGGCTAGCACTGTATTATGACCCTTGATTCTCCCCAATGTGTAGCTACACTGGGTGGAAGATGATGGAAGCTGGGTATGGATTTCATCGAGCATCGCTTTCGCGGCGGTTAGCTCCAGTGGTAGTGCACAGACCATTGCTAGAGCGTAGTCCGCATGTGAAATATCCTCTTTGGTCATTGTAAATTTATCTTATTCATATATGCAAGGTGCTCTCTGTGCGATCAATGCTAATTGAAAAAATGAGGGGTAAAGCTGACCAGAGCCTTTATTTCAGTAAACTCAGACGCTCAATGGAACGTCCCAACTGCTGATTCTGCCGGGCGGTTTGGTCCCGGTCCGGGAAAATCTTGGCTCCGAGCGTAGCGAGGTTTCCAGAGCGAATTGTCCGCAGGAGAACTCGCTTCGCGAATGGATCAGCCAATCAGGTAGCTTGTGCAAGGCGGAACGCCTCTGATTGGCCATCCGTTCCCTCAGCGAATTTCTTCACGCGAGTATGCTGAGATAACAAGGCCTGTAGTATGATACTACATAAGCAACCCATTGTGGAATACACTAACAGGCATTCTTTTACACGTTATATAACTCATTGGCAACCTGACATGAAGGCCGTCCATGCAGCAATCAAATATGCGATTGCAACGGGAAGACTGGTACCAGAATCTGAATCCGAATTTCAATCAACACAGTGAAAACGAAGTAGTCCTACCCCTTTTTCCCTCCCACCCCTTCCCTTCCTAGATAGACCCTGCTGCAGCCGACGAAGATAGGACACTGCACACTTGGAGAAGATAACCTTTAAGAGTGTCTACCAGCCAAAATATCAAACAAGGGAACCTCTAACACACCAACCTAAGTATCCAAACATCATGCATACATGTACGAGAACAAAACATGGGCTATTGCGAGTTCAAGCTGGACTGTTGAGAAGGGTTATGTAATTAGCGCACTAGTGCCCTATAGGGTTAGTCCCTCCGGGCGTAATAAATCATCATCATCATCATCATCATCATCATTTTTTCTTGGGAACGGATGAACGTGGAGAGGGGAGCAATCTTTCTTATTATCGAAATACGATCCGCGTGAATAAAGGAGAGATTCCTGGGTAGCTGGGTTGAAGACGAAGAGGGCCGGAGGCGAGATGGAGGAAGATCCGGCTATAACGACGCGTGTAGGACGCATCGTAGTGCCATCAACTAGAGCTCGAGAAGCTCTGGAAGGTGCTGACAGCACCGACGCCACCACTACAACTAGGAAGACGACATCAAAAGCAAAGCCAACTGCAATGAGAAAGGCTGCAAGCCAGATTGAGGAGAGACAGTGCGCCCAGGACAAAAACCAAGCAATGCTTAGAAAGATATATCAGTACTTGGAGGGTACCTATCGGGAGGTCAAAAGTTTAAAAGAAATGCTTAGTAAACAGGAAAAAATTATCTAGGAACAAAATGACATAATTAAGGGACTGTAGGCCTAAATGGAAGCAATCCAAAGCCAATCTGCGGAAGACTGCAAGCAACTCCGGGAGCAGCTGGATACTATCACGAAGACGCCAGTCAATGCAGCTCCCATGCAGATCAAATCATAGCTGTCATTCGCAGATATAACCAACAGCCAATCTAGTCACCAGCAGGGTACACACCTAGGCCCACTAGTGCCTCCTACATTGGCTAATACACTATTTTGCATAATTGACACGTCTCGTGTTAGAGAAGAAGACAAAGCCAAGACGCAGATAGCTAACATCAGACAATAATTGAAAAAGAAATATAGGAAAATGAAGGAATGGAGACCTGGCGCTGTGTAGTAGTGATTAAGGATCTAAAGAATGCTGACTGAGTTAAAATTATTTGCAGATAGAAGGATAAGATCCTATATGTTAAAGAGGCTGCTCAAAAGTTGAATATACTAGGATAGAGAGTATTATAAGACCAGCTCTATCCAGTCAAAATCAACAATGCTAACTAGATAGCGATCCTGGGTATGGATGGTAATGTCCTACCAGGAGTAACCGAGGCCCTAGGAAAAGAGAATCATGTCGATATTGCTAAGATAACATGGCTTAGCAAGAGGGACTCTCATAAAGCGTATAGATCTATGGTGGTACTCTTCACTGGCCGAGATTTGCTCACTCGGTAATTATCTTGGAGGTGAACCCTCATCAAAGGGAATGGTGGAGGGAAGAGAGTCAGGCATAATCTATATGATGGCTTTAGTAGTAAACTCTTCATCTTCTGTTCCATATATAAAACCTAGGAGATTCAAGTCATTAATCTGAATAGGGACATGTTATTGCTGTGTCTCCATTTTAATAGATGTGTAAGCATCAGACAAAAGAATCAAGAAGATAGAATCGTTCTACTGCACCAGGAAGTTACAGCAATTTATATCTTCTCTAAACTAAAATCTATCAATTAATACTTACTATTTAGGGGCTGAGTAATCCAGTTCTTATTATCTTAGGGGCATTAGGTACAATGCTGGCAGTGAAGTGGAGATGAGTGAGCTTTTACCATAGTGCGATGCAAAGCACCTAATCTTGTATCTCCAATCAAATACTGGAACTGGCCACATATCATGTAGCACCATGGTATAGTGTATCTCTAAAATAGAACATTCATGACTATCAAGTTGCACTCTAGCTTATCCTAATTAAGTAAAAGGGTCTATCATGCGTGGCACTATGATATCTCTGACTATATTTCTTTGTTGACCAGTCGATATATTAGTATAGCATACAATATATCTAACTAAAAACTAGCAGGTGTCGCACCTAGCCATGCTTCTTTCTGACGCTTAATATCTTAAAGTGGAAAATACTCCAGAGTAGCAGTAGTATTTTAATTATTGCAAGGCGTTCTCGCCTTATTGATTATACCTTGAGAAGTATAATATAGCTAGGATGTCTTATAGATAGATCTAGGAGTTTAAACAAGTAACCATGAAACTAGCTTCACAATCATAGTATTCTAGAGTGTATACTTTCTAGGGGCCATCGCTACATTATTAATTGACAACAGAGTAATCATATCTCCCGCAATGGACGCAAATCCGAAATCGAAGTTATCAGACGGGACATTATTATTGAAGGAGATCCTACTCTCTGGAGAGCGAATTGAGGACTCCGAGGTTGAAGTCTTTAGGAGCACACTGATGGGAAGCTTAATTGCGTGATTCGTGGTCATGCATAGGAGCAATCATTGTGGCTGGTTCCTTCATCAATAATTAGGCACATACAATTGTGTATGTTCCCTAAGTAGGCAGAATCTGCTTCAAAGTGATCCTTAAATTCTTAAATAGCTTGTTATGAGCTGACCTCATGTCGATATGGTTCGGGTGAAGCCCTCACTAGAAAATCTGTATCGTTTTTATTCGCTTCTGCGCCCAGTACGCTGGAGCGCAACCTGGGAGCTCGAAGTCATTCCCAGATGCCCAAGGTTCATTCCTATTAACTGATCTGCCCCTTAACAGGACTTCATGTCTTGGCACTCATGTGGTGTCTATGATTATACGGATATCCGGCGCCGAACCCAGCCCAGCATGAGCGTTCCTCTTTCCTATATAAACTTGTATGAACGACGAAATCTTGTGTCCTTTTCTCTTTCTCTCCTCATGTTGTGTTTTCTATTCAAGTATGCCCTTATAGTGAGCGTTAGGCGGGACTAGCCCGTAACATAGCTTCTAGTCCATGCTCAAAGCATACTAGAATAACCTAATAGTGAGTCACTACCACCAACCTGCCTCGCTGTGTGCTTCTGCTTAATCCATGATTGATTATATCGTTGCAGACGCAGTTTAGTTCTGGCATCCTAGGATGCCAAAGTACTTAATAGTCCGACTATATAAAGGCCTCTGCCCGCATATTTATTCTTTTTCCTTTTACTTTTTCTCAACCACCAAAAGAAACCTAGGGGCATTAAACAAGAGGTATAGTGCCCAGTATCACTATGAGAGACGCATACTAATTATAGAGAGTGTGAAGGCGCCAAGGAAATGGATTGAAGCTATCGAACTACAAGACCATACCCGTACAAATCGACAAGAATAACAAGCGTGAGAGAAAAAGAAGAGGAAAAACAGTTCTCCAGCTGCTCGACAGCCATATAGGTGGGCGAGCTTCTTTGTTTCCCAATACGGCACCGATAGGGCTACGGAACCCTATGTTGGCCGAATATGGCAACCGTCAAGGCGCCAAGCCGGAGCGGCCCGTCACAGAGAGTGCTAGTTTTGTGACCTTGTCCATTAATTCTATTAAGTAGTCCCAGCAGTTGTTCAGCCACTACTATAGTTGTTGGTTTAGCCGGGTCCTGGATCACGAAGCACAGGATTGCGGCAAGGGCAGTCCAACTGCCCTACGTGGTGAGTCTGGTAATATTGAAGTTATTCCTAATATTACGACTGGTTCCCAAAAGGGAGGAGAAGGATAATTACATGAGTAAAGGGGATATCCCAGGTAGTCGGAACGGAATAACTAATATTCCGGTGTTGATACTCAACACCTGGGGATTCCCGTACACACAATAGTAATGCAAGTAAACATAATAAGCTATAAATTGCCAACTCAACAATCTATCTTAGAGTCATCTCGCCACTTATTCTTAAAACACAAATACAAACAAGATGGGAGTCCTTTAATCCAGCCCACTTCAAAGAAGCGATGCACAATGCCATCAAGAAGTTATCCAGACAAATCAATCCCCTTAATAGAGAATAGATAGTAACTCCTAATAAGATATTACTATTAAGGAGAACGACCTAAATTGTGAATGGTGTTCAACTCCTATATTTATCCATGAAGGCGTATTCATTGGTTTTTGGTATGCAGATTAGAGTGGAAATGGGAGGCGACCAGTATATTGCTTAGTCAACAGAGATTTCGAATTTACATATCTTAAAGGGAAAACATTCATCCTTGTACGATACGACGATTTTGATCCCCTAGATAAATTTGGTGACTGGCTGGACGACGATACCGAAGACGAGGACGCCATGAGCCCAGAAGACATAAAAGAGTGGGTGCAAATGATATGGGAGATCAGAGACTATGCCGGAATCCAGGACATGAAACTTGGGGATTGACTGATTTCGATAATCAAGGCATGTAAGATAGTGACTAGAAAGAGCCAGATCTTTCCGTCGTACAGTTCTAGTGATAAGAATTCTGGATTTAGTGAAATGTAGGCTAGATCGACCGCCTTAGCGACATTAATAATAGACAACATTTAAATATGGAGAGTACCTCATTGGATCGGTCTAAGTGCTGTAGATCGCAGAAACTCCATCCACGTCGACCTTCTCATATGAAATGCTATCTCATATTGGATAATATACGGTAGCTCATATAGGATGCCATGGTTTAACTATTGCATGCGGGCCGTTTTCCGTGTGGGCTCCAAGCCCCTACGTGCTGTCATGGTTTGACCTTCGCATATGGGCTGTTGTCCCATACGGGCTCCTACGTGTGGCAACTATCCTATAGGGTGAGATACACTCTATGGGCTGCTATAGTTTTTCTATTTCATGCAGGCTACTACCCTAGGAGTTTGGAGCCCCCATGGGAAAAGAGCCCGCATGCAATAGTTAAACTGTGCTAACCCATGTAAAATCGTATCCCATATGGGGAGATATACCCCATAAGTTACCATGGTTTAGCCATTGCATGCGGGCTATTGTCCCATATAGGATCTAATCCCCTAGGGTAGTAGCTAGCTATCCCCCGTCCCCCTTACTCTTGGGGGGGCAGTCATCAATATCAGGAATTCTATACCATATTGATCAGGCTCGTCAGCTTGTCGGAATAGCTGTTCTACGTGACTAGTGCTAGCGACCTAGACGTAGATAAACCGACAATAAGAAGCGCGCGGAGCGAAGAATTGATGGGGTTGACCGAATGACCCGTGTAGTACGTTATGGTTGGACGGCACCCATGGGCGTGTTGACAAATTAGGATTAGCGTTTCTGAGTTCATGAATGATGACTCACCCAAGCGAACAATATGGTAGGTCAAAGGTCTGTGGTTTCCTTCTATAAGATTTACCTGATAGAGGGTGAGATACGTTCCTGTGGGTGCCAAAGCCATATTTGGACTCTGTGTGGATGAGAAATTCTCACGTAAGAGAAATTATCGCATAAGAGGGATTATTGCATGAGAGCCCCAGGTGGTATTGAGCTCCGGGCGCGGTGCAATACAGTTTGCAGATTGAAGATGGGATACAGTAGTAGTATATTGATTTGGTAAGATGAATACAGTAATCCGACCCGATTCGGAGCTACTAGACTTCTCGTCAATACATCCATAACAGTAAAGCTCAATGCTCAATATATGACCGAGCAATGGAAATACGTATCTCCCTGAACGGGACCCACCATGTTTCCTTCCGTCCGTCCATACAATGAGCCTGGTTTATCTCCGCCGAAATAACCCTCGGGTCACGGATCTGATAAGACTCAAGGCGAAAACCGGATCAGATAATTTTTCGGCATCGATCGCTATTGGTTGACTCATCAATCGGCTCCTAGGACGAAGGGAGCTATAGACTCGGATAATACATATAGGTGTAAATGCCGCCATACCACACGCTGCTATAGTCTAAGTATGAGTCAAGACTCAAAAGCATAGACGCTGGTTAGATAGCTATGACCTCGGTATGAGCTAGGAACCCAATTCTTTTTAGTTACTCTCTGGTCATCTTCAAAGTGCTCTAGCCCGCTACTCTATTATTATAATAAAATAGTTTCCTTTTGCTATTAGAAGTCTTCCCCGAGTAGCTGACTACGTCTTCCAGAAGTTAATACTTACAATGTCCGCCTAGTATATAGTCTGCTTCTCCTAATGGCTGTTAAGATTTATCCAGGGCCGGTTCCCAGGTCTCGTCCAAGAATGGCACTGCCCCCAATCTTTTCCAGCATTCCCTGGACTTTAGCGCAATTTCCTTTGACTTGGTTCTCAGAATTATGTCCCTAGCGCCGTCTGTAACGTAGATAATATTTTTGTCCTTGAACTTGTCAGCCACTAGCACTTTACGAGACGTCGTCAATCTAACTTACCAATCCCAGTGTCAACTCTATGCCGCCTTCAACCACCATATTTGGTTGGTACTTGACGGGATATCGGCCTTGAATTGCGCAAAGAATGTTGTTACTCACAACTTCTGCCTGTAATGTGGCGGAATGACCATTTTTGGGGCAAGGATACTCAATAACATCACCAGCGGCGTAGATGTTGTTGAATCGATTGTCCGCAATCTGCAATGTCGATTTCACCTTCACATGGCCGCCCGAGGGAGAGACTATGTGGGGACAAAGTTTGGCGATGATATCCGATGCAGCCTTCTGACCAGTGCATCGAACCTTGGGACATGTAAGCCTAGAACAGGATGTGATTGAGGGCTACATACTAAAAAATCGCAAGGAATTGCTGTCCCCGATCCCAATACCACAACCCCCTCATTCTCGACGTGATTTTTGATCCGTTCGCCTAGAGTTACGCGTACTCCCATCTCTTCCAAGGCTTCGAGCGCAGCGTCATGAAGCTTTTTTCCAAATTTGTTCAGCAGTGTCTTCCGCGAATGCACTAACGTCACATTTTTTTGAGGGTGGACAGTTTTGGCATCAGCTGCAAGTTCGATCCCAGCAGCTCCCCCCCCAACCACTACTAGATCCTTCGCATCCCGGATGTCACTCTGTAAGGTCTGCAGGGCCTTGATCCCGTCGCTTTTTTCATTCACGTCAAACCTAGAGGGAGGACCTGCGTGGGAGCCCGTTGCAAGGACCAGGAACTCGTAGTTCAGCATGACTCCGCTTTGTAGTGAGATGGTGCTCGGACCAATCTCCAAGACAGTATCCTGTATCATTCGCCAGCTCCCTTTGGGTGCCTCTTTGAAGTATGGCCCATAGGGAATGAAGGCCTTGTGTTCATGTCCACCGACTACCGAAAATCGTGGAAACACCCAGGTAAAATGGAAATGCGAGCTTCTCTCGATCAAAACGACTTGGTAACCGGTCGGCAAAGAGTTAGCCAGTAGCTTTGCGGCGTGGTAGCCCGCGAAAGAAGCTCCAATAATCACAACGTTCTTAGGGGAATCCACAGGGTCATAGCGGTAACGATGAATTGCAAAGGCAACTTTTTGTTTGATGGTATCTCGTATAATAACGAGGACCGCCTTCACGAACTGAAAAGCAATGATTGCAGTATCAACCAATTTGCTGCTGTAGGTTATAGTCATTGTATCCGTACCCTAAAATGTGCTGCTTTCTGTGACTGATTGATGCTATAGCTCAGCTCATTATCTAAGTATTCTCACGTAAAAGGGTGTCCGGACTTCGACAGAGTTTTCGTTGGTGATATTTCCAAGCTAAATATCCCTCTAGTAATTCTACAGCAGTAGAGGCAATGCATATATTATATTGTCCTGACCCTTGGACCGGATGCACAAAGAATCTCTCCGAAACCTGACGGTGTATTACCCTCGGATCACGGATCTGATAAGGCCCGAGGTCGGATCAGGTAATCTAAGATTACTGTGTCCCCTATTTTCGGTTTTGGACAGGGGAGGGGGTTCCGTCAAATCGGAGCAATGCTAACGATCGCAAAGTTTTCTAGAGCGCCAACTCTCAATAATTTAGTGAGGCTTTTCTATAGCTACAAAATGCTACACGTTTTGGGTCACAGTCATCAGGCCTGTATTGCCCACTTGACTGTCTAGAGTATACTCGCAGTAAGGTGGAACTAGGTCTGTCCATACAATGAGCTTACTTTATCTTTGCCGTAGCGCTGCCAGCAGTGTGGATCGGAGATAACTTGTTCGACTACATAGTATTATTTGCTTGTGGCATACAAGAAAGCAACCCCTGGCCCATTTTATACTTGAAGAATCTTCGATATTCTGGTTTCCCTCATATTCAACAGACAAGTATCACTGCAGGTATGTTACTCATTTCACTACGTATGAGTACCACACTACTACTATCAGTATTCTAGGACGGGCTGAACTTCTGCAGGGATAACCAGCTGTCGCTTGTGGTTTGAGCCGCCCCTGTCCAAAGCCGAAAAGCGGGGACTCGGTAACCTTAAATTATCTGATCCGAGCTCGGGCCTTATCAGATCCGTGATCCACGAGGTTATACTGTTCTGTGAGGAAGAGGTGAAATCCGGTTTTCACCGCAGTTCTAATTCATTGAAGATTGTCCTACCCAGTAGAAAGTCCACTTTACAATTCATCGTTATCGCTATGACCCGGTGGGTTCCCCAGGCTTAATTTGCAAGACAAAAACTTTGGTGTCTTACCTGGCCCCACTGCATGCAGCACTCCGTCCATACAATGAGCTTATTCTATCTCTGCCGCCGCAGATAACCATGGGGTGGCGAAGATTAGATCACATAATTTTCCTTCGCATTCGTCGGATTTCAGAACAGAGAGAGCTAGGGGCTTAGATAAACTATCCATAGGATGGAATTCTCGCAGCAGAGGATTACAGATATTATTCCCCCCAACTATGAAGATACTATTGATAATTTTGGTAATCCACAAAACGTGTTTCTGAGGTCAGAAACGTACAGAAGACAAGGTAAAACCCTGGGAAATCCTGTTCAAAACAGCGATCCTAGCACAACTATACAGGTAATCTGATTAATTAACTCTTCCGCGTTGCCTATATTTACCACCACCGCTATGCAATGAATGCATCCCTAATCCGCCCAACACGTACCAATCCACACCATTTCCCGAAGCCTTTAGTCCTTCTTTTTCTCTATTTAGACACAGCTCCCAAATTTTTGTTTTCTGAACCCTCGTCACCATTACATAGTCCTTGCAGGTATCTTCATCCTAAGTGACTCTTAATAAAACCTCTTGAATTTTATCTCTCGCACGTTTTTTATAAGCAGAAGTCGTTTCTGAGAGTCAAGTTACGATTGCGGCTGTGCCTTCAAAACTTTGCTCAGCTTCCATGGCAGAAAAAACTGAAGTGCAGGAATACGAGTAGGTTGCATCTATCTATCCCAAGTGCTCTATCTTTCACAGACCGGACCTGTGCTCCAACCTTCTGATAATAAGACCAGATTTTGATAATTTATAGGTATGAAGCTCTTCCTTCAAATTATGGCCTCGGCCACAACATGCTCGCCGGTGCTATCGCCGGCATAGCTGTACGTTTTTGTTGGCACTATTTTCATTCTCCTATTGCTTGGCTTATAAAAGGCTGTGGAACCTCCGTACTGACTGATAGTTGTTTGCAATAAATAGGAGCACTCGGTCATGTACCCTGTCGATTTACTGAAGGTATGGAGCATGACCACTTAGTATAAATGCTTTTAGCCTTTTCCGGCATTATTTACAAGACTGTGGCTGCAGACTCGAATGCAGATTTTACAGTCGACCATTAGTGGCCCATATTCAGGTATCACAAACGCGCTATCTAACATTTATCGCATTGAAGGATGGCGAACACTGTGGAAGGGCGTATCAAGTGTGATAGTGGGTGCTGGTATGAGAATCTAGCTCTACTCTTTTTTTTCTTTATTTTTGGTTTGGAACGCGGATTACTAGAAATGATAATTAAACGAATTCAGGTCCTGCGCACGCGATCTATTTTGGAACATACGAAGTCGTTAAGGAGCTCGTTGGTGGTAATGTTGATGACGGGCATCACCCTTTCGCTGCTGGTAAGCATATGTTCTATATATTGCCTAGCTAGGAGGTATCTAAGCTAAATTCTCTTAAGCCCTGAGTGGAGCAAGTGCGACGATTGCCAGCGATGTCCTCATGAATCCATTCGATGGTAGATTTTTCAGCCCAAAACAATTACGCATTTAATTCTAACTTTCCCAGTTATCAAGCAGCGCATGCAGGTCTATGGCTCCATATATAAGAACATCGTGCAATGCGCTAGGACAGTGTACCAGACGGAAGATCTCCAGGTCTTCTACGTCTCATTACCCACCACACTCTGCATGACCGTTCCGTTCACCGCAACTCAATTCGTGACGTACGAGTCAGTATCCAAAATCATGAACCCGAAGAATGAATACGATCCCTTCACCCACTGCATTGCTGGAGGCCTCGCTGGTGCCGTCGTGGCTGCGTTCACCACCCCTCTCGACGTGATTAAGACTCTGCTTCAAACCCGAGGTTTGGCGGCTGACCAGGAGATACGCAGCGCCGCCGGTCTTTTCAAGGCTACGGCTATTATCAAGCATCAGTTTGGATGGCAGGGTTACTTCCGTGGCATGCGACCTCGCATCGTCTCTACCATGCCCAGCACTGCGATTTGTTGGTGAGCTACTCCATATTTTTCTCAAAAGTCGCATCATATTGACAATTCTTAAGGACTTCCTATGAAATGGCTAAAGCATATTTCTTGCGGTACGGATTTTAGTAGGCCTCGAGATGGTCTGACTCAGGTTCCAAGATCTAGGACCACGAGTCGGACCTCATGGAGTAGAATTAGTTCTAAAATTATTTGCGATTGAAACTAAGAATCTGACCTGTTCTTGGGATCGGGGAAACTTCCCACGAACTCAAGATTGATCTTTACAACCGGACCATTCTTAGGACTCAGCGCATCATTCTTAGCAGTGCTCCGCTCTATCCTGTAAATACAGTCTCTGTTCTCAAAAATGGTGTTTAAGTTCTCAAGACGCAATTGATCACAAGCTGAGAAGCACTCTCCTATATAACTAAGTGTAAACTAATCGTCACACCATATTGCTATTGACTCAAGACTCTAAAGCCATTCACCACAAAAATGTAAGACCTCCTTCTACAAAAGTGAGAATGTGCATGCTTTTCATCGCAATGGGACACCTGGAGGAATTGGATGGAAATCACGCGTGATAGAGCGGGTCATAGGTCAAAAATCAAATAATTCGAGCAAGGCCCGGAGAAAGACTGTGAACCTGGTGCAAAAAAAACCCTTCATGTGTTGTTTGATCGAAGCTCGAAAGCACCTTGTTGAAATCAAATTTTTGACCTGCAAACAGAACCTTTTCACCCGCTAATTCTCATGAATGCATCCAGTAACAAACACTATTTAAACGGCTGTTCACTGCTTTCTATTGCACGTATAACTGACCTCTCCGAATTCATTGGCAAACCATGGTGGATACTATTGGAGATGTTTGTCAGAAGAAGTAGCTGCATAAACCTCAAATCTCTCAAGCTTCGTTGCAGAAAAACAAAAACGACAACAGCGGAATCGGCGTGGCAACACACTCATAAAAAAAGCATACGAACTTAGCAATGTAGCTGATGCCGATGTCTTCCTTGGTATCCGATTTCGAGATGGTCGAGTCAAGACATTTTGTGCAGATAAGACGAGCTTTTGATCTTCAAAGATGTCGCATCTGTTACTATATTCTGTTGCTAACTGAATCTTCGGAGCTAACCACTGGAATAGGATTCATATTATCCCATCCCTCTACGGAAAACGCCGAGTGACTTTGTTTCCAAAAAAAGACAGGAGAGGATATGAAAGTTACCAGTCAAGGAGCAGAGACAACGACGAGAATAGTAATGGTTGTAAATAGATCTAGCAGTGGTCCATGCACCTAGCCCAAATCTAATTATCTTCATCGTAATCATTGGCTACAAATGTTTCAGAAGGCCTCACTAGCACCGTAAACAACCGATGACAGAATAGGATTCACGCTAAATAATGAGTAATAAGAAACACGCCCTCAGAACCTAACAAGCTTTTGTACGGAGTAGTCTTGTCATACCTCTTGGCCGCTTACATTATTCCAGGCCGCACGTGGTCATGTGGTATCTCATATTTGGACACGCTTCAATAGCTGGTCACATGCTAGTTTAGTAACAGTTTGGCGTGTATAAACCCCTTGGCCGCATGATCCTGCCAGAGGCATTTCTTGGCCATGTCCGTCCGTGGAAAGACTCGCAATTTAGCGGCATTGATGTGATCTATCTCATCCTATACAGTCAGGTCACTGAACAGAGCTTAGAATATATCTTATAGAAATCATATCTCTGTTGTCGGAGCAGTGCTTGTCTCTGTTAATTTGAGGTTTATCGTACAGCCCATGAAGTCCCTCGTTGCTGACGCCTTGTCGGAGGAACATTTGAATTTTGAAGTGCAAGGCAATGGACTAAGACACAGCTAAGGAAAAGAATACATTTCTTCCCAAATGATCCGAAAGGAAACAAAAACAAAAATTAAAAGCGTTTCTAAAGTCTGGACGTCTCTCTATCTCTCACCTTCCGTTCTTAGACAGATAGATTTCCTGAAGAAAACCACAGGGCCCAGATCCAATACGAGGAACTTAGCGCTGGTCTATACCAGCTGAGTAATCAATTTAATTGAATAAACCAATCAAAAGCTCGGAACCACTAATAGTACCACTTATTGGTCCAGTTAAATTGCGCGTAGTTCCGTACAGCGCAATCCTCTGTCGACTTGGTATATTGAATAAGCCGTTTTTATTGGCTCAGTAAATTAGCCTAAACAGCCCCATAAGTACTAGCTGCTTAGCGCGAGTTTACCAAAATAAGCTCCATGTCGGGGATCTCCCGTGATTGATTTGCGTGAGGTCGAAACCTAAACAGGAAGCCAAGACCAAAACGGGAAGTTCAGCTGGCAGTTGGAAACCAAATGGGGAAGCCAGATGAGATCTATCAACCAATCAGAGCGAGCCACACACTTAGGAGAGGAATCCACTGAATAGGGGCTAAAAGACATCTCCCACCTTGACTGTACTGAGAACAACAAGAATGAGAACAAGGATCAAGCATTCCATACTTTGGCATACATAATTTGATACGTTGAGATATACCGCTTGAGATTGTTACGTACAATCCAACAAGACACCCCCCACCCGCCCTCTCCTAAAAACCATAAAAAGAAGCCTAAACAAGATGTTTGTCTCACCCAAGCTTAACGTCGATATCGAGGGCTCTGGGCCTAGTTTTTTATGGCCTAGCTAGTGGCAAATCTTATTCTACGCATTTTCCTAATCCATAAGCCTTAGTAAGGGGAATCAGTCATTACTAAACGTTCTTAAGCCTAAAGCTCCATAGTTGAGGGGGCGTAGTGACCAAATCCCCTACCAATAGAGGGCATCTAGTTTGGAAGGAGTGATTGTTTCAGAGGGTACTCACGGCTTCCGATGGAGAGGTAAAGTTCCAAATGGGTGAACCACCATGCCATCGGACCCGCAAATACGATGTTTCTTGCTACTATAAGTATCAAAGCTAATATGGCAAACGGCCTGATGAAAGATGAGTTTAATTCGGAGCATAAAAAACAAGGACTACATGTACATGGCAAAGAGAGCTACAGAGGAAGCTTTGGTGTTACATACAAGATATTCAAAATTCAGATCCACTCAATGTCTACGGCATTATTAAAAATGAGGATTTTGTTTTCCGATTCTGAGGCTTTTTTGTAGAGCGGAAAGTGGACCGGCGACCTTAACTGCTTGTAGCCAGAGGTTAATGCACATCGGTTTTTAAGTTGGAGCCAGCAGACCGTTGTACTTAATTTCTGCTGATTCGGCCCGGCCCAGGCCGATGCAAAAAACAAATACAAGGCTTGGCATTTTATGTATAGAGTATTTGTCCAAAAACCTGTAAAAGATTGTACCACGGTGTACTTTTCGAGGCCGAATAATCATGAATGGCTCCGAGTGCCTAGAGATGTTTACCCAGCCTGTTAACCGTCACTTTGGGTTGGATTAGCTGTTGTTTCTATATATCCCAAAGGGCTGGCCATCCCGATGTCCTTCCGTTTATCCGTGTCAACGGCATACAACTTAGTAAGAGGAACACTAGAAAGGTTAAAAATAGGATGTCCTCAGCAGGTAGTCAAAAAGTTAAACAGTAGGTTCATCTGAGGAAATGCTTGCTGACTATAGTTTGTTTGAGCAGATAATTGCTGACAATACTTGAGCCAGCTATCCATTTGATAATCAACTGGTGGCATCATCGGAGGCTGGAACATGACAAACAATTACTAAGGCCAAGCAGATGTTTCGTTTGGTCGAGTACGGAGTAGAGCGGTGAGAGTCAATAGAATATAGCTTCGCCGAAATTAATAGAGGAGCTCTAACTATGGATCGGAAACTTTATGGAGAAATGGGACCATGACACATCATGGGGATCTCATATGATGTTAATCTAAGCTTCAAGCAGTATACTAACCAAGATGAAGTCATAGATATCCCGACTATGGGCTAGTTGAATGCGACGCCAGTATTTCCACCATACTAGGAACTGTTATGTTGCTTATTGGTTAGCTGACCAACAGAATGGGTGCTTGCTAGCTTCAATATCGGCAATTTTAGGATAGACATGAATCAGTCTGCCTATAAATACGTCTAGGTCCTCCCTCCTCTTCACTTGGGACATCAACTCCAATCTACAGTTGTCTTCGAACAATTTCTTTGCAAAGAAGAACTCTTCTCTCTCAATCTTCGGCACGATGCGTTTCTTGAACTCTCTTAACTACCTTCTCTCGGGCCTTGCAGTGCTCCAAGGCTCCGAAGCGGCAATCGTCAGTTCTAGTGGCACCAGAATGGCCGTAGTGATCGGAACAAAGTTTACACAGGCAGCTCTCAATTCGCTCCACCAAGCCGGAGTGACTAATATCCCACTCGATCTTGCCGGATCGGTGCACGACGATCTTTTTGCGAAGTTTGGATGGGGTGCCATGGGAGCCGGCGCGTTGGCAGATGTGCGCTATACTGAACGGGCTTTGCAGGCTACTGCCCAGGGCTTTTTCTCCATCATTTGGGACTTTGGTAGCGCCCAAGGCGCCGCCGAAGCAGTTAATCAGATCCGGGAGTACGCTGAAAACACCTACAAGCGTAGTGATGAGGAAGATGAAGACTTGTTCGCCATCACCGGCCTTCGCTTTGGCGATCTCCCGTCTTCGGCCTTCCCTCCTGAGGGAGCAGTTGCCGAGAATTCGGCCCTGGCTAAGCGAGCCAACACCGTGTGCTTCAATCGTTCTGGTTACTCTTTCACGCGGAACGTCTTTGACGCCACCGATCCCACCGCCAACACGAACTTCAACCAATGCGAGTCATGCCAGGGCGGTACCCGGAACGGCTGTTAATCAATCCAAGGACATTGAACGGACTTTGAGAAACGCCAAGTTGCAAGGCTCTTGCCTGATTGACTACCCTTTTGTTTTCCAATTAGCACGAATATATTTTGTACGGCGATATAGATGAAGAATAAGAGCAGCTGCGTAAAGAGGGGATTCATCTGTTTTGCTATAGTATTTGTCAAATGTGTCCTATCCTTTTTGAATCCTCAAGGAGAACTCCTTGTCGGCAATAAAATTCGACTATTATAGAAGTATTAGTGAGCATCAAGAATATAAACTATAAGATAAACTTACAAGAGAATTTTCAAAGTTTATCGTGCAGTTGGAAAATGAAAATACGTTATACGAAGAATAGTTGAGACTATTCCATACCATACTAATCCATACCGGGTATGGAAAACCAGCCTGGTCAGGATCAACAAGAGAAGAGGTGGCCAAGGCTTTCATACATGGCGATTGATATTCTATCGATCCCAGCAATGAGTGATGAGCCTGAGCGAGTCCAGGGCACGTCGTGCAATCACATGGGAAAGGGCGCAGTTATCAGCTGAAAATATTGAGAGAATAGAATGCCTAAAACACTGGCAAAAGAGTGGCATTTCCAAGGAGAGACTTGAGGAATAGTTAATTAATAATGTGAATTATAGATTTTCAAACTAGGATCGAAGAAAAACTAAGCATGGGAGAGAAAGGAGAAGGAAAAAAAATAGCTACCCCGTGCCGCTAGCGCGCACCTCACCAGCGAAGCGGGTTAGGGTGCGCGTCACATAAGTGAAATTGTCAGATAAATGATATTTTTGATATTTCAAACTCCCCATATCATTACAAACCCCCAAAACACCAGCAAAATGCCATCCGAGAAGTATAAAGAAGAGGAGAACAGGATCTCAGAGGCCTTAGAGATGCTTAGGAAAAATCCGAAGCAAAAAATCAAGCCGTTGGCGCGTCAATTTGGCGTGGATTACCAACGGCTCCGGCGACGCGTGTTAGGCGGCACTTCTCAACTAAACCGACGACCAGCGCACAAGCGATTGACGGAGGATCAAGAACGCGCCATAATTCTATGGATGCATGATTTAGATGATAGAGGAATCCCTCCAACCGTCCGCATGATTAAAAACTACGTGGATAAAGTGCTTCAAAATATGCACCCCGGCGCGGATAACCCCCCTCAACTCGGGGATCGCTGGGTCTATCGCTTCCTCAAACGACTGCCCAAAGAATACGTCAAAATGAAGCAAAAGACTATTGATCCAAGCGACATCTTGCTGAGGACCCGAGCGTTATACAGGCCTGGTTTGACCGTCTAGAAACTGCAATAGAACGCTATAAGATTACGCCATCTAACATTTGGAACTTCGACGAATCTGGATTTCAAATTGGACAAGGGGGGGATGAAGAAGTTGTAACAAGATATCCGGATGCTTTAAGGCACGTTCCTAGCTCTTCTTCACGGGAATTGGTTTCCACAGCAGAGGGTATAAGCGCGGTTGGGAATACGATTCCTCCATTGCTTATTTTTACTGGAAAGGTTATCCTTGAGAGCTGGTTCCAATATCTCAAAGAAGATGAGTGGAAAGTGACTATAAGCGAAACAGGCTTTTCAAATGATGAGATTGCGTACGATTGGCTCAAACATTTCAATGAGCATACACGAGAACAAGCAGGAAACAATTTTCGTCTACTTTTTATGGATAATCATGAGGCTCATCTTACGTCTGAGTTCTTATCCTATTGCGACGACTATAGGATTATTCCCTTTGCTTTTCCGTCTCATACAACGCATCTTTTACAGCCTCTAGATGGTTGCCATTCTTACAATATGAGCGCGTTCATAGAAGGGCTATCAACGAGAAAGCGCACCTTGGAGGTTATTTTTACGATAAGATCGATTTTTTGGCCGATATTGCTCGTGTACGCGCTGACGCCCTTACTCTACGAGTTATCCGGAATGGATTTTCTGCGCGTGGGCTTTGGCCTTTCAATCCAGAGATAATTGTCGGTCCTTTAATTGAGAAATGGGACCTCCAAGAAGGGCAAGAGTTGCTAATTTATGACAATGAGGAGCCAGATATCTCAAGTTCACCCACAAATGCTTCATTTTCTCCGCCAACTACTGCGTATAAGCTTCAAAGATCAATTACTAAGGTTGACGCACAGCTAAATGAGATTTCCAACGTGATTCCTGGTATCCGGAGGAGTCTAAAAAAGATTTTTGACGGAAGCCTCACGCAGGCCCATATTAAAGATCAACAACAGGCTCAAATCGAGCGCCTCCAAACGCTCAATGAACGCAAATCCGCCCAAAAAAAAATTAAAAAATAAAAAAAAACTAAGCGCCAGGTGCAAATTGGAGGTATCCTCACTGTAAAGGATGCGAATAGAGCCGTCAAAAAGCTTACTACAGCTGAGGAAAAGAAAGCCGAGAGGAAGAGGCTCAAAGAACTACGGCAAGCACCATTGGGATCAATGCCTCCCCCGCTTACACCAAGTGATGAGGCGGCGATTGATCGTAATACTCTATTGAATTTGATTGAGCAGGCTTACCCGAGATGCTCAAATCCAAATTTAATTCGTTGGGTTGACGAGAGAATGTAAATTTGTTAGCAATTTCCGTACAAAATATCATTTATCTGACAATTTCACTTATGTGACGCGCACCCACACGCGTAGCGTGTGGTCGCGGGCTTGGCGGCACGGGTACGAGTTTCTTTCTGCTCCTAGCTGATAGGGCACATCCCTATCCACGCCGTATTATGAAATCATCTCAACATCAGATTTCGGAGATGAATAGGGTAAGGTAGCTCGCGTAGAGCACACATAAAGACTGGCTACGCAGCTCGAGTAGAGCTTTTCTTTCCTCATGTTTCAATATTTCCAGGCGACGAGCACCTCTTGTATGTGGCTTTAGCTGTTTTCGAATATAATTGATAGCAGCGGCACAATCTGTCAAATTGGTAGCATCCTGTACCCATTACAAAAGTGAAAGCGTTGACTTTTGAAACAAGGCTACCCCATCATTCGCAGGACGGCTAGTGCTCTGGAGTACTGGCCGTGGAGGAACATGTCCTCATGGAGCTGCTAGTCATTCTTTTGAGCCTGCTACCTGCAGCCCTCATGCAACATGATTATCAGAACTTGGGTGCAAGTTGGGACGCAATACCCGTCTTTGTGCGACTTTGGTATAGTATTATCATAGAAGTTCGCGAGAATGGCAGGATTAACGGCATTCGTACGGCTTGGCCGGCAGAACAAATAACAGTTCTCTACTTCCCTATCTACTATCACAAAGCAGCTGGTTACCAAATACCAGCGACTGCAACCTGATGTCTTGAAAGGGATTGAGAATAATTCAAATATCTCATCTAAATCTCTCAGTGAACTATTCGACAAGCTTCTTCTCCAGCCTCTGCTCGGATTAAAACTGGATCAACCTGCAACAGTTATGATTATTATTGATGCACTAGATGAATGTGATCAGGAAAAGGATATCCGGATTATACTTCAACTTTTGTTTCGACTGCAGGAAGTGAAGTCAGTATGTCTACGAATATTTCTAACTAACCGGCCTGAACTTCCAATCCGTCTTGGCTTCAGGCAGAGTAATAACCATCAGGATTTGGCCCTCCATGAGCTTCCCAAACCAGTGATTGAACGTGATATTCGCCTATACCTGGAAGACAAGCTTTCGAGTATACGGGAAGAGAGGTCGTTCGCCGCCAACTGGCCTGGGGATGAGGCTGTCAATGAGTTGGTGCGGATGTCTAGCCCACTATTCATCTTTGCGGCCACGGCATACCGCTTTATCAATAGAGGAAGACATCCAAAAAAGCAACTCCAGAAGTTCCTTGCATCTCAAGAAGCTACATCCGCATCTCAGATGGACAAAATATACCTGCTAGTTTTGAACCAAACCATACAAAATGACGAGGATGACCCAGCAGAGGTTCTAAAAGAATTTCAGGATATAATCGGGACTATCATCCTTCTTGCTACCCCACTGTCTATTATTTCCTTGGCACGTCTTCTTCATCTACAAGCAGATGATATCATTGAGCTTTTGGATCCATTGCACTCAGTTCTAAATATTCCAAAGAATTTAGGTGCACCGATCCGAATCTTACATCTATCATTCCGAGACTTCCTCATTAACACAACAAGCACCTTCCACGTGGATGAAAAGGAGACACATGAGAAGATAGTCTTGCATTGCCTCCGTATTATGAACACTGACTTGAAGCAGAATATCTGTGGTCTGTCAAGCTACGGGACACCGAGAACAAATATTGATAATCAAGCTATTAACAAGCACCTCTCAGCAGATCTGCAGTACTCCTGTCGGTATTAGGTGTATCATTTTGAACATAGTTACAGTTATATTACTAGCTCCATGGCTTTTGATTTTATGAAACAGCACTTACTTCATTGGCTAGAAGCGCTGAGTCTAATAGGCGTTATATCAGAGGCAGTGGCAATGATGGATATGCTTCAGTCAGGCGCTGGGGTAAGTTTCTGCATATTTACACTTGAGTGATAGCTAAAATCAAGTATACAGGAGGACATGGATGCTGAATTTTCTAACTTTCTCTATGACGCAAAACGATTTATTCTAAAGAACGCCTACATGGCAAGTCTTGCTCCACTCCAACTCTACTGTTCTGGGGTGGTGTTTTTACCAATGCGAAGTATTATTAGAAAGATGTTTCTTAACTGCAGGCCCAAACAAATACATATGCTACCACAAGTGAAGGATGATTGGAGCCCAGGACTACAAACCCTTGAGGGCCATTCAGATTGGGTTTGTTCAGTGGCGTTCTCCCCTGATGGCCAAACAGTAGTGTCAGGCTCCTATGACAATACCATTAAGCTCTGGGATGCTAAGACCGGCTCTGAACCGCAGACGCTCAGGGACCATTTAGATTCGTTTAATTTCAATCAAGAATCTTCAGACGCTGAGGGGCCATTCAGAATGGGTTCAGTCAGTGGCCTTCTCCCCTGATGGCCAAACAGTAGTGTCAGGCTCCTATGACAGGACCATTAAGCTCTGGGATGCTAAGACCGGCTCTGAGCTGCAGACGCTGAGGGGCCATTCAGATTGGGTTCAGCCAGTGGCTTTCTCCCCTGATGGCCAAACAGTAGTGTCAGGCTCCTATGACAATACCATCAAGCTCTGGGATGCTAAGACCAGCTCTGAGTTGCAGAATCTGAGGGGCCATTCAGGTCCGGTTCATTCTGTGGCCTTCTCCCCCGATGGCCAAACAGTAGTGTCAGGCTCCAATGACAAGACTATCAAGCTCTGGGATGCTAAGACCAGCTCTGAGCTGCAGACGCTGAGGGGTCATTCAAATTTGATTCATTCAGTGGCCTTCTCCCCTGATAGCCAAATAGTAGTGTCAGGCTCCAATGACAGGGCCATCAAGCTCTGGGATGCTAAGACCAGCTCTGAGCTGCAGACGCTCAGGGACCATTTAGATTCGTTTAATTTCAATCAAGAATCTTTACCAGATAACTGGATTGCCTTAGCGGGTGACAATATACTGTGGCTCCCTATGGAGTATCGTCAATTTACAGCTTCAGCAGTTAAGGAATCCAACCTCGCCCTTGGGTATGGGGACGGGCGGGTATCTATCATAGGATTCCATACATTATAGATTAAATCTTCTTTGTACTCAACTACTCTCTATTATTTACTAATCTCTTTTTAAAAGGGAGGGCCTGGGATGGCTGAGTATTATATAGACATTTCCCTTTGAATTGCCTGAATTCTCGAGCAGCTTCTGCTCGATTCTATTGTGGGCGAGGTTTGCCGTCTACGTGAAGCAGGAGGATGAGAGTTTCAGTTTGTTGCTCTGAATATGCGAACCACTGTAATAGTATGCTAGTCATGAATTTCAGTCTGATACGGACACTATGTCGAATTGACTGGTATTGCCTCAGTACACAATGCATTCCCTAAGTAATCAATCGTCTGATTAAGTAGACTACCCCGTCATCTAGCTACTTGCAATTGCTGATACTGTGGCTTGACTTCCAGTAAGTGCTGCATCTCCTTTAATGGTAGCCTTGACTGATCAAGCCACGATGGAATTTCTTGCGGGTGATTTTGTAAAGATCTTGCTTGGGTGTCTTCAATCTCGAGACACGACTGTGCGTAGAGGCTTGAGTGTAATCTCTCAATGATGGCTCTCATTTTGCACATACTCTGGAGTCAAGAGCGCCTTGTAATGCACCCCTCTCGCTGCTGCTTACCCAGCCATCAATGGAGAAACCCAGTTGGACGAAGTATACCGTGCTGATCCGCTAGACTTATCTACTCCTAGTGCCAGCCCGGTGTATATTAGAAGTATGATGAGCGATTCGGTAACGATAGAAACTTGAGCTTTCTTCTGTTTGATATATATGTATTTTAGTCATTGTTCTATCTGATTACTGATATTCTAGTGCCAGTTTTGCCTGAACACGTCCGCGGACAACTGTTCCATGGGCAGTCTCTACATGATTAAGAAGGTCTTTTTGTGTTGAATCAGCTCTCTCTCACAAACGTAACACTCAACTTTTTTAGTGAACCACAGTGGATTCACGTGTTTCCTCCGGAAATGTCTAGTCAGGGATCCAGGGCTTATATAGTCCTTAATCCACTCTAATAGTGAAATAAGTTTAAAATTCCAGAAATACTTTTTGATCTATCTCTGGTCCTTAGCCCACATATCTGCCTATTAAGTATACTCTTTCACATCTGGGGCTTTAAGAGAATTTCAATGGCTATACCTGCTCTGGATTGTGCAGAAAAACTCTACAGTCTCCACATCCTAGGAGGCTTAGGACAACAAGAGCTGCCACTCCAGGATGATATTCTGGATAGGTTTGTATTTTGTCAAGTGGTTCAAGAAACAACTAGATATCAAATTGAACTAAAGAAGCCTATGACCGCTTTAATATTAAGAGATCAAATACATAAAGTTGGTGAGATCACAGGTTTCGATTAGGTAACCAAGCCCTATAATCTTTCATATGCTGGAGCCAAAGCCTTCAATAACAGTAGTATGAATGCGTTTTCCCCTTTACAGTTAATTAGCTAACTAGAGAACAGAGGAAGTTACCGATGCACTTCAATGTGTTATGCTATAGCACACTGATATACGCACCTTTATCCAATACTATGAGGTGGATATTGATGTTAATGCCCAGGCCATCGTCCGTAGGATAAAATCTCAAACACCCCTAGTACAATTTGCTTACTCACTTAGCGCGTCCATCGATCCAAACCAATTATATAAGCTGTCTCCTGAAGAGTCAAGGTCTCTAAATAAGCTTCTAATAATTTATGAATGGTAGAATACCGTCGACAAGCATAAACAGAAGTGGAAGGATCAAGAATAGAAGTTACAACAAGCCACTATAGCCTGTCAAGCCATCTTTGGCCTGTAATAGTAAAAAAGATCATTTGTAAAAAGATTGTCAATTATAACAGAAGCTAGAATAGGCTCAGGCACGGACTAGGAACATAGAGAAAAAGTATAATATAGCTCTTAGTTGACTCTATACTGAGAAGTAGCGACAGCAGAATAAATGAATTTAAGAGAATCTAGAACAAGATAGGAATGAGCAACCAGTTATTAACATGCAATCTCAACTAGCAGAAAAAATAATCAATATCAGGGTTATGAAAACTATGGAGCATTAGTGTTACGGGCTAGTCCGTCTAATGCTCACTATAAGGGCATATTCGAATAGAAAACGTAACATGAGGAAAGGAAAGAGAAAGAAAACAACAAGTTTTTCACGCGCATATAATCTTATATAGGCAAGGGGAATTGGGAGCTTCCGACGGGCTTCTCTCTAGGAATAGCCTTATGTCCGGGGTTGCTGAGATTGTCGGGGCTGCCGGGGATCGGCAGAGAGCACTATTGTCAATATCCGGCCGGATATTGGGTGTCCGTTCGTAATCTGGGAATATTAGGATTACTGACGCAGAGAAAGCAGACAGTGGGTCGTTATTTAGCAGATGTGATACACACAGATTATATTGCATAATAAAGGGATTCTTCCGTCTCCTCTTAAACCATAAGCTGGGATTGTTTAGTAGGAGAATTAGAATCCTCCTTATTAGGTGTGTACTAGCAATGAGGGTGCTTTAGTCAACACGTAGGCTGACCTTCTTCCACGCTATAAAATGCAGTGCCTGCATTTATTACATTAATCCAACGCTAATACTTAACTTTAAGAGTTTTACTAGGTACCGTCACTATACTGTTCAGAAATACTAGATGTTCTGCAGTCATAGTACCCTAATTGTTATGAGCTGACCTCATGACCATGTTCGGGCGAAGCCCTCACGGATATTGACATATAGAGTTTCGCTAGATTATTGTTCGGCAACCCCGAACATGAAGCTATTCCTCTATAACAATTGTGATTTGTGGGAACACGCCCGTTTTTGGGCGCGTCCGACGTCGAAAGCTGCGCCCATTCCACAATCCATCCGTCACCGCCTTGTCACTCTCCGGGATTCTGCCGGTTGCTGTGCACACAAGGTTTCGACTTCATGCCTACTCGCGATGAAGCCAAAATTGGCCTCCCTCCCCTACTGGGGCACGCGGGCGGCAGCTGCCTGCTGTGAGCCCAGCCCATATCTTCCTTCTTCCTCCATCGTCATCCATCTTCGTCCTTTCCCCTACCTTCTTCGGCGCTTCTCTAGCCCTCACCGAATTTCTGGTAGAGAGCGCTGTCACTCGACTCATTTTCACAGATTTCGCTATGGGTGTAAAGACTAGAGTCCGCCAACAGGCTCTTCCACTCGCCGAGTCCTTCAACCCTGATGATGATGATGATGATGATGATGATGCTGTTCACGAGGGCGACGAGTCCAGTTCGTGTTTCGATTCCGACTCAGATCATTCTGACGACGACTACGAGTCTGGTGATGGCTACTCAACTACCTTGATCGAGCCCGATTCCGACACCCAGCCATGCCTACCGGTACCGCTTGCACCCCAACAACCACGGGACTCCCCCTCGAGCGCTTCCAAGGGTAGGAGGGCTCCCGCTATATCATCCGAGCTGCCCGAGTACAGCGATGACCCCAACGACGACACTGATGAAGACCTCGCGAATGTCCCTTTGGACTATGGGAGGTCAAAGAACACAAAGATTTGAAGAGCCCGGATCGAGGAACGATGGAACAAGTGAGTCATTCCCAAATTCGCCTCTTAGACGAAGGATTCACTGATCTATACCAAGATACTGTGGTGTGAAAGTGGCCGAGCACGGTGCGCCCCCTAAATGGAGCGACCCTGAGGGTGCACTCCAGCAAGCGATGACAAACAATATCCATCAATTTTTCAACTACTGCATGAAGCTCAAGCGAGGCAAAGACAGCCGGCTTCTCAAAGGGATCAAGAAAGGGAGCGCCGTTACGGCGGAGTGGAAGTCTCTTCAAGGATATTATCGACTGATTACACGGACTAGCTTCACTAAAGTACAGTGTGAAGAGATCAACACGGTAAGCGTCCACACTCCACGGTGACCTTTCTTTCTAATTGGTGAATAGGGCCTTCGAAGTCTCATAGACAAATGAAAATTGGATATGGAAAAGCGCGAGAAAACCAGGGTATATGTTTAGGACTTGACCTCCTTCAATGAAACCATCCTCCGAAGGACTGAGAAGTGATTTCTCCTGGGGTTTGAGCGGATCCAGATCTGTCTCTTCACCGTTCTGGGGATCTTCACGGTCAACCGAATCTCCGCCCTGCTCTCAATGCAATTCAAGCACCTCCAATTCTCTATTCAACGAGATCCCCTTGGCGGTCCGCCGATCCCGATGGTGGAGCTTCGCGCTGTCCACATCAAGCAGTTCCTGGGTATCATATAGCAGTGAGCATACACCCCTTTGCCTTCTCTCCTAGATATAGGTAGTTTGTATTTATCTACTAAACTGGTGCCAGTAACAACTTCCCCTTCCCTGAAATCGTAGATGATCCAACCTTGGACTTTTAGCCCCTATGTCTTTTTGTTCGGCATCCTGTTTTACCTGGATGCCTTTGAAGCTAACAGACTTTGGTCTATGGAAGATGTGCAGCGGCTGCTGGTTGAAGACGGTTGTGAGCAGATGGAGTTGTATCTCAAGCCCGAAATCGAGGAATACTTCGTCTTTTCCATGACTAAGGCGGTCGACGGAACTCCAACGATCTTGTGGGATCAAACCATCAACACAAGTATGATGTCCTCCTGACTGCAAACGTTAGGAGAGATCCACGGTTGGCTCCATACCTTTCTTGCGCACCGTATGCGATATGGCGGTGGGAAGAAGCTGAATGAGAGTGGTCAGTCTACCCTTTGCCTGGCCTGACCCTGCAGCACCCCCTTGTCTTTAATACAGAGCAGACACTAATAGGGAATGGACTTTAGGCTGTGTGAGCGAAGCACAATAGAATCTCATCATGAAGCACGCCTCCAGCCGCACATTCCTGAACCACTATCTGCTACGGAATGTTGATACCGATATGCAAAATATCATGAATGGCCGTCAACCTAACACAGTGTTGATGCATGCCATCCGGTGTATCAGTCGCTGGATTGATAAGAGGCGTTCATAAGATATCAGCGCACAAAATTGATCGGAGCTATATCAACATCTGGAGTATTTAGCGGCAGTGCGCGAGTGGGATGAGCAGGCCATCCTTTGCTGATGGAATCCCAGTCCACGCGATCAGTCCCGGCTGGACCGGCTGACCAAAGATGTTGATAAAATCTTTCGTCGCCTTTGCCGAGTCCAGAGGAAAGAAATACGCCAAGCGTTCGGCCGGAAACAGGCAAAGATCGATATTGAATATCAACTGTCGAGGTCCGCGATCCACAATGAGGAGACCAAGCACAAACTCTAGGCTGTTGCTCAGATGCCTTCTGAGTTGATCCATCTCCTGGAGAAGCTGTTCACCTGGCCTACGTCCCACTCCCTTGAGGATAAGTGGGCTAGGCGGAATGCGGCCACCAAGGCAGTCAGTAAATACTGTGGCGTTTGGGAAGGAGGCCCTCTCCACGGTCGATGGAAACAAGCTCCGCCAAGCGATAACGAACTTGACCAAGCGAAGTCGTCTAAGCGCGTCGTCAGGGCGGGACTAACGTCTGACACGTCAGCTTCAAACTCCAGCAATCCCCTGGAGGGAGCGAAAAAGCAAATCATCCGTGCCGGAGAGCCGGATGCCGAGAAGCCAATAATCTATTTTTAGTACTTTGGCAATCAGTTGCTTCCAGAACACAAACGCAATCAATCATGGTTGAGACCCAACATAACGGTGCGACATTTTTGAGCTAAGCATCTCCAGGATCGGCAGTGCCATTTCTGCAATGATAGCGAGATTTTTCTGCATCAAATGCACATGCAAAGACATACAGAGGTGGCCCATCGCCTCATCACCAAATCCCGGTGACGTTGTCTATAATGAGTGCTCAAGCCTAACAAATCTTATTGAGAGGGTAGAGATGTCGACGGAGAAAACTAAGCATGAGGAATCTATCTAGCTAGGGGATATGATCTGTATGTATGGCCAGCCATGTTCCCACATGCCGTAAACACAATCTCAACAACAAAGAATAAGTCGATTGATATCCCCGCGTCTGATTACCAGACAGCAAAGAATTTCCCGCTACAATGGGTTCCCTAATCGGGATAGCCTGCGGAAGCTTGGCAGATCAACGCAAAAGAGAAGTTTGTGCATAAGAATAACTTGTGCATAGAAGGACTTTTCGCTTCAGAGAACTTTTTGCACAAGAGAATTTTTTGCATAGAGTGCGTCGAGCGGGATGCGTACCGTGCCCCGATAGCTCGCGTTTCTGTCCTTGGACAGCTGCTCTTCTTGTCTTCCCATCAAACCTTGGAGCTCCATGTTAAAATTCTCGTTGTCAAGGTTGTACGCTTGAAATTCTTTTTCAATTTTCTGTGACGGATCAGCCATGCTGAGATGGAGGAGCAACAAGGTTCATACTGGGTATCAGAGCCATTTTTGGACCTAGGTACCACGTATGGCTCTGGCCATTCGTTGGTTGCAAAGGATCGAATGAAACCCCTTGATGGATAATGCCAAAAAAAAAAACGAGCGAATCATATTGATAGTGCTCGCGCTCGCCATTAGGATCCTCGTAAAAGAGATTTTCGGTTTTCCGAGAAAAATTCTCGGATCAAAGACAGGGCACAAGTGCAACCAACAAGTGGCGCAGAAAAGAGAATTTAGAGGAGAAGATCAGAATTCGGTAAACCGAAATTTGTGTGAAAGTGTCCTTTCTATGGGATTCATGTATGTATGATACTGTATACCGCTTAATAGACCTTCTCCTCAGGGAATATAGAATCCCCAAAGATCAGAAAGTGAATGATAGTAGAATCGCAATCTGATGGAACTTCATATAGAGTATTATTAGATGGAATGACCTTTTCTGTGGATTCAATAGTTCTTCTGCCGGGCCACCTCTATGCCGGATGATGAAGCCTCATATGTCTCGAAGGATCTTCTCAGTGAAAATATCCTATCTCCTGGTCTTAGAGATATTGTCGCTTCGTTCCCATGCAAGATCATCAAATTTCATACATTTAATAATGTGGCTGGTAGCTCATTGGACCTTGCCCAACTGCAATTATTGAAACACCAAACAATGCTTGACCGGAAGATTTAACTTCTTCTTTATACTTAACTTACTTCTATTTTGGCAAACCGCCCTTCTACCCTTCTGGAACTTTGATATTGAGACCTTACATTCACGCTCATCCGTAATCCCGAAGGCGGACGCCCAATCTTGTTTATTTATATAAGACTAGAATTTATAAAGAAATGGCTTGGCAAGAAGGCTCTATAGATATACATTTAGATATTGCTTGAAAGATCGCTAGCTGACTAGAAAGTACATTTTACAATCTCATGGCAAAAACAACAAATAGATCCACTGATCTCCGTCTCTTTTCGAATGGAAATCGGTTTACTTCCTCCCCTCACCTTTTGATATATCACATAACTATAGGTGAACCTATCACAATTTCCAAGGTTTCTGAGCTTTGGTTTACGAGACTTTGGACCAATGAAGTACAGATATGTACGTGGGAAAGATGTTGAAAACAGGTTTCTTTTTGCTAGTTAGTTATATCTGATAACTCTAAGGTTGTTCGAGCATATACTGATTTACCATTGTTGGATTCAACGCTCGTACTGGAAATCTATATCATTGTTTATTGCTCGTATCGTATTCGGACATACGAAACCATATTTCAGAACTACCTACTGGATATCAACTATATTGGTTAAAGCACGTCTCACAGCATACCATGAGTATGCAGTTAGTAAACAACACGAAGCCCAAAATAAACCGTTCAATTGCAAGCTAGTATCTAGTTCTAGACTACATTATATGGACTCGACCTACCTTTCTATTGTCTAGGCAGACCTAGAAGTTATGTTGTGCTACACTACCTAGGTAGTTTTTTGTGTTACTAGCTTCATACCTTGTTCATGCGTGTGTAACCGATAAGTCATATGTTATTGGTACCTAGAAGGTAGGGGGGACAGACAGCTGTCAGTCATTAACATTTGAAGAGAACCAGCAAGTCGTTGGTCCATGGATGTAAATGACTGTTACTGACAACACAGAACTAGGGCTAGCCATCACGCCCATCCCATCTATCGATCCTAATGGTGGTACGAGTCAAGCAGAATCTAGATTTCCAGAGTTACTCAAATGCCGTTTATGACTGACTCATGTACAGAGAATGGTATTGTTGAGAGCCCGGATATCCGGAAAGAATACAACCTATCAATGTACCAAATGATTGATTACCATACCTAGGTACAGATCTGCTGGACAACCTTGGAAGTATATAATACAGAAGAATGGTAAGGATACGATACAAGTCATTGCCTGCATGCATATGCAGGCATAAACACATTAGACTACGCGTACCCTACCTAGGTAGGGAGCAGAGATTAGGGCAAGGATTGGACCGGCATTGATGGATGTATGCAGCCGTTCAATGTTTCTTCATATGAATATATGAAGAGACACTCACTCCCTTGTAGATATAATACTTGCAATAGACGGCTTTGTTGAGTACTTCCCGGCCCAAGTTATGTCTGTATCCATGATATATTTCTCTATGATTTACAATAGCGATCTACAGCCTGCCACCTTGAAAGTCACCCATGTGTATTCAGACCCTGTACATAGCATGTATTCCCGGTTTGACCAATATCCGTCTTGCAAGGACTATTCAAGAAAGTCGAGTTACATGGATACAACGGACAGGGATATTGGTTATGGTAAAAGGATATCTTGGCGTGCAGTTATCATGTGGCAAGCCAGTGTAGGCCATGCAACGTACAGCAGGGATTTTAGCGTGGGAGTTCGGGAAGACGGCAGAGAGATTTCTTTTCTTCTTGTTTAAAAGATTTCTGTCTTATTCCTTGGGCAGTCAGGGATAAGTAGCAAGGTAAGTGCAATCCAACAAAGAGCTCAATGTCTTTGCAGTTTGAGTCCGTGGGATCACACTGGTCTATTGATTACTTCTCATTGTGTACCAACTAGCCTTACCCCTCCTGACCGAGTGGCTGTACATGTTATTGAAGTTAACCTTCCTATTCCGGCAACAAACTCGTTAGAGATCTGTCCACATCTATCCTGATCGTAGTCGACGTGTATAGAATATTACATATTATGAAATACGATCTCTTGCCGACTAACTACGTAACACTGCAGAGTAAAAGCATCCATGCATGACATAAAGCCTAATGATTCGGGCAGACATCGTCAACAAAAAAACGGGTGATCGACAGGGTTCTGTTCAAGGACTCGATTAGGAAGTATGTATTAGTAGTATTCATGGATTTTCGCTATTTAATACGCTACATAATAATAGTCTCTTATCTGTTTGATTTAATGTACGTCTCATGACTCGTAAGCTCAAGTCTTGTCGATAGTGACACGGCAGTTTTAGGAAATTAGGGCTTCCGGACATGCAACTGAACAACATGATATTGCAAGTTTCAAGTTCACCGATACTCCGCTACTTGACAAGAATGAGCTTATAATCATACGGTCTGCCAAACCTGTACTCCGACCTTGAAGAATAGCGGTCAGCGGCAACGTTGAATGATCTCCAAGACTAGACTACGCACGTAGCAAACTCTAAAGCCTAACTGAACCTATGTTGACAAGCAGTGGAAGATAAAGTTGCGTCTGTTCGTAGGATGTGCGATCATAACTGGTTGAATAGACGTCTATCGTACGTAGTCGACTCATTCAAGCATTCACTAAAGCGGTTGTTAATTATATACCCACAGTATCCCAGCACGTCAAGCATATCAGTAGACCAATCGCAGGTGACGACATGGCCAGGTGGTTGATTCGGCGAGTTCACTGAGATAAAGTGAAGGGATTCCGATTAGATAACTGAGTACGTACGTAACTAGTATTCCGGTGGGACTGAATATTAAAAGCTTGGTAGTGAGTGTTTCCCGTATTCCGTTAGCGAGCTTTCCTTGAAGCTTTATCGAGACTTCGGCGTAGATATGTAAGGAGCCAAGCTAGGAGATAACACTGTGGCAGGCCGTTGTGCCGAGATAGGTATGCCCTACATCGAGACACCAAGCTGAGGTTAGTATCTAAAGAGGACTAATCGAGTTGTCGTCATAGATAGATACCTTCTGATTCGGACATCGAATGAACTTATCTGAAGCGGACTTTTCACATTCCGTGGTACAATTATTTAGCTTATTCGTTTTACGTACATTCTACCAAAACCTATCTGAAGATAACGAAGAGATACGAACAGACAGTTCAACAGCAAAGTGTGGAGAGACCATACTCAGCTTCTGACTGGCTGACATACGAAGTTCAAGTGCTTCCCCAAAAGGGAAACAGACTCCTCTTCAGATTTCCGTTTGCAACGAGGAAAGGGGGTAGTGGAGCATGGCGGCAGTTAGAGTTTTACGAGAGCTGAGGATTCGATTCTTCGGCAAATACTACTGACCTGTGTACAAAACATGGGGTTAGAAAGTCAGTGCTGCCTTTGGCGAGGCAAAGAAAAGCAAATATTCTTGCCTTACGACTTGAGTTAATTAATTGATTGAATTGAAATTTCTTTTTCTGCTCTTGTCGATCCACAATAATCCAATGTGACGAACTTACAGCACATGAACTTGCCACTCGCGTGGCCATCGGGGATCGTTCTCGGCGCCAACTCAAATTTAGGATGCTGTATTGATACGTTATCATACATACCGAGGGTATGTATTTTATTGTATTGTTTTTACCTATCAAAAAAGAGTCAACGGGCTGGAAGAATAGAGATTAAAAGTTGTCATAATTAGAGAATGGTCAGGATAGCCTAGCATTTTTCAGTTTGACACCTGTAGCAAATTATTAGATACACAA